TCCATAATCATTCACACCGAATTTTGAACACCAAATGGTTCAAACCATTCGAAGTTGATCCAAAGAAATACCCTAGAGTAGTACCTCCTGATACACAATCGGCCTTACTTAGAGCATCAGAAGGAGAAATCTTAGCTATTCACGGTTATGATAAAGAAACAGACAGCTTTGATGTATGTTGGCTGTTCTGTCATCCAGGTCACGCGACTCTGATATCGCGACAAAATTTTAAATCTTGCGTGCCTAAACCACAAAGAGAAGCCTTATTAGACAACTTTCACCAACTATATCCCCATTTTAAGTTTTGAATCGGGACGATTCACCAAAAGACGAAAAAGAGTGTAAGGGATCAGTCTAATAAGTATATACAATGTGAAGAGTGTTGCGAAACAACTCTGAAACAGTGTTGCAAAAGTATATAAGCGCGATTCCCACAATTAGAATATAACATTCTAATGGGGATTCTAAGTAGTAGCACACTATACATAAGCTTAGAGTAGTCAAGTATTCATAAGGAATCACCTAAGTACGATAGTAGCCCTTTAAAACAACTATTTAGAACTCTCTATAAACTCACAGAATTTTTAGGCTATCAGTATATTAAATTCATATTTGGAAAAGAAAAGACATGGTATACATCTCTCCTGGTTGAATAGTAATAAACCATAGATAAGCTTAAAGAGTCAAGCATTTACTTAGTGTCAACTAAGTATGATGGTGTATTTGTCTATCATATTACTGAAATCTGTCTTGTCATGGTAGTGTAGATTGTTATCGCATTGATCTTCCGATTCTTAAATACTATAGGAGTTTTTCCAAGTAAGGAAGAAGTAGTGGTAATGCAACAGCAAGTTAGAGTGATTTTATTAAATTATAATAACATTGAGTAATTCATTTTACTAGATAACTTGAACAATATTAGATATTCGAAGATTTTATGACTCTAAGAAAGTTTGCATTAGTGGTAGTTGATCTCCAGGAAGATTTTTTACCACCTAATGGCTCTCTTGCCATTAAAGGAGGAAGGGATATCATACCCAGCGTCAATAAATTGATCAACACAAAATACTATGACTGGTCGATAGTGATTGCAACTCAAGACTGGCACCCACCAGATCATTGTTCATTTGCTTCGCAACATAATGTGAGTCCTTTCACTGAATTAACATTCCAACACCCTCTTAGCGAAAAAGATGATGCTGGTGAAATTAAGACGATGAAGCAAATTGTATGGCCGGACCATTGTATTCAAAATACTGTCGGAGCCTCAATTGATCCTGAATTTTTTGACTCGTTTAAGCGGCTAGACGTTTCAAAAGCGGTCGTAAAGAAGGGCTATTTGAGGGACAGGGAATACTATTCCTGTTTCAAAGATTGCTGGCAAATTCATGAAACCGAAGTGAAGTCGAAATTGATAGAACATGAAGTAACTGATGTCATATTCACCGGGTTAGCGTATGACTTTTGTGTTTTGAATTCTGCAATTGATAGTAGGGCTGCGGGGTTTAAAACTTATGTCGTTAAGGATTGTTGTAAACCTGTTTATCCTCAGCAGATAGAAGCGACGGACGAGACTTACAAGTCAAATGACATTAAAATTATTTATTGCAGAGATATTCCGGGTTTATTTAATTTGTAGTTTTAGTTTGATATCTTGTTTTCTCTTCTCAATCAACCATTTCGAAATTATATCAATAGGGGGTATCGCATCAATCATAAGAGAGTCTTTCTCTATATTCTTTTGTGCTAAGGCACAATTCGCTTTCTCTTCTTGCTCTAATAAACTATCAATAGAGCTGTCAGAATCATCATCATTATAAGAATCTAAGATTGGGTTTAAAACGTGTGCTAAGGTTTTATCGATACGCACATCTCCAGACTTGTGTCCACTAAGTGCTGATTTCACAAGCGCCTTCTTTTCGTCAAGCAATCCATAATACAGAGCATCAATTTTCAGAAGTCGTTCATTTATAACCTTCTTTTCAACCAGGTCCTGGCTTCTATTTTCTTCTTTCTTGAACTTCTTCCTTCCCTTGATATACTCTTGAGCCTCACTCAATTCCGCCGCTCGACCAAAGTATCTATATCCTTTTGTTCCAGCCCCATCAGCTCGAATTCCAATGGAATTCAAATTATTTCCATACGTTATATAATCGCTCCCTCCTAGTTCCTTAATGTGATATTCCCAAGCTCGCTTTTCCTTGAAAAGTTTATTCAATGAGTCATTGAGCTCCCGTATCTGGTAGTCATTGAGCGTGGGATCTTGAATTCTAGTCAATTTGCTTGATATTTCTGCCATTATTGTAGAACGCCATTTTTCAGCTTGGGGCAAAGATTCAACAGACTGAACATATTTAGGTCGTAGATTAGGATTACTCTCTAAGACTCCAGCCTCTTTCTTCTTATGTTCTTGTAATCTATTAAGGGCTGACTGTGCTTTTTCGGAGTTTCTTGACATAAGTATACGCTTTTAATAGTATTAAATTGATGTAGAGATGACTATATACGAGGTGTGTATTAGGTAAGTTTGAGATGTAGATCTATATGCACGACATATACGACTTACATTCCCCTGAAAGCGTTTTTAGAGGCTCTTCTGCGACCATCGTATCTTTGTTTAGCTCTACCTCTATTAAGCTCTTTCGTGCTGTCAGCGTCGTGCTTAAACGAGACCTTTTTCTCTAGCTTTTTCGGAACAAATGTCAACTCAGCCTCACCTCTACCATGACGACGTAATCTGGAATCATTTGGTTTCTTTACCCTAGGCGTTTGATTAGCATGCTTAAGCTGTGCTGAAAATGATGCTTGGTCATCTTTCGGCGTATCATCTTTTAGGGGAACCATTTCGTTCATAAACTTGTCAGCCTCAGCATCGGCTTCTTTTCTACGACGAACCTTCTCTAGTTCCTTTTTGATTTTATTTCTTCTTATTTCTGTGGCCTCTCTGGCAGCAAGTTCATCCTCTTCATCTTCATCACTTTCTGATTCGATTTCTGACCTGGATTCCCCCTCAACGTTAAAATTCATTCTGTCCTCGTCAGATTCTTCTGCAGCTGTTAGACCTCTAGAAACATCCTTAGACACTTTAACAGGATTAAGTTGTCTGTATTCATGTGATTCTTCATCAACGGCAAAATCAGGATTTTCAAATACTTCCTTGAAACGATCATCATTAATGACAGCCTCTGCAGCAGCAGAACCTTTCTTGTCCTGCAATTTACCGGCCAAATCCTTGTTGATCTTGATTTTCGTGTTACTAATGGTACCGGTTGATCTAATTCTTGACTCTCTCTCTTTCTCAATTCTCTTTTTGATTTCTCTTTCTCTTTGCTCCCTGTAAGAATTAGGATTTGCGATCAAGTTAACCTTATCATATAATTCCGTATCAATAAAAAAACCATGCATGTAGGAGCGCATAACTTTTGAACCAATCAAATGTGACAATCCTAACTTGTCTACATCATCTCTAGTGATGAATCTATAATTAGAATACACTGTATCCGAGGGTTTCTCTTCCAATTCTTCAGTGATATTATCTAAGAATGAACACCACCTTGGTGCCGGTCCTAATTGAGGGATGTAATAAGAATGCATGGAAATCCCTTCATTAGCCATCAAAAACATTCCTGACTCTTTAACATATGCAACGTCGTTTATATCTACGCTTGGTTCCATTGAAGTGAATGGTTTTCCATCTAATCGATTCCATATCTTTGCAATACGTTTATCTGACGTCATGATTTTGTTTTGTTGAGAAGAATTTTCATCTATCCATAGAATTTTCTTGATATCAAAACCATATCCTTGATCTTTAACAATAGTAGGTACAGCCGACCTCAAATCATATATAAGCGATAGTCCGGAAGAAGTCCCACAAGCAAAATTAAGCCCATCGTTCCGGAATGAAGTAGCTGTAACTTGAACAGGTTCGTTTAACTGCTCTGAAACAAACAATTTAGCTGCCCTTTGCCTACTTCTTGGGTCCCAAAATTCAACCGTTCCGTCTTCTAGGCCCGCGCATACCAACCCATGAACAGGATTAACATCCACTGAATTTACCCCTCTCTTAGTGTCTAAAGTATAAGGGTTCAAAAACCTTCCTTGCTCTAAATTTAATCTGTATATTTCATTTCCAGAAGCCCCCACCAAAAGATCACAATTTACTGGATTATATGACAAGTCTCTCCCAAATTTTGGGATCCTAGATCGATAATGAATACCACCCTTTGTGTGAAACTCAATTGATCTATCATTCTGTAGATGTACGGACTTTGTCCAGTCATTTGACAATATAAGAAAGTCTATATTCTCTGCGTCAGTATGTCTGTCAAACTTTAGAGATAAGTTTGCAAAATCATATACATGGATCTGAGGTTTATATGTACCTGTAGCCATAGCAAACTGGCCATCAGGTGACACTTTTATTTTATTAGATGCCTCACTAAACTCAAAATCTTGAATTAGCTCTATTCTATTCTGGTATTCTATATCATTCTTTAATGCTCTCTTTCTCTTCTTAGCGATCCAGTCAGGTAATGAACGCGAGCTATTCGTACCAGAGACCTGATAAACAGACACATTACCGGCTGATGTTGACTTTAACACCATATTTCCTTAAGTTGCCGTTCCTAATATATATTTTACTGGATGTATAAATTTGCGATGAGTTCCAAAAAGAACTATATGACGATTAAAAAAAAAAAAATTGATATTGAAGTGCTCACGTGCTATAGATCATAATCATAAACTATCAAAAAAGCTTGTTAACTGTACGTTCCAACGAGCAATCAGGTCATACCATATTGATCAACATGTATACTTTGCTGTCTTGCTGAATTTGTAGCATAATGTGGTTTGACAGGAGTTGAAATATTATTTGCTAATTCTTCAAAGTTAAAAATTGTTGCAGAATCCTCGTTTTCAGGGGCAGAGCTCTTAGAAGATATAGGCTTGAAATTAATATCTTGATTTGGATACAAAAACCCATATTCCTCAATCGAAATATTGCGGAAATCACTACAGGCCACCTGGTCCTCTATTTGTAAAAATCTTCCGAAGGTTTCCCATTTTGATTTATAATCACTGAACGTTGCCGCAAAAAGTTGAAGACCGCTTTTAACTAAAGTGTCCTGAAGAATGGAACTATCTTCTCTAATTAGATATTGAAAGATGTCTTCAAAAATTGGAACGTTTTTAATGTCCGCATAGCATATATCATTAGCAAAATTAAGAAGGCTCACCCAAATCAAAGAGTTATCTACGGTATTGAGATTAATTGTTACCATTTTGAAAAATAGTCTATGTGTGAGCTCCGTTAAAAGGTTGAATTCAATATTATTCTCGTCAGTCCCTGAGACAAAGTACAAAGTGGTAAACAAGGAAGAAATCATTAGGTCTACCATTTTGAAGACAATTTTTCGATATAATTGGCCTGATGATGAGCTACTAATGAATTGATAAGCAAAAAATTCATCTTTGAACGTATGAGACAAGAGACTTAAATTCAATATAGCACTTTGAACAAGCTGTTTAAAATTGTCTCCGCAGAATGCCAAGTGGTTACTGGTGTCAAATGAATTATCATATGCTATTCCCTCAAAGAAGTAGTTTGGCTTTGGAAGTGGAGCTGAAGCCAAATGACTGAAGTTTGCTAAGATAACAGCTGGAACTTCAAATTCGTTGTAGGGAGTGCATAGGTTAATCGAAAGTAAGTAGTTTAAGTTCAAGAACGCTGTTGTCATAGATATTTTTGGCTTTAATGCATTAAACTCTGAGTAAAGATTAATTTTACCTTGCAGCAGCCCATATATTGATTTCAACGACAATAAGATATAATTTGGAACATTGGCTGAGGATAAGTATGCTATTTGGTTATTTTGATCAAGGACATCGAGGATTACTTTATAGGAAGTTTGGAGGACATTATTGTGGTTTAATAATGGACTGAAATTTAACAAGTATTTATTTCTTAAGCAAAGTTTGAAAGAATCTCTCTTGACCGCAGTGGTATTTATATCGCTCAAAAGTATGGAACAAGAAGCAATTGACAAAATCTTACTAATGCAAATATTGGTGATTTCAGAACCATGTGTCTCTTTGCTCGGATCATATGATAATATTGAAAAAGCCTCACTAGAATTGTAGCAGATTAAGGCACAAAATTCTGCGTATGTGTCATCTTGCAAAAGACTAAGAAGTTCCAATAAATATTTGTTTATTTTGATGGACTTTTGATTATCTTCCTTTGGATATTTTGAGTAATTAATCAAATTTTGAAATAATTTGCATATGTGAGTAGCTTTGGGGAGCATAAAACTGAGGAATTGCCTAGTATCAAGATTGACACCGGAAAGTGATCTTTTCGATCCACTTTCTTCAGAAATTATATCTTTATAAGTCCAAAACGCAGAAATACTGTGGCAAGTTAGGGAATCATCAGTATTCTTGTCTTTTAAAACTTTTAAAAGGGATGCCATACATTCGTCATCTCTGCAGAGGCTTATAAAGGATTGTATTAAGTGGGGACTCTTTAAATGGTGCCATATCAAGGAAGCGAAAATGTCAAAAAAATCTCCCAAATCTTTCTTCGGCTCCCTTTTTGAAACCAAGCAAATGAGATTAGCCAATGGGACAATAAAATTAATTTCAAGATTCAAGCTTTCGAAGGCGTTTTCATCTTTGAACTCCTTAACAAGAACTTTCAAAATACGTCGATACGCTCCACGAATCAGTTCAACTCTTTTTTCAAAACCTTCAGCACTTAATTCTGAAGCATCGAAATCCTTTACTTGCTTACTATAACCAACAAGGCATTTAAGTGATAATTCTTTTTTTCTGTTGGAAACTTTTGGATTTTCTCTCTCTACTGTTGCCTGCGTTTTGATAAAAGAATCGTCAGCTGGCACAGCTACTGTCATGACGTCTTAAAAAGGATTTCAATAAAGATTCCACTTAACTTCTTATCACTTCTGCTTAAAAAGATTAATTCTGTATTTATACGCTATTCTTGAGTTGAGTTCAAGTTTTACCACACACCAAATGTGTTTTACATTAGTAAAAAGTGTTGCAAAAGAGAGCCCGCGCTCAAAACAAACAACGTGACTCCTTTGGCTTGGGAACACAAACTGCTTTTTTGCGATGTATGAGTTCAAAAACTCTAACAGTGATGAAAGACGCAAAAACAGCAGTTGTTCCGGCTAGAGGTCTAAATCTAGAACTTAGCGATGTAACCAGGACCCTTCTATGGGATTTTGTGGAACAAAAAAAAAATAAGGAACGTGGTGAATAGAGCACGACATTGAAAGCGGAGCAGAGGAATAGCCAGAAGAATAGCCCAACTGTGAACGACTATCCCGGAGAACTCTGTATTGGAAGAATGTGACTGATAAGTCTGAAGAGGGGTATTAAATTTATTGGCATTTGGAATGTAATAGTATCCTCAGGCTATCTCTTGGATAATAAAAGTGAATGCAGCAATACAGGCAATTCATGCGTGATTCTGCATCATTGACACAAAGAGAAGGGTCTCTGAGTATGATACTTAGAGCCTCGTGCATGTTCTATAAGGCGACTAGGTTGTTTGTTCATGTTGGAATATATACTAAAATATGCACGAAGAACCCACGGATATAGCCAATGCCTCTACTTGCGTCAACTTGCGCCTTAATACATAATTTTAAATCTCAGAACACAAATGTTCTCTTGTTCCGAGCGAATTCAAAAGCAATCAGGTGGTTATAAGAAATATATAAGATCAAAGCAGTGGTAATGAATGTTTTAGTTTTCTTTACAATGTATTGATGAGATGAACAATGCTAAAATTTGATTATTGTTTTGAGAACGCGCAAAGAAACGCATCGTATAAAGTCTCAGTTGATTCATCTAAGAATCAAGATGGGAAGCTGAGCCCCCATGCCCCTTGTAGAAAGGTACTGCTTGCAGAAAATGAGCTGCCCCTTCTAACACGGCTCACTCGAAAAGATCAAGACTTCAGGAATACCCGAGGAAGCATAGATTCATCTCAAATATCACCTACTTCAGAGAGAGGTTCCAAGTTCGGGAGCTTTAGCTCAGGCTCGATAATAGATCTTGATGAAATCGTTAAGGAGTCGAAGAAGTTTGAGCGAGACTTAAAGGAAAGTTGCAGCGATTGTTCAACTCCTAGACCTCAACCAAGAATGAGCTTTCAGGATGAAGTCAACGGGGAATTTCCTCGACACTTCGATGATGATTTTTCGTTAGGTTTTGCTCCTATCCTTAACGAAATAACGACTCAAGATTTTGGTAGATCAAACTCATGCAGGCAGGGTACTTCATCACACGGGAATCTGGCAGCCGGTAGCAAACGAAGTAGCGTATCACTGGGGAAAACGGAAACGTTTAAATCTCCTTTGAAGCTGATTTTTAAAAGAGCTAGTCAAAAAAGTAAATATCAGGAACAAAGCGAGGACGAGCAGGACTCTGAAGAAATGTTAGTGGAGAATAATTTATCAAATGAAAGCATTCTAGTTTCCCGTTTACCTTCACCTCAGATTAAACCTTCGGTAGGTAAAGGGGTGGATGGTTGCAGTAATATCAAGAAGTAGGTTGTATAATTACCAAATGAAAATACCAATCATAAGACGGCAGAGATCCTCATAGGATTAAAGTTTCCAAAGTATCCATAAAGTGTATATTTTTATAGAATAACCTTATTGGAGAGACACAACATAACTACGTGTATAGTTTAAATGCTTTGTTGAACTCCTCTAAGAAATCGTTATAATTTTAAAGTTTAGACTAAAGATTCTTCTAGAGCGTAGAGCTGTTTCAAAACGGCAGCCTTGGCAGTACCTCCTGTAGCAGTTCTTCTTTCGACGCTGGCTTCGAAGTTAAAGATATCTTTAACATCATCAGAAAACCGGCTATCTATGGACTGTAATTGCTCTAAAGTCAATTGATCGATTCCTGACAATTTTTGTTCTTCGGCAGCCCTTACACACTCACCAGAGATATGATGAGTCTCTCTAAATGCAACTCCCTTTCTCACTAAATAGTCGGCTAAATCAGTAGCAAGCATATCCATTGTCAAGGCATTTTTCATATTCTTTTCATTAATTTTCAAAGTAGAGATAGCACCTGTTGCAATCAAAATGGAATGTTCAACCGTTGTCAAGGCATCAAATAAAGGCTCCTTATCCTCCTGCATGTCCTTATTATAAGTAGAGGGAATGGATTTTATTGACATTAAAAAACCAGACATCGAACCAAATACACGTCCTGACTTACCCCTCAATAATTCTAAAGAGTCGGGATTCTTTTTCTGTGGCATCAAAGAGGATCCAGTGGAATAGGCATCAGCCAATTGAATGAAACCGAACTCAGCTGTAGAATAGATTATTAAGTCTTCAGAGAAACGCGAAATATGGTTCATAAATAGAGTTGACCAAAACAAAGATTCAACGACAAAGTCACGATCACTCACAGCTGTCAAAGAGTTTCCTATGGTCGAGTCAAACCCCAAGCCCTTGGCCAAAAATTCTCTATCAATGCCATAAGGATGACCGGCCAATGCACCAGCTCCCAAAGGTGACTGATTAACTCTATCTAAAACTTGTTTTAACCTCTTGTAATCTTCCGTAAAGTAAGTAGCATAAGAAGAAAGCCAATGAGCCCATCTAATAGGTTGAGCTCTTTGCAAGTGAGTATAACCTGGCATCAAAACATCGATCTCTGCGGCGGCTCTCTTCAATATTGCCTTGATGAAGTCTGCTAAAATGCTAAGCAAATTTGTTAAGCTTTCACGAACAAATATCCTCATATCTGTAGCCACTTGATCGTTTCTAGACCTACCAGTGTGAACTTTGCCCGCAATATGCTTCCCAATTATCTCTCCTAATCTTCTTTCGTTTGCAGTGTGGATGTCCTCATCACCAGGTTTTTCGACAAACGTGCCCGAATCCCACTCTTTCTGAATCTCTTGCAAACCTTTATGGATAGAGCTTAGTTCATCATCGGTAATTAATCCGATCTTATTCAAACCTTGAGTATAAACCTTAGTACCCAACAAATCTGCGGAATACATTCTCTTGTCATAAGGCAATGAAGCATTATATAAATTCATCAAGGGATCGGTGGCTCCAGTGAACCTACCTCCCCAAAGCCTGTTCTCAGCAGGTTGCTCGCTAGACATAATGATACGTTCCTGTAATTTGATAGCAGCCAAGAGAGTAAGAGAATTGAGATGTATTGAACTAAAATGAATTGAAATCCTTGAAATGATTCATCACCGCGGCTACAATAAAATTTTTCAATTACCCATTTAGGATGTATTTGTTCGTAAAAGATGAATTTTCTTTCGTATTTACAAATGGCCTCTATGCTTTATGTATATTCTATTATTCACTAGACATATGTTTAATTAAGGCTTACATCTTCCAGTGAATCTTGGATACAAGGAGCAATCTCTAACAGTGAATCTGTCACACAACCATGCCAATACTCTTTCAGTACCCAATCCGTAACCACCGTGAGGGCATGTTCCATATTTCCTTTGATCAATAAACCAATAATATGACGCTATATCTAACTTTTCTCTCTTGAAAGCAGCGATAAGCTCATCATAGTCATCAATTCTCATTGAACCTCCTGTGATTTCGCCAACATTTGGCATCAAAACGTCTACAGATTCAGTGACTCTGGGATCGTCTTCACATTTCTTCATATAAAAAGACTTAATTGCTACCGGAAAGCGGATCAATAAAATAGGAACACCAATGGTATCAGTCATTTTACGCTCAGCTGCCTCAGCAATGTCGTCACCAAATTTGAACTCTTCTCCATCTTCGTTGGGAATATTATGCTCCTTTAGCCATTCTAAAGCTTCAATATAGGTCATCCTTTTAAATGGCATTTTGGGTGGTTGGAAATTAGGATTTAATTGTTTGACCAATGGACCGGCGACAGGATCTTCTATCACATATTGAATTGTTTTCGTAAGAAGACGCTCCAAATGTTTCAACAAATCCTCAAAGTCTATAAAGCCCAACTCACTTTCAATATGAGTATACTCGGACAAGTGCCTTCTAGTATGCGACTTTTCAGCACGGAAAGATTCTTGGATACAATAGACGTCTCCTAGGGCAGGCACCAACGTCTCCAAATACAATTGTGAAGATTGCGTCAAGTATGCTTCTTCTCCATAATAGTTCATTTTAAATAAAGTAGAACCTCCCTCAACTTGTGTCTGTACCATACAAGGAGGTGTAACTTCCAAAAGACCTTCCTCATCAAAAAATCTTCTCACTGACTTCAATAAACAAGCACGAACTTTCATTACTGCGGACAATGTTTCCCCTCTTAAAGCTAAATGACGTTGATCTAACAACAAGGCTGGATCAGCATTTTCTTGAACTTTATTGGTAAAAGAGTCTTCACCACCAGGAGCTAAACCGATAACTTTATAGTAGTCTGCTTTCAATTCGACACCCCCCGGAGCTGACTTTCCTTCAGGCAACTTGTGGATTACACCTTTGATAACTACGCTGGATTCCAAGGTCAACTCCTGCGTTGTCTTGCACTTTGCCAAATCTCCAGTAAGTACTGCTTGAATAAAACCAGTACCATCTCGTAAAGTGATGAAAGCCAATCCCTTCTGAATTCTTAAGCGGTGAATCCAACCATGAACAGCAATCCTATTACCTAAATTCTCAGGAATATCTCTCAATCTAATTTTTTTAGCTTCAGGTAATGACTTATCTTCTTCAATTGAGATATCAAGCGCAGCCAATTTCAGGGTGGCTTCTTCTTCTTGTTTCTGCTTTTGTTCAACTAATTTTGCCTGTTTCTCTAACTTCTTTCTTATGCCATCAGCACCTTTCTTAGCCTTTTTTAATGCAGAGGCTGAAAGCTCACCATAGCCATATATCTCTTTGTCTTCCTCCAACTTTTTGAACACCAAGATCGTAGATTCTGGGTGCGTAAAATAAGCGTATGCGGAAGACTGAAAAGGGTTCTTTTCTGAACCTCCGGAGGGGTAATCAATACCACTCTGTTCGTGGACGTAAACGTAAGGCATTGTATTAAACGTATAAGTCGCTATTCTCTTGATAGTGATGTTTCTGATTGCTAATCTTCTGCGGTGATTTTTTCAACCATGGTTTGACTCACGAGTTCCATAAAATACCAAGTTGAGCGTAAATGAAGGCATAGAAATTTTTTCACGTTTTGATAAATAACCGACTCAGTTGCAATAGGCTAGAACCAAAGTAGACTACTTGAGAGATAAGGTTACGAATAATATGGCATTAGAACAATCTTTGGCGGCATTGTCTTTGGCAACTGTGGAATCAGAATCTGCCCTTCCTACTAAGACTTTAGTGTTCAAGCCTAAAACTGCTAAGACAGCTACTCCTATCCCCATTATTGTATTTGCGCTCCAAAATACCCTGACAGCTTCAGGTGCTATCGCTAATGCGGCAAATGTGAAAGAACCAAGATTAGCAAAAGAAGATCTCGTTCAAGAATTCTTTGCAACTTCAACCAAGGAAGTGTCTATTGCTAATTTGCATAAAGGTCTTGCTGGAAAAATCAAGATATTAATCGATAAGAATATCACAGAGGCACCTAATGATTTGACACTTCAGTTGGCAACTGAGTCATCGAAAGTAAACTTAAAAGCAAAAGTGATTAATGATTATTTGGCGTCTACTGGAATAGAAATCATTCCGGTTGACTTCACAGTAAGGGCCGAACCAGCAGAATCCGCTTCTTCTCGTAAGGAACAATTGAAAAAAGAGAAAGAAGCTGCAAAAGTAGAGGATGCAAAGCTTATTGGCATTACTGTTGACAAGTCCAAAGATTTTTCTTCTTGGTACTCACAAGTGGTAACTAAAGGGGAGATGTTGGATTACTATGACGTGTCGGGTTGTTACATTTTAAGGCCCAATTCATACTCCGTTTGGGAGACCATTCAAACTTGGTTTGATAAGCGGATTAAGAAGTTGGGTGTTCAGAATTCATATTTCCCTATGTTCGTATCTTCAAGGGTTTTGGAAAAGGAAAAAGATCACATTGAGGGATTTGCCCCGGAGGTGGCATGGGTCACGAAGGCTGGTAACTCTGAGCTTGATGAACACATTGCGATTAGACCTACATCTGAAACCGTCATGTATCCTTACTATGCTAAATGGATCAGATCTCACAGAGATCTTCCTTTAAAATTAAACCAGTGGAACTCTGTCGTTAGATGGGAATTTAAGCATCCTCAACCTTTTTTAAGGACTCGTGAATTTTTATGGCAAGAAGGTCATACTGCTCATTTGACAGAAGAATCTGCTACTGAAGAGGTTCTCCAAATTTTAGAATTGTATGCTGGGGTTTATGAAGAATTGTTAGCGGTTCCTGTGGTCAAGGGTGTGAAAACAGAGAATGAGAAATTTGCCGGCGGTGTTTTTACTACCACATGTGAAGGGTTTATACCAGAAACAGGAAGAGGTATCCAAGGTGCTACTTCGCATCATTTGGGTACCAATTTTTCTAAAATGTTTAATATATCTGTTGAAAATCCAGAAGGTGCAGAAAAACCTAGAGTATTCGCTTTCCAAAATTCTTGGGGTTTGTCAACCCGTGTTATTGGTGTCATGGTGATGACACACTCAGATAACAAAGGTTTGGTCTTACCTCCGAGGGTTGCACAAACTCAAGTTGTAGTTATTCCAGTAGGTTTAACCAGCAAAACTACAGACTCTCAAAGAGTTGCAGTTAACAAGGGAGCAAAAGAAATTGAACAGAAGTTGAATGATGCGGAAGTTAGGGTTGTTGGAGATTACAGAGACAATTATTCTCCAGGCTGGAAATTTTCGGATTGGGAGTTGAAAGGGGTTCCTTTGCGTATTGAGTTCGGACCAAAAGATTTATCTGAGGGTCAGGTAGTTGCAGTGAGACGTGATAATCGTGCTAAGTACACAGTTAAGTTATCAGAACTTGAAAAGCGTATTCCAGAGATTTTAGAGGAAATGCAGAAGGAATTATTAGAAAATGCACGTAGCGCATTTGACAATCACCGCAAAGTGATTCACGAGTGGAAGGATTTTGTACCGACTTTGAATGCCAAAAATGCTATTGTTGCCCCATGGTGTGGGGATGCAGACTGTGAAGATGATATTAAAGATTCTTCTGCAAAGAAAGATAACGGAGAAGATGAAGTAGAAGATGAAAAATCTCCATCTATGGGTGCCAAATCCCTTTGCATTCCGTACGATCAACCAGAGTTAAAGCCTGGACAAAAATGCATAAAGTGTGACAGATTAGCAGTAAAGTATTGTATGTTTGGAAGATCGTATTAAACTATTACAGTTACATTTTTGGATCCATAGACTTACCTTATATAATATTAATTCATGTATAATTATTCCAAAACAGAGAGGAATCGACAGCCTCTGACGTTAACTTTTTAACGACCGTTAATCCAGTTTCGTCTAAATCCAAATAGCAGATAAATTCCAATTCGAGCTCGTCTTTAGCATACTTCCATACTTTACTATAATTTAGTCCAACTTGGCTGACAGAGTGTGAGTCATCTGAAAAGCAGAACATACTGTTTCCATGCCTTTTAATTGCCTCGCAAATATCTCTTTTCGGATATGGGGTTTTCCACCCTTTTCTGATAGCAGCTGAATTGAGTTCAAACAATCCACCATAATCAGCCACAAGTTTTATATTACGAATAATACAATCCCATACTTCTGGCCAGTCCCTTTCTATAACAATGTCCTTTATCATTTTACCCGTAGTGAAATCAATTTCTTCAGGTTGCTCGAATAGCCTAATTAGATCAAAATGTCCAACAACCTGCGGTTGCACAGAAGAAAGAACCTTATATTGTAAATCAAAATAATTTTTGAAAAGACATCTTACCGTGCCTTTCGCTGTTGAATCTCGTGCCTTTAGCCATAGCTCCTTGGAAAAATCTATAGGTATCCCGTTGACATAATGAACAGATCCAACGCACATATTAATACTTGGATTCCTCAATAGCGCTATACTATATTCGATGTGCTCATCATCAACTCCTTCAACTTCGAAACCGACAAGTAAGCGCATTGTCTTCCTAAGATTGTATTTCTTTTGCATTTGCAGTGCATGCTTCAAATAATTTGTGAAGACTTCTTTAAGGTCGTTACAAGTATAGTCTTTTTCGATTTCTTCAGGATATAGAAACTTTGAATTCAAACGAGGCATATGTTCTGTCAAGCAAAAATGTGTAAATCCTTTTGATTCAGCAGTTGATACGATTTCTTCTAGGGTGTCAGTGGCATGACTGACATAGTCTCCACTATGGGAGTGATGAGAATGCATTGGTTATTGATTAAATCGATATCATGTTAAAAAAAGGTATATATTCTATACCGGATTATATTAATCTTTGAAATTTTGGAGCTATACGGTTTCGCTTAATTCTTATTATACACTAATGAAACCGTTTCTCAATAGGGCTGGAAATGTTAAGGTATTTAATCCCATATGGTACCAATACCGAAGCCTTGTAGGATTTTATCCTACTATAAGTCAGTTAAACATTGACCCGCCATCAACTAATACATTAGTGTCAACTAAAGGACATATCAAATCTATACGGGAATTTAAAAATATAAAGTTCATTGATATATCAGACGGCTCCGGTCATGAAAATTTGAGCATAGTTGTGAGGAACCCGGAGGTGGTTCTATCAAATGTGTCTTTAAAAGTTGGACAAAGTGTTGAAGCAGTGGGAAAGTGGATTGAATCGACAGGAAAGCAAGATTTTGAATTACTCATTGGAGAAGATTCCGACCATAAAATGGAAATTATAGGTGATGTTACAGACCTGTACCCTCTTCAAAAAAAATCCACGTCATTCCATTTTTTAAGATCAGTACCAACTTTGAGACATCGTACGTCATCACTAGCTTCAATACTAAGATTCAGATCTTTTATTGAAAGCAAATTCTTTGAATATTACAATAAGAACGGATTTATAAAAGTGAATCCCCCGTTAATCACCAGCTCAGATTGTGAAGGAGCAGGAGAGCAATTTGTAGTGGAATCTTTAAAGATTGAAGAAGACAAGGACCAAGAATTGTTCTTTGATAAGCCTGCTTACCTTACGGTATCCACCCAACTCCATTTAGAAGTACTCGCCCTTTCTTTGAATAGAGTATGGACAATGACACCTTGCTTTAGAGCAGAAAATTCCAAGACTAATCGTCATTTGAGTGAATTTTGGATGCTAGAAGCAGAGATATGCTACATCGAAGATCTTCATCAACTTACGGCATTTGTGGAAGATATGATCAGATTTATTGTCACTGAATTGAAATCAAAGAAGAATAAGATAGTAACCAGTCAAGAGCAAGATTTGGTTGGCTCTAGATTTAACAAAAATGAAGTGAAAGAGATGTCTGGCAGATGGAGCACTCTTCTTTCACCAAATAAGTGGCCCACAATCACATACTCAGAGGCAATCGATATTATAAATAAAATCAAAAACAAAGGGAGATCAAAAGGAAGACTACAGTGGGGAAGCTCTTTACAAACAGAAGATGAGAAATGGTTAGCTGGATCGCATTTCAATAGTCCGGTATTTATTACAGATTATCCTCTCTCTGAAAAACCTTTTTACATGCCGAAATCGAAATCTTTCGACCCAGAACGACCAACTGTCTCTTGTTTTGATCTAATAGTTCCTGAAATCGGAGAGCTAGTGGGTGGTTCTTTGAGAGAACATAACTATGATAGTTTGATTTTGGAAATGAATAGAAGAAATATGAAAATCGATGATATGGAGTGGTATACGTCTACTAGAAAAAATGGATCTGTCCCCCATGGTGGGTTTGGGATGGGAATTGAGAGGCTTGTCTCTTATTTAGGTGCAATAGAGAATATCAAGGATGTTATTCCGTTTCCAAGGTATCCAGGATCTTGCCAGTGCTGATCATGTAAATAGAGAAAATAGAGCTGATTACGTAAGTTTTTTTTTTTTATAAAAAATTAACATTTGCCAACCTCTTAAAAATTCTATCGTCGAAGTGAACATTTCTTCAGTCTACTACATCACTAAGAAATTAGCAGCAGTCAAAAAATATACAGAGGATAGAAATGGATCAACTCAACGTTAAAGAACAACAAGAATTCCAACAAGTTGTTGAACAAAAGCAGATGAAGGACTTTATGAGATTGTATTCTAATTTGGTCTCTAGATGTTTCGATGACTGTGTTAACGATTTCACTTCAGCTAGTTTGACCAGCAAGGAAAGCTCTTGTATCCTGAAGTGCTCAGAAAAGTTCTTGAAACATAGTGAGAGAGTTGGGCAACGATTCCAAGAACAAAAGTATGTATTCAAAATTTTACTTGCCACATTGCGCATCAGATATTAACCAACCTTTAGTGCCTTATTAATGCAAAACATGCAAAGACGCTGAGCAATTGCTAGCAGCTCTCTTAGCTCCACGTTAATGTTAATGAAAGTTTTAGATGGAGACATTCTTTAGGATTTTTTTACCGGTTGTGATATATTAGTCGTATACGAATAGTTCGTCTGCCTACTACTAAGTGACTGCTTAGTTTGTTTTACTGTACATAGCTTTCTTGAATATAGTGAAAGATAGCCATTTAGAGCCACAGGCTTGCCTTCTTGTAGCAATATAAGTGTTTTTGAAAATCTGAATAAAAGTTACACAAAATCTTTGAGTATCAAACTGAAGTCTTAGTTTTCCAAATAACATAAACTTGGTGCGTTTTAGCAGCATGTCAAAAGAAGCCGAAAACAAAGATCTTTTGCAGCTCTTCGTGGCTTCTACTATAAACGGCTTCGTAAAGAAAAAGAAGGATTTCAATAAAGATGAAATAGAGTTCGAAATTGATGCATTCTTGACAAGCTTGAATGCATTACTACACAGCTACTCTGACAGATTCAAAATACAAAAATATGTCAATAATAATATAGATCAAAACACATTAGCAAAAATAATTGAAAATAGTCCATTTTGTGAAATCGCTAATGTTACTAAGAGTAAAGTTGTAATTCAAAAGGATTCCAACAAATACGAATCAGTTCTTGCAAGCACCGTAGTCTCGTCTACTATTGAATACTCCAAGTTTTTAATTAGCCGAGTAAATGACTTACTGAATGAAAGTGAAGCAGTGGAATTAAATCAAGTTCTTGAAAGTAATGAAACGAGGAAAATAGATGAGCTGCTAAGTGAGGTTGGAAACGCAAAAGATGGCAATGGGAAAGAGCAGGATATAAGCAATGATAAAGATAGTGAAACCTTAAATCATGATAAAAAAGAACTAGAGCAATTAAAGGAGGATGTAACGGAATTAGAGAGTGTGCCAATTCAAAGCCAAGATAGTGATAAAAAGCAAAGCACTTTTGAGAAATCAGATGTGAACAAAAATAAGTCTGTCGACACGGCAGAAAAAGAGGAGATTAAGTATTCTGAAAAGACCGAGGAAGTTACAGGGAAAGGACAGAATATGGAAGATGACAGTGATGAGGCTTTAGAGCAAACTCCAAGAGATGCTGAATCTAACGAAATAGAAAGAGATGGCAGTATTGGGACAGACAGAAACTCGGAAGATGGTAGTCCTACTGAAACCAAGTTCCATGATGCGGCATCCAAACTAGAGGAGATACTGCCTTCGGGAACACCACATGAAGTCTCACCGCCCGTTGATAGTGGAAGCGATGGAACTACCCATGATGATTCTAATCTCGTCAAGCCTCTGCAAAATTCTCTCAAGAGATCAGCTTCTCCATCCGTAGCATCCAGCCAACATAAAAGATTCCAACACATTGCAATAAATTTGCTCAATAGCATTCAAGAGCATCGTTTTTCATCTCCCTTTTTACAAGCTGTGAATAAAAGAGAAGCTCCAGACTATTATGACTTGATCTACGAACCTAAGGATTTGAAAAACATTTTGAAATCTGTTAAACTGAAACAAGAGCCAGCCGAATATAATCTGATAAAGCAATTGAAAAGGGATATCATGCTTATGTTTGCAAATTGTGTTATGTACAACCAATCAAATGAGAGTTTAGTAGACTTAACCAAGAGCATGAGAAACGACGTTAATAATATATTTAGTTTATTCGAGGAAGCGGAACTGGATATCAGACAAGATTAATAGCGTAATTTCGGCTTCACCTCTTTTAAAGTATAATCGGGGATATTATTTAGACATCTAAAATACATAATTTTAATACGAAACTCATAATTTGGATCATTGTAGGATCCAGAAAATATAAACATCGAGAAAGCATCAAATTTCATTTTCTCAACTGCTGAAATTTTTTCTTATTTTTTAAATAGATTAATGATTCAAGCATCCTGTGCTTTATAAAAAATCTCCCAATAGAAGGTGTTTCATAGAAGACTTTCATTCCTAAAGACGACTAATCGCTCGTTTATGTCTTTTTTTGAAAAGCAAACTTCATTCGATGTGGAATATGCACCGGCGCATATAACAAAATGGCGGTCTCAAAGAACTGGCTTGCAAGTGACATATATAGAGCAAGAATCTCCCATTATAAATGGCTATTTCGCAGTTGCTACAGAAATAGAAAATAACTCCGGTTGTCCTCATACTCTAGAACACTTGATATTTATGGGAAGTAGAAAATTCCCATACAAAGGACTACTTGATAGTTTGGGGAATCGATATTTTTCTAGCACAAATGCTTGGACTGCAGTCGATCAGACTGTTTACACTCTAACTACAGCAGGATGGGAGGGATTCAAAACCCTTTTACCTATTTATTTAGATCATTTATTCAATCCGACGCTTACAGATGAGGCATGCTTGACTGAGGTCTATCACATTGACGGAGAAGGTAAAGAAAAAGGTGTAGTATTCAGCGAAATGCAAGGCATTGAATCACTGTCCTGGTTTATTACATATTTGGCAATGCAGCAGCTTCTATACTCTCCTGATTCTGGTTATTCATCGGAGACTGGTGGCCTTATGTCGGAATTACGACACTTGAAAAATGATCAAATCAGAGACTTCCACAACTCGCTATATCGTCCCAGCAATTTATGTTTAGTAATAACAGGAACAGTTGACGAGAAAGAACTTATGAAAATTTTGACCACGTTTGACTCGGAGTTACCTCAGCTTCCTGAAACACTTCATAAGAGGCCGTTCGTAGATTCGAAGCCTGATCTACCATTGAAGAATACTATAGTGAAGGAAATAGAATTTCCTGATAATGATGAATCATTTGGAGAAGTAGCCATCTCCTGGATTGGACCAAAGACTGACAATGTTTTAGCAAACGCGGCTTTGGATTCTTTAGGCTCTTATTTTACTGATAGTGCCATATCTTTATTTAATAAAATTCTTGTTGAAACCGAGGATCCTTTGGCTACAGAAACAGATTTTTTCACGGATGATTATTTAAGAACCGCTTTCAATTTTACGATAAGTGGCGTCCCCACTGGGCGTTTGTATGATGTCGATTCAAAAGTTAAAGAAATGATTAGAAGTCAAGCGACTCCACTTAATATTGATTTGAAGTATATGAGACAAGTCATCAAGCAGCAAAGGTTAAAATTCATTTCAAGCACTGAAAGATCAGCTTCGTCTTTCGCTACTATATCGATAGGCGAATTCATATACGGAAAAGCTGATGGATCTGACTTAAAAAAATGGACTGAAAATATTGCAGAGTTTGACATACTATTGCAATGGACACCAGAACAATGGAGTTCATTTATTAAAGAAATGTTGATTGATAATAAATCAGCAACGGTTCTTGGCAGGCCGTCTGCAAAGTTGAATGAAAAGTTAGAACTTGAAAATAAGAAAGTACTCCAAAGGATTGAAAGCACTTATGGCCCACAAGGTTTGAAAGAATTGGAAACTAAAGTGAAGAAGGCTCAAGAGAAAAATGATGAACCTATCCCTGATGAGTTATTGACTCAATTTGGGAAACCAGACCCATCAAAAATTAACTTTATTCAGACGAAATCTTATAGAGGCGGCCTAAATCACATTAAAGGCAACTATATTGATGAAGGCGTAATCCCAAATGAATTGCAAAGGGATTCAAAATCCGATATTCCCCTTTTCTTACACTTTGAAGACTTTAAATCTCAGTTTACTACAATAAACTTAGTTCTCTCATCCAAACAGGTAGAACCAAGATTATTGAAGTATATGTCCGTAATCGAAGAAATATTCACTCTTCCTTTGCGTTTACCAAATGATGAGTATATTCCTTTTGAGGAAGTTATTTCTCAAGTTAAGGAAGATGTAATAGACTACCTGTTAGATAATGGTTTTGAAAGTCAGTTTTTGGAATTAGTCAGTATAAGAATGAAATTTGAATCCAAAAATTATGCTAAAGCAATACAATGGCTCTTAAATTTCAAAGAATACTCTGTTTTTGAAGAATCTAGAATTAAGATTATAATAGAAAAAATTGTAAACTCATTGCCAGAAAAGAAGAGGAACGAAGAGCTAATGATGTACTCATGTCATCATAGAAATTTATTTAATGATTCTTCCATAATGAAAGCTCAAGATTGTATGAATACGGAACAATTTTATAAAGAACTTTTGGAGAAGATTGACACGAATAAGTATCATGAGATTGAAAAAGATTTGCTGCAGCTAAGAAATCAGCTATTCAATTCAGATTCTATCAAGATTTTTATTATAGGTAATTTAAAGGGAATCAATGGGCCAGTCTCTTCTTGGTCTCAATTTGCTCAGACAATTTCATACGAGAGCTACAAGAACGTTGAAGTATTTGACGACATTCCTCATTCTCATCAATACAGATCTGATCTTGGAAATAATTGTTCATCTAAAGCTTTCGTAGTTACAACCCCAGCTGCTGAATCGAGCCATTTAGTTACTTCGACGTTGATTCCAACTGACTATTTGCATGATGATATTTTCAAAATTGCATTGGCAAGCGAACTTTTGTCAGCAGTAGAAGGTCCATTTTGGAGAGGTATAAGAGGAACAGGTTTGGCTTATGGATCATCTATTCGTCGAAATTTAGAAACAGGCTACCTATCGTTTACGATTTATAGAAGTTCTGATTTAGAGAGTGCTTGGCTGACCGGAAAGAGAATAGTTGAGGAATATTGTAATGGCACAGCATCTATTGATCCAATAAGTCTTGAAAACACAATTTCAGTGATAGTTAATGAATTGGCTAATGCTGAAGCGAATAATTACGATGCTGCCATCAACAAAATCACAGACAATTTGTTCAAGAATAGAGGCCCAGACTATATTCCATTTTTCTTGAAAAGACTCAATAAAATTACGGCTGAAGAAGTAGTAGGAGTCATGAGAAAATATTTCAAGCCTTTGTTTGAAGCTAATAGCTCCATTATATTTTCATGTGTTCCTCCAGCTAAGGCTGATCATTTTGCACTGTTTTTGAAGAAAATGGGATATGATACCGAAACAGAGGATATTAACGCTGATATAATCGAAGATTCTAGCGACCTGGAATCAGATGCCTCAGAGATTGAAGATGCCTAAAAACATAGATACTATATATATTAATCGATAAATATCATAGACTTTCACTTCATTAGTTCACTTATATACAGACTCGATATTTGCCACAAGTTTAGATAAACCAATTTGTCAAGATTTTTTTACCTTAAAGGAAGATATAGAGGCTAAATGGAAGATTTGGTAGCAAAATCATGGGCGGCCCTTCCAAGATATTCTGATAAAGCTATATTACCTCAGTCAGTGTTGTCTAAAATTTTGGAGCGTTTTCCTGAGAGTAACTTACCGCATCCATTGATATTTAAGATTGAAAGTCTTGAGAGTGACAAATATACTTTTATAGGGGTTAAAGAATTTTCCTCGCCCAGTGAGGATCTATGTTTATTACCAGAGCTTATAGTGGAAAAACTAGGGTCACCTAAACTGGTGTCGATTAGCTTGGAAGAAAATTTGCAGAAAGCTACTTACTTAAAGTTGAAACCTTTACAATTTTATTCTGATCAAAATTGGAAATTCTTCTTGGAGAACAAGTTAAGCTATTTCTATACCGTTTTATTGAAGGGAGAAAAGATTGTTCTACTAGATCAGAACTTGAGATATGAGTTGATCGTAGAAGATCTTAATCAAGATGTTGCATGCATTATAGATACTGACATTGATCTTGAAATAGTGCCTTTAGATGATACCATGGCAGATCAACAATTACACTTTGGCAAGCACCTCGATAAGTTAGAAAATATCATGGAAGTTGAAGATGAAGTTCAAATCAATGGAATCAAACCGTTCTTGAAGAGTCACTACATACCAACAATATTTAAGCTTGACCTAACCAAAAAACCTCAGATTTTTTATATTGTTTTAAATAACAAGGGCATGAACTCTTTAGATTCTTTAATCAATTTAGATTTGGTCGTCGGTATGGATAAACTAGTTAGCCTTGAAGACTTTAGATGGACAACTATGGATCAAGATTTCAAAATTCAGGACGAGTTTGATCAAGAAAATTTCACTGCAAGGAAGGCAATTAAAATAGACAGGAATGATAATGACATAAAGAGAAAGTTAAATATAGAGAGCGGTGCAGATGATGAGATTGATAATAAATGGCTATATTTTACTGCTTTCACCTGGGATACAGAGGCTACCGCGGAAATAACAATTTTAGAAGAAATTCCTCCTTCGCAGGCTACTGAAATAGACCCAGCTACACACGAGACTTGCCCAAATTGCGGTAAAAGTGTTTCAAAGAGCAACTTCGATTTACATGAAGTCTCCTGCTTAAGAGAGAACGTTCGGTGCTCTTGCGGTCAAGTGTTCAAGAAGACTATTCCTCTTACTCATTGGCATTGCGATAAGTGCGATGGAAAGTTCGGAAATTCAGAGACATTGAAGTTGAAGCACAATCAATTAGAGCACAATATTTACAAATGCAATCAATGCTCGTCTGATGAACAATTCCCCACTTTTATCGACATGGTAGTTCGTCATAAAGCTACCACTTGCCCAGGAAAGCTTCATGAATGTAGATTTTGCCATCTTATTCTTCCTCAAGGTGAATCAACGTATAAGGATAAGTTTTACAATTTAACAAATCATGAAAGCTCCTGCGGAAACAAAACTACAGAGTGCTACAAATGTGGCAAAATTTTAAGATCCAAAGACCTTGCAAAGCACTTGAAGCTTCACGAACTAGATAAACACCAATTCAACGAAATAAGTAAAACATTCTTCAACAAGTGCAGCAACAATAACTGCGTAAATTTGATGTCTTCCAATCCCAGTAATGAGTTGAATCTTTGTGATATGTGCTATGGCCCTTTATATGTCCAGCAGCATGACCCCACCAATATTAAGCTTCAGTCTAGGATTGAGCGTCGCTATATGTTGCAATTATCTAGAGGATGCAAAAATCTGTGGTGCTCTAATGCCTATTGTATTACAGGGAATCCTCGCTCTTCTGAATTTGGGGGGAAATCCATAAAAGAGATTCATGCTCTTATTATCAACCATTTGTTGGTGTATATCTCAAGTCCAGTTCTTCCGCTCAACAGGAATAGAAAAACATATCTTAATCAATTATGGTTTTGTGTCAATGAGTCTACACTGGACAAGAATCATTTAGTATCGATTTTACAGGCAGAAGAACAGTATGGAGATGAAATGATATATAAAGCTGTCAATGAAGCTTCTACGGAGTCTGAAATACGAAGCTGGTTGTCTACAAATGCAATCCAGATACATAACTGAAGCTGCTTAAGCGCAATTGTACAGTCACAAGTTCATTCACTCATGTATGTAGTCTAGATATTGCATCTTATCGCCTGCTCTAATTTATTACACAAAATTGATAACTATCACACTTCTTACCTGGATAAGCCATAGCCAGCCGAGGGCTCATAAGCAAATTTTATATAATCTTATCGCCACCCATTTTAAATCTCCCTACTTCTTCTTTTTAACCAGACGTGTTCTTCCATCATATATTTATTATAAGATAAATAGATTGAGGAATACATTAAGCTAAGTATCATTATCATTTACTTTAATTATATCCCTTTTTCCCAAAGCAAGTAGTTGTTTCAGAAATAATGTTGTTATCAAGGACCGTTGCGCTCAGTATTTTACTTGAGCTAGGAGTCTATGGTTTAGTCATTCCATCCGCGGATGATGTAATGCATACGTTCTCATTGAAGCCAGCAGAGAAGTCCAAAACATTGGCCGAAAAGCCAGTCAAGGATATTTGGTCTGCTGCCTCTAATGCTTCTCCTGTTCCTTTAGTGAACTCTGAAAGTGTTAGAGATATTATTGCTGATAGATATATAATTGTCATGAAGGATGAAATTACCTCAGATGAGTTAAAATTCCATCAAGAATGGGTAGAGTTACAGCATATCAATTCCTTGGCTGGATTGGAGTCTGATAATTCGTTCTTTTTGTCCACTGCGGACTTCAAAGCCGAGGGTGGAATTGTTGATTCTTTTGAAATTGATAATTTTATGAAAGGTTATTATGGATATTTCTTGGAAGGTACTATCGATTTAATCAGAAAGAACCCGCTTGTTAAGTTTGTTGAAAGAGATTCGATGGTTTATGCTAACGAATTCAACATTCAGAAAGGAGCACCTTGGGGGTTGGCTAGGGTTTCTCATAGACAACCATTGAGTTTGAACTCGTTCAATCAATATTTATATGATACAGATGGGGGAGCAGGTGTTACTGCATATGTTATTGATACTGGTATCAATATTGATCATGTTGAGTTTAATGGAAGAGCTAAATGGGGTAAAACCATTCCAACAGGTGACACGGATACCGATGGAAATGGTCATGGTACACACTGCGCTGGTACAATTGGCTCTGACTCTTACGGTATTGCTAAAAATAGTAATTTAGTTGCTGTCAAGGTTTTGAGATCTAATGGTTCAGGTTCGATGTCCGATGTTGTTAAGGGCGTTGAGTATGCCGCCAAGTCTCATCAAGATGCTGTAAAGGAGGGCAAGAAGGGATTCAAGGGATCGACTGCCAATATGTCTTTAGGTGGTGGTAAGTCTCCTGCATTGGACTTAGCTGTCAACGCCGCAGTTAAGGCCGGTATCCATTTCGCTGTTGCGGCTGGTAACGAAAATCAAGATGCTTGCAATACATCCCCAGCTGCTGCAGAGAACGCTATCACTGTTGGAGCTTCTACAATTTCTGATGCTAGAGCTTATTTCTCTAACTACGGTAAATGTGTTGATATTTTTGGTCCTGGTTTGAACATTTTATCAACCTACATTGGCTCTGATTCGGCTACTGCTACTTTATCTGGTACTTCGATGGCATCCCCACACATTGCTGGATTATTGTCCTATTACCTTTCTTTGCAACCAGGCGCTGATTCTGAGTTTTACGTTTCTACTAAAGGTGTCACTCCAGCTCAATTGAAGAAAAACTTGATCAAATTTGGCTCCGACGGTCTTTTAAGTGATATTCCGGATGATGGCACTCCAAATGTTTTGGCCTTCAATGGTGCAGGAAAGAATTTGACCGGATTCTGGGAAGGTTCAGCCAAGAATATCGAAAGTGTAAAGCCCAAGTTGGAAAATTTAGAGTCTCTGATTGAAGAGTTGGTGTCCAAAGTTGTTGAATCAGCAGATAAACCAGTCTTGAAAGACGTGAAGGAGTTTGTCGAAAACGCTTACAACTCCCTCATTTAAGTGCTTAGCTAACGAATCTAAAGAACTCACCATACTTTTATGGTAGGCTTCTTTACAAGGGATTCTTCCATGAGAATTTTTACCTTTTTATAATATATAATGTCTTTTAGTATTTTTCACGTTTCTAATATATAACTCACACAATTTATGCAGCTTATGTGCAGGTCTAATAATAGTGGCGATTGATTATTAGTCTACTGAGTAATGCAAATGAGATGAAGAATCAGTTTTAATTTTGAAGAAAGAATTTAAGAACCAAGACAATATAAATTAACTTAACTCGATGTCGACTCCCGCTAAAAGAAGACTAATGCGTGATTTCAAGCGCATGCAACAAGATGCACCTAGTGGTGTATCAGCATCGCCATTGCCTGATAATGTGATGTCTTGGAATGCTGTAATTATAGGGCCTGCCGAAACACCCTTTGAAGATGGAACTTTTCGTTTAGTTCTACAATTTGATGAACAATATCCCAATAAACCGCCCACTGTTAAGTTCATTAGCGAGATGTTCCATCCAAATGTGTATGCACTGGGTGAGCTATGCTTAGATATTTTACAAAATAGGTGGTCCCCAACATACGATGTTTCGAGTATATTAACATCTGTTCAGTCTTTACTCAATGACCCAAATATTAGCTCTCCAGCGAATGTGGAGGCTGCAAATCTATACAAAGACCATAGATCTCAATACATTAAAAGAGTCAGAGAAACAGTAGAAAAGAGTTGGATTGAAGATGATGAAGATGATGAGGATGACGAGGATGACGATGAAGACATTGCTGAGGCAAGTTAAATCTATATCTTGAAGCGATAATCAGTTAATTACTTTGCATAAAAATATCATTAATCATTCTTTCATGCTCTATATGATGCATTTAGAAGAGCGTTCTTTGAATGTGTATATAGTGGTTCGGACAAGTAGCTCTGTGCCTTTTTCAATAGACTTAAGATGTGTTATATATTCACTATTTACAATTTATTTTTACTTAAGCCATAAGTAGTACCATCTTCGACTGTTCGGAGTCAGGTCATTGAATTCCAGACTAGCTATCAGCTCGTTCTGTATTCTCCTTATTCTTTCCTTTTCATGTGGGTCTTCTATCGTGATTTCGGTAGGTTTTCCTTCCTCTCCAATCGCTTTGTCTCGGTAAATTGCCAACATAGAAATAAAAATGGTAAGATAAATAAAAAACTTGGTAACGCCATCTACAGCTTTCATATTGAACTGTTCTTTACGAATCGGAGTCTCAGCCAAGTTCACTGGAGGCTTGATAATTTCAATGATTGTATTTGGAAGTGGTCTAACAGTCTTCAACACAGAGGGAACCTTGAACGGCAAATCATATGGAGCATCGCTTGACTTCCAGTTATCAAAATCTTCACGAACTCCCCAATTACCATACGCGATATAATAACCTAGCTTTTTGGAAGCATTGTCCATTTTATTCCAATTCTTATCATATTCATTTTGTAATTCTTTCAATACTTGACCTTGGTGTAACAAACTCAAATTAGCGAATTTAGTTGGATCTTTGAATATAGGTCCACTCTCAATGGGCTGAGTAGCTTCATCTGTGGTTGTAGACAACAACGAACCAAAATCCTTCAAAGACAGGGCCAAAGCTTGCTGCGTTTCTCTAGCTTTGGTCTCTTCATCTTTGGTATTCTGACCATTTTTTAAACTTGCACTTTTCGTTTCCTTTGAAGACACAGAGAGACCTCTTAAGAAGAACTTAGCCAGATCCAATCTAGTTACACTACTATACAAGCTTTTGGAATGGCTTATAAGAGGCATTTGAATAGATATTATATCGTTCAGTTGTAGAGGTTCAGATTCCACTAATTAATTTTCAGATAGTCTTCTGGAAAAAAAATCGATTTTTATGCTTACAGTATATCACACTATAGAACAAAAGTGTATTTTTACTTCCAAAAGTCGTCACTCTACATAATTCTATTCATTAGTCTGCCCATGGCAATCATTGGAGCACACACAGCTTTCACCATCATACATAACGAATCAATGAGTAAACTCAATTCGTATAAGAGCCAGACAAATATAACTAACTCGGCTATTATCACAAATGTTTGAAGACTCGGGAACGTATTGCCGACTATATCAATTGGAGCAAATATTAACCTCATAATCTTCAACTTCTTAATCAAGTTCCCAACATTTGATATCAAAACTTTAGGACCGTCCAATGGTGATGTATTTCCATTAGCGACAGGAACTCTCTCCAAACTCTTCGTGATTGGATTGTAATATAACTCCTCGTCGACACTATCGTCTTCATCATCTTCGATTTCTATGACAAATTCCTGAGAATTTCCGTCCCCCGATGATTTTATGAGCCGAGTACTGGAGGAAAATTCTGGAGTAGCTCTCAAAGACATTTTTCCTGCCTCATTCCCATCGAAAACTACAGATAGAGGTTGATTCCATTTACTAACCATCATACTATAGTTTTTTTTGATACCTTTTATATTATCTTTAGATTGCCTATGCAGCTTCGGTCTGTCCTTTTTCTTAAGTTTCAATGATTTCTTCATTCTGCCACCATCCTCCTTGACAACTTCTTCGGCTGAGTCAATAGAAGGTATTGAAAGTTCTTCTCCGTCAGTAATATTGGGATTATAAACAATCCAAGATAAAATATAGTTCCATAGAGGATGGAATTGATTATTTGGAGAATGTACTTCAGTTTGGTCGGACGCGACTTCAGGTGTCAGTTCAATATTCATATTACCTTCTTTAAAAACTTCATTCGAAATGTTGTCAGCTTGAGCGATAGCTGGCGGGAGTAGAGCTACGGTTTTCTCTGGATTTGACCTTTTCTTCCATAGCAGTTTTAAATTTCTTGATTTTTTAGCCCGTTTAGATTCATTTTCTTCGACACTGGTAGTTTCTTGCTGAGAAAAGACCACCGGCGGAGTTGATTTCTCCTGTCTCGGCAGCCTTTGTAGGTTCTGGTAATAATCATTATCATAATTTGCTTTTTTTCCACGTAAAATATTGACAGCTTTTTTGAGCTTCTTTTCTTCTGGTTGGTCCTGAAAGACGAATTCCATTGGATTGTATTTACAGGTGTCTTCTTCAGCGTCCTGAAAGACTTCTCGAAAGGTCTTATGTGTATAAAATTTAGGTTTGTAAGGGGAAGAGTCAATTCGTTTCTTTTGTTGAATGTAATACCCATGGTACTGTTGCAGAGGGTTTTCTATGTGTCGCTGTGGAGTGGCATATGGTGGCCGTGTTGTCACTCTATAGGGCCTATAAGAGCTCTGAAGAATATTGAGCTGAGCAGGAGTGATCTCTTGCTCTAAGTAATCAGGATCATAATCCTCCTGTTCACTTTCTCTCTCACCAAATTCAGCGTTGTCAGCAACATTTCCTTGTTTGGAGAATTCCATAGTTGAAACTTCGTCATTCTTATCGTAAACCGTCGATCCGACCTCACTTATATCTTGTTCGTCATATGGAGTGCGGTTCCATTCACCTATAATCATTTCACTTTTGGGTTCATATGACGACCCACTGCATTGACGAGGTAGGCTAGCATACCGGCTCTGAGATCGTGTTCCCTCTTTCCTCAGGTCAAGATATCTAGTGGTGTAGTATCCGTTGCCACTAACATTCATATTTGAATCTTTCAACTCTTAAAGTCACCTCTTGAGCAAAACAATAGTTTTATACAATCATTACAATACTACACTTCACTCCAGTCATTGCGCTTTCGCATGCTATAACTTTCCTGGTATTGTCTTTGACATGGCTGGCTTGTAATACTTGCCCGACCTGTATATAGCACGTGACTGATATGCTGTCTTTGTAAAAGCCGATTGTATGGGGTTTCGTTATATCTTGATAAGCAAAACCAAGGGGCCAGCATAATATGATTATTTCAAATCAATCGAAGGGATTGCTTTTGAATAAGCATAATACGTTCAAAGCTGCGATTTCTAGGTTTTCCAGTAGCGGTCCAACCAGGCAACCACTGTTGTCAATCGACGATGACTTAATGGATAAAGATTATCAGGAAGAAGTGTCGAAACATTTAAAAGACTTAAAAGCTTATCCTTCATACTCCAATATATTAAATCCCCAGCACTTCTACCAAAACCAAGTTTTGATGGAATACCTGCAAAAGAGACCACACCCAGTTTCTCTTAGACAGCTTGCAGGATTTGGCAAAACGTTGACAAAGCAAAAGATTTTGAGTAGTGCTAATTTTGTAAGACTTGAATTGCCAATTAGGCTTGCTATGAGGATTCGTGACCTCCAAACCTTGCCTTTTGGTGTTGTTAACAATGTACACTTTGCAAAGATATATGAGAGCTATTATCACCTGTTCAATGCATTCAGAAAAATCCCTACCATCAAAACATTAGATGACAACCAAAAGTTTTGTCGAACATTATCTCAGATGCTTGATGATCATGTATTCAACTTATCCAACTTGATGATGGGAGCATTGGAAATTTCAATAGTATCGGATTTGTCTCAAGAGGAATTGGATCAGTTTATGTCATCTATTTTGAGGTCTAGAATCAGCCGAAGAGTGATAGTGGAGGAGCACTTGTCTTTGACAGAGAACTATAAAACCTCGCCATACTCTTCGAAACCCCCTGATTTCATTGGAGAAATATTCCATCAATGTCGTGCTGCTGATCATTTAAATATAGTGGGAGATTTACTCAAGGATTCAATGATGGATGGTTATCACAACAAAGAACATATGCCCGACCTAGAATTACATGGCGACTTGAATGCGACATGCCCCTTTTTGGTTCCTCACTTGCATTATTTATTTGGAGAGATACTAAGGAATTCGTTTGAAGCTACGATAAAGACTCATGGAAAGGATTTATCAACAAAACTTCCGCCCATAAAAATTCTAATTATTGACTCGTCAAATGAAATAGTATTCAAGATTTCTGACTTTGGAGGTGGGATGAAGCATGAAGAAATGAAAGATATCTGGTCTTTTAAGAAAAAGCAAGATTTGGCAAAGCAGTATTTGTCAAACTTTCATGCTCTTCCTGGATTATCTATACTACCAGATCCAATGGAGCTGACGAATTCCTCGCAATCTTATACTTTACAGATCCTTAAAGAACCTATTTTAGGCAGAGCTAGTTCTATTTTTACAAAGCAGTCAACTTTAGAGACTTTGATCAAGCGACCTCATGAATATAGACTTGGTTTGGGCTTACCTATGTGCAAGGTCTATGCTGATTACTGGAATGGCGATCTTCTGATGAATTCTATTCAAGGCTACGGAACTGATACATGTCTTAGGCTAACAAAACTTGGTTATTATTCAAATAATATTCAGCTAGATAGAGCATGAGCATTGTATAATTTGTATATAGATCTTTAGAAACAATTTCGCGTGGACACACATTATACATATTTACATTCATTATTGAAGTATTATGGGTAGCAGCACAAGGGCCGGCATATGTTTCAATAATGTCAAGCTCTAATACAAATGTATCTATCTCATCTTTGTTGGACTCGGGTCCCGATGATGCTACAATACAAGCTAGCAAGCAAGGTGATGAACAATTAAAAAGGTCAGAATCTCCGGTAGCGGTACCTTTGCAAACATATGTATCTCAATTTCAAACGTCAATTAATATATCGCCCTCTCCTCCTGCTAGAAAGAGTAATCCAGTGATTTCGGAAGATGAGATACCACACGCAACGGCTTCTTTGGCAAATGGCGTGAAATCGGATGTTATACTTTTAAGTGAAAATGAAGATCTACCGGGTTTGGGTCCTGCTAGAAGACGACAAAGTACAAAGAAATCTGTTAACAATGAAGAAAATACAGCAAGTAAAAAGACTAAAAAGCCTATAGCAATCAAGCCATCTCCTGGATTGCCATTTTTGGCCCCAAAACCAATTCATGTCAGACCTGTTTCTCCAATTCAAAGTTCTAACAAGGACGCCGATACGTCATCCTTTGTTGCTAGTGACCATATAAAGCGGTTCCAAACTAGCTTTCAAATCTCACCTGAGACAAAATCTAGTATGTTGGATCAAAGTAGAACTTCAATCAATTCTATTATTAATATTGAAGATAGTCCTGAAGTAATTTCTGTTGAATCTGAGCCCCAGAAGAAAACAAGTTTAAAGAGAGTAAAGGATGATGTGAACTCGTCGAATAAAAAAAAGAAAACTTCTAAGATCTCGGAGCTGAAACTGAAGAATGAATTGGGCTCCTCCAAAGGCACTGCTCCAAGTGAAGGTAGTGAACCTAAGAAAAAGAGAACATCGAAACCTAAGTTGGATTCTAAGGGAGAAAATAAAAAAGTCACGAAAAGTAAAAAGAAAACTTCTGATGCAGGGGGTAGGTCTTTTACATCATCTTTTACTAATTCCTTGTCTGACACATCGAATAAAGTATATCCTACTGTTACTGCCGAAAAGACGAGTTCGTCGAAAGGCGAAAAAGTAACACCTCCGATATCTTCTATAGTCGAGATTAAAGATTCTAATGAAAAGCCTGACTTTGGAGTAGAGCACGATATACCAGATAAGCCTGAAGAATATGGTCCGAAATCGGCTACATCTAATGACGGCTTGAAGGAGAATAAAGAAGCGATGGAAAAAGACAAAGAAAAAGACAAGGAAAAAGACAAGGAAAAAGACAAGGAAAAAGACAAGGAAAAAGAGAAAGAAAAGGAAAGAGAGAAAGAAAAGGAAAGAGAGAAAGAAAAGGAAAGAGAGAAAGTCAAGGAGAAAGAGAAACCTAAGATGCCCATAATAGCTCTAAATGTGCCTTTGATTGATCCTAAAAATCCATTGCCAGGACAATCAGAAGTTGTAGTTAATGTATTAAAGCTTGCAGAAGATAAATATGGATGGTCAGTAATACATCCAAATGCGAAATCTGCGATTGACATTATGGATGACCTTATAGACGAGGATGATGATGGTGTTGATGATGAAGATGATGACGAGCTTTTAGTTGATGAAGAAAAGAGCTCTAAGAAGAGAAAAGATGGGGAAGAGTTAACAGAGGAGCAATTAGTTCATATGCATGAAGTGAAAATGAATAGAAAAGTGGGTAAATATGACTATGAAGATCCGTTTATTGATGATGAAGAATTACAAATGGAGGAAGAAATAGCATCTACTAAGGAAGGATTTTTCGTATACTGGGGACCGTTAGTTGATGATAGAAATTTAGCGGGTTCTTCTAAAAAGGGGACATCAAAATCAAAAAAATGATTACATTTATCTCATCTTTATACTTACATTACCATATCTGATTATATATATAAGACATTGATTCGCGAGTCCCATAAGTCTTAGGCTTTACTTTTATTTTTATTAGTGATCCGTTCAATAGCCACACCTAAGATTCCAGTTGCATTGTACTCAAAGGATGACGTTTTGCCACTCTGTTCGAGTTGATCCTTGAGTGTCAGTGTATTCGTTGTTACTTTGTCCAATAGAGCCAGAAGCTTATTTTCTTGCTTAGATAGATTCTCGTTATCCTTAATAACCACCAAAAGATTTAAATAAGAAGACAATAGCCCGAAAGTGCCAGGGTTAATCAGAAGTGACGACGATTTACTGTTTTCTTCCTCCTCTGTTTCAATTTCTAGGAATGTAGTATCAATAGCGCTATCAAGCAATTCCAAAATATCTTTTGCCTTTGTTTCATCAAGAGAAAAGTATTTTTTGGGTTCTTTCTGTTTAATATTTAAACTCTGTTCATTCTCTTGCGATGAAGAACTTATTCCCAAAGATGATAAATTTTGTTCTAATTCAGCAACGTTAACTTTTTCCTTCGTGAGCATCTGCTTAAGGATACCAACCAAGTCTGACTTAACAGCATCATAGGGGCAGTTCAGCAAAGAGTCCTGAATGAAAGAATATGCCGTATCCTCTGGTGATAAGGAAAGGACCCTAGATAGTAACGTTAATGTGCAATACCTAAAATTCGATTGTGGCTTGCTAGATATGCAACAAAATAACAAAATCTGATAATATATTATCAAAAGTTCCTTTGGAACAGCTTCTATTTCTAGTTCAATCTTCTTATTATTTAATGACAGCTGGTGAAGAGAATACCAAGACCAAAAAACAGCTGTATCCTGCAAACCTCTCTGTCTGAAAGAAGACAGAACTAATCCTGGAATCAAAGACCTTATCGTAAAGGCAAGAGCATCTCGAAATCCAAGCTCTATTTTGTCAAAAGATCGTTCTTTTGCAATTTGGTAAGTGAATAGTATCAAACGACCTATCACTGAATCCTTGATTTCATTCGCATCACTATCGATTAAGGATGAGGCAACATTTTTCTGATAATCAATAATAACTTTTTCAAAGACTTCCGCACTTATCGAGTCTTCATCCCTCGAGTTGTAATTGATAGTGTGTAGCAATTCATGGGAATTAATCAAGTACTCCTTGAATGTCTTAGACAAGGATAAGTCAAATGAATAAGCAAGCTCTAAAAACCTGTCCAAGACGGCATGTTCGATCTTGTAGTTTTTTTCATCATCTATTCCATTAAGCAATCGGAGATAAGATACGTGATCAAAGGAAAATCCAAATAAATGGCGCTTTTCGTGCAAGCTTATGGTCTCTGTCAAAAAGCCCGTCAATAGCTTTCTCTGCAAATAATTCTCATCCTCACGTATTTTAGCAAGCTCTTTATCTGAAAGTCCTTTCGTATCATCTGGAACTGGTGGACTCGAATAGTCTCTGAGAAAGGTATAAGCTCTTGTCAAAATGAAGTTACTATCCCCCGAAACCAAGTCGGAATTCTTATAATGTGAGTTAATGAAAGAACTCACCGTCATCGCTAAAAACCTGGATGGATAAAGCGTTCTTATTTTCTTCAAACAGCTGTTAATAAGCTCGAAAACGCAATACAATTTTATATCAAAAAACATTTCCTTAATATCATCAGCGACAGTCGAGTCATTGACGCTTATCTTGCTGAGTAATTCACATGATTGCAAAAATAACTCCTTAGGATTCCCATATAATGCTAAGCATTCAAATATTTTGATAATTTTATAAACGCAAGGAGCATCTCTTATAGCCAGATTAAATTGAAAGTTGGAATCAACATAAGGTATTAACAAACTTGGTATATCCCACCCAATTTCATAAGTCAAAGCTTTATGTTCATTCAAAACCTTCAAAACTTCATCCAACAAGATTTCTCGCTCCTCATAAGAATACTTCGAAGGGTCATTTAAATAAATATCTAAAACTGTGCTGAAAGATAAGTAGTCATCAGATTCTGTTACATCGTTTGCCGCGGAATTCAATCCCTGTAAAACTGCTTGAAACAGAAATGGCTCGATAGTAGAATCACTTGTCTCTGAAGTACTTGAAGTCTCTGATTCTGCCATATTGGTTATATTTTAATGTGGAATTGCTTAACAGTTGAAATTAATTTAATTTTGCGAGCAGATAAAATAAAAGTCCAGACAAGGTTCCGGAGGCAACATATGAGAATAAGAACTCATAGATAACAGAGATGTCAATTTTACTAAAATCTGACTCTGATTCTGGTTCTTCTAGCTCAGATGTATCGGATGATGCTAATTCGATAATTGAAGAAGAAACACAAGTCAAACCAATAGTACCTTTAACTACCTCAGTTGTTATTGATAAATTGCCAATTGAGCAACAATCAAAGCTCAGTAAAACTTTGGAACATCCTGGAGCTACAAAAGCAGAAAAAGTCACAATTAGATTTCAGGCAATAGGTTCAACTCCTAGTATTACGCCTAGGATATTTATGATATCTTCTACCCAAACTGTCTCAACTTTGATGAAGTTTTTGATAAAGAAGCTCAGAATTAAGAACAACACTATATACTTGTACATACAAAATTCATTTCAGCCGACGCCAGATGAAGTTATAGGAGATCTATTTCTGTTATTCAAAACTAATAATGAACTTGTGATAAGCTATTGCAAGACAATAGCTTTCGGATAATTTTCTGCGGAGTAATATTTTGATTTGACTAAACTAAACTATACAGATACAGCTACACCACATCTACATCTGCATCTGCATCAATTAATCGTAACTCAACATTGACGTAGTCCAACAGCAACGTTTATAATTTTTTACCTCCTCACAAAATTTTTTACAAAAGACTTTCTTTAGTGAAAACAAAATTTCAATTAAAATACAAGGGTATTCAAGTAACTAACAAATATAAACTACTAATTTTCAAAAATCAGTAGAAAACAAACTTAGCGGTACCTGATGTAACAGTTACTGTACAACCATCGGAACCACCACCAGAGTAAGAGCCATCTTCGTATTTACAGTCACCAATAACATTAGCGCCATTTGAACCAACAATCTTGATACTGTAGTTTGGTTGATCTTTGTTATTTGGGTTCGGAATTAACGACAAGTAAGTATTACCATTGGTCTTACCAGCTCCAAGAACAACTGGAGCCCAGTTACCAACACCAGAGCCGGAAGTACCCCAGATACAACCATCTTCAACAGATACACCTGCATTGTTAACGTAGTATTGAGTGGAAGTCTTACCACCTAACCACTTGTAATAGCTAGAAGAATCAACAACAGAAACTGGAGCACTACCACCACCTTCTAATAATGTTGGGATATTCATGTTTTCAGAACCTGGGTAGTCGGTTCTGCAAATTGCAACGTCCTTGGAAATTTCGGAGCTAAATTCAGCACTGTCAGCACCCCATTCACACAAGTAATTGCTGTCAGTGTTTGCTCTGTACAACTTACCATTCTTACACAACAAACCACCGACGGAAACACCGTTGGATGGCTGCTCAGATGGCCATTGAGTCTTAGACATACCAGCTTGACAAGCATAAGAACAGTAGTAGCCATCTTTACAAGTCGAAGAGGTATCGCCATCTTCGTTCATGATTGAAGTCCAACCACCGTTCAAACCCAGAATCCAGTCGACAGCAATCACACCTTGACCGGTTGGCACAGAAGAACAAGAATACTTACCATCCTCGAACTCTTTGGTTGGGTCAGAGAAAGCTGACAAGTCTCCGCTAATACCAGAGGAACCTGAAGATCCCAGGGAAGATTCAGTGGAGGCCGAAGTAGACTCAGTTTGAGAAGTGGAACCTGTTTCACTGTCACTTGAAGTACTTGAAGAGTAGACAGTTGACAAGGTAGTTGGACTAGAGCTAGCAATAGCAGTAGCAGTAGCGCTAGAAGAACCAACTGCTGAAACAGAACCTGTAGCAGCTACTGGTGAAGCACCAGAAACAGTTGGAGCAGATACTGTGTTACCTTGACCGTCAACCCAGACAATCTCAGTAACAACAGCTCTTTTGTGCTGGTGAGCATGGTGCTGATGACCCTCTAATGGGGCAGCCATGGCACTTGCAATCATGGACAACAATAATAATGAGCCTTTCATTTCAAACGATTGGAATAATTAGGATACACTTAGATAAATTGCAAACGAGCAGTTCAGACTTAAGGAAAGACTATAGTTGGGAAATATAATGAATGGACCGTTGATAAACAACTAAACTTCGGCGAACCTCCTTTTTTGCGATTTATTTGTATTTAAAGAAACAGCGAATCTATCCCACTACTAATTTCAGTGCGATTTGAAGCATTTATAAATCGCAGAAAATTTTTGTCGCGAATGTTTACCAATTCGACTAAGAAAGAAAAAATTTTCAGATCTAGAAGCCTTGTGCGACGATTGACGCATCCATATCTGTATAAATTACCTATCTAAACAATGTAAATACTACACGAACACCCCATACACAGGACACTGGTTCTGTTTTAGACAATAACTGCGTAGAAGGAGAGGCATGAGAACTTCGGCCAGCTACCACTAGTAGCTGAGGGGGCAACAGACAGACAGAAGCAAGCTTGTGGAGAATTAAGGAACATTCCTTGGGATTGATGTCCCTACGACCTCACCCCTAGTCGTGGCTCAGAGCGCGAAGGTATACATCAGGGAACAACATAACATACCAGCAGCTCAAAACGCTATTTGTTATAGCAGTAGCCCAGGAAACAACGTCTCCTGTAGAAACCGTTGCTTGGATAAGACGTAGGACTCCAATAATTATGAGTAGTAGAACAGTGAGATTTAGTTAGGTTGATGTTGGTTCACTAAAAGTAAAGAAACAAGTGAAACATCATATTACTGTATAATTTGTGATGTGTCCCCTATAGGAGGTGCATTCCACGATGTTGTAATTGGGTATTGCAACTACCAAAAAAATTAAAAGCTTATGTCAGCCATGCCGATTAGGCAGCCGGTTCACCGTAGTAAGTTACGGTTATGTGCATGTCGCTTAAGGGCTAAAGTGCTCTGCTCTCAGAGGGGGGATATTCTAATACTGGAGTTCGATCCCATGCATAGAGACCACACTAGGACACTAAGAACTAAGATCTAGCATCTTTAATTTATGAGGTTTTCGGGTTTTCGGGGGATCAAAGATTCAAGGAGGCAAATGTCTACTCCTACGATTTTAATATATTCAAAAGATATGTGATCATGGTCCAGGCGTAATTACTCAATTCACAGAAATGATAGAGAATTATACGGAGGCGACATTGAGGAGAGACCGAACTGGAAACGGCTCGCCGAATATTTAGCTACATGTATCTGCACATCATGACTATTAGAGAAATGAAAATTATTGATATACAGAATCCGTAACATTAAAGACATGCAGAATGCAAATTACAGTTCCTTTTCGGTCTAAAGTCCTTAGAGTTGCCTGTCAATTACGTGATGTCACTGGTTTTTTGGAGGATGATCACCGCTTTTTTTTTTACGTCCTTCGGTACGGCTGCGTGGATAACGGTCAAGGCGCTTCTGCATCATGCAGCTTTGTGTAAAATATGCCTTAGGAGCCTCATTGGAAACGCCTAGATCAAAGCTTCTTAATAAGAGTTGCGTCATTGCGGAACTCATCACTTCCATTTGCAACATTTCATGAAGGTAATGCTACACATGTGAAACTGGCTAGCATTCTATTGGTCCTTTTTTACTTCTTTTTGTTTTCTTTTTCTTTTTTGCAATAATGTGAAATGAAGATTAAAAGTTTTTCATGGTTTTTGATACAAAGCGCTTTTAGAAATAAAGATGTAAGTGGATTCGTGACCTAAGTTGGCTCGAGCTGGCAAATTTATCATATTATTATCATTATTGTCAAGCCAACTTTCCACTTTCCACTTTTAAAGGTTTATTCTTCTCTTTTTAATCATAAACTACCATATTTTACTCTAGACTTCGATTTAGTTACTAGGGTCGCAAATAAATTGGTTGATATCTGTCGATTAAAAACTGACTAGACGTCACACTTACGTAGATAAAAAAGTCTTAGTTTCTAGCCTTTTTTATTTATAAATGTGATTCAATATCGCAGTTTGATATTTTTGAGAAAAAGGGAAATGTGCCAAATATTAGAGTTTCTAGATATTCTAATATTGTAATAATGTAATATTATCTCAGAATTTAAAGAGTTGTGCTCTAAAACACCTTAGAGTAATGATATAAAATAGCGGGGCCCATCTTACCTCATAGCATGAATTCTTAATGATTACCTCACACTCAAAGTCTAGCACCCACTTAGACACAGACGCCTGCACCTATTTTCAATTTTAGTGAGCATGCTAATATGCTATTCTACGAAGCTTTACATTTACTAACTGAATATCATCAGAAATCAAGTTTGAATCACAGTAGGTCATCTTCCTACATTCGAAACCCTACCCATATATATTAAACCAATGAAAAAAAGAAAGCCCGATGGGTAAAAGAATTAAAACAAAATCTCCACATTACAAAGTACCTTCGTCTTCAATACCTAAGTTAAACCATGGATGCTCTAAAGCCTCATAAGCCGTCAAACGATCCTGAGGATCAATCACGAATAATTTTTTTAATAAATCAATAAAAAACCACCAAAAGGTGAAATTTCCAAAGTTGATCAAATGCTGATTCTTCTGGAAGTTCGTTGATAACGAATAGTCAAAATTAATATCCAAACCTATTCTTGAACTTACAAAAATATCAATTCTAGATAGTTGGTCCACACTCTTTATGAATTTAGTGGGTGTCGTCGAACTTGGAAATATTAACGTTAAGTTATTTTCTTCTGTTGTTTCATCGTCAATTATAACATCGTCATCTTCATCAAACTCAGGCAATTCATCTGCCCTTGGAAATTCGCCTCTAAAATACTTGAGACCACATTCATTATTCCTTTGTCGCGATAATCTCACGATAGACTTATCTATTTTACTGCCACATACTTTTTCAATCATTGCTAAGTGTTCCAAGTTATCATGAGTCTTAAAAAGAGGCTCACCTATAACTAATTCAACAAGTATGCATCCAACTGACCATATATCGCAAGGAAAGGACCACCCTGTTCCTAGAACAATTTCGGGTGCTCTATAGTGTCTTGTAGAAACAATCGAGGAGTGATACTCATCATTAAATATCGCACTGCCAAAGTCAATTATCTGAATCAACGGATCTTTCAAAATTCTAGAAAACTTTGGCATTTTCTTATTTGAATCAGTTGACAAATGGGCATAAGAACTCGTTATAGTGGAACTGCGTAATGCCTTTTTAAAAAAAGAATCATCATGTAATAATATGTTCTCTGGCTTTAAATCAGTATGAATCAAGTTCAAATCGTGAAAGAAAGTCACGGATCGTATAAGCTGTTTCGAAATCGCTTGTATATGTGATCCAGGAAAGGGAATGAACTTGTTTTTTTCCAAGAAATCATATAAAGATATCATTAATAAATCTGTCACAATACATATATGACCACGATAATCAAAACATTCCCTCAAGTGAATACAGTGATTCAAATTTTCGTTATCAAAATTTTTCAACGTTGATAAAATTCTCAATTCAATCTTAGCTGCATCCCTGTATTTAGGAATATTTCGAATTATCTTGATAGCAACGTGTTCACGATTGACTTTGTCATAGCATTCAACAACTTTTCCGAACGTTCCTTGACCTAAAAGTCTAACAATAATAAACCTATTGGCAAAGATATCGTTCATCTTTATTATATAGTGTCCTTCTTTGTCATCACAAGGTGGTAGATTTAACTGGTGAGGTATGATACTTGTTTTAACATTCCCTAGTTTTTGATGCAGTAAAATGTAGTTGTTTGGAATTTTATTATAAAAACATTTTGCTTGAGGTAATTGTGGTAATGAGTTAGTTCGCTGTTTCTTAATCTTTCCTATTGAGCGAATATTGGACTGCTCGGGCACTTCATCGCCAAAAGATTGCCAGTTGGAATCATTATTAACATTAAACATACTGTAAGCGGCAAATGCCTCATGGTCAAACAACAAAGAGTCGGAGTTATTTCTTCTCGACTTTGAACTAGAGGCTCGTATCCTTGGATTTACTTGTCGTTCCTCCACTATGATCACGTCATCGCTATCTTCACCTAGATTGTCTAACGTATTTTTAGGTCCCATATCATTATACTGGTCTTCGTTAACAGTTTCATCCTCATTGCCATCTTCATCAACCTCCAAAAGATTTGGATTCTCATATTCTTCGTCATCATCAATAAGATATATATCGTCAAGATTCGTAAAATTTGTGGTCTTTTTCGAAGTATTAATCTTAAAGGAATTAGTACTAGTATTTAATGTACTATCTGAATTATTGCTCAAATCCATATTCAACTTTTGGATAGGTGAAGAGCATTTGCAGCTAGAATTAGCTGAAGAGGATGAATTAAAACCTGAATTGTCGAACTGCAAGGGAATGGTAGAAGTGGTAGTATTAGAGCTCTTCGATTGCACACCAGTACTCCCATCAAATGACTCACTAAAGCCTCTTGGTCTTTTTCTATTAGAAATCAAGGACATTTTCATTAATTTCAGAACATTCAAGTTATCCTATGTCTGAGACTTAAATTTTCTCCCCTTGTTCCCACAGATCTAGCTATCCGTAATGTAGAGTGCTAAGCAGTCTAAAACAATATTGCGTTCAAACTTCAAAGCACGTAGTATGAAGCCTAAAAGTAACTTGCACTGTAAAGTTACTTTATATGACCGATTACGTTTATAATTGTGTGCTATATTATCAGTATTTGTTTGATTAAGGGATAAATTACAAACTTAACAATTTCATGATAATTTGCTACAAAAGGGCCAAATACCCCTTAAATGTGGGTGTTGGGGTGTTCAACAGTAAAATCCTTAGATGTTCTCTTAGGCGCCAAGAGATAGGGGGAAAGAGGATAAAGATTCTACTCGAAGTAGAAGCAATAGTACGTTCATCCGATGCTAATTTAACGATACTAATTAATGCTGGCGGTGGTCACCTTGTGAGTCGTGGTCTGGTTGAGTAGACAAGAGGGGAATAAAAAATTAAAAGTCTAAAGTGTAAAAATCAATGTCATTTACAAATCATAACTTTTCTACTACTATATCCTGAGGCGACCAGGTTACCAGCCTTTGACATGATCTTTTAAGTAATGACTTTACTTACCTCGTGGTGCTCTTACATTATAGTATTCCATGACATTAACCCTTGATCAGGTGACATCTGAGGAGTTACAAAGCAGATTCCTCAGCTGGGAGTCGAACACCCCACATTTGCGTTTTCACATTGATCGAAGGATCGCAACGCGAGAGTGAAAGAGGAAAGTATAAAAGAAAGGGTAGCAACTATTATGGATTTTCGGCAACGGCGCCAGCTATGTCGATCTTGTCATCATACTAAGAGCTCTTATAACTGACAGATTGTATCAAGCGTCGTGAAAGAAATTATTTTCGTCCGATCACCGCGCGGAGTCAAACGGATATCGATTTTTGCTTATTGACATTCGCCACATTCGCCACGTATGAAACTGTTGGCAGTTGAGACCGGTTCCAGGAACTTAGAACTCTGCCTTGCAAGATGTTTTGAGCTGGAAGAAGTAATCTAATTACACTTTGAATACCCTACTTAATGATTGATTTAGCTTTCGATCTCTATTGAAATTATTATACTGTAGATACGTAGAACCAATACGAATAGAAGTAGACTGAATATGCTGAAATAAATACAATTTGTAAAAGGACTTCCTCTGCACAAAAACAAAGAATTATCAAGACCCTCTACATTCTTTATTTATCGTGAACTTTCTACCAAGATTAAGCAAATTAAACGAACGAATCATTTGCACCCTTCCCTTGCAGTTGCTCTTTCTATGACAGCGTTGTGAGCGCGTTACCGGAAATCCACGATTACGTAAGAGCAGACCAAATTTCTGTGAACTAATAACAGATATAAGATCCACTCTGCGGCCAATATCTTATAATAATCAGCCACCGTGCTTTAACAGCATAAATATACTAGTGTTGGACATATTGGCAACTTAATACATTGTTAATCCATCATCCAATATCTAACGACTCAAAATATTGTATAACGCACAATTCGAGCATTTTTTACATTCTTTTACCCTGAGTTTCTTTTGAGATACGACAAAGAGTTCTCAGGGTGGGATCATTACTGACTACTTAGATTCTGAATTCGCTTGAGTCGGATAGTTTTGAATATTTTAGTTGGTAAATTAATTATACCTAACTTTTCGAATAGTTTCTGCTGATTGAAAATCTACAGTTAGCGAAAGAAGAAATTTGCTTCGGTAAATTAGAGGCAGCTTTACAGTCGAAAGGAATTGGATTCTGATAAGGCATCTACTGTCATTTGAAGAAATTTATGCCAGAAATGAAGAGAGAGCAGAGTGGCGTTCGAAACCCAAGTGAGTCAAGCCAAAATTACGGTGTTGCAAATACCTCACCCGACTCTCTCTCACCTAGTTTTCAGCTATACCCTAATGGGCCACTGTCATCTAATTTAACAAGTCATAACGCGTCAGTTTCATCCTACAATTCATCGAGTGGGCCGAACCCAGAGTCGTCATCTTCGAACGTGTCGACTCCTGAAGGTCAAGGACTCATGGAAGATGGTAAAAAAAATAGAAACATTGATATAATGCAAAGGATAAATGATGATAGGTTCAAGGAACGGGCAACTGAGGCTGCGATTCCAAATGAAGAGGACGATGGTGGAACTTCCATGAATGTAAAAATTTCAGAGAAGGCGTTACCTAAGAAGTATTTTTGTAAAACGTGTAATCAAGGATTCACAAGAAAGCACAACATGGTATCGCATGAATTAATTCATTCTTCCATTCGGCCTCACATTTGTTCAGTATGCAATTTGAAATTCAGGAGAATTCATGATTTAAAGAGGCATGAAAAATTACATACTGGTGAAAAGCCTTTTGTGTGTGATAAATGTTCAAGACGATTTGCTAGACCGGATGCCTTGACGAGGCATCAAAATTCTCCCAATGCTTGTGTCGCAAGCAGCGGCAATAGTACTACTACTAATACTGGTATTAGTAATGACAACAGCAGTGGCAACAGTAGTAGCAACAGCCACTCTTCAGTGCCTTCGGACACTACATCTCATACTGAAGTCGACGCAACTCAGGATAATAATTTATCTGACAGCATTGGGACAACTAGCTACGATCTAAATCGTTGGAAAGCTCAAAAGTTCAGTGAACAGTCAAAGAAAAGACGTTATCATCGTCATCAAAAACCTCAGCTGTCATATCCATTTAATACCACAACTACTACGACTACAACAACTACAACCACAGTGAATCGAGATGAGAAGGGAAGAGGAGAGCAGAAATATCATGATGGAAATTCTCATCCTTTTGGGGGGAGACAAGAAATTCTTGATACCCCCCAATCGCAACAAAAGTTCTCGATATCAAGAGGAGGAGGATACTTACCTCCATTATCAAATAATGGCGATTATGTGACTATGGCAAAATACCAGGACTTGGTCAGTTATACGCATCAACTTCAAGACAGCTTGTCGAAAATGAATTCAAGAATAAAGTTTTTGGAGAATGATCGACGAGAAGGTGATAGTGACCGTCAACTCAACTCCATGTCAGATAGATCTAGCGCTTGATTTCTCATGTCCTAGTTGCACGCTTTTTTCTCTTGTATATTATCTTAGCAGAGTAATGAAATATATTTAACGATTTAGACTTAAAGTTAAGACATGTATTCCTAAGAACTCTAAAAGATTATAATACCTCCATAGGTAAGAATCGGGTTTCAAATAAAAGTTCGATGGTCCTTAGTGAGTAGTTATATACCGGTAAACTACGTAATTTTATTTGTGATACATATTGTAAAGGGATAGATTTATTAATTAAATAAGGAGGCAAACCTTAGATTTTTAGAACACTTAAGAATCACTTAAGATAATAGGTATGTACATACCCCCGAGATACAATAGATAAATTCTAACATATTCAAAGTTATAGCAAGTCGAAAGATAATATAGCAATATACTAGTTGTCTTATATTATTTGCTATCAGTTGGTGTATTATATTGACACATCAGATTAAAGGGCCTTATCGGTTTAAGTGGAACTCAATAATTGGGTGAAATAGAGCTACTCAAAGATTCAGCTAACTTTCCTTCTTTGTTCTCCTACGATCCTAAATCAACCTGACTTATTTGTCATTTGAATAACGGAGGTTTGAGTATCTGATAAGACTTCTAGAAATATAGACGTGAAGAATGGTTGGATCGAATAAATTGGGTGATGAAGATTGGTCTATAATTTCCTCGTCATCGGATATAGAAGATGATCAATCAACCGCTAGTTCTAATGAAGAGAGAAGAAATAGTGAACATAATCAAGATACTGTTTCAAGCTTGGCTACATTGAAAATACCTACAATTGTGTCGACGAACGAAAACGAGCTTATGGATGACAATGTTTCAACTTCATTCTCATCCTCGGAAGACGAGGAAAGCTCTAATCAGGAGACTAAACCAAAGAAAGTTGCTAGTATTGTCAATTTTTATGAGAGCTTGCTTCGCATTAATGATTCGATTAAACTTAATTCGAATAATTTTTATCAGAATATAGCAAAGTCGAGGTTTACTCGGTTAAATAATCTAATCCAACCATCAGTTGAGAACGTGAATTCTTCTGGAATATATCCTACTAAAGAGGTTAATCAGGATATTCCTCCTACTCATTCAAGCTTCTGCTCAAGTCTTTACAAAGTCCAAGACAAATTAGTCTTTTTTGTAGGGCGTCAAGCAGAATCTTTAGATGAACTAATGGAACAATATGCAGAATACATCTTATACTATTTAATGGGTCTCATGGTAGTAATAATGGCAATAAGTGGTTTATATTTCTCCAGCTTTGTTTCCTCGATTTTTCACACTACAACGTTACATAAGGCCAAGAGTCCTTATGGCGATGCGTATGACAAGTTCGTGGACTTTTGTACGAATGTACTCTATGAGAAGCCCCAAACAAAGACATTTGGGTTCTTCAGTTTGAAGTCCTCGTCTAGACCCTTAAAGATAATAAGAATTTCGAAAAATTTGAGAGAAAAAATTTTCACTTATCATACGGTGCTAGCATCGGAGATTTGGGTTCAAGTTAGAGCGTTAGAAAATAATTGGTCCTCAATATTCGTTCGCCAATATTTTGAAAATGTCTTGAACTATTACTATAAAGTAAAGCGGGATATTTTTATTCTTGTATGCAATATTCCCTTTGAAAAGATCTACTCTGCTGCTTTAGAAGAGAGTAAAAATCTCCTAGTGACTACACGCAATTCTTTACTTTTAGCTAAAATGTCTGTGGAACAAAATGCTGACTTTTTGAAATCCAGATGCAAAAATTTTGCTGAATACTGTAAATTAAACTTGGATGACACTGCAGTATTTGTATACCAAGGAGGACAATCGTTGGTAAGTAGCTTCAGGCATTAAATTAACGGAAGCGTTTTCAAATATTTTACTATTTTTTTTGGTTAGGGTTTACTTATTTCACTGTCACGATTTGTAATGCTACATGCATAAGAAGAGTATGAGGAGTATGGAGGAGGGAATGCAAGGTGGATGCACCGATGATGATTGACTCTATTTATTTCGATCATGAATTTTAGTGGCATGGATCTATATATAGTCTATTCAAGAGAGTCACAATTCTTTTTTTCTTTTTTTTATCTTAAAGGCTAGGAATTTTATTTGGTTTTATTTCTTCTTAGTCTGATTGCTTTTGATCGGTGTTGTATCTCTTACTGTTTTTATAAATATACACTCAACAATAATCGGTTTAGTAGATTTTACATTGCGCAAGATAAGTGTATGAATGAAAGATGAATACTGTGTTATTAAGCAATATAAAAATAAAGCAGTCTAGATCAATACATGTTCTTAAATTATAGCACCTTTCAGTTATAATTTACTGTATTCCAATCCAGTGTCGGTTTTTTGTCACGTTTTAAAGTTTCAAGATGCGATTCTTATGAGCTAGTTTATTTCATGAAAATTATTAAAGTTTGGACACCCGATAAAGATGATTTATCGAGTAATAAAGTCATATATATCCTTGTTGATGTCCTTCTTGTGAGTGCTACATAAACCATGGGATGCCCCAACATAAACCTTCTTTGTGGCCTGTGGTAAAAGCTTAATTGCCTCCTCACTAGATGCAGCAGGGGGTACAATCTGGTCATTATCGCCATAAATAACTAAAGTCGGAATATCCATCTTTTTTAAGTCTTCATGTTGGTCTGTCTCCGAAAAAACACCAATACAATCATACAATGCCTTGATCGACCCTTGCATTCCCTGCAACCAAAAACTGTCAATTAATCCAATTGAAGTGCTTGATGCATCTTGGTTAAAACCATAGAAGCTCGAAGCTAATTCCTTAAAGAATTGTGATCGATCATTCAAGACATTACTCCTAATGTCATCGAAAACCTCAACAGGCGTTCCCAAAGGATTTTCTTTAGTTTTTATCATAAGTGGGGGAATGGCACCAATTAATATAGCTTTCAGAACTCTCAGAGTACCATGCCGTCCAATGTATCTAGCCACTTCACCCCCTCCAGTAGAGTGTCCAATATGTACTGCCTTTTTCAATTTCAAGTGTTCGACAAGTTCGGCCAAATCGTCTGCATACTGATCCATCGTATGGTCCTCCCAGGATTGAGATGATCGTCCATGTCCTCGACGATCATGGGCTATCACCCTGAACCCTTTCAGTGCCAAAGACATCATCTGGTCTTCAAATGCATCCGATGTCAAGGGCCAACCGTGGCTGAACACTATAGGTTCACCAGATCCCCAATCCTTATAAAAAAGTTTCGTTCCATCGGAGAGTACTAATTCTGCGCTACCTGTCATCACTAGCTTGAGTATTGTTCATCGCTATCACCAACATTCATGCCTCCAGGCTTCCTTTATATATCGTATAGCACACTATACTGTATCATCTTTAAGTAGAACCGAGTTTAAATCCGTTCATGTGCCAGCTTCTTTCTTGCTATCGTAGATCTCTTAAGCTGCCGAGTAATGTGAATTTTCCTCAAGTCTCGAATGCAGTACCGAAGAGTATTAAATTAAATTATTATCACGTGCAATAATTTTGCATATCATAATTAAACGGAGAAATTTTAAACTTAATTCCGTCTCATTGTAATAACGCCACCTAGTATTGTGCATGTAAAGATTTTATCATATTTAAAGTTAGTGTAAAGTGCTACAGCTCCGATATACACCTTTCCACTAAAACCGAGCTTAAATCCGTTCATATGCCAGATTCTTTCTTGCTATCAATGATACTGCAATCATTCTAGCTCTATTTAAGCACTAAGAAATATCATTTATTTACTATTTTATCAGGTTCGCTATTGTTATTTTGTTAAAGATGCCATCCAACCAAGGAGCAGTTGTTACAGGTTCGAGAAACTTGGAAAACCTTGTGTCGGTAAAGGAAACACCCTTTCCGCAATTGGAAGATGATATGATTATATTGAAAGCGGTCGCGTATGCTGTCAACCCGACAGATTGGAAGCATATCTTGCCTGAGTCGTTCGCATCGCACTTGACGTCCGAAATCCTCAAAAAGCTAGGGCTAGGAGTCCGTAGTCTTGAGTGCGTGTTGGGCTCGCTTGGCTCCAGCGTCGGTTATTTTGTTGGCAAAAGTTTTACATTGATTCAAAGAGGTGTCGTAGTCGGTTCTGATGTAAGTGGTATTGTGGAATCAGTAGGTAAGAATGTGACTAATTTTGAAAAGGGCGACATTGTATCGGCATCTCTCCATGGTGGAATGAATAAAAATGGTGGATTTTCCAACTATGTAATGGTCAGTCCAAATGCCACGATAAAGTTTCCTAGATCACAGATACTGAGAAAGCCTTTAAGTGTAGGAAAACATGAAAGTTCGGTCATCGATTCATTTGAGGCCGCTGCCTCAATACCTGTGGGTCTTAAAACTACTGCTTTAAGCTTTCAATATAATCTTGGAATTCCACCACAAGAGAGTGAGAATAAAGATGATTATCTCCTAATATGGGGAGGCGCCACAGCGACAGGCATTATCGCCATACAAATCGCAAAATTAATTTATGGCGTCAAGGTGATAACTACTGCATCCCTGAAGCATCATGGCAAGTTGCAATCATTGGGTGCTGATAAGACGTTCAATTATAATGATCTGGATGTAATTGAGAAATTAAAAGAAGCAGGTGAACACAGAATTAAATACGCCTTGGACTGCGTATCTTCGGTAGAAACCTTGCAGTCAGTTTATGATGCTACCGAGGGATCACAGGATGTCCGTATCGATAATCTTTTGTTTTTGAACGAGAAATCGATAAATGTGAAGAAAGGAAGAAAGGTTGTGTTCACATCTACGAATGGGTATTTGGTTGATGGGAGAACTCACTTCGGTGCCAAGGCTTCAACAGAGATGATAGACTCATATCTTGAATTTTGGCTGAACTATCTTCCCTCTGTGTTGGGCAAGCTTAAAACAGCTCCCTTGGAAGTACTACCGTTTGGCTTAGAGTCCGCGAATGAAGGCTTGAAGTTGTTGATCGAGAATAAGGTTAGTGGGAGTAAGTTAGTGTTCCGGAATTGCAAAGACTGATCCTTTTGGCAATCTGACTTAGAATAAGCTTTCGGTGAAAATTCTTAAGATTTTCAGCTACATCTCTATATGTATTATTTGGACATAATTATAGTTCGTGGATAAATGTTAACATTAGTGAGTATTTTTTTGATGCTGCTGTAGGCTATTTAGGCGATTTAAACCGCTCGTAACGCCTCTTCACGTAGAGCGACATTTGCTCTGTTTGAGTTTGCTATGCAAATTCTAAAACGTGACAGTACTGATATTCGATAGGGAAATGCTACACACATCATAATCTGGAGCAGAAGTCGTGTAATAAGCAAATCGTAAACTGGTGTCGAAATACCAGACGTCTCAAAGAGAATAATAATAGACTCAAGAGTTGACTTCAGACTAAAGCGTATTTAAAGTAACATAATTGTGCTTAATACTTATTACAATTAGAAGTGAAGACCGCGATGGGTAAGTGAATTCGATATTTGTCCAATAAAGCAACAACATTATACTAACTACTAAAGGTATTCCCAAATTTTTCCGGTTTATTTCAGAGAGATGGCCCTTAATATCACAATTAATTGATGGAACTCAGGTTCCAGAATTCGATAATTTATATTTGGATATGAATTCAATCTTACATACTTGTACACACTCTAATGATGATACACTAACCAGAATGACCGAAGACCAAATGTATGCTGCCATATTCAAGTATATTGAACATTTATTTGAAATCATCAAACCTCAAAAAGTGTTTTATATGGCAATCGACGGAGTGGCTCCGAGAGCAAAGATGAATCAACAAAGAGCTCGTAGATTTCGATCCGCAGTGGAAGCAGAGGAAAATTTAAAGAAAGCAATTGAGAAAGGGTTAGAGATTCCCAAAGAAGATCCATTCGACACGAATGCAATTACTCCAGGAACTGAATTTATGGCTAAATTGACCGAAAACCTTAAATATTTCATTCATAAAAAAATAAGTGAAGACTCCAACTGGGCTGGCGTTCAAATTATTTTGAGTGGACACGAAGTTCCTGGGGAAGGTGAACATAAAATTATGGAGTATATCAGAACTATGAAGTCGCAAGATGAATATGATCCTAATTTGAGACATTGTATTTACGGTTTAGATGCTGATTTGATCATGCTCGGATTAGTTGCCCATGACCCACATTTCGCTTTGCTTAGAGAGGAAGTGACATTTGGTCCGAAGGCCGCGAAGAAGAGTACTGATGTGAATGATCAGACGTTTTTCTTGCTACACTTATCATTAGTGAGAGAATATTTATCGTTGGAGTTTCAAGAGTTGGACAACCAGTTAAGTTTCGAATATAATTTTGACAGAATGTTGGATGACTTCATATTAATTATGTATGTCATTGGTAACGATTTCTTACCTAATTTACCAGACTTATTCATCAACAAAGGTGCATTCCCATTATTGATAGAAACATTTAAGCAGACATTGAAGCAATCTGATGGCTATATTAATGAAAACGGTACCATCAATTTGAAGAGATTAGATATTTGGTTGAACTACTTGTCTGAGTTCGAATTAGAAAATTTTGAAAGGCAAGATGTTGACGTCGAGTGGTTTAATAAGAGGTTGGAAGATATCTCGCTTACTGGTGAAAAGAAAAGAGAAAGAATGGGTAAATTAGTCTTGCTCAAAGATCAAAAGAAATTGGTCGGTTTAATCAAACCTTGGCTACTCTCAACCTGTTCTAAGAAAGTTGATGATTTGATAAAGCTTGAGCAAATAGGGAAGTTACCAAGTTTGACATTACCTAAAGATGAAGTATCAAAGCATTTAGATTTCATAAAAAGATTTGCGTTAGAAGTTGGTATCATCATTATTCATTCGAAATCTCAGGACTCTTACGAGACAAGGTTGGATCTTGATGGATTTTCACCTAATGAAACCGACGAAGAGTTTGAGGAAAGGATAAATGAAGTTAAAAAAACCATCAAAAAATACCAATCTGCAAACTTATTCGAAACTGAAGACTTATTGAAGGAATCAAAGGATATCTATGATTCCAAATTTTTGAATTGGAAAGATAAATACTACAAAGATAAGTTACACTTTTCAATTTATGATAAGGAGAAAATCATTGAAATCACAGAACATTATTTGGAAGGATTACAATGGGTTTTGTATTATTACTACAAAGGATGCCCATCGTGGAACTGGTATTACAAATATCATTACGCCCCTAGAATCTCTGATATCTCCGTTGGATTACGCGAACTATTGAAATCTAAGCGGAAAATAGAGTTTGAAAAGTCGAAGCCATTTAAACCCTTTGAACAGTTAATGGCAGTTTTACCAGCGAGATCCCGAAATTTGATGCCCATTGTTTATAGACCTTTAATGACGGACCCCCATTCACCAATCATAGAATTTTACCCAGATAAGGTGGATATTGATATGAATGGGAAGACTGCTAGCTGGGAGGCTGTTGTTCTTCTCAGCTTTGTCGACGAAAAGGAACTTATCAGGGCCTTGGCTCCTTTAGAATCTAAGTTACTGCCAGATGAGAAGAAAAGGAACTCAATTGGGACTGATATTGAGTTCATTTACAATCCTCAAGTTGATCAGGTATATAACTCACCACTACCTGGTTTCTTTAATGAAATTGAGCATGATAAGTGTTTTGAGTCAAATTTTATTCCTCCTCCTGTCAAAAATGTAAAAATTGGATTAGTTGAAGGGGCAAAGATAGGCAAAGATTTACTCGCTGGATTTCCGACTCTTCAAACAATCCCATTCACTTCCAAATTAAGTTTAGAAGAGATCAAAGTTTTTCAGGCCCCTTCTAGGTCTGAATCAATGATATTAACAATCGAGAACATCTGGGAAGATATTTCAATTCACCAGTTTAGTGAAAAGTTTTTGGGTAAAATTGTATACAGCAACTGGCCATTTTTAAGAGAGTCTAAAGTAGTAAAAATTGAAGATTCGGAATATAAATACGAGAGGAAAAAAGTTGGTAATTACAAAAAGGTCACCGCTTCACACCTTAACTCTCTGGAAGTACTGGTATTCAAGCAGTCGGTCAATTCCTTTGCGAGCTTGTACGGGAAAACAAAAGGAGTAAAATTGAGCAATATAAGCGGATTGGTTCACGTCCAGCCAGTGACAGGATTAATAAGAAACGCAAAGGGAGCTTATGTCAAGACATTCTCAAAAGATATTGAAACTTATCCAGTGCAATTGATTGTCGAAGAAGTTTCTAACGAAGATCCTAGATTTGCTACAAGGCCACCTCTTCCAATCGAAGAAGAGTTTCCATTGAATTCACAGGTTGTATTTTTAGGTGATATGGCTTATGGGGCACCTGCCACTGTTGCTGGATACAATGATCTGGAAAAATTAAGTATTAAGATATCGAAAATTCAAACCAATGCTGAACCAAATATCGGTAAACAAAGATACGAAATGGAGAAAAAGGAGATCAAATATTATCCATCATATGAAGTCGCAAAAACTTTGAGGTTGCATCCTTTGTTTTTATCCAAGATTTCCAGTGGGTTTATGGTAGAGGACAACAAGGGGAGAAAGGTTAATGTTGGCTTAGAACTAAAGTTTGAAGGAAGAAGAGAAAAAGTTTTAGGATTTACCAAAAGAAATGTAAAAGGATGGGAATTTTCTCCGTTGGCAATTAAACTCATTGAGGATTACAGGAAACATTTTCCAAAATTCTTCGAAGAACTCAAGAAATTATCAACTAATTCTATTCCTCGCATCAAAGAATTTTCAAACGACTCGGAATTAGATGAGGTTAGAAAATGGCTTAAAGAAGCCAAGTCCCAACTTGTAAGAGTTTCTTTAGAAAGTGAGTCTTTGACAAAATTTAGCTATCAAGCAATCGAGACTTTTATGGACACCTATCTGCAATCTAACTTCCCATATGTCAACAAAGATATCAAAGGTGTTCCGAAAGACGCAGTGTTAAACCCAAGTTTGTCTTATCAATTATTGAGTGATCAAAAGTTTGAGCTTGGTGATCGGATTATCTATGTTCAGGATTCTGGAAAGGCACCTAAATTGTCTCGAGGCACGGTCGTCAATATAAACACGTTCGGAAACAAAATATCTTTAGGCGTAATTTTCGATTTTCCTTTAATAAGTGGTAACAACATGAACGGGAAATTAAAGAGCAACAGAGGAGTTACAATCGATTCGTCTTTGGTTCTAAATATTACCAATAAGCAATTTGTATATCATAGCAGGGCCTCGAAAGATAGGAAGCCTCTCACTCCCGAACAGCGAGCTGCAAAAGCCAAGGCGGTTGCCGCATACAAAGCTAAACAAAATGAAATAACGAAGGAGAAAAATCTGAGAAAGACAAATGAACTTTTGACTTTACTAAAAAAGAATGTTTCTTCTGATGAAAAATCTGTTTCGAAGGATTCTAAGGATGAGGGGGAATATATTAATTCAGACGCTATTAAGCATATTTACGGTCAAATATATTCTAACGTGATGAATGAAGGGATCGCACCTTTTGTTCCTCCTATGATACCTTCCCAAGCTCAAATGCAACAAATGCCTCCGGTAAATTCCTCAGGACAGCTGCAGGTATTTGATGAATCTGGCCCAAAAGATGCGCCTTTTAATGGCTCCACTGGAGGAGTCAGCACAAGAGGCAAGGGTGGCGCTAAAAATGGCAGAGGACGTGATACTTCAAGCAGAGGTTCCAGTAGAGGCTTCGCCAACAGAGGTAGAGGATCTTCAGTTAGGGGAAGCTCTAATAGAGGAAATGCTAATAGGGGAAATTCTGCTAAAGAATCCTCGACCAATAACTCTAGCGGTAACAAAAAAGAGTAGTACTATCATATAATAAAATTAACTTGATTTTTCTTTAGGTATATTCATCGATATGATTTTACAAACATTTATAAATTATAGTATATACAAGTTCACCTCTCTTCAGTCGCTTTCTTTCGGTCAGGAGGCTTGATGTCATCTCCAGGGAGATTGATGAGACCTAACAGCTTCCAATCTGATACATCCATCAACTGATTGTCCATTCTACATTTCAAATATTCTTTTGCTAGAATACGGCAATTTGGCGCATTCCGATTCTCTGTAAACTTCATGCATTTGAGATACCTCAACATCTGAGACTTGCATTCACCCTCATGATCTAAAGGAAACGAGCCTCGTTCCGGAGGTGTTGGAGTCCAGTTTCTAAAATTACCACCTACATGTTGTTAGCGCTAGACTCAAATTGAATAAAGAGGCTAAGATTTCAATCTCTTCGAATACCTTCGAATACCCCAAACCTCATGTCATTTTTAGTTACTTACCTGGTGCGCCGGAGGCCATATTAATAATTTGGAATTATTGCTTGCATTGACAAATGTAATGAAGTGTTCTGAAATGTCGTAAGGTCATGATGCCGAAAGACGACAAAAGACGACAAAGTACGACATTGACTCATGCTCGACTCAAATAACTCAAGTCGAAATTCTGAAACGGTATACCGCTAGGCGGTTTATTTACTTTTCTTACCTGCACCTCACTACCCCCCCGCTCACGTCTGAAGTCACCCGTTGCAGCTATTCAACAATTGTCGGTATTTTTAACCTCGCGTGGATGTCTGCCCCTCAGACGGATCAATGGAAGGGCACATGAGGACCATTTTGGTCCGACCCGGGGTTGGTGAACAACTTTAACACTTTTGCTTCCACGATATGAAAACGTCAAAGCCAAAGTAATAGCATCATATAGACTCATCAAGATATTGTAGAGAATTACATTGAAGCGATTGTAACAACACCGCTTGTGATTGCAATAAAACTGAGATTTTTCTTTGTATAAAGATTTGCGTGCATCTTGCATCGGGCAAATTTTAATTTTTTTTTCATAGACTTCGACATCTCATGTGTGGAGAAGTCGTTTATATATAAACTACTGGAAACTCTTTCAACGGTGTACTGCAGAAACGAAGAGCATAGACTGAAGGGGTCACATATCGAAAGAGCATAGCGACTATTAGTCAAAGGGACAGTACTTGTGAACACAGCCAGTGCTTAAGGAAAGAAATAGATCGATAGATTTTGCATCGTGTCAAAAACCGAACATAAGCGGTTATTTTGTTACTTGGTATTCCCATTAGCGGTGCTATATATCCTTTGGGAAATAATCTTATAGACGTGATAGACATTTTCGGGAGTTAAAAGCTAAAATTTCTTGCTAGCTTTTGAAGACTCCACCAGACAGTAGAATATCACACAGCGGAAAACGCAAAGCATAAACACACGCGTATACATGGATAGACTGAAAGAACAAGATGGCAACAAGCGAATCGAGAGTCTCAAATGTTATCAGAGCGAGAGAAACGTTTAATCAGTTCGCCACCTCTGCTCCTTTGAGCGAACACAAAGTGTTGACTTTACCAGAGTTTATTTCTATAGTGTCTCCTTTTGAATCAGATATTCCGAGGGAAACATTTTCTTTATTGTATTTGATGGCAGATAAAGATAAGAAAGGATTTTTAACAGAGCGAGATTGGATTGATTTTATTCAGACCTTAGTTTCTAAAGATGGAGAGTTCAAGTTACTCTTTGATATGATTTCTAAAGGACAGCAAAGAGCTCATTACAAGGACTGTCTTGAGGTCTTGTCCAGTTTGAATAAAGCAATTGATCCATCTTATCAGCCTAAGAAGGCTAAGTTGAATTGGAAATACTTTGAAAGTTTTTTTGAACCTCGAGGATCCATTGACTACAATGAATTCGTCAGTTTAATAAATTATTTGCCTGTCACAAAATTGATTGGAAACTTCGAAATGACTCAAAAAAATGGACTTATAACGAAAGACGAAATGTACACTTTAATAACGAATAACTTGAAACATAAGTTATCATCTCAGTTAAAGTTGAACTTAAAGTCTTTGCACGAATTTTTTGAGCAAGAAAAATTCAGTTTGGCGAGCGTTTTATTCGTGTATAATTCTTTGAGTAAGGTTGATCTTGTCAATGAGGTGATCGCAAATACTCCACCAACTACAAAAGATAAAGATGATATTTTAATTGACAAATATGATCTATACAACCATTTGAACGACCATTTATTGAAGTCTTCCAATTTCAAACCCATTTCTATGAATGAGTTGAATTTGTTGTTTTTTTTGATTGATAAAAATGAAGAACTGATCCCACGTAAAGAATTAATATCATTTTTCAATCCCAATTACGTGAATAACATGAACTCTTATTACTCCATTTTTGAGCACCCAGCAGCTCAACCGATTCAAGATGATAATTTTTCGCTTTGGCCAATTTTTGACTCTTTGTATTCTTTTTTCTTGGGTTCTATTGCAGGATGCATCGGTGCAACAGTTGTTTACCCTATTGACCTAGTTAAGACCAGAATGCAGGCTCAAAGACATAAGGCTGCGTATAAAAATTCTTTTGACTGTTTCAAAAAGATTATTAAAAATGAAGGCTTAAAAGGATTGTATTCTGGTTTGGTAGCGCAGTTAATCGGAGTGGCTCCTGAAAAAGCAATTAAATTGACAGTGAACGATCTTGTCAGAAATATTGGAACAGAAGAAGATGGTTCAATCAAAATGAAATGGGAAATTGCGGCCGGTATGTCAGCAGGTGCATGCCAAGTTATTTTTACAAATCCTCTTGAGATTGTGAAGATCAGGTTGCAAATGCAAGGTGGAAATAAGAACTTAAAATCAGGAGAGATTCCTCTCAAAAAGCTAACTGCTGGTCAAATCGTAAAACAGCTAGGTGTCAAGGGTTTGTACAAAGGTGCAGTTGCATGTTTATTGAGGGATGTTCCATTTTCAGCCATCTATTTTCCAACTTACGCAAATTTGAAGAAATTGTTATTTAACTTTGATCCAATGGATCCAAATAAGGCACATAGACTAACAACATGGCAGTTGTTACTAAGTGGTGCTTTAGCTGGTGCTCCTGCAGCTTTTTTCACGACTCCCGCTGATGTGATTAAAACAAGACTTCAAGTAGAGAGCAAAAAGAATGAAACAAAGTACCGCGGTATTGCACATGCCGGAAGGACTATTTTGAAAGAAGAGGGTATTGGTGCATTTTTCAAAGGTTCTCTTGCCAGGGTTTTCAGATCTTCACCTCAATTTGGTTTCACATTGGCAAGTTATGAATTATTGCAGAGCTTGTTTCCTTTACATCCTCCAAATACGAAGGAATCTAATTTTAAGGCGATTAGCGGATATCCTGGCGTCTATAATTTGACTAATGATCAAGTTTATAATTCACAGAATCGCCGAATCATGTATTTGAATAAAGAAGAGTTTAGTGAAAAAAACAGTTTAAGCTATAATAATTCGAATGGCAATAATCTTCTTAGATTGCCGGCTGAATATGTTTATAAATCGCAAGATGCAATCAGGCTACTTTTGGATGTTGATTACAAGTTTTTTGATTTTAATTATGATGCCTATATGAAATACATCAAGAGAAATTAATACAGTTTAGATTTTCGATGGCATCATAATTTATGGCACCTTTCTTATTTATGGTCTTAACCTGATTATGAATTATGGTTCACTATATACGATAAACGATAAACCTAGTGAAGGTTCCGTTTACTTGGAACACTATAAACGCATCCTCTATTGTAAAGATATTTGATAAACGTTCATTGCTTTGAAGATTCAAACAAAATTTAAAGAACTGCAATGACGTAAGATTATAGACCAATATCAAAGAATTAGATTCGTTTACTATAAGATTGCCCAGAAAAATTATAGAATACTGGTTAGTTATGTTGTCATTAAAGTATAATAACTTTTTAAATTGCTGCTGACTGTCAATGAGCTGTAGTAATGAAATTTTTCTCAAACCAACAATGACAGCATTATTCGAATCAATTACGTATATCTTCTGAATTTGATCATTGTAATTTACTTTTCTTTTGAGTCTTAAGGTGTCGTCAAGAATGAAAATACTAGTCTTGGTGGCCAAGAATATCTTGTTCGCAATGGACTTGACGCAAACTATGGATACGCCTTCTCTTACAGAAAAGTAGTTGAGAGCATTGATTTCACCGCTGCCTTCAAGCTTGATCCTTATTAGATCACCTCTATCACTGGCGATAAGTAGGCAATTTGCAATCAATTCCGAACAAGTGATGGATAAATTAGTTCCTCTAAATGAAGTTGAATCATAAGTATTAGATGAGAAATTGAAAATTCCTATTCCAAAGACTTTCAAAAGAACATTTTTTGCATCGGAGCTCAGAAGTTGATCAGCACTTCTTAAAAGGTTGATAGTTAAATCTGTTCGAGAACCATTCTCAGATAAGGAATCAAGTTGTATAAAGTTAGCACGAGATGCCAGGTTTTCTTCCTTTAAAACTATAGTACGGAAAACTGTTTCAGAATGTACTGCACAATTTGTAATTTTTGGAGTCTTTAGTTGTGAATCAATTCTATATAATCGTTGATAATAATCTTCTATGCGAGAGTCTCTGATAATTAAGTGCAGATGCATATTACTTTGCAAAAAATTCTTCAAGGAAACAACCTTGAGAGATAGGTCTCTTTCCTTCACCAATAATCCATCATTAATGCTTCCAAAAACTTCCACGTTTCCAAACTGTAAATTTTTCAATGGTCCTTGATATCGCCGAAGCACCTCAAACCTAAGGTATGAAATATCCTTTAAAAACAACGCTGATCCTAGTTTAACGTTTATCACGTCTAATCTAGTCTTTAAATTCATAGAATTTACTACTAGAGTATTAAGCTTAGATTTCTTTTTAACAGCATCATTATTAATCCTTCTCTTCTTCGACTGAATCTTATTACTGTGATATTTACTGTTGCCTATTAAACTTCCATTCGTTATCTTGAAGTATTTGTTCCTCGTCTCATCAAAGTAATACCCGGGAATTTCAGCTCTTGGCATACTCTTACCGTGTGTGGGTAATTATCATCTCATCTTGATCTCAAAATTGAATTTTTGACATTCAAAAATTCACTTTAGTCAAAGTGTAGAATTACATAAAATGAAAGATTATATATATTACTACCACAAACTTTCAAAATGAGACAAATCATACATTATAGGTAATCTATATCGTTATCGTAAGACTCGGTTGTTTTGCTGGTCATATCTTTATACTTCATGTCCTCTCTTTTTTGCAAAATTAGGGCCTCAAACCCATTGGAGCGATCTATACCATCCCAGAGGTAACCTGCCTTAACACCAAACCTATTCGGAAGATTCAAGCCTTTACTATAATAGTACTTTCCGGTCAATGATATATTTGAACTCTGTTGTGGCTCTCCACTAAATGCAACAGCAGGATCATCTATTCTTGCTTTCGACTTCATCAAGTTGACATATTCTTCGTCATCTTTAGATACATGAAACGTCTTTGTATCTTTAAGCCTTCTTTCTACTCTTTCGTTCTCTAGTCGTGATATTTCACTCTGGTTGATCGCTCGATTTTCTTGTTCTCGTAGCCGTTCATTTCGCTTTTCATGTTGCTTTTCGTTTTCGATTTCCTTCCTCCTAGCATCCAAGTCTATTTTTCTCCCCATGAGGTCTCTGTAGATGGTTTCAGGGGCCATTTGATTGGAAAGTGGTTCCGCTATAGCTTTGTCCGAATTATTTTGACCATCGATCCTTTTGAACCCCTTAAAAGACCTCTTTCCATTCATCTCAATTTTCATGGGCGCCTGCTCAGTAACATCCTCATCTTCTCCGTACTCTTCATCGCTACCGACGTTATTACTTAGACATTGGTCATTTTTGATGACTATATTTGATCTTTCAGTAGTCGTTGCATTTCTCTCGTTCTTTCCTTTTTTTCCTTTCTTTGGTTTATCATCACTAGAGCTTAAATACCTTGAAAGATATGCTGCTCTTGAGGACATTGGTATTTTCCTAATGTCAATTGAAAATAGATTCAATAGAGCTGTCTATGACGGTAAGATTGAGATTTTAGAATAGAATATATCAAAGTGCGCAAAATATTTTAGAGTAAATTACTATGTGGAGAGCTTCTATTCAAAGCTTATCTAAATATAATACAGCTATTTTGCTAATTTATTTACTTCGTTATGCAACTGAGCCATGGTTTCACACAACTCCATAAACAAAGAGTATTGCGTTTTTATGACTTCGACGATATTGAACAAATTACCAAAACCTTCGACATAGCTTCCTTCAAGTCCATCGATGATTGAGCTAGCTTCTTTCACCAACTGTTCGTAATTCTTTAATACTTCATGATATCGTTTTATTTTTTTAATGAAGAATTCATTCAACTGCAATCCTGAACTAAGTTTCGTTCCAGGAGTAGAAAGTTGCAAAATCAACTGCATAACTTTATTTAAGTCTTCAGTCAATTCATTATTCAAGTTTCTTAAGTTTCCAAGCTGATGAGAATCAGATTTCAATGCTTGTTTTGTTGACAAAAGTTTATTATGGAGATAATTGATATCTCTAGGCAAAGTTTGAATCAACTGATCGTGCTTGTCATAATCAGATTGCAAAGTTGTCGCTATGAGGTGTTGAGTGTTGATATATTTGTCAAATTCTTCTAATTCCCTTTTAATTTGCACTGGCAAGTCTCCTACGCGGGTCATAGCCGTCAATTGGAACTGGTCTTGTTGCGGGTTCTGATTTTGATTTCCAAAGAGAGTTGCAGAATTGTTCGAATTATTTGTCCCAAATAGTCCACCGGATGAGCCTGCCTGGTTGTTCGATGAAAAAAGTCCCGATGCTGCATTATTGTTGGAACCGAAAAGCCCATTGCTACCAGAGCTGGAGGCTGGTTGCTTGTTGCCGAATAATCCACCACCGCTTGATGTGCCAAACATGCCACCTTGTGAATTAGAGCCAAATGAACCACCTGTATCTCTTGGCTGACTCATTGCATTAGACGAAGATCCAAATAATCCACCTGAAAGGGGAGCAGCGTTAGAGTTATTAGATACAAACCCAGAACCAAGAGTGCCATTACTATTAGCGTTAGTATTACCAGTATTGCTATTACCAAAAAGAGTAGCGGTGTTTCCTGTATTATTACTGGCAGAACCAAATAATCCACCAGCTGCAGCTGTATTATTAGTTGTCCCAGTATTTGACCCAAATAATCCCCCAGGTCGGGTACTGGCATTATTTGCATTAGAAGAGGAACCAAACAATCCATTTCCAGCTGAATTTAAAGAATTTGAGTTGTTGTTACTTGTGCCAAATAGTCCACCTGAGCCCGAATTCGAAGACGTGGATGTATTATTATTGCTACTACCAAAGAGGCCACTTCCTGCCCCTGTGTTATTACTTAAACCATTTCCTGTTGCACCTCCAGGATTACTTGCAAAAAGTCCCCCAGTATTAGCTCCCGTGGAATTATTTCCAAGTCCGCCAAATCCTGAAGATGTATTATTACTGCTGCCGAACATTTTTACGCAACCAAAATGAATTGGCCTTTTGTTTGTCTGAACCTAAATCTTAAAAATGAAGTTTTTCATAGTATTTTGTATTTCAATTATGACACAAAATCGAAGTCAGCTCAAGTAAACAAAAGTACTGTGAGATCCAAATCCAACTCTTGGGATGTATCTAATAATATTTTAACGAACATATAAGAGAACCTCATGCTGAGCTAAAGCCTGGAGAATTTTTTAAATTCCTTTACACCTTATTCTCTCTCATCGCTGCTCGGTCGCCTCCAAAAGAATTATATAATTTACGCGTGTCTGAGATGGTGGATAGATTCGAGGTTTTAATTAAAGGTATAATAGAAGAACATAACCAATTAAAGAAAGAAAATAGGAAATTGCTTCTTGAAAACGAAAATTTAAAAATTCAACTTCAACAAAATACAAAAGTCGACGGCAAGCATGTTGGTGATGAGATGGGTGAGAACATGATCAGCTTCCAAATACAAAGTAGCCAAACCAATAACGAATGCAAATGGAGGCATAAGTCTCAAGACACAAATGCATCACAAGGCTCTAGTTCGCCAGAAGACAGATCAATTTCAATTGACAGGGATCATGAATCAGATCTACAACGAACTCTAGTTCGTATGTCTCCATTGAAGCATTCAGGTTCGCTCGAAGAACCCAAAGCAGAGTTCGAAGTAACGTCATCTCCTCTGGTGGATTCAAGGTTATACAATTCTCAGTTGCCTACACAATACTCTGATGACTCGTCACCAACAAAAACATACCGACCACGTCAGCTGCAAAATTGGCATCAACTAACCTCTTATGAAATAGAGAAACAAACGAAAACAGCACGAAGAGATAGCCTTGACGATCACATTAAAGCGAAAGAAGAGGTATCGCATCATATACAAGGTTTCGCGGCAATTAAGACGGCTAATACCTTAGAAAATGCTGATATGGTAGAGGATTCAGAGGAAGAGACATCGAGTATATTATTCTCTAAAAGTCAACACAAACCAATTAAACGTCATTGTCGCGATAGATCGCCCTTAAGAGATATGACTAATACTAACATACCACCCCTACCATCATCATACACCAAGTTACAGAGAAGACAGCAAATGGTAAAATTCTACAAAGATCTCTTGCAACATAGAACAGACTTTAAGATTGACCTATCAAGAAATCCCATCAATGAAAGCCCATGGGTACTTGCTGATTTCAAACCTAATCCGCACTACCAAAAACCTAAAGTCGCAACCAAAATCGGCTATTCTAAATCACACCGATTGGCAATCCAGAACTTTTATAACACCGCCAACAGGGGTCTTAGCGAGCCTGGTGACGTTAAACCCGTCTTAGCCACTCCTAATCTGGGATTATCAGAGAGTCAGATGTTCGACAGAATTCCATCTCCCCCAGGATTCATGATGTCTGATTTTCCAACTTCTCAAGAACAAAGGCGCCGTAATGATTTAGTCGCTGCTCGTCAGAGCGATAGACTTCATAGGAGACTAATTCTGTGTTTAAGCGCAGAAGGAGAGTTCATGTTTGTACACGATATCCTCAATTCTTATGTACGTGCCAAACGTTACGTATTACCCATTTTGGAAGTCTAATGTCTTCTCAGAACCTTTGCTAATAAAAGATCTAGATTTTTATCTCTCTAGGAGGTGCAACCTCGCACTCGCGAACGCCGGCGGTAGCGACAGCAACTACTTTGCCCCGGCCGACACGCTGCAAGGTTGTGTAGCTAGCATAGAACTTGCGCCCAGTCCCCTCTCGGTGCGCTCCCTAGTTCGCGCCCTGTGATCTGACTAACCACTAAGTGAAGTTTCGGAAATTTTCGCGGCTCTCTTACTGTAAGCCATGATAGGCTCGTCGTCTTCATGGATCTTACTAAGAAAGAGTCGGTTACGAAGCTAAGTAGACCAAAAAGTCACCAATTTAATTTAGGATAGAGAAGCAATAGAATTGAATATACTCTAAGAAATTCAACTCGATATCTGTAGTATCTTTCTATCTTGTAGGCTAAAGGTCCTCTGAAGATCAGTTCCAGCTATGGGCAATTGAAATCTCGTTTTCGCAGGGAATTTTTGTTCACGAAATGAGTCCCTCTAAATCAGGAAAGTTCGTATTATGAAGGGTCGTAGGATGCAAAGCATATAAATAGATAAAACGGTATATAATGGGAATATACGCCCACAAGAACAACTCATTAAAGTGAGGGCGACAAAAAGACTAAGTAATTGACTGAATATTAATTGGCCATCTTACTAAGTACTCTGTCCCTTTCTTGTGAGCGGAATTCAAGACATTACTAGACGATAAAGAAATTGCAGCGGGAATCAACGGATTAGTTGTTCTAGTATACGACGAAACAACACGCACCTTTAGAAGCTATTGGCTGAAACAGACCTCACGACAAAGATTCTAAGAGTCCACCGTAAGAGCGGAGATCTCAAAGGTTACAGAGATCTACTAGAATCAATAGTGGAACGTCAGCAAAGAGGACAAACGGTGGTAAAGAAATTGCCAGATCACTTTATAAATAAATTATTAAAAGACCTCCAAGTCAAGTGGTATCTCAAGTTTCATATTAGAGCGGTAAAATGTCCCACAATCATAATTTATCCATCAACTCTCTCAATTCGATCATAGAGCCAACTACGCCGCCTAATTTAATCAGCGGAAGAAGTGGTCTTTGGGACTCAAACAAGCTGAGCGGGAACTTAAGTTTACCAAACTTCAGCTTGGAACTGGGTACGGCAGCTAGCCAAAGCGTTAGGCCTACAGCGGCTGCTTTGGCCACTATAACGGCTTGTAATGGAAATACGAGTAATGGTTTAGTGAACGGTGGCAACATAAATGCTAATTCATTGGCCCCATCTATGGCTGTCCCGTCCTCATCTCAGTTGCATATTAACCATCCGAGTCATAGTCGTCAGATACTGATGGACTCCATTTATGATAACAAAGAGAATATAGGAGGTGTTCAAAATAGTAAAATCGATAAAGAGTATCTTGCTTCTATTAGTAAAGTTCCTTTGCAACAAATCAGCCTGGACATCTTACAATTGTCGAAGGACCAATATGGTTGCAGATTCCTTCAAAAAAAAATTGATGAAAACTTGATTCCCAACAAGGCGTCAAGGCAAGCCAATTTTGAAGTAATTTTCAAAGAAATTTATCCTTATATGTATGAGTTGATCATCGATCCATTTGGAAATTATTTGATACAAAAATTAATTAGCTACTGCGATGAAGCAAATTTGAATTTAATGTTAAAAATTTTACAATATAACTTGTTTCAAATTTCAATTAATCAACATGGGACTAGAGCCCTTCAAAAATTAATTGACAGTTTGAACAATAATTTACAACTAGAATTACTCACTAAGGGTTTACAGCCATACATCATTGAACTTATTAAAGATCTTAATGGAAACCATGTTATTCAAAAGATTTTGAATAAATACCTGCCAGAAGATTGTCAGTTTATTTACGATTCGATTATTAATGACTTGCTAACCGTTGCAACACATAAGCATGGATGTTGTGTTTTGCAAAAGTGCTTGAACCATGTAACCCCCAATCAATTATTGTCATTCTCAAATAAGATTTTGAGTTTTGAAGTTTTTGTTAAATTAATTAACGATCAGTTTGGAAACTACGTTTTACAGTACTTGATCTCAATTAACTCTTTTGAAATCAATTTGAAAATGTTTAACAATTTTATTGCATTTGGAATTAATAACTTATGTAATCTAAAATTTAGCTCAAACGTAATTGAGAAATTCTTGAAGAATTGCTACAACAATGAGTTTCGGTCTGAACAATTTTCGAATTTAAAATTTAGTTTGGTCTACCAAATATTGATTACTGATTTGAACAAACTAATTAACGATCCCTACGGAAACTATGTTATTCAGACGTTGATCGACGTCCTTATAAATAGCAAAGTGGGGTATAAAGAGCCATTTCTGAACAGTTTTTTGAAACTTTTACCATTGAACTATAAGACACTGCAAGATACTTTGCAAATTATAATTATCAAGAATTGGTTCAAGAACTGTAAGATCGTTTCTAGTTTTGGAAAAAGAATTCAGCTGAAAATAAATTTGATTTTAAATGGGGTACCTCAGCAGCAATTTCACTCAAGTCCTTATTATGCACCTAAGAATAGATCTCAGAATATGATTTCCCCTCAGAACATGAATGCACAAGGAGAATTCGTCAATAGCGATTCACAAATGATGCCACCAATGCAATATCGCTCTCTTAGCTTCTCATCGCCTTCCCAAGGTCAACAATCTAATTATCCATTGGCTCTAAACTATTATCTGCAATTGCCTAATAATTATATTTTAGGGTCTGGATCTCAGATTGAAACGAGGAGGTTGAACCAAGTAAACAACCAGGCGATGCGAACAAATACTGGACTAAATAATGATTTAATGACTAACGACTATCAAATGCCACTGAGGCTGAATCCAGGACAAGCATACCAAAATCAGCAACAAGTATATTCTAACCCCAAACAGTCCAGCAATTCTGCTATCAACTCATCATACATGGTAAGTACGAATAGGTTTCCACCTAATCAACCTTCGTTCGCTCTCAATTTTCCGCTGGTAACTCCGTTACAACCGCAACAGCAAAACCAACAGAACCAGAGAACTTATGCAAAGGAAAATAGCTACTTTCAAAATTAGTTTGCTATCGCGCTTAGTTCTGCATAAATTCCTTGTTGTGAGCTACGATTTGGTTATATTTGTTACAATACCAACTTGCTTGTTTGTATTACTCGTATTTTTGCTCTTTTATTCAGTTTTTTTTTTCATGTTGTCTTTGCTTGCATTTCATCAAGACTTTTTTTTTTTTTTTACCACAGTTAGGACCTGTTGATTGTACCACCATTGTCATTGTCATCTAAGAACAGATAATACTATTATATCGAGGGATAACTGTGAATATTTAACAAAATATTCAGTTCTGGTACGACAAAATTATTATGTTAAACTTCCTAAACTGTTGAGAATTATAAGAAATAGAGTTGAGTTTTAAATTCTCAATAAAAAAGAATTGAAAAATAAAGGAAAAATCGAAAATAAAAATAAAAAAAATTAAAGAAAAGGTCATGAAGCAGACTCTTTAAAGAAGTTGTATTCCTATGTTTTATTATTTGCCCACACTTGAAGGTCAAGTACTGCTTCGACTGATAATCGCTCCCAAATTGTGTATCATTTGATATAAGGTAGAGTTACATTTTACTTTCAATGTTTATTCAAAGCTTTCAGTATATACAGTTTTATTTCAAATTATTTATGGTTTACATTTTTCTTCAGGAGTCCGTAATAACATTCTCTAACCCTACTTGAATTCACTGTTTCATTCGCATTTTTATCGATTAAATCGAAATCACACTTTACGTGTGTTTTCTTTTCGCTCTGTCCCAAGCAGACTTGGATTTTCTCTTTCTAGAAGTGTCATCACTGATTTTCCTGTTATTGTTGAACATGGACCAGTCTTCACCAGCAAAATTGTTCACCTTTTCTCTCTCTCTGTCCTTGAAAGATTTTTTCATTTGAGTTTGAGGCAATCTTACAAAGTTGTTTTCTTCGTAGCTTTGTATCTCTTTTTCCTTTTCACGTTCTGCATTAGTTTTTACACCACCACGTCCACTATCCACAATTGTGGAGCCGATCGAAGTTTCTACTTGAGGCAAATCAGAAGAATCCCTCAAATATTCCTCCATACTCTGAAGTTTCCTTCCTGAGTGCTGTCTCTTTGTATCAAACTGCTGAGTAGGAGGGGCAACAGCAGATATCTTTGGCGGTCTATATTTCTCCTTTCCTGTTATTGGATTAGACTTCTCTTCTTTCGTCAACTTAGCGAGCGCAGAAGAATCTGGTTTTAATGATAGTTCGTCTTCTTCTTCTTCACCACTAGAAACGTCACTGCTATTAGCAGAACTTGAATTTCCTCCTTCGCTCGATCTAGAGCGCATCTTTCCATCTAATTCTTCCTCCTGTTTCTTGTTCTCAGCCTCCATTCGATGATATGATCTGATCATCTTATCTAACTGATAATTTAATTTTTTCTCAAGTGGCTTTATTCCTTTCTCCAAAGTTACTCTTTGTACAATTGAGCCTTTCACAGCATCCTCTAAAACTTCATCATTACAAGAACCATTTACTCTTTTTAAATGTCCCAACACTATCAAGACTAAATTGTTAATATATGATAAGAGTGAATTATTTTTCAATGCGAGTAAAGAAACTCCTTCTAACTTTTCTTGATTCAATTTTTGTAATAGGTCTTCCACTAGCGAGGAGAATGGACTCTCTTTATTTTTTATAGACAACCCATCCACGAGCCCTCTTGTTTCATCCAAAGAGGATATTATACCTTCCAATATCACATCTATATCTTTTGAGGACATTATATAGTATATTTTTAATAAATGAATTCCTAAAACTTTTGTTAATATTAATACTCCTAAGCTAAAGAAGTATAATAAAAAAAAAAAAAAATTACGAGGTATTGCACAAAACTATCTTGCGATGTCTTGAATTTTTTTTTTTTGCTAGCCCATTAATTGGGAATCGGTTTATTCAATTACAGTTTCTTGAATAATTTAACTACTTTTCTTGGGAGTTAATATTAAAGATGCCTCAAAACGAATATATTGAACAGCACATCAAAAAGCATGGAAGAAGGCTAGATCATGAGGAAAGAAAGAGGAAGAGAGAAGCCAGGGAAGGTCATAAAATAGCTAAAGATGCTCAGAGTTTGAAGGGATGGAGAGGTAAGCAATTTGCAAAGAAACGTTACAGCGAAAAGGTGGCCATGAAGAAGAAAATTAAAGCCCACCAAGAGTCTAAAGTTAAAGGACCTTCCGTACCTCAAGATGAAGGTGAAGCATTGCCTACTTATTTGTTGGATCGTGAGAGTAATAACACAGCTAAAGCCATTTCCTCATCTATAAAGCAAAAAAGAATGGAAAAGGCAAATAAATTCTCAGTTCCTTTGCCTAGAGTTAGAGGAATTTCTGAGGAGGAAATGTTCAAAGTAATCAAGACTGGTAAATCCAAATCAAAGTCTTGGAAGAGAATGATCACGAAGCATACATTTGTCGGTGAAGGTTTTACTAGAAGACCTGTTAAAATGGAAAGAATTATCAGACCTTCGGCACTCAGACAAAAGAAAGCTAACGTGACCCACCCTGAGCTAGGAGTTACTGTTTTCTTACCTATTTTGGGCGTGAAGAAGAATCCTCAATCGCCTATGTATACTCAAATGGGAGTTCTCACAAAAGGTACTATTATAGAAGTAAATGTGTCTGAGTTAGGTCTTGTTACTGCTGGTGGTAAAGTTGTCTGGGGTAAGTATGCACAAATCACAAATGAGCCAGATAGAGATGGGTGTGTTAACGCAGTATTATTAGTTTGAAGATAATATTAAAATATTTAGGATTTTTTTGCATTTAGAAGTCTTACGACGTGAATTTATGACAATTCATAAAATTCTACTCTTAGAATTGTATAATCTTGCTTTTCCTTGTTTTTCGAACTTTCTTTAATTCATCATCATGGAAAAAGGTCCAGATTTATTTAAATGATTATTTATAATGCATTTCGTTTATTCATAAAATATATTAGAGTTGAAGATAAGTACCAAAAAGCCATCAGCGGTCTTCGAATAAATTGGTACAAATAACCTCACTTCTCCCTAATGACCTAAAACCGCAATTCAATATAAGCTTGGCATTCTCCCTAATGACTTCCCATTGACTATTTAACAACTTCGAGCCGATCAAGAAACACAATCCACTGATATTCTCTTTGTGTTTTATCCTGGATAAGACATCACAGTATTGACACATGAATGAAAAATTATCGTTCCGTCCTCTTAAATGCGAGGGATTTTCAATTGATTTACGAAGTATGTCATCTTTAGGAAAGAATTGAAGGAACTCAGACCGAATCCTTTGAAGATATTCGTATCCACCTTCGGCACTGAGCTTGACTAGTTTAGAATAGGAACCTTCAGGAGGGATTATCTCAGTCTCGTTAAATCTATTGCTCTCTAATCCACAAGTGATGAAAACGTAACTCCAAAGGACTAAAGTCGCAATACTAATCGCGTACATGGAGTCATTTGCATCAGTTGAAGCTGTCCAATTTATAAAGGAATCCGAGGTGTTTTTGGTATCGTAGAAGGGCAAAAGCATTGCTTCCCATAAAAGTAAATAGCAATGAACAACGGCTTTGAAGTTTATTTGCTTGCTCAATTCCAGATTTTCTGAACCTCCCTTTCCTTTCCAGATTTTGCTCAACTTTCTTTGAACAATTTGAAGATCTTTCTCGCTTGCGGCGACGCTCATATTTGCAGGTGATCCACCGAATATAGCTATATCATAGTGATTTATATCCGATATACCGATTATTTGTGTCAAATGGTAGATAGAAAAGTGGCAACCCGGGATGATCCCGGGCTTCAAGATTCGAAGAGACTTTCTGACCTTCGAATCGGCCATTTCACTACCCTCCACTATATACCAATTATCCATAGCCTTAGCTAGAGATTCTTTCCATATTTTAGAGCTAAGCAGTTTTCTAGATTTACCGATTGATAATAGCTGAAAATTATTTTGCAATTCTGCCTGATTCATTTGATACATAATGGAAATCAACCCTCCGAATAATATCTTCTTTGCAAACGAAGAAAGTTTCCATTGTGATATTGAGTCGATGGATTTATGAGCTCTGATTAGTTTTTTCAATACATTCAAAAAACCTTCACCATAATGAAGATTAAAAAAATCCTCGTGACGTATATGCTTCCAACGTTGCTGAATTTTGCGTTGTCTTTTCACGATCTTTTTGAAGGATCCATTGACATCTGAAGACTCCCACAAATTTTCATCGTCACAAGGTAGACTAAAAAGTTGTAGTTGATGGAACATAATTTGAGGAGCATGTCTGAATTTTATGTAATCAATAATATCCAAGTAAAATGTCATAAATGTGATTCTCTTTAAAGATTCAGATTCTACCCACCTATTAAACAAATCAAAGTCAGAAGTGTCATGGTCACCCATATTAGACAGGTCAGATGAGCTGCTTTCATCTTCCCCATCTGCACTAGCACCTGTTGGAGTAGAAGAATGAGGCTTCGATATGTTAGCGGGATTTCCACCTAAGAGTGGAGATCTTTTTAACAACTGAACTGTTGTACCGTGATGTATATGTGCCCTCTCGTGCATCTGTCTCAGAAGAAAGTTTTTTTCAGACCACTCTAATAAGTTTAAACTTTGAAGTACCCACAACTTTACTGGTGACTTGAAATCATTATGTTGGAAAATCATATATCTCAAAGGATCAGCAATTCGTAAACCGAACTCATATTCGGGTGAAATACCTTCGAGCCTTTCTTTAGAAGGTGTGTAATTACTACCAATTAGAATTATTGAAAGTAGAAGTAACGGCTCGGCACTTTTAGTATTAAATGACGGTTTATGTAAAATTGTAAACTGTGGATGAAAAATTGACCAATAAGCCCACAAATAAAATGAGAATCTATCTTCGAGTGATACATCGCATTCATCTTCTTCAAAAATTTTTGACATGTTTTGTCTAGTCATAGTTGGTAAGGAATTAGCCAATGTGTCGACTAGCGCACTATTAACAAAAATGTGCCGATTAGTAGGGTTGTTCATTTTTTCACCATGAAGTGCTATTTGATCCTTATTCAATATCTGATCCTTTGGCAGGAACTCAGAAATGCTATCATGAGGACTTAAGTCGTTTGTATTTGTTGGTGATATTGAAGAAATGGTGGACATTACACCATTAGCACCAGCAGTGGACTTGAAGTAAGGATCCAGAATAGCGAAAGGATCGCTTAAGTTAGATTGATAAGAACGAAAGAAAACTTCATCTAGAGGGTTACTCTCGTTCAGGAAAATATTTTTTTCTTGTAAATCATTCATCATCTGAAAAGAATTTGAATTAGCAAAATAGTGAAAAGGAGTCAACGATCTAGAATTGTCACCCAAAAAGTCTCGCTTACTTCCTTCCGAAGTTGAGGTAGATATGGATTCCTTTTCGCTCATCATTTGTATTCCGTTGGGGAAATCCTCAGCCATATCTGAATTATTGTCTGCATTAAACAGGTTATGTAATGTTTTTCCATCATTTGCTTCTTCCACATGGAAGTTGCGTAAACGATTCGAGGGGGACTCTGAAAATAGCCAAGATAGGACATCACCTTGATTTTGAAGACCATTATGATATGTGGATTTAGTGCCAAGTTGATGCAAAGACGAAGAAGACAAAGGGGGCAATCCTTCATTTGGAACTGAGTACCTTGGAATACTACTGGTATCTGTATACTGGGGACTTATGATAGAATCCAAATTATTGAGTTTATGTATTGTAGCATTATGATTGTCAAGTATTGGCCCACCTTGAATTCCAGTATGATTAATTAATCCAGTGGGCGACTCATCTAACAAAGGAAGTGAAGAAACTTCAGAGGACCCATTCCTACCAAGATCACTTCCTTTATGGTCCTTTACTTTATTTTCAAAATGCCTCTTTATATGACGGTCCCTAAGATCTTTCCTGACAAATGTTTTACCACATTTTCGTCTGGAACCAAATTCGTCGATTAAGAAGCTACATTCAAAGACCTGTTTGGGCTTATGATTCAAATGATGTCTAGCCAAATGGTCTGATCTCGTAAATACCTTTGAGCAATCTGGACACTTGAATGCACCTATCGTTCTCTTTTTTTTCTTCGGTGGATTGGCACTCTCGTGTGTAGCCGCTTGCATTTCGTTTTCTTTATAAGATATTTTTTTTCAGAATCTATTCATGAAATTAAATCCGTTCTAAAGACTGACTTCGATCACTTTTAAAGACTCAGGATACTTTTCTTAGGCCTCGGACATTCAATAGCTGCATTGATCAATCTTTTGCTCTCTTATTTACTTCAGAAAAATTTAGTTGGATGACTCCACAAAATTTCCGCATGGCTGATCAGAGTGTCACATGATGCAGAGAATATTGACTACGGGAATATTGAAGCGAATTAAGCTCATACATAACTCTATCAGATCATTACTTTTCACTCATTTCTATATTGTTCAAATCACAGAAAACATAAATAGATGGTTCCTGATCATCAAAATTGACTGTTTCAGCCTCATCATTAAAGTGAACAGATTTCTCAATACTGCCATATTGGCTGGATGACGAAGACGCCAGCGTTATAACCAGACATGATTTCAGAAATCTTTGAGTTACACTATCGAAAGAATTCTCTGTACCATTAGAACAAAATGAGAAATTCGTAGGTTTAAGCTCGAATTCTGAATCTATGAAATAACCTTCGTTCCATTCTTTGCCATAGTAGGTGAGCAGTTTTTCAATATTCATAAGAAAGGCGTTGCAAACATAGTTTCTTAATCGCAAGGTTTCGTTGCTCTCTCCTAGTGGAAATACTCGATATGCTCGTTCATAGTCTTCATAAGAGTAACAGTCATATTCACTAGGTTCGAACTGCCAAATTTTCTTAAAGGACAGAAAGAAACTCAATTTTTCAGAAGACGAAATCTTATCAAAGTTAGAGATCATTTCGGTGTACTGATCGAATAGGGAATCCATCTTGCAAATAACAAATTTTTCAAGAAAGCATTCTTCTATTTTCTCGACCAAGCTATCTTTGTTTTTCTTATCAATAATTTTATTGCAAACATCATTGATTCCCAAGTCATGGAAATCCAGAAGGATAATATTTACTATGAAGTTACTCATGTTAGAAAGATCATCGTCCTCCATTATAACATCAAACTTTTCTGCAGTAAGCTCTTTTATTTTCTCAATAGCAATTCTCTGCGGAATAGAGCAAGACTCTAAATCGTTCTTCAATATCTTGACCTGAGTCTGATTTTCAAATAAGCTTGAAGGTGATAGTATGTCCACTAAATCACTATTCATGCGAATAGGGTGAGTTTTACCGTTCTCAATTGTGTCTTCAAAATCGCTATCTGTGAGATCCTCAGACTTCTGATCCTCATCTTCCAGACACTCGAGATTACTGGTGGAGGTCATTTGTATATAATTCTGGATTGACCTCAACAATCCTTCTCGAACAGTCTTTTTAGTATCTTTCAAATATATAGAGTTACATTCGCAGAAAGGAAAGCGCTGGAGAAGCTTTTTGTTCTCTTTCTCTTTCTCTTTCTTATACTCTATTGAGAATTCCCTAGATATTCGTTCCAAATTATGTAGGGCCGATTGCATCGCTTCAATGGAACCTATTGATGCTTCAGCAGCAAATATGTTAAAGCCAAACTTAGCTTCTTACTATTTTGAAAGAGCTTTAGAGCTCTGGTGATACCATAACCTGGGTACTGTTAATATTAAGCTTATAGCGAACAAGATCAGTTTACATTTGTAAATGCGTGCGCTTACTCGAATAAGTTGCTTATCAGTAATCAAGCTAAACCGGCAAAATATCTAGCAGCCAGGGAGTACGATGACTCTTTTCTTACAAGTGATCACTCTTGATTTCAAAGATTGTCGTAGAATCTGCTTGATTCTACTGCCACATGAGATATAGAGCATCGTGAGCTTCAAGAACTGTAATTACTGTTCCTGTCCTACATTTCACAAGATGATAAAAAGGAAATAGGAGAAGTACAAGTAGCTACTGCACTATATCTACTTTCTTTACTTCGTACAATAGACATCTTCTTTCTTACGAGCTTCAATGAGTATGAAAGCGTGATTATTTAGAATTTATTGTATTCACCTAAGATCTTATATAAGCTTAAAAGAACGCGAAATCAATAGCGAAGATTTTAGACACGGTACCTTCTTAAAAAAACGCTACAATACCTCTCTTCAGGCTGAGGTGCACATACTTATTTTTATTGGGATAAGTTTTGCTCTCTAGATAAATTCTTAAAAATGATCTCAAGTCGTAATATTCGGGTCTTGATATCGCTTCTTGCAATTTTTGCGATCGTAGCGTTTTTTGCTTCATCTCAAAATTCACTAAGTGGCTCTGTTCAAAAGGCGACGACAGGTGACCAAAGTGAATCACCCCCATTTGCTTTCGAAGAGGATCAAGCAAGCACTTTAAAGAATAGACCTCATAAGGGCACTGAACCACCATATTCGGTGGATACTCAAAAGGAACAACCAGAATCCAACGAGAAGAAACCTCAAGTAATCGCCGATAAATCAACTGGAAAGGCTGACCCCAACAAAGATCCATCACATGAATCCACAAAAGAGTTGGGAGAAAATACAGCATCAAAGGAGGGTCTGAAAGCAAAATGTGATCAGAAAAACTACGCTGTTATGATTGACGCAGGTTCGACTGGGTCTAGAGTTCATGTGTATGAGTTTGACAGTTGCGTCACTCCTCCCAAATTATTGAATGAAAAATTTGAGATGATAGAGCCTGGTTTATCTTCATTTGATACAGATACAGTGGGCGCTGCTAAATCACTTGATCCATTGTTAAAGGTAGCCTTAGATTCCGTTCCCAAGAAAAGCCAAAGTTGCACTCCCGTCGCTGTCAAAGCGACAGCGGGCTTGAGAAAGTTAGGTAACGAAAAATCCCAGAAAATACTAGATGAAGTAAGAAGACACTTAGAATCCAAATATCCATTCGCAGTTGTTCCTGGTGATGGCGTTTCGATTATGGATGGAAAGGATGAGGGAGTTTATGCTTGGATTACTACAAACTACTTACTTGGTAATATCGGCACACCAGAGAAGGTTCCTACAGCTGCTATTTTCGACTTAGGTGGGGGATCAACACAAATTGTCTTTGAACCTGAGTTCGGTAACAATGAGGAAATGGTTGAAGGAGAACACAAGGTCCATCTTACATTTGGTCGTAGAGATTTCATTTTGTATCAATTTTCCCATTTAGGATTTGGATTAATGGAGGCTAGAAATAAAATTAATGCTTTAGTTCTTGAGCAAGCTCTAAAGTCAAATAATGAGCTTTCTAAAGCAAAGTACACGAATAAGGAAACAGCGAAGGCTGCAAAGGGTAGCATATCTGTTTTTAACCCTTGTATCGCTCAAGGTATAGAGGCGAAAGACATTCTTGTTGAAATGCCAGATAACGAATATTATGTAGTCAATATGAAGGGTCCATCTACTGCGGCAGGCTTTGAATGCCGGTATTTAGCCGAAACAGTCCTTAATAAGGAAGCTGAATGCAGTCAGAAGCCTTGCTCTTTCAATGGTGTTCATCAACCATCTTTGACGAGGGCCTTCAGGAAGTCATCTGACATGTTTGTCTTTTCTTTCTTCTACGATAGGACTATTCCTTTAGGGTTTCCATCTTCCTTTACTGTTGAGGAGTTAAGCGATTTAGCCAAAATCGTATGCAGTGGTGACCAATTTTGGAAAAATGTCCTTTTAGATGATCATGTCAAGGAATTATCGCAGGAGCCACAATGGTGCCTTGATTTATCTTTTATAACGGCGATGTTGCATACTGGCTATGATATACCTTCCCATAGAGAACTAAGAACTGTTAAGAAGATTGATGGCAATGAAGTTGGTTGGTGTCTAGGAGCATCATTGCCCTTGTTAGACAAAACTACGTCTGGATGGGAGTGTAAGGTTGAATCTTTAGATTAATTTTGCATTAACCTACCTCCATTATATATAAAACAGATTAGCTTTTTAGTACATATTCCAAAGATATTAAGTTTCTTGTAGTTTTATTATCGGCCCGATGCCGCAATAGTTAACTATTTTGTATCGATAATCATAAACGAGATTGCGTATCATAATATTTAGGAGAAGCAAATAATTGAAATTTACTTGGACATCGGCAAAGGGGTTAAATAAATTCAAATCTAAACTTCGAGCGAGAACACCTGCTTGTGGAGCAATAGAAGAGATATGTCTTTACTGAGCGGAGAATCTGAAGGTACGATCTTGAATCATGCGTCGTCACAAGATGGTGAGCAGACACATGGTACTAAGCGAGGAAGTTACAAATCACTGAGGCGGCCTAGTCATAGGCGTCTGATCAGTCCCAGTCGAGCCACTTTACCCAACCGAGAATGTTTGAGGATTCATAATAAGCTAACGAGAGAACAAGACCAAAAGAAAGTGTCTTCTTCAGTGTTAAAGAAGCTAGGTAAAGATGAATTGAAATCAGTTAAATCACATACAGAATTGGCAGAAACTGCAAATGGAGTACGAATGCTTGCTAAAAATTTGGCAAAAGCGACCATTCATCTAGATGTGAAGGCAGTTATGATAGTGACGAAAGCCAGAGATAATTCATTGGTTTATTTAACCAGAGAGATAGTAGATTGGCTACTCTCAAAATATAAGGATATCGTAATATATGTAGACAAAAAATTGAAAACACTGAAGAGATTTAATGCTGATCTTCTTATAAAGTCATATCCAAAAGCAAGTCAACTCCTTCAATATTGGGACAAAGATTTGGCTTTGAGAAACCCTGAAAAATTAGATGTTGTTTTGACCTTAGGTGGAGATGGGACTGTTTTATATGTTTCCAATCTTTTCCAAAGAGTTGTCCCACCTGTGATATCGTTTTCATTGGGATCGCTTGGGTTTCTAACTAACTTTAAATTTGAAAAGTTTCGGGAAAAGATGGCGAACGTTTTAGAATCGGGTGTCAAGGCTTATTTAAGAATGAGATTCACTTGCAGGGTGCATAAGGCTGATGGTAGGCTTGTTTGCGAGCAACAGGTATTAAACGAGCTAGTAGTGGATCGTGGACCGAGCCCTTACTTAACACAGCTTGAGCTCTATGGAGATGGTTCTTTATTGACAGTTGCGCAAGCTGATGGACTAATCATTGCCACACCTACAGGCTCTACTGCTTATTCACTTTCTGCTGGAGGCGCGTTGGTTCATCCCGCAGTTGGAGCCATAAGCGTAACACCGATTTGCCCTCATACATTGTCATTTAGGCCGATCTTACTTCCTGATGGAATGTTCATCAAAATTCGGGTGCCTGAGGCAAGCCGATCTACTGCATGGGCTTCATTTGATGGAAAGGTACGTACTGAGCTTTTTAAAGGAGATTATGTGACTGTTCAAGCAAGTCCGTTTCCTTTCCCAACAGTTATATCTTCTAAAACTGAATACATTGACAGTGTTAGTAGAAATCTAAATTGGAACGCAAGAGAGAAGCAAAAACCATTAAAAACGCTTTTGGATACAAAGCAGAGCAATGACTTGCCTATAGAAGAGAGTGATATTGATAATCTTCATATTGCTTCGAACGACTCTGAAAACTTCGATATAAACTCGACAGACGATTCCGACTATGATCGCGAGGACGAGGATACTCGATATCTACCTGCTCCAGGGGCTGGATTAAATACGCCCCCTTCACATACCTTCAGTGATGATAGAACTTGCTACGCGCATCCAAATGCAAGGATATCAATTGATGGACAAAGCTCTAGTAGAAGTGCGTCGAATAATTCGATGGGTTCAGATGGAATATTCTTCTCTCCTGATCCTATTCACCCACCAATACATGGCCGTCGGAGTCATAGTGAAAACTAGGATATAAGTCTCGATGCAGGAAAGAAAGGGTCCAAATCAGCCTTCCGAGGCGTCACGTAAGACCAAAAGATGTGACGCCTACTCGTTATTTGTTCCGATCAGTCTTTGAACCCCTTTAATCAATTAGTGTGATAATTGATACGCAGGTTATTCAGTCTAAAGCTATCGTCTTTCCTCTTACGAGTTATAAGTCTACTGAAAGCGTTTTGATATAGACTTCAATAGAACAAAGATCATCTCACATTCACGTGAACGTGTGTATGTAGATATAAAAAAAAAATTTTCTTTCACGAATGGGTAGTGCTGATACCGATGTGTGGAAAAGAAACTTCTATAGTATAAAACTAAATGGTAATCACCACTTTAATATCAAAAATAAATTGAATAAGGTTTTTATTATTAGTACATAAAACAAAAGAAAAATGACAGACATCACACAACAAATGAACAACCTTTCTGTCCAAAATGGTGAGGAAGGTAATGGAGGTCGTCAATACGTACCGCCTCATCTTCGCAATAGACCAAATAGAGGATCGAACAATGGAGATGGGTCGTTTGGTGGAAGCCGCCGTGGCGGAATGAGTGGCGGAAACTTTGGCAGTCGTAGAGGTGGATATGGATCCACTGGAGGAGATGGATATGGAAGAAGAGGCTTTAGCAACGGTGGTGGCCGTGGTGGATTCAATAAGTTCAACTCACCCAAGCCGGGCGTGGGAAGATGGGTTGATGGAAAACATGAACTTGCTCCTAAGAATGAAAGGCTTGAAATCGAGCTCTTTGGAGTCCAAGATGATCCTTCTTTTCAATCATCTGGTATTAATTTTGATAATTACGATGATATACCAGTTGAGGCCTCAGGAGAAGGCGTTCCAGAGCCAATCAACTCATTTACAGCTCCTCCATTGGACCCATTATTAGTTGAAAATGTTATCCTTTCGAGATTTATTAGACCTACGCCAGTTCAAAAGTATTCAGTTCCAATCGTTGCTGGTGGAAGGGATTTGATGGCATGTGCGCAAACTGGTTCAGGAAAGACTGGTGGTTTCTTATTCCCAGTTTTATCCGAATCTTATATGAATGGACCAGCTCCTGTTCCAGAAGGTGCTGGTGCCTTCTCTTCTCATAAAGTTTATCCCACAGCTTTAGTTATGGCCCCTACCAGAGAGCTTGTCTCTCAGATTTTTGACGAAGCCAAGAAGTTTTCTTATAGATCTTGGGTACGTCCATGTGTCGTTTACGGTGGATCTGATATCGGAAGCCAAATCAGAAACTTGGAGAGAGGATGTGACTTATTAGTTGCTACTCCAGGTCGTCTTAAGGATTTATTGGAAAGAGGAAGAGTCTCATTAGCTAATATCAAATACTTGGTTTTGGATGAAGCCGATAGAATGTTGGATATGGGATTTGAGCCGCAAATCAGACATATTGTCCAGGAATGTGACATGCCAGGTGTTGAAGAAAGACAAACCCTTATGTTTTCAGCCACATTTCCAAGGGATATTCAAATGTTAGCCAGGGATTTCTTAAAGGATTATATTTTCTTATCTGTGGGAAGAGTAGGTTCTACCTCAGAAAACATCACTCAAAAAATATTATACGTCGAAGACGACGAAAAGAAGTCAGTATTATTAGACTTGTTATCCGCTAATGATAATGGTTTAACAATTATATTTACTGAAACTAAAAGAATGGCTGACAACTTGGCTGATTTCTTGTATGACCAAGGGTTTCCCGCAACTGCTATCCATGGTGATAGATCACAATACGAAAGAGAGAAGGCATTATCAGCATTTAAAAGCGGAACCTCGCCTATTTTAGTTGCCACAGCTGTTGCTGCTAGAGGTTTGGATATTCCGAACGTTGCACATGTTGTCAACTTTGACTTGCCAAGTGACATAGATGATTATGTTCATAGAATCGGTCGTACTGGTCGTGCTGGTAACATTGGTATTGCTACCGCTTTCTTCAATAGAAACAACAAAAATATTGTCAAGGGATTACTTGACTTATTAGGAGAAGCTAATCAAGAAGTCCCAGATTTCTTGAGCAAAATTGCAAGAGAATCATCTGTCGGCAAATCTATTCGTGGTGCTCCTGTTCGCGGTGGAAGATCAGGTGGTCCCGTAAGAGATTTTAGAAGACAAGGTGGGAGCTCGTATGGTGGGTCATCTTGGGGTAGCAGTAACGGTAATGGTTATGGCTCTTCAAATGGCTATGGCGGGGGTTACAGCTCTCGTGGTGGACAGAGCAGTTATGGATCATCAAACTATGGTAATCCATCAAGTTCTAACTCTTGGTGGTGAGGAGAGACATGAAATGTTCTCTTTCAATGTGCTGCATTTCTTGCAGGACTTTTTTTTTAAAAAGATATTATTTTATTTTTATTTGTCGATGTCTTGATCTCATTTTATTCATCAAGGAAAAGAAAGATTTTATTTTACATTATTATTATTATTTGCATTAATCACTTGCGTTATGTTTAAAGATTTATGTCCTTTTTTTTTTCAAAGGTCGCTTTTATTATGGATGACTGTCTTGAAATGATTTTGATTTTGATTCATTTAGATTTCCGTTATCAGCTTAGACCAGAGCATTGTCCATATAATGTATTATAGGTATTATTCTCCTGAAAAAAAAAAAGGGTTGTGGTAGAAAATATTCATTCAGAAAATAAAACATATAGAAGTTATTAATGGGTTATTTATAAATCTTTGTTTTCTTTGGGGGTGTTTTTAGTTATTTATTTTGTTGAAGCTTCGTTTTAATAATGCGGATTTGGGCATTGAGTTCACATATATATATATGGATTTTAAATGTATATATATAGTTTTCCAATCTACATCATATTTAGTCGATTAATCACGAGTCGCCGAGGTTACGCGAACTAAACGTATTTTATAATAGATCTAAAAGATTCAAAATTTGTATTCGCTAGCAAAAGTAGGATGATTTACAAAAAGTATATTAAACTCATCGCCACTTTGTTAATTGTATTCTTTCTCATTCACTTCTTGACAAGTTTAAGACAATACAGTGGATCACAAGGTGCCGAATCTACGAAAAAAAGGGAATTTACATCGGAACTACTGAAGGTTGATTGGAAAAAGCATGGCTTTAATTATCAAACCAATAGACTAGCCAGGCTACCAAAGCAAGCATCAGTTAGGGAGCAATTGGCGTTTCATTTTCCCTATGATATACTGCAGCCGTTTCAAAAGAACATATGGCAGACTTGGAAGGTCTCTTTGGACCACAAGGAATTTCCATTGAAGTACAAAAATTTCCAATCTAGTTGGAGTGAGAAAAACCCTGATTACGTCCATCATATTTTATCAGACTCAGAATGTCATGAGTTCGTAAATCAAGCATACTCTACAGTACCTGATGTTGCAGAGGCTTACAATATAATGCCCAAAAGCATTTTGAAGGCAGATTTCTTTAGATACTTGGTCTTATTTGCAAGAGGTGGTGTATACTCTGATATTGACACGGTTGACTTAAAGCTGATCGACACTTGGGTTTCGCTGAATGAAATGCTATTTGGTAAGCCAAACATAGCGGGTCTAGTTGTGGGTATTGAAGCAGATCCCGACAGACCAGATTGGGCACAGTATTATGCTAGAAGAATCCAATTTTGTCAATGGACCATTCAGGCTAAGAAAGGGCATCCAATGCTTAGAGAATTGATTACAAAAATAACAGAATTGACATTATGGAGGAAGAAAGAACTGAAGTTGACATCTGTTTTAGGAAAGGATGAAGGAGGTGACGTTATGAATTGGACCGGACCTGGCATATGGACAGATTATTTATTTCAGTACATGAACAGTTTATTACAATCTGAAGACGACTCTAAATCCAAAGAAGATGATCAAGTTATAACTTGGAAAGTATTCACTGGTATGGAAATGCCTATTGCAATTGAAGATGTCCTTATTTTGCCTATTACATCATTTAGTCCAGATGTTGGGCATATGGGTTCCAAAGGGTCAAATGATCCGATGGCCTATGTTTTACATAGATTTCTGGGAGGATGGAAGACAGACTAAGAATGAATTATTAGGGAAGTTGCGTGTATTATAAAGAAACTATAAAAGTTATAGATAAGTCATATCATCACCAATCTAGTTGCTCTAATATTTCAGAATTCTTCTGAAACATTGCATGAGACTCATTTTTTGCCCTGAATTTATTCCAATATATGATACAGCATTTATTTATACAGTCTGCAGAAATGTTTTTTTCAACTGTTCTATTTCCCACTATACCAAAGTTGGCATTATTGCAAGTTCCACAGGAGTGTTCAAGACTTTGAAATTTTGCGGCATGCTCTTTAAGCTTGGAAAACAGTTTTGAAATTAGAAGCGACTTCAGCTCAATACATGATTTGCATAACTTTCTTACACTGCGAGGCTCCAAATGAGACCCACAGTACAAGCAATTGTTTGAATTTAATGATTGCAACGCATTAAACGTACTTGCCTTATCAAGCGAAATAGTGCTCATTTTGGGAAGCTCGTCGTACCAGCTTTTGATATTAACACCAATTAAATTAAATAATCTTTCAAGAGGAGGAATCAAGACCTTAGTAATGTAGTATTCATAATCTAACACCATTGGCATTGCTGTATCATACGACTTTATGTATTCTTCTGGAGATACACTTCTATCCTTAATTCTAGGTTTCTCTGAGTTTCTAATGACAACGTAAGGTACCCTCTCCCTATATTGTGGCTCACTTCTAGCATCATGAAGAATTCTTCTTTTAGCAACAATAGCTCCTGGAGGTAAATAAGCTTCATTTTTGTACGTGCCATATCTCACTTCCTTAGCGAAACAAAAGTCATTCAATGGGACTTTGTTCATTATTATCTTTTGAAATTGTTCCAATACGTAACACTTTACTTTGGTCAAATTCTTGGTATCAAACAATATACGAAGAGCTTTTTCAACTATCTTCTGTTGAGCAGGAATGCCATCTCTTCTAATAGTCTCTATTCCCTTCGCATCAAATTTAGGCTCACGTTGATATTGATTTTCAAAGCTATAGCCAACATATCTCTTTTTACTCAATAATAAGCACGGATGATAAACTTTCTCAAATTTCAAGGTAATGGGGTCGGGAAACGCTTTGCTTATTCTCAGGCAAAGTTGATTTCCTATTTTGAATGCGTCATTTCTTGATTTTCCTGGTAAATATACGAAAAGCGAATCAGTATCTCCATAAACAACTTTTGCACCTACCCCACTACTTTCTATAAGCTCTATTGATTGAGTTAATATTTCCCTAGCAGTAGACACAATAGCATCCGCAATATCAGAATTTGGCATCCTACCGCTGAATGTTGCAGATGTGTAACCATATGTCACATTTGCTATCAACTTAAGCGCTAACTGTCTCGAATTTTGTAACTTTTTCAATTCTTTATCATCTTCCAAAATCTTCATTACTGATTTTACTTGAAAACGAATGTCAAGAATCTCTCTTAACATCTTCGATAATATTGATTTTCTCACTGATCTTTTTACAAACATAAAGCCATTTGGAGATACGTTAACTGCATTTTCTTTGACAAGAAACTCTACTAAACCAGGAGGTAAGCTCAAGTTCTTAACATAACCAATATGATTCTTATTATTCTTGAAGTTATTTAATTTGCCCAACAACGTTGAATAACAATAATTATAAGCTATCATTGTGGATGGATATAGCGATTGAAAATCAAGCACTAGTAAAGGTGACTTGTAAAAACTAGAATTAGGCTCCATAACTAGAGGTATACACTCCAAGGGTCTCATAACGTGGACTTGTTTTTTTGATGGAGCATTCAATAGCAAGTTTTCTTGCTTACATATTCGTGACAAAATAGACTCAACTTTGAACTGAGACCCTCTATAAAAGTTAGAATTAAAATCAATACCAATTAAACGAGAGAATTCGACATTTCTGGTAACATACTCTTGAATTTCCACAATTTTTATTTCAGATTGCACTCTGCACAAATAATACTTGAAAAACAAATTACGTTTCATGTAATCATTACTCAGTAACCATTCACTTAGTTTCTTATTAGCATATTTAGGTATTGACTGATGTAATAAGTGATATGATACATTCTCCAATGAATAATCAGTCAAGCTCAAATCAGATTTGATAAGTCGCCATATATTCAACATATGTCTCCCATTAATTTTGATGGACGAAGTATGAGTATAACCCCACCTGTCCCCAAATGTCCCATTGCTTCTGGATATACAGCGACTCAATCTTGCTAGCATATTTATCTCATGAACGTGCTTAAACCTTTCAATGATATATCCCCATGATGAAGCATTTATTTCATAGCCAGAGAGGATATCGGGATCCAATATTTCCACTATTCCCACTAAACGATCTATCATCTCAGACTCATTGTCAAAAGTTTCAAAAACCTCACAATCATTTAGAACATTCGAAGTATTAAAGTTAGGGTGCTTTTCACTGAGGCAATCTTTTAAGCATAGAATACCATTTTTTAATTTCAAGCTGCTGAACATATTGTTCGTATCATCAAATAAGAAAAATATTGCTGATATTGGATCTGTTAACGGGTTCGGAAGTAAATCATTTCTAGTCTTTGAATGTATTTCCAAATAAAAGTTACTCAAATTGAAATATCCGTCTGGTCTTCTCTTCACTTTTGCTGAACAATATGAAAATTTAAAGCGTTCGATAGAAAGGGGGGGCTCAATTTGAGATCTGTATTTCTCTCTCTTCTTCATTTCAACAGCCTCTTCGCTTCGTATCCAAGCTAAAATTTCATCTTTCAGAGGAGGGGCCATAGCATACTGCCAATTTTCCAAATTATATGAATTGTCTTTATTTTCAATAGCTAGTGTATCCTTAATACGTTTTGAGAACTCTAACCAAGGAAGCGTATCATCATTGAAACACTGCACTGAGATACGTCTGTTAGCAAACACCATAGATTTACTAGGCATATCTGACTCCCTTTCATAGGATGGGTCTTTGTAGTTTACTCTAAGAAGACCTTTTTGGTCAAAATAAGTGTAAATATTATCCCTTTGAAGATTTAAATCAGTTATAAGCTCATATGCACAAAGTTGGGTTGAATAGCCTTTAATACCGGAATTCTGGGATAGTGGTGTTGAAGAAACTTGTATCGAATCAATTTCCAGCTCGCTCACATCTGAAAATGACCTTTTCTTATTTTGCCTCTGAGTCATTTCAAATATCATGCTCTCATCAATTCCATCATTCCCAGAGATCAAATGCAGTGAAATATCATCAGCTGACTCAATAACAGTGTTTTTTGGAAGTGACTTGGAAGTAAACGAGTCCAGAATAATTTCTAACTTTGGGTCTGAGTCTGCGTCTATTTCTTTTATTTCATGATTAGAATCGTTGATAACCTCAATTTGGTCATCATCCATCTCGTCGTTCGACTGAGTGAAGGTGCTGTTAAAGCTTATTTCTGGAGGAAATTGGTAATGCTTTTCCGTGGACACGTCACTTGGACTATTATCAGTAAATAATTCTTCGTAAAGATTCCAAACATACAATTCTCGTCTTCCCATTGGAAATGAGCTTTTCTTGTACTTTTGAACATCGACCACTTCAAAACATGTTGGTATTGTACTGTATGAATCAATCTCTTCCTTGAAAGTTGCATCTTTCTTCATATTTTGCTTGTTCAATGTAACTACGTATTGTAGCAAATCATTCAAAGCAGATTGGTTACTCCACTTCGTTTCCCCCATCCCTTGATACATGTCATGTAAGCCTTGAGAATCTACCATACTTAAATTTCTGGACTCGCATTGATACTTCAAGTCCTCGTAGACATGGTGTACTGACGATAAGTAAACTTCATGGTCGAAAATACCATTTTTAAATTTATTAAGTTCAAAAAGTCCACTATGAATATCTCGTTCCTTCAAGAGATCTCTATTTGTAATATTCTTAGTTGATACGTCAATTTCTAGCAAAGAAGTGCCAATCCTTGTGAACTCCTTTTCACGTAGAACGTTATCGCAGCGAACATAAGACTTTAAAGATTCCTTGAAGTCTGAAGTGACCGTTCTACAAACTATCGGTGATCTAAAGTGAAAATCGTTTATCTCAAGCCACGCACAACCAAACAAATTAAAGTCAGTCATAAATTGCATTAAATATTGCAAATGCGATTCAAAAACATAAGAGGAAGATGATGAAGTATGAGCACCAAATTTCAATCTAACACTTTCAAAAGATATTTCTTTGTCGTGTATTAGTTTGGTCAACCTTGTTTTGTACAAAGGCGATAATAGAGATATCTTATAAAAAAGTTTTCTCTTCATGTAGTAACCGTAAATAGGAAAGCCTTTGCACACAACAACATTTGCAATATATTTTCTTCTATCATCTCCTACTTCTGCTCTGCTCCTTTCTGTTGTCTCATTTGCTTCTATTTGCATGTCGAGCTCGGATTCTTCGTCATCATTTGCATTTGCCTTTTTGAAAGAACTGGTGATCTTTGTCTCTAAGTACTCCACTATACTTGAGATGTACTTTTCAGAGCTAAGAAGATGAAGATCTTCTTCTTTAGCTTCCAAGTAAAGATACGGGTAGCAATTGTGAACATGAACTAGTATGTTACAGCACCCGCCAGCGATGGCTACTGATCCATATATTCGAATGATCGGGACTTGCCGAACTTGGCCATATAATTGGTCTAGTTTGGATGGCGGTGATTGATAACTATCATAATCATTTATTTGTACCTTGAATCCGTCATTCTCCATGCGAAACAATAATAACTTGTTATACTTTGCAATGTATTCTAACGGATTTCCTATAGAAAGTATATTTCAATTTAGCACGGGTCAGCATTTTGTCTCTCTTATCGCGATACTCTTCTAACCGGAATTTTGAGGTGTCGAATTAGAAATTCTAATGTTAGCGATAGTTCGCTTTGGTGCTACTTCAAGATTAAAGCGTTGAATAATAACAATTCATCACCTGGTCCAAAGGTGTAATTGTAAACTCATATAGCAGATACTGACTAGTACAGAATAAGAACAAGGAATAGGTTCGGCATCTACTTCCATATAAGTCGAATAGAATCAAGATTGCTTGAGAGGAAATACAAGCAAAGTATTAATGAACTGAGAGTTTACAGCTTGTTTTTATACTTCATTTTCAGACTACAAGTTTACAAAGTCACTCCTTAAAAGATTAAGCATAGAATAAGTACCCTTTTATTAGATCTATTGTATCGAACTATTAAGAGTTTTCTGTTCAACATTTTGATAGATCTGTGAAATTAAGGGATAGATACCCGTCTAGTTATCTCGTTGCATTACATCATTCATAAACATTCATACAAATAATTTAAGCTGTTTCAAACCGACACTCATGACTGATAAAAAAGTAAATGAGCAGTTGGGCTCATCGATGGAAAACCTATCATTAGATTCTAAAAAAACGTCTTCTGAACCACAGCTTCAAACACAGGCGCAATCTCCCCCGGTTTCAGCACATGCACAATTGAGCAGTGACATTCAAGCGAGGGTGTTGGCCTTTCAACAGAAAAGGACAAAAGCGGCTGGAGAAGCATCAACGTGTGTCGAAAAAGATCAGAAAGATTCAAACTTCACCAAGCCTTTACCTCCGTTGCCGAGTAACCCACGAGCACGAAATCTGGTTCCAAATATTGACTATCCCATGCATCCAAATGCAACAATCGGTTCCTCTTCTGGTAGAAGTAATTCTGCTGCGTCACCGATGGTTGGTAGGTTACCAGATCATGTATCTCCTAAGCAGCAGAATCAACAAAGCGACCTCAAAAAACGTCCCTCTTTGTCCCAGAGACGTGGTATGAAATTGAATATGAGCGATATGACAAGTCCCTCTGAGTCTAATGCGGGCTCCCCCAAGGTATCAGGATCGCCAACAAATTCAAATGAGGATCCAACACAGCATTTATACAGCACAGGCGACTTGGCCCGTACTTTGTCCGAAAGGAAGAAAAAGCCAAACTTCAAGTTGAACTTAAGCGATCAATCAGATTCGCTGTCAAGGTCAACATCCTTTTCTTCGGCGACATCTTCATCTTCCCCAAACCCAAATCAGAAGAACCAACTTCAAGGGTTATTTGCAAATTATTCGAAATATGTTGATATAAAATCGGGCTCGCTTAACTTTGCTGGAAAGGCGTCATTACATTCTAAAGGTGTTGACTTTCTGTCTGGGTCACTGTTCCGGATATCATTAGATGAACTTGAGTTTTTGGATGAATTAGGACATGGTAATTATGGAACCGTCCTGAAAGTTTTGCATAAGCCTACGGGTGTTTTGATGGCGATGAAGGAAGTGAGACTCGAATTAGATGAAAATAAGTTCACACAAATTCTCATGGAGCTTGAAATTTTGCACAAATGTGATTCACCATATATTGTTGACTTTTATGGAGCATTTTTCGTAGAAGGTGCGGTTTATATGTGTATGGAATATATGGATGGTGGATCATTAGACAAAATATATGATGAAGACCATGGCTTGAAAGATGAACCGTGTTTAGCATACATATCAGAATGTGTCATCCGTGGATTGAAACAATTAAAAGATCAACATAATATTATTCATCGTGACGTCAAGCCGACTAACATTTTAGTCAATACCAATGGAAAAGTCAAGCTATGCGATTTCGGCGTTAGCGGTAATCTTGTTGCCTCCCTAGCTCGAACAAATATTGGATGCCAGTCTTATATGGCTCCTGAGAGAATCAAGTCTTTAAATCCTGATGATAGTACCTATTCGGTTCAATCAGACATTTGGTCTCTTGGTTTAACAATTTTGGAAGTCGCTGCAGGTCATTATCCTTACCCCGCGGAAACATATGGCAATATCTTTTCTCAACTTAGTGCCATAGTTGATGGTGAGCCACCTAAGCTTGATCCAAAGATATTTTCTAAGGAAGCTCAGTTGTTCGTGAAATCATGTCTTAACAAAAATCCAAATTTGAGACCATCTTATGGTACTTTGTTGAACCATCCATGGCTTCAGAAATACAGAGATGTTGACCCCCATATGGACAGGTTTGTGACCGAGAGGGTTCATGAGATGGAAGAACTTAAGGCACAAAGGGGCCTTTCGAGATCTAATAGCACAAATGCACCACAACCTTCTCGAGTCAAGAATATTGACAATGCTCGTACTCTATTGAAGAAGAAAGTGAAAGCTCCTCCTTTACATAGAGGAGGACTAATGAACTCAAGAAATCCGAACATGAGATAGTTAGAAATAGAGCTTAATAAAATTATCTGTAAGTTGTGATTTAGTATAGTTAACGATCTTATGATCTTCAAATTTGTATAACTTTGTATGAATAAATTTCTGGTACGTATATTATATATAATTTTTCATTTCTGCATTTATTAGGTATCGTATGGGACATGTTGAATCAAACCCCACTACTGTTCATCATCTTTGAGATATTTTGACATAAATGGTCCATCCAAATGATAGCCTAACTTGGCATAATAATTTCTGACCCCCACCCCTGATATAACACTTATTTTTTCAGAACAATGCTCTTCCTTTGCTATTCTAGCAGCTTCCTCCATTAATAAAGTACCAAATCCTTGATGCTGAAATTTTCTCGGATCTCTAGAATGCAAGGGCACAACTGAACCATAGACATGCAATTCTCTCACTATAGATGTCGGTTGAGAAGTGAATTCCTTTCTGTAAGTATATTTCTTGGACGCCTTTCTGAGCCTTAGTAATCCAATCAAGATGTCCTTTTTTGGATCTTCATATGAGAGAAACGTTTCCCATCCTCCATTAGCATAGTAGTCTCTTCTGATCAATTCTACTTGATCAGGAGCCACTTTATGATGCACTTCTTGGATGCCAACTTCTCTAGTTCGGACGTCTCTACAAGATGTTCCAAAATCCTTCATTCTTGCAAGCGCCAATTCTCTCAAATTACCATTCTCTACTCCAGAACTGACTAGAGGCATGGGTATATCTCTTTGGACACGGTAAATACGAGTCCATGGTGGAACGAGTGCCAAAATACGAGCAACTAGATCTATCAAGGCATTCGCATTGTAAGATTTATATAACCCCTTTTTCCACAATTCATACAAACCAGTACCTCTAATGACTAATGTGGGATATAACTTTAATCCATCCGTTCTGAAATCTGGGTTTTCGAAGTATTCTTTGAATTGCTCAAGATCTCTTTCCATTCCTACGTTTGGTAAATCTGGCATCATATGACTAACAACCTTATAACCAGCGTCCTTCGCAACAGCAAAAGTTTCGCATACAGCTTTTACTGTGTGCCCCCTATTAGTATCTCTGGCCACATCTTCGTATACAGATTGTACACCAACTTCTAACCTAGTACACCCATACTTTAGCATATCGCTTAGATGTGTTTCTGTACAATAATCAGGTCTGGTTTCAATTGTAATACCGACGCACTTAGTTTGTGACTGTTGGGAATACATTATAGCTTCATCCAAATTTTTTCCATTGTAACCGGTGAGTGCATTGTGAAGTTGACTGATAAAAGATTCTCTGTAATCGATCGGCAAAGACATGAAAGTTCCACCCATAATAATATACTCAACCTTATCTATAGAATGCCCCAACTGTCTCAACTGCTCTACTCTTCCTCTTGCTTGTTCATAAGGATCATATCTTGCTCTGATTGCTCTCATAGAAGTGGGTTCATAGCCAGTATAAGACTGTGTTGAATATTCAAAATCTGAATCTGGACCACCAGGGCAATAGACACATATATTACCAGTATATGCTATATGAGGGCATCTATGTGGTTTGCACATCACAGCTACCACAGCAATACCTGAAGCTGTTCTGACTGGTTTAGCCTTAAGCTTAGGAATTAAATATTTTTTGTATTGATCAGGTATGGATGATATAATATCAGTCAATCTTGGTTGTTGCTTTAATTTGTATTTTTTTGCATATCTGATAATCAATCCATTCAAATTGATATCCTTTGAAGTCTTAAGAGACGATACTAATTCCAAAGAAATATCACCACAACATTGCAAAAACCTTTCCTTTTCAGGTGCTAACTTCTGCTTACCTGACTTCTGATTCTGAACAGATGGCATGTTTATTTATTGCAATCTATACCTAGAAGATGATCTTAAAGCTATCGAAGTAGTTCAATCTCATCACTTAAATTTTTAAATACTGTATATTAAACTGTAAGGTGTGTCTCCAAAATTTTTCGAACTTAGACACCAATAAAAACTGTTAAATTTGAAATAATAGCAGATAGCATATATCCATAGACAGAACATATTTTTCAAGTATGCTATCCACTCGAGGTCTACTTGGAAGTCGAGTATTGAATTCACTTGTTAGCCGGAAAATATCATCTCCAATTTCCAGGCTTTACTCTGATCAACCGGTAAAAACAACGAAAAAGAAGAAAACAGGACAAACAGCAGATATTTCTCAAGTCCCAATAAAAAGCATAGGAGTCATTGCCGATTTTTATGTTCCTCCAAAGTATTTGGCTTCACCAGTTTCCAGTTGGCTTCGATTGTTTTTACGTAGAATGGGATTATTTGCAATCAACACCTACAGCGTAGTGAAATATAGAAGAGAGACTGGATTGAAGTTAAAGTTTAATGATTGGAAAGAACAAGCGATCGAAAAGCAAGTGAAGGCAAATAAAATTTTTGCAGCTGCATGTAACTTACCGTTGGCAGAGAGAGAACGCTATTTGAAAGATCAATTAAATGGAATAGCAGGAGACGAGGTGTTGAAGAGCATGGTTATGAGGGCTGTTACATTTCCACCTGGTATGAAGTTAACATGGGATTTGATTTCTGTCGAATCTAATCCAAAGATAGTTTCTTTTAATTGTCTTCCTGATTCCAATAACATCACTACATATATACAGTTCGTGGTTAAAGTAAGAACGAAGCAGAAGGTAACACTCGAACAATCGAAGAATGAATCCAAGGAAACGGAAAGAGTCATAACTGATAATTTAGTTTACACCTTAAATCCTTTTTCGGACGAAACTGTTTTGGTTGGAAGTTTATTTGACTCTGACTCCAACAGAGGAGTTCAGCCAGAGATCAACTTTACCAATTCTCTGGTAATGGTTGCATTCCAAAAAAAGTGTGCCGACATCTTTAGATCGAATAAAACCAAATAAAGGAAATTGAAGGAAAATGGACTCCTTTTTGTACATAATAGGTCAGACTTTTGTTCATATTTCCGGTTAGAAACTTTAATCACAATGTATATATTAAAATCAAGAATTAAATAAAACAATTTTCAAGTAAATAGAATATATAACCGTTTCTTGTAAAGCTCAACTTCTTAACCTTGCTTGAATAAAACTTTTTAACCATTGGATATTAGATCCGACCCAAATTTAAGAACCCAGATATAAAAATTATCTTCTCTATTTTCAAACTTTAAACAGCCTACCTGTTTTAAGAATAATATCATCTCATTCCATAACAAAAACATCTTCTTGCGTAGACGAATCATTGTTATCAGTTTTTATTACCTTTTCGCTTACTTTCTCGTGTACGTTCATTTGTCCGGAAGTAACCTTTATATCCCCTTGCTCTTCACTTTTAATTATACCTGAACCACCTAAGATAGAGCCCAAGCTGGGCTTTACTAATAGGGTACCTGATTGTGATCTTGAATCTCTTCTTTGCAATTCTTGCGGTGTCAAAATTAGGTCCCCTAAAGATCCAGGTACGTAATCCTCTTCATATATTTTATCTTCATCTTCGTCCTCATCATCCAATATAGCTGATTCTTGGGTGTAGTTATATGTTAAAGAAGCAGATGATTGAGTTTTTGGAAATCTTGAAGACAATGAAGTTCGATATGACCCACTTGAATTTGGAGGAGATTGGAGGAAAGGTGAGTTATAAGGTAGGCTCGATTGCAGAGGAGAAACGTTAAAATTCGATCCCATGCCATTGGAATATGATCTGTAGCCATGTATCTGCAGAGCATTCGACAAAGAGATGTGACCCACATTAGAGTTACCAGGGTTATTCGTAAACCCACTGTTGTAAGAATTAGAATGGTTTTGCAGTTGTCCAAGGGAGGCTATATCTTGATTAGAGTATGGACCAGAGTGTGATGACTTGTTAGATCCAAGTGTAGTCCCACTATAGCTGAAATCTCCATTTCTTGGTGAGCCATTACTTCTAGCTGGCGGTGTTATTTCCCCAGAGTCAAAACTGATATCAATTGGCTGTGATGATACTGTTGGTACAGAATTTCCAGTATATGAACTTGAGGCTGAACCATTAGAGGCATTATTTGACGATCTGTGATGGTTCCCCCCACCTGAATTGTTCATTAGACTCTTCGAATTGACCCTTGTGCCGTCTGGAAGAAAGTGAGCTAATGCGCACTTAAGCCCAAACTTACAATTTCCCTTCTGAAAATACTTACATGGTAGTTTATCTGCAGCCAACGTACCGTCTAAGTTGTGAGAAAAGGGACAAGAGTTCCCTGCCTGACAAATTCCTTGTCGGTAGAACTTGCAAGGAACATGACTCAAGTTCTTGTTCGACGAAGCCGACGACCCCGTCCCGTTGGTGATGGGAACTGTTCCAGGGGGGCCCGTGTTCGGAGGAAGTTGAGCATTTAACGATGAAAGATTAAAAGTATTCATATGCTTGCTTCTAGGTTCCTTGTTCAGGCCTTGGCTCCTAGTTGTTGACAAGAACTTTGATTTCGATAGATTCAAGAGCTGAACGTCGTCGCTCTGCACACTGATATCCATCTGTTCTATCCCTCTATGGTCAGATATTCGAGTTTAAATGCTTGATTTTTAGTTATGTAATTCTTTATTATGCCCTTTTAGACTTAATCAGTTATCTTTTGGGTAAGTAAAAGTGAATATCCTCTTATCTAAGTTGTTCTAATCTGTTTATCCTTTCAAAATATCTGGCAGGGCCCCAGAGGTAGTCCTTATCTTTGCAATTAGTACACAAAATCCCGGAACGGACAATCACGAGACTACTTATCTGAAGGTTTATCCCACCACCACAATGGTGCAAGATAATGTAAAGGAACAAAAGAATGCAGGATGCGCAGAGGAGTTAAGGGATAAAAACTGATTTACTTGTATGAGATAATTTCAAAATGAAACGTTGTTTAGATGAATGTATACGGGAAGTATAAGGTATATAATTAAAGAAACGAGTCTAACGACGGTCAGCAGAGCCAATACCTCTCTTACCGGAAAATAAGTGCTTTGGCAAAGCAGCTGTAGAATGACGGTCACCTTCTCCTTGCCTGGCCATTCTGTTTCTCTCTCTTCTCTGGAGTTTAGCTAATCTATCAGCTTGCGATCTCAATGCGCCATCTGCAACACCATCATTGAGACGATCAGACTGGTTTACGGGCATTCTTGTCTTCTTTCTCTTACGAGCATCGATACCTTGGTTTCTCCTGATGATGTCTACTCCGGATAAGTCATCGGACGAAGATTTCTTTGAAGATCTCGAAGCATTCTTCAATGATGCAGTGTCATGTCCGAGGGAGGACATATGCTCCTCCATCTCGTTAAAGGATCTCTTCACTTGATCTCTTGGCATCACGGCCCTATTCTTTAGAGCCTTTCTGTTTCTTGCATCATTAATCATCATCTTCTGTTTGTTTCTGATCCACTGAGCTTTGTCTTTTATCTCTGTTATTTCCTCATCTTCTATTTCCTCATCTGAGTCATAAAATCCTTCCGCTTCTAACCTTTCTTCTTCCTCTTCTAATGCTTGCAATTTGGCTGCGATATCAGGGTCTAAGAAATCGTAGACATTTCTACCATCTAAAACTTCAGGCATAACATCATTATTCCAATCTGCATCTTCAAGTATATATTTCTCCTTCAAATTTATGTTATAGACACCAGCACCACCATTTTCTTCCTCAATATCTCTAGCAAGTTTTCTCTTGTTAGGATCATTCGGATCATACTTCTTCAAAGCGGCAACGCCTTCTGGAATGAAGGGTGTTCTGTCAATGTCATCCCTTGCTTGGGGTTTTGCAACATGAATTTTATTTAATGCATTATTTACTCTTGCAGATCCTTTTAATTTCTGTTCAATTCTAGCAGTTAATAACTTCTCGCACGCATGATTACGGACTTGCATAACGTTTTCTTCTTCATGGCATGAAGCATGCATTATTTCAACACCTGGTACTGTCAACAAGGTTTTCAATAATTCCTGCCTCTCTTCATCCAAGTCTTCTGCCTTTATGATATCAGTTTTATTCATTACAACCAAAACAGACTTATTTGCGAATAACGGCTTTATTGAATGGAAGAGCTTTACCTGTGCCTCAATGGTAAATCCACACTGTTCTGAAAGATCCATAAAATATAATACACATGACCTCAAATGAGCAACAGCATAAATTGATTGCATCTCAATATTGTTCATCTCTTCAGTTGGTCTATCCAAAATACCAGGAGTATCAATGGCTTGAAATCTCAAGTACTTATAGTCGAAGTGACCGACATACAACGACTTAGTGGTAAAGGCATACGGTTGAACCTCGACGTCCGCCTTAGTGATACACTTCAAGAAAGAAGATTTCCCTACGTTAGGGTAACCACAGATTAACAAAGTCCTAGTGTTTGGATCAATGCTTGGTAAACGTCCCAAATGCTGTCTAACTTGTTCCAAATATACAAGCGGGTCTTTCAATTTTTTGACAATAGTAGCCATTCTACCTAACGCTGCTCTTTTTAATTGTTTACATTGAAACAAAGATTGGCCGAACTTCAAAAGCCTATTGTAATCTCTAGCGACCTGTTCAATCAAGGTTTTTGCTCTCGATAAAGCCGCTAAGGAAATCTTATAGTGATTCTTTTCATATAAAGTATCCATCAAATCCCTGTGGAAAGGATGAACATCATTGATATTCGGAAAGCCACTAATAAGATCTGTTAACTTCTCTGCAAACCCATCTGCTGTAAATTTCACTTTTCTCATATAAAACTGCCTGATACGAGTAATTCTGAAGCCTGGTCTAACAACAGTTGGAGTCTTCCTTTGAGTTCTGTTGAGGATAATGTCCAACATGTCGTTCGACGTAGGTACAGGTTGGATATCTTTCCAAGAAAGCTGCATGGTATGAAATGATTTATCGCCTATAGAAGATACCTAAATCTGTCCCTATTCTCTTTAGACTAAAGTTCAGGAATATCTTCATATATCTAAGAATTAATTTTTTTTTTTTTTCAAGATGAGGCATCGTTAGAATTTTTTTTTCTCAATGCGGCTCAAAAATCACATTCCCTAGACAGCCTTAATTAACTCATTTATAGTAAGAGAGCACACAAATAGAGATCACGCTACAAAAGTCTATCTTGATATCTCCGTTATTTATGTATGGCTATATAATTTTATATGCGACTTATGGTGAGATATAGTTTTAGTCAAGCAGCTACTCGTTGTAATGGTAGACCAAATAATTTGGCAAACCGAACACTTCGTAACCTAGTCTCTTTGCCATTTTTGCAAATCCCTCAGTCTCTATCAAATGATAGAACGGGAAAGGGGGAAACATTGCTCCATCTCTGTGGACTTCGGATTTAACCAACACGGCTCCACCGCCTACACCATCTAAACGCATCTCGGTATGTTTATCACCATTTGGATCGTAATAGTAAGCCATTAAAGGTCTATAAGTAGCCATTTCCGCGTAGCCTTCGACGACTATCTCATCATCTTTAAGGGTTGCTGCAAGTTTCAACCCTTCTTCTGATTCAACCCAGTTATTGAAGTCATAGGGACGAATCGAAGCCTTGTTATCATTATCGATATAGCGCTGATAAACATTAGCTGAGACTACTGGCTTATTATGTGAAGTTAAATCCTGGATTAAAGTGGGTAATGTCTCTACGATGTCCGCGTCCAACCATAAAACCCATGATGTAGAAGAGGTAATCGCAGTAAAAAGGATTGAATTTCTAGCCACTGCCATCATTGATCTCCTCTTTTTTTGAACAGATAAGGCATGTCTTTCTTTTTCCAATTGATTATCCAAAGAATCAGAATCTTGTCTCAAGATGGTAATTTTTTTAAACTTCAAATCATTTTGCTTTTGAGTTGCTTTGATGGTGGATTCCAACAGCTTCAAGGCTTCATCGCCATCTTTATTCCTCGGTAAAATAAACCCAAGACTCAACAATGTATGGTCGTAGGTAAGCTTCTGCAAATTTTCCCAGTACTGAGGTAAAAATTTTGACATCGGTGTCAAGATCAACACTTCTTCCTTGTTGGCTAACGCGTCAGATGAGGTCGTGAGTTTATTTAAATCAAAATGACTAATATGATTTTTTGGTAAATTACGAAGAACGACATTACTTTTAGGTTTTTGATTAAACCACCCACTCGACTTCTTTTTGTAGCTATACTTGGATTTGCTTGGTTTCGTTCTTAGTGAATAAAAAAATAGGTAGATCACAAAAAAGACTGTGATAGGTAAAACCAAGGATATTGGCCTTTTCTTGATACTGCGTATGATACTGTGTCTGCTGAGCACCATAGCACTATTTTTTTTATCTATTAAAGCCTTACAAAACGTAATCTTTCTGATTTATGTTGACGTATAATTGTCCGATTATATACAATGCACGTGCGAATGAATTTCTGTCTCATTCAAAGATAGACTACTAACGATTAGGTACTAACGATTAGGTACATAAGATTAAGTGGATAATATTGCTATAAAATAAGATCTAAGCTACCTATTTGAATACCTTACCATCTGCAATCTCTCTCTTTTCACCATTCACTTCAACGGGCTCATCCCAAGCCAACATGTTATTAACAAACTTTTGTACGGCAGGGTCAGATCCATCCAATTTTGTGAATTCATAAGATTCCCAATCTGGAGCGACATCGAAAGCAGGAACGTTGTCTTGACCCCTTACTAAGAAAAAACCGGTGATACCATTGTTGTTATTTTCACCGTAGACAACCAAACAACCAAACATATATTTGGTAGAAGCTCCTAATCTGTTGAAGAAACCGCCAATCAAATTGTTGGACATAAAAGTCAATGTCAATTCATCATTGTACTTGTAATCGACTTTCCACAAAGACCATTCTTCTGGGTCATATTGATTTTTCCAGAACCACGGGATAGCAGTTTCTCTAGTTTCTTCATTGGAGTAGACTCTCTTCCATTCATCTAAAGCAGCCTTTGGCTTACCCAAAGCTTCCAATGGATGCTTTGGCTTTGAAGCTTGAGTAGCAGGAGCGGCCTCTTCCTTCTTTGGAGCAGCTTCCTTCTTTTGCTGTTGTGGTTGTTGCTTCTTTTCCTTCTTAGGAGGAACGAACTCAACTGGTTTTTCAATAAACGTGAATTCACCAATGACGTCTTTAAGGATTGGATGGTTGATGATAGTAATAAACCATCTGGTGGTATTCGGATGCTTTTTTCTCCAGTCTACACCGAACAAGTAATTGAAACCTCTCAAAATAGCTGTAGCACTAAACAAATCAGCAAGGGTCAATCTTTCGCCAACTAAATAGGTAAAGTCAGCCAATCTTTTTTCAAATAATTCGACAATCTGTTCAACAATGGCTGAGTTATCATCCACCTGTTTCTTATTGTAGGGAAGTTTTCCAATTAATGGTTGAAATGTCTTGGCAATAGCAGGAAGTAACTCAGAGTTAGAAAGGGAAAACCACTTTAAGATTTGAGCATATTCCTGAGCATTCGTTCCTAGTAATTTTGATTTAGGATCAGCTAAATTGATTACTGCAAAGGTTAGTAAGGAACAAATTAAAAAATTCGATCAAAGGGTGTGAATTCGGTTCAGAATAAACTTCTCGACATAGTCTATTAAGACAGGGATAACTGTTAAATTGAAAAATATTTCATCATTGTAACACACTTTTAGAAATAAAAATTTCTATACTTACAGTAAATTGAGACAGCAATAACTTCGGTTAACTTGAAACCCTTTGGTCCAATAAAAGCTGGAATTTTATTTAATGGAAAATTCTTCTTATAGTTCTCATCATCCTTGCCAGCGATTTTAACATCCAAATTGAAGTGCTTAACAAGAGCCTTTGGAACAAATCCTCTAGCCTGTTCTGCGACGTATAATGTACCTAACGACATTTTACTTTATCTTAGTATTTTGATAATTCTATTACTTATATTGAAGTTAACCAATTCGAATCAAGTTGTATTGAACTACACTAGCAAAATTTTCGCCATAGTGAACACAAAAAAAGAATTGTGAAAGTTGCAAGTCACGTTCATTTTCGTAAAGTTACACAATGATCTTATTAAATATCGCGTGGACAGTCGTAGCTATAAAACTATATTTTCCAGCAGATGTCTAGTCTTAACAATAGCATTTTCCCATGTCTGATGATCTAAAACGGATGTTATATGATATAATACAGCTACAAAGCTATGATATGTGATTAACAGTGTAATGAACCTATATCCTCTTTCCCATAACTAAACTTCCCTACTCCCAGGAACCACATAACTCCTATTCAAACAAAAACGTTATACATGCTGAGTCGTCGCCATGAAACTGTTAAGAGCATTATATCCTAATCTATAAACTGAGCTTATTCGATATTATTTTCTTTTTTTAATCTGCCTAGTGTCCAGCCAAAAGTAGATATCCACGAAAGCTTTATTTCATCTTCAACCCTTGAGCTTTTTATTATTGTGAAAATTCGCCGTATTCTATCATTTAGCCGGTGAACATAGTCTAAATCTTTATAATTGCTTAACTCCTTGGTAAAAGTACTTAAAATTTCTATTGCAATACTTCTCTCATTTGGAAATACAACCCACTTATCTTCTATTGCCTTCTCATCAAGTAATGAAGACTCCATGTATGTGATATTTCGAAGATGTTTGACAGATTCCTGTTTTTTATTGTTCTCTATAATTAAATGCCAAATCACTTCCCTCAATTTCAAAGAATCGCTCTTAACATCAGTACCAAAACCCTGTCCATATTCAACTTGAGTAAAGTTCATAGACGGATAAAAGTTTATTAGATTTGAAACTTCAAAGTCGTTCAATTTTAACAACAGGTCTAAGTTTGGGATGTCTTCATGGAGGTGCTCAACTGCGGTACCCTTTGGAGAGAATGAAGCTGAATCTTCTGATGCATTTGGAATTGGGGAAAAAGCCAGACTCACCAAGTGATCAGGACGAGTTTTTTCAATCTTATCAAAATTTAAACTTTCGAGCTGTTTAAGAATGAAAAACTTCAATATAGTGATCGAATGAATCGAACTAATAATTATTACACTTCTGGAGATTCTCATCACAGAATCCCGAATTTTTTCAGATAGGTAATCAAACATCTTAATCTGATCAGTAATTAAGTTCTTCCTGAATGATCCCAACGTAATCAAAGACTTTGAAAATTTTATTTCGAAGTTCAAAAGTAAAAGGACAATACTAACTAGCAAAATTTCAATATTTTTAGGGTCCCGCAAGTGAGCTTCGTTCGATCTAACTTCATCCCAGATTTTTTGTTGTTCAGCTGCAAGACGAACAACATCTATGGTAGATTTAGCGGAGCAACCTAGTAAGCACTCCAAAAGAAATGATTTGTTGCAATTCTCTAGTTCTTTCAAACAAAAATTTGGTACAATTGATCTCCAAATATTAAGTTCGTTGAACAAATCTAAAATCCAATAGTATTTTTCAACCTCGATCAACTCAATAAACTGTTTGGTATCCAAGAGATTTGGCTCGCCTTCCAAAGAGCTAGATTGTTCTACGATATGCCGTTCTATGTTGACGGTATCCTTATTCCCTGTCGATAATTTACTTGAAGAAGGCAAGAAGTACTGACTCAAATACTTTTTCTCGTTAATCAAGTTATCCATTATGCTATTATCTTCGATAAATATTCGGTCGTCGAATCGTATAGCATCTTCTCTGGTGCTATATGAGCTCGAAAATGATGCTATAGTATCCTGCTGATATTGAAAGTCAGACTCTTCCAAGTCTCCAGTATCATGCAAATTCACATATGGCTCGTAAGGTTTCTTGCCATTTTTATATAAAGATGCAATCGTTATTGATTGATCTAGGATTCTGTAGTTGATGTTTGAAGTCTGGTTTTTACCAGGATCGTAAATATTATAATGAGTGAAATTCAACCTTATTCCTCTATAGCACTTTCTCTTAGATTTTATGCAATTTCGACAAACAGGTTGTTGCTCATCACATTTCATGTGCCTGTCTCTGCATGTTAGGCAACCCGAACGAGTTCTACTTCGCTTGTTGGAAGTCTTCAACCTTTTCTTTGCCATTCTGTGTCGCGCTACTAGCACTCCATGAGCCTTATGAAGCGAGGACTCAAGCGGGAGGGAAGACGAGCTAGTGTATAAGAAGTCGATTCTGACGACCTTTAGAAACAGTAAGAATGATACTGTTGCTAAGATGCTACTTTTTTCACCAACTGGTTGCGATTTCACTCTAATAACGTTTCACACAAGCCGTCGACACCACCAGTGACGAGCGAAAGAACGGAACTAGGCTTTTCTGTCTTTTAAAATATACAGACCACAATACAATATTCGATAAAATACTAGTAAAAATTTCGAAACGCCTGTAAACGGCCCTTATGACAAAAATGACGTTGCTATAAACTATATAGCTTGCTAAAGCCTTCACCCCACTAGAGCCTATTAAAAATTACAACTGAAGAAAAAAAAAAAAAAATTACGTGAGAACCGTTGGGATAAAAGAGTGTTCGGTGCCTGATCCGGTTGGCAAAAAACGGACTAGGTGACAAAAGCGGAATGCTGACAATGCATGGCTCTATTATGTATGAGCGGATTGGAATAAACTTGTTTTTGTTGCGCATTATTCTAACGGCCAAGAGAGGCGGCTACCAAATTCAGCTATTGCATGGTTCTTTTTTATAGCCATGTAGCACCATGATTCGTATACTAAGGATGTGTCTAAAGTTGGGCTAAGGTTATTAAGACACTTCGTATAACCCAAATCACTGCACTTGCTGCTAGAGTTAGCGCATCACTGCCACCGACAGTAAATGACCTCAGCTCTCGTGATATGTTCCTTTTAATGTCCCCGCAGAGGTTATAGTTTTTTTTTCATACCGCGGATTCTGTCCGATGGCGACTCAAATTACGTACCCTGCAAAGTCTAAACAAGATCTGCCTGGTGTTTGCGGCATATCGAATTCAGAGTCCAGTGCTGCATGAAGAATAAGAACCGTAAAAAATAAAACCATGCAAGAATCCTATGCATTACATGCAACTTTCCTTCTCTCGGTTCTCTTTAATGCTGAGAGATAGCTTTGACATGCATGCCAGCTCCTGCTCAGGCTCCTTAGAGGTATTTTTCACTTCGAGGCGGAGGACTCATTAAGCCCCATTATCGCACAGAATTGGTGTAAGGAAATCTCGGTACTGGCAGTGCGTGACCTTGGGCCCACCATTAGGAAGCTGCGACAGATCGGCAATAGGCACGTAGACGGTTTGTTATTGCATCCTGCAGGATACTGAACATGTCACACCTCGCCCGCCAGTGAAAACTTTGGTTTCAGAGTTGAATGCCGTGTCACCTGCTAAAATACGATAAGAGTAGCGCTTAATTAAACGAGGATTATAGAAATCGCAAGACAAATAAGCCCATCACTAAAAGGTTGAAGCAGAATATAAACCCGTAACTGAATTCAAGTTTTGCAATTAAAATTGGCGTGACAATACTAATCGCAAAATTGAATATCCAGTTGACGCTTATTGCCAAACCCATAATTTCGCTGCTATTTCCGCTGATGAGGCAACTCAGTATACCGCAACATGGTCCCCAACTGACTGCGAAACAAAGAATAAACAAACACGTGATGACAATAAGGATTGGTGATATTACGTTTACCAATGTATGTTGAATGAGACCAAAGATTGAGTAGGCTAACATCAAAAGACTCATTGTAAATGAGCCTGCTATTAAGATTGTTTTGATTTGAAAAAATTGCAAAATTTTCCCGCTTGAAAGTCCTCCCACTAAATTCGCCACGCTCATGATGATAATTGAATAACTAGAATTGAATATGATATTCCCATAGTAAAAGAAGTAATTTATCCCCGTTAATTGTTGGAATGCCATGAGGCAACAGCAAATCATAGTTTTGCTTAAATTGGGACTTTTAAAGATCGAAACCCAACCTTGGTCGCTGGGAGACGGGACATAGTAATCAATCTCTCTATCAACTAGCTCTGCATCGGCATTAACATAGATTTGTCTGTATACGCCATAAAGTTTATCAATAGCTTTTTTCTCCAAATAGTATTTGATTGAGTTTGGAACCCTCAAGAGAGAAATACCAAAAAGTAGCGTGAATGCAACTTTAGCATAAATAACAACTAAAAATGGTTGACCCATTCTATCATATAGTACGTTTGCCAAGTTCCCTAAAAGGATCCAACCACAAACTTGAGCTTGGAAAAAACTAAGATATGGTCCCCTTTTAGACTCATTGACTATTAACTCACTAGTGTAAATTGGAGCAATGACGCAGAGAGCGCCGCAACACACACCGCAGAACACTCTTCCAAACAAATACACAGTTAGACCCCAATTCTCGTACGAAGCCAACCACTCGACCCCCGAACCTAGTAAGTAGATAGACAAGCTTATTTGTATTGCATATTTTAAGTTCATCTTCAACTGTCCAATAGTAAGACATCCTACCAAACAACCCAAATTGAAACAAGATATCAAAACCCCAATCATAAGGGAAGATAACGAGCCATACGAATTGGTGAAAGACTGATGACTCACCATAAACCCTGTGGTTCCAACGTCCCATCCTAAAGGAAATGCGCAAAATGATATAATCAAACATGCTTCTATGATTCTTCTATCGTTTTCTAGATATGTTCTCGGATGCGACACAAATTCCTTTCCTTCCATTTGAGATATACCATCAACTTCTTTCGTTTCAACATCGCTTTTCTCGTCTGTTGTTCCAATTTGTTCTTTGTTTTCAGGTTGTAATCGGTCTTGTTTTGCCTGTTCACATTCGCAAGTATCGGAAATATCAAGGTCCAGAGAAGATTCAATCTGGTTTTCGGCGTTGTTACCAGCAGAGAAATTGTTAACTAAAATAATAAGTGACCGGAAACTCTCTGTTTCCAATATATCTGTCATGTCTGTTCTTTTGAATATAGTCCAATAATTTGTTTTACTGATAGTGATCTTTTGTAAACGCTAATCATTTTGCTTTGCGGATGTGATAGTTGCAAATTCGTTCGCAAAAAGAAGTTTACACAAAACTAGTTGAGTTCTTATCTCGATTTGAAGACCCGGCTTCAGTTACTCATGTAAGGGATGAAAAAAATAAAGAGATTAATTGAGAACTTTTTAATTGAATCAGGGAGACATACAAGGGGGTAAATATGGCTTCGACAGAAGAGAAATCTTCAAGTGGGTCCCCAGCACTTTACCATAAGTCATTCAACAAGAATGCAGATCCTTTCTACCCATCGAACTACATGTGCTCATACTTGATTAAATGCACTAACATACCAAGTTCAGTAGATGTTGATCAATTCCGGGAGTTAGTGGACTCAATAATAGGCACAAATTTTTCTGAAAATGATGCTACAGACTACCGTGTTACTAAGTTCATGAAAAATAAGAGTAATGTGAATGAAATTTTTGCAATCTTGGAAAGCCCGCACCAAGATCTATTTGCCCAATTGAAAGAAATACTTAACGGATATTATTGGATAGATAGAGCACTCAATGCAAAGCTACAGACACGTTATTCAGAATCTGCTCTGAGGCTGAATTATCTAACCAATTTTGGATACTTCAATCCCTACTATCCTAAATTTCTGCTTCCTTATGATTACATGTATTCCCAACAAGGAGTTAATTCTAACTATCCTCATTTCAATAACACAAGCCCTAGCAGCCATTTAAGCAGAAGATCTTCCGTGCAGTCAAATGATACGATGCGATCATCACGCACCAACAGCATGAACCATTCCACTAAACCTGTTCCTCCATTCTTGATTAATCTAGTAAATCAAAGTAGTGGTGATCTTGAAAATGATGTTGCTCCATCAGAAGAAGATACTGAATATTGCTCGGATCCAGAGCAATCGTCGACAAATGAATTTATGGTTGTTGAAGGCGAAGAAGGTCAGCCAATTAAGGTGAATCCATGTAGGCTATTTGTCGGAAATGTACCGTACACTTCTACTTGGACGTCGTTAAAGAATTTTCTTCTAACGAGATCCAAGGAACTAGATTCCAATAGTAACATACAATTACTAAGGGTTGAAATCCCCATGCAATCACCCTCAAACACCATGTCTAACACAGGCTCAGGAAAAGTCCATTCAATGCTCAACTTTCCTATGTCGGATAAGTCTAAAATGAGAGGAGGTAGTCTGTTAATGGGCGAAGAAATGAATAAAAGTAGAGGTTTTGCTATTGTGACGACAGCAAACAAAGCCTCTTCCGACAAACTCATAAAATATTTTGACGATGCTGAGTTTGAAGGTCGATCTCTTACCGTGAGATACGACAAATTCCCAGATTATAACAATTATGTTCTTCAACAATTATACCCTTACAATAATTCCAAATTCAATGGTATTCACAACGCACCATCCAATGTCAATAGCATCAACAACAAATCATCAGTATTAAGTAATTTAGCATTTGAGAGGAATCTGTTTCAACAAAAGTTTTATTATGGCAATTCTTCTCCTACTCCCGCTTACATACCATTTCCATTTTATTACAATATGGCACCACAACAGACTCAACATCAAACTCCCTTTGCACAATATTATCCACCATCTTTTTCTGGAGACTATATGGCCGCATCTAATTATCCCAAGCCTTCCACTATTGAAAATTCTAATACAATCAAAGTTGATAATTATACAAAGGAGAGAGCCAAAGAATCTGTGCAGGGGTTCAAAGAGAATGAAGATTTGGATGACGATCAAAAAGCCCGTGAATTAGTTAATTCTTTCAGATCACTTGAAGTCTCTTCGACAATGTCGTGATATTTTTTCTTAAATCGGCTCACGAGTCTTCTCAATTCGATTAACCTTATTTCCAGGTGATTAAAAATATCAATACTTAAGTACAGTCGCTTAGCGGTCGTTGTATAATATTAGACGAATAATATCTTTTTAATGCATACCCGACGTTTGCTTTTTTAGCGTATTTGGACATTGTATGGTCTCTCTAATATTTTGTCACCAAAATAGACTAATTCTCAATTGAAAAGTAACAAACTGCGTACGTTAAAGATAACTCCATTGTCATTAAATTGGTAGGTCTTTACGTTTTCGATAAGCCATATGAATCCATTCTAAATAACAGCTATGGGTAGAAAGAATCCTAGTTTAATATCTGCAGTAAACTATTGCATCCATGTGACTAAGTCATTTCATATACCAATTACTAGTCAAATCTAACGAAATAAAACGAGTAGTTTCCTCCCATGCAGCCCAGAGCATTGAAAGCGATATTGCTATGATATACCGAAGCCGTTTCATTTTGTTATGTCATAACAAAACAAGTTTGGACTGCGATCAATGTGCGCATCCGATCAGAAGACATCAAATCACGATCTCCGAGCCGACTTTCTCATGACAGGGTCATCTAACAATAGAAAGCCACTCAAAGCTAAATACAATAGATGAAATTGTCTTCAGCCTGCTCTCCTTAAGCTCTATGATTCAGAAGTGTGGTTGCTCACTTTACAGGTAGTTCTACGATATAATTCATAGCAAGCAGAGCAAGAAAGCAGCTAATTTATGGGATAAGCGGTTTCTCGGAACTACATTAAACGATGAATGAATTTATATCATCCCTCTACGTTCCCCCTTTGGATCAAATGACACTTGCATGAAGTTTCATCCTCTTGGTCCCTGAAAACGTAGGGTCATCATCAGGTACCTATTATTCTCAACTCTGTACGTCTCTGATCATGAATCTAGGCTGTGTATTTTTTTATATCATCATATTCCTAATTAAAATATGTGCCAAGTATGCCGACTGGATTAGGAGGCAAATAATAGAAGTTCAATTGGCAACATGATCACTTTTCTGAACCCTCTAGCAGCTTCTATATTTGTCTTTTTGTGAAAGCGGCAACCTTATTGTTACACAAAGTGACCGCAGTTTTCTATATTAATGATGTTCCCTAACATTTAAAATTTTGATTCGAGTTTTCATCGTGAACAAAGTTTCTACTAAATTAATAGAAAAAAGCCAAAATCAGCAGTTATTGATCAACAAGCGCTCAAATCAAAAGTCTTTAGGGCTAGCTTATCAGTGATATCAGAAAAACTTATTCTTTTGGCGAGATGGCTTCAGATAATACTGCCCTGAAGAAGGATAACGAAGGGTCACCGGTTTCACCCACACCTTCTCTCGTATCAGAAGACATCCCACCTTCTGTGATGGCTATTTCCAACTTAAGATGCCCCTCACCCCCTCCTATACTTACGAATAGCTCACTGAGGCCGGCGACTGCTACTCCACCGAACATAACTTTGTCTAACTCTTCAGGGAAAGTTGTTCAGCATCCACATAGAGAAACTATAGTGGCTGGTGGGGCTGTTTTGAATGATAAAGAACAAAGTGCGAAGCAAGGAGCGAGCGATGGTGATTTGAATTCTAAAGAAGTCAAAGATATTAAGCAATCTGGAAAGGCAGGGCCATCCTCAGATAATACTCTCCCTTTATTAGAAAAGAACTTAGAAAGACATAATAAGGGCTTAGGAGGTAAGGATAAGCAACTTTCTAAACCTCCCGAAAGCAACTCGCACCGCAAGCAGCCTTCCGTGCATGCGCATTTCTATGTTGATGAGACTCTTAGGCCTGGTAAAGTAATCAATAGATCCAGAAGTGGTTCTGGTAGTGGCTCTGATTTCCTGTCTAACTCTGGAAATGTCATTAGGGGACCGACGAGTGCAAACTTGGATAAAATCTTGGGCAACAGTGCCAAAAACACATCTCCTCCTCCCGCTTTAGGTAGTCAAAAATCAGCTACTCCAAATGAGCAATCTAACATAGATCCCCGGCTTCCGCAGGATGATGGGAAGCTTCATGTTCTTTTTGGTGTATGTGGTGCGTCATCAACAGTCAAGGTAAAGTTGATAATTAACAAATTATTCGAAATTTACACTTCTGATAAAATATCTATTCAAATAATAATGACAAAGGCAAGCGAAAATTTCATATCCCCAGAAATCATAAATCATCTTGAGAATGTTAAGCAGATACGAGTCTGGAGAGATTCTGATGAATGGACAACTTGGAAATCTCGTTCGGATCCTGTTTTGCATATTGAATTGCGTCGCTGGGCTGATGTCCTCATTGTATGTCCATTGACTGCAAATACATTGTCTAAGATTTCGCTTGGGTTGTGCGATAATTTATTAACAAACGTCATACGAGCATGGAATACTTCATATCCTATTTTATTGGCACCTTCAATGGTTAGTTATTCGTATAATGCTATAACCACGAAGCGCCAGTTAAAGCTAATTGCGGAGGAAATGCCTTGGATCGAAATTTTGAAGCCTTCAGAGAAAGTCATAGGTAGTTATGGCGATATTGGAATGGGTGGTATGGCTGATTGGAATGAGATTGTTAACAGAATAGTTCTCAAATTAGGTGGCTATCCTGAGGAAGAAGACGACGATGATGACTATGACAATGAAAATGATAATTCCAAAATAAATGGGCATAAGAAGGGGTCAGATGAAGACGATGAAGAAGACGATGACGATGACGATGATGATGACGATGATGACGATGACGATGATGACGATGACGATGATGAAGATGAAGATGAAGATGAAATCAGCAAAGAAGAAAAAGCTACTTCAACAGAACCACCAGGCTCAACCCCAATTGTAAAGATAGATCGTTTAAGCGTTAAGGAAGAACCACATGTGTCGACATAAGAATCAGTCCATCGGCTTAAATATCCTGTATATTATATAATCCTAATACCGTGATGTAATATAAACTCCTGTTGTAATCTCAATTAATTGAAGACAGAAGACAGAACACAGAACACAGTAGACAGTGAAACTCATGGATCGAATATGACAGAACCCCCAAGAAAGCGTCGGAATATTGAAGGCTTGCGAAATAAGGGGAATTTTTTTGAGTTTTTGCCTATTGAAATAATTCATTACATCATTTCATTTTTTTCGATTCCTGATTGCTTGGAGCTTCTAAGATCCATCTCAAAGGCATCTACATTTGGAGGACTAATTTATCGATCTATATATGAACGTACAGTGATTTTTAGCAATATTCTGCTAAGGAGTTTTAATAATGGATCATTTAGGTTGGGTAAAGCAGTAGACTATCAAGAATTAAAAGGAATTATTGATCGAGAGATATCATTTGTTTTGCCAGAAAGGTTTGTGTTTTCTTACACACTTTCCCATGAAGAAACCAAGAGTGATGAGAAGTTTTTTCAGTTTTTTTTAGATCAATTTTTGAGGTCAGAAAGATATTTCAAATTGGCTTCAAAATTTGAATTGATAGTAGATCTTTTTAATAAGCAAAAGGAGGTTAATGACTCTAATAATTACGAAATAAAGTTTTTGAAGAATTTCTTGGAATCTGATAAATTAGTCAATAATTTGGTCAATTTGCATTTATCTAGATTTCAAAACCTCAGGAATACAGATATAATTGAAGTTGTGAAAAGAAACATATTCCGCTTCCACGCTTTACAAACTTTTACGTTGAATGGTCACAATTTAGAGTCTTTTCAAGGTTTTAAATTGCCAAGTCTGCTAAAGATATTGAACTTAATAAACGATAAAATTAAAATGCTACCGTGTCAAGAAGATTTTTTACCTGAAGGTTTGCTTTGCTTGAACCTATCATGTAACGATCTTGAAGATTTAAAGGATATTTATTTCCCAGAGTCTTTAGAGTATTTAGACCTTCAACTTAACTCTTTGTTGACTTTAAAGGGAATGAGCTTCCCCGAAAGTTTGAAATTCTTAAATCTTAGCGGGAACGAAATTATGATCGATGAAGCTGATACCGTAATACTACCTCCGAATTTAAAGGTTTTGAATTTGTTGCGAAATTCAAGTCTTCATGAGAATTTCCAAAATATAGTGCTACCTGATTCTTTATTGAGATTATATTTGGATTCACTGTTGAAAGATTTTGTTCCCATTGATTATAGGACTCAAGATATAATAATGTATGCATAAGGTCGTCAAATTAGAATTACATATAATTAAATAATGGCTACAAATAACGTTTATAAGTGTGAAGGAATCAAGGATCATTTAATTCTTTTATCTTCTCTTGCCGCCACAATTGATAGTCATCTCCCACAATTGTTGAGCTGTCACAGGTTAAGCTACTAAGTTTGTCGCTTGTGGCACTGGAATCCGGTCTATCATGAAGTTTGAAATTTTTCAACAGCACTGGAGACAACTCAAACCTCACGTTTTCTTGATCCTCTGAAATTGAACTTTGCTTTTCTCTTATTGAGGAAAACAGATTTGAAGTCCCATTATCATTATTTATTCCCAATGGCAATGGAAACACCTTAGGACTAGATGGCATTTGAACATGTGCATTATAGCTCAGTGGACTGTCTCCATGAATATCAAATTGGTTCGCCACAAGGGGCGAATTTAATGGCTGAAGTCGGTTTGTTTTAAATCTTTCAAAGTTTGAGTTATTTTGAGATTTGACGACTGGGCTATCGATAGTTGATTCAATGAATTCTGTTCCCAAACTCGTATTCAAAGCGTTTGTAAGCTTAATTGCGGTTGGATTCCTGTAAGCCCTTTGCCTTGGTACGGAAGGTTTCTTAAGAGCCAGGAAGTGCTTTGGAGGAGATGATCTTATATTCTTATTTTTCATTCCTCTTCTTAAAGCGTTATTCTGAACTCCTTTCGTAGAGGGTGAAACTCCAGCTTCTTTAATCGGTGATGATTTCTCAGTAGGGTTTTTTGATCTATTTGGAGAATCTTGTAAGCTTTTATTTCCAAAACTTCTATTATTCCTGCTGCCTAACGATTCTGTTTCAATTTTTACTACCTTTTCTAAAAAATTTTCATCGTACACGGTAAGAGGCGGTTGCCCTTCCATTTTTCGCTTTTCATCATCCTTGATGATTTCTCCTTTCAAGGTATCTATTATTTTAGGCATGTTTTTCTCGATTCTTTTTCTAAGCTTTTCTTCATTCAATAATATCTTACAAGAATTCTTACTTAAAAGCCTTGATGAATCCTTTGAAGAGTTTCGCAAAAAGACTTGATCTTTTAATAAATCGTTTAACAGATCATATAACGTGTATATTTTTGTCTTTGATTTGAACTCAGCCTTCAAAGCTAATAGTTCAGCCTCATGTTCATTCAATATAACTTCTTTATCTGCTTCACCATCATTGAGATCATAATTGAAGTACTTGAACCTTTTTCTCAATTCTGTCGAGTAGTACATTCTGTCCCACAATTTTTCTATCTGTACTCTTGCATCCGTTATGAAGTTTTCGATATATTCAGATCGCTTTATATAAAGCCTGTTAAGCTCCATTTTGAAGTTCATCAAGGATAAATCTGTTAAGTTATTGTTTGCCTCAATAAAGCTCTCGGTATATTTAGGGTCTTCATGAAACTTTTTCCACAAATCTTGACATTTTTCGGAGTAATTATTCAATTTCCTTTGTTTCGAATCTTTTATACTTTGTAAAACGCTAGTAAATTTATTGATGACACTTATATGAGCATCATTTAAACCAAAATGTCGTGGATTTATATGCATAAACTTTAATGTTTCCAAGTCAATATAACCGTCAATGTTATCTTCTTTTGCTTTCAAGATGTTGTACTGCTTTTGCATCTTTACAAGTTGATCATCACTCAAATGTAAAATCTCAATTAGTTCAAGGCAGGTTTTTATCTTTTCAATCATCAGCTCCTCCCTTACGATGAGTTCTGCTTCACAAATACTTATTTCACGTTGAATACTTTTTAAAGTTTCTGGGGTGATTTTCGTGACCTTTAGACTTCGTATCACCCTTACAAGTTCATAATTCAAGTCTCTTAAGTAACTCATGGCATTTCCTGTACTGTGTCTCATTTCGTTATCAAGGTCACCAAGCTGTCTTTTCTCAGATTCTTTATTTGGCTTTTGGGGACTAGAAATTATAAATTCGTAATTATCACTTTCTTCTTTCTCTGTGTCAAACGCAGTAGCATTAAAGGAGATTTTTAAATGTCTTGTAACAATGTCAAATTGACCTAGAATTTGCCTGTGGTACTCTGCTTCTTCGCGGCCCGGTAATAACGTCATCAAACTATTTTGATTAGATGAAGGTAGTGGTCGAATTGTGTCGCTGATATCTAAGTATATCAAATTTAGATCATTCAATTTTTTGAAGGAAACAACAAACTCCTTTAAAACGTCCATAAAAATTGAATTCAATTTGTATTTAAGCTTTGCAAGGGTAATTTCTGGAATCCTGTTGACGTTGGAACCAAAATTGTTTTGGAACGATAAATCATTATCTGTCCCTGTAGCTGTTATATTGAAGGGGGAATCATCGTAGAAACTATCCTTTCTACTCATATTATTTGCCTTCGCAAATGTTTCATTGCTGTATCCCATTTCAAACCATTTTGAATTTTCAAAAAGAATCCCACGGTTGACTAAAGAGAGATTTTTTTCACCGTTATTGTCATTAATCATAGCTAAAATTATTTTTATTTGTTGCCTCAACCATTCACACTCGCTCTCTATATTGCTCTTCTCTCTCTGTAGGTTGTCAGAAAAGCTTACCAATGTTCCTTGTATGGCGTCAAATATATGTGACTTCTTATCTGCGATTTCTTGTGACGAGTATCCAATTTCTTTATAGACTCTATTTAATTCTTGAATTGTGCTATCAACCTTTCTAGCTATTAAATCAAACTCCTGCGCAACATTATTATTTCTTGTTTTATTAAAACAAGATTCCTGGGAATTTATTGCAAGTGTTGATTCGAAATCCATTAGGTCTTCATTTACAAATTCCTGTTTCTTGTTGTCTTTTAGCGCTTCTCTGGCTTTCACACTATCATTAATGGAATCCTCATGGCTGCCTCCTTTCAGATGAGCCGACTGTTCAATAGAGTTTGCTTCATTTAACTCAAACAGATATTGAGTTCTAGTGCTCTCTGAGAAGCTCATTATCAAACTTCAAGATCGGCTAAGATTTTGTGTTAATCTATGAGGTTTAGTGTGTAATTTAACTTTGAGAGGAAAATATGCTCTATAATAAATCTTCTTTCTCTATTCTCTACTCAGTCAATAATATCTTTTCTCTTCATTCCTTCTTCGAGCTCATTAAACATTATAGTGTTTTGATTACTAGTGCTACTCTTGTTAGATGCAAATTTGTGTACGTCTTATTTCCTATTTAGGACATTTTATAAACAACATGAGAAAGATTTAAGAGCACCCAACAGCCTTTACAGAATCACCAGACATTATAATTACGATTCGCCTCTACTTGGGGTGGAAAAATTCGCCTGGTATACAACACTAGCCAATTCTTCGCTAAAATTGGAATTTCTCTTTTCTTCGGATCTGCTACCGTGAATAAGTTCTTCAGTAATTTCATTTTCAAGCTCCGAGTGGTCTATCATATTAATTGGATCGTTAGCCAATTTTCTGAGCTCATCCCTCTTCTTATGGTTCCTGTGAATCAATAGCTTACGATATGTAAACCCACTGATTGGCCATTGTAGTTGCCGAGCAATACGGTATAAGTTCTTTGCTGGAAATGCGGTTGTCTTCACACCATGCTTGACTAGTTGGTCATACCATAATTTAGCCTGATCGTACTGCTTATTATAAAAGTGGTACTGAATGAATGGATAGACTTGATTGAAAGAAAAGGGTAGTCCTTTGGAACGAGAGAACCTTACTTCCAGTAGTGCAAATTGGTAGTCATTATGATAAAGTAAACTTGAGTAAACGAGTAATTCTTGCAAGAAAACTGACCTATTCTTTCTCTTTAATTTAGCTCTTTTATTGAAATCGGTCACAATCTTCTTTGCAATCTCAAAATTTGTTTTAGAATAAGTAAGTTCCATATCAGCAGAATTCACATTTACTTTTAAAAGATATTTAACCAAAATAGTTACCACGCTGTCGTCCAAATGCTCCTTGTCAAATAAGTTTGTATAATCTCTCTTCTTAGCTATCATCCCAATATAGTGATCATAAAGCATAGATATGAATTCAGGCGTGACTTGAGCTCTAGGTATAGTGTTTAAAACTACCTCATATATGTTAGCCAACGCAGAATGCGTGAGATTAAATCCAGTCAACCTGGAGTCTATGTTCGCCTTCAGTACAGATTCAATCGAGTTGATTGTACCAATTTTGCCATTTCCATAGCATATTCCTAATAAGTTTATATCATTCAATATATCAAACGCACTTTCATGCGATCCCGACCCATTGAAGCAGGATACTATATATCCGATTAAAATCTTGGGTGAGTCTGGAAATTTCTCTTTAATCAATAAAACAATCTCCTCAACTAATCTCAATCTTTGTTCTTCTGTCAAACTTGTCAAATTAATACTGTTAATTATTTTAAGACATTCTTGGTGGTATCCTTGTGTTCTCAAATTTCTCACCAAAATGAAAAGGGTTTTAAAAGATATTTCAAGATCATTTTTTATCATGTATTTCAAAACTTTCACACTGTGGTCCGGCCCTCTGAAAGTCATTATGTGCTGCAAGATTAAGTTCAATACAATTTGCGTATCCTCGTCTGTTGTAGTATCGCCCATTCTAAGTGGATTATGGTTACTCAATTGCCCCATGCATTTGCTCTCGAATTTTTGCACTAGCAACCTCAAATAGAGATTAGCATTCACAATATCAGTTCTTTGAATTGCAAAATTTGCAAATATTTCTAGATCCTTTATCGAAAAAAAATTCTCCATCTTTTTTTCATGCCTTATGCCTAGAGATGATCTGTTCACGTCATGCCACTTAGGCGCTATCCAGCCCGTACGTGCGACAAATTTCTCAAGATTAGAACCCTTCATTAGCTTCCTTTTTATTTTTTCAAGCTGCTTGAGATCTTTTGTTTGAATGTTTAAGTTAAGGAAATACAGATATAATTCTCCACGCTTTTCTCCAGGTATTAGTCTCCTCACTTTATCAAAAAGCTCCGTGCTTAGGAGTATAGGTTTTTTGTTTATATGGTTAATCAGTGCAAGCGTATTTAAATAGTTCAATAGTAACTCACATCTCTCCACGGTATTCTTATCAACCTGCCCTATAATATATTTGAGGTTTTTAAAAAAACCCAGAGTAAATTCAGGACTTGATGGGGATATAATGAACTCAAAAATGGAACGTTTTATTCTGTCTGAAATCATATTTTGCCTTACTATAAGCAACACTATATCTTTAAGTTTTTCATCTTTGAGCCCTTCTATCATCTTAACTACTCTCTTTATGTCAACTATTATCAAATCGTGTATTATTTCCGCTACTTGTGTGCAAAAATTGTTAGTTTCTGTTAAAGACTTGTAAGGCACTTTGGCTAAATGCAAATATTCTGGAATCGAGAGTTTTAGTATTTCATCTTTTTCCATATTGAATAAGGGGTTAGGATAAGAATCATACGAAAGTTTCAAGTAGTTGACCACATTCCTTTTCTCTCTTCTTGAAAATATATCCTTCCTGATGGTTGATTGAATAGCAGACATTTGTTCAAGACTAGAGTTTGGAACTGTATGAGTGCTTAAGCTAGAGTATCCTCTTATAAAGTGGCTTCGTGAAACCTGTCGAATCATTTGGTTCTAGCCTTTGGTCTATCATAAGCTATTATATTTAAGAACGTTTGTTTGCATCAAAAATACTCCGTTATACACTGATTTCTGAAAATTTATTCAATGCCCTCGGAATGATATACTAAATAGTCTCGGTCCTAACTATGTAAAACTAAATAGAAAGAGACTAAGAAATGAAAAAAAAGGATATTGAGGAACTCTTAATTCTATATTGGCTCATTATCGAAGTCTTCCAAAGACATTACCAATGTATTTCTTCTGAAGTCACGGTAAATGTGTCTTTGGTAGAAATATGCTATATCAAAAATGACAGTTCCAGAGCTCCCCAAGATATATGGCAATTCAGCTAACAAAAACAGCTTCTTTGTCGTATCAAAAATGAAATCACAACTTGTCAAGATAGATAGAGTATAGGTCAAGTTTCCAATCAATGCAGATCCGAACAAAAGAGGTGAAATCCCTTCAACTGATTTAGTCTTGTAGTTTTTATACAATTGGGGAAGCCTAGAACTGATGTAGACCGCAGTGCATCCCCATGCTAATAATACCCCTAGATTCTGTGCCAGCATGAATAGAGACATTTGAGAACTATCTATATCATACTCAGCTGCTGCTGCGGCGCCCCCCATATTGAACATTGTGGCAATCGATATTGCCTTGGCAGTGTTGTTTCTATTTTTGTTATCATCGACTGAATTGTAACCGCTGTTTAAGGAACTTACCAAAGACAGTGTGTTGTCATCACTTTTGTTTGCATGTGCACGGATATGGATCTCGGACGTTGAAGATGCTGAAAGTGGATTACTATCAGAGGCCCCATTAGTGTTGATATCTCTACTTTCCAGTACGTTCAGTAAGTCCAAGCTCTGATTCAGGGTATACGTATTTTCTTCTAAATACTCCACAGCACCATATTTCTTCGGATACACACTGTTGTAATAGTAATATTGTAAACACAATATCACATCATTGGTGAGAAAAAATAAGCTCAAATAGACCTGAAACTTCAATACCACTTCATTCAATAGACAACTTGTAAAGCTCAAAAAATCTCCTGCGAACCATAGCAAGAGAAATGAGGGAGATATCGCCTCCGCTGACTTGTGTTTATAATTGATATATATTTGGGGAAGTTGAGCACATATCCAACTTCCCAAAGATATTGTACTGAATATGTTAGAGAGGAATGAAAGCTCCACACATGACACCATTATATCAAAAGGCTCTTCAATATCTTTTGCTGATATATTACTAGTCAAATTTTCTCTTTTCTACGGCCCTTAGTTTTGGTGTCAACGATCCTTTATCTAAGATCAGATAAGAAATTTCTTCTTTCGGCTATATCAGTGACAAAAAATTAACAAAATAGAATACTAAATTACTATAAACTATTTGGCTACGTCAACACTGAGCCCTCACTATAAAGCAAATGCATGTAATCTAAACTTTATACAAAGTGTCCAAGAATGCGACAATTAACTTATCAGCAACCCCCACAGTTTTGACACTTCCTGCAACGCCATAAAATGCGGCAGTATCGCTCGTTGCTTTATTTTTTTCGCTGGTATCCATTTTCTGGACTAGAACTTCAACTGTGTATAATAAGTCTTCAATGAGTTCTTCAACAATAGGTACAGTAAGTTTCGTGAAGGCAAAGTGAAGGGCAGCAGGACTTTGCAAAGCCGCGAAATGCCATCCTTTTGAGTTCAAAGAGTCACCCAAGTCATATATGTTTAGGTACTCAGAATACTCATCTTTAAATTTAAATGCAATAACTGAGCCTATAGGGTCGCCAATGACTTCTAAGTACTTGTTTAATGCACTATCGTTCAAAATACTTTCCTTGACCTTCATAGATGCCTTAACAATATCATACCCTAGCTTAGCATAACCGTTCTCTCCAATGCTTAGTAAAGTGGCCCAGCAACCCACCATTAAAGCGCCGGGTCTAGATCCTGCAAGAGTGGGCGAGCCATATAAACCTCCAATCCAATCCGTCAGAACATAATACTGACATTCCCTTAATTTTGGATTACGATACATTATTATAGAAGAACCCTTGGGAGCAAATCCATATTTATGAGTATCACAAGAGATTGAAGTGACACCTTCTAAACGAAAATCAAATATTGGAATTCTTTTGTCGCCATGCACTTTTGTTTTTTCTAAGAAAGGCACAATAAATGATCCTAAACATGCATCAACATGTAATGGAATTTTATACTTTACTGCTAATTTTGACAAGGCCTCGATGTCATCAATTATGCCATGAGGATAATTTGGTGCAGAACCCACGAGTAAAATTGTATTTCTATTTATATGTTTCTTTACTTTATTAATATCAACTTTATACGTATCTGCATCAAGGTCTACCTTCCTCAATGTGATTCCGAAATAATAGCATGCCTTATCAATACCAGCATGAACGGTTGAAGGAGCAATAATTTCGGGTTCAGTGATTCCACGATGTCGCTTTCCATATTCTCTTGCTGCTAAACCAGCCAACAATAAAGACTCAGTACCTCCTGATGTGGTGGAGCCACACCCAGACTTCGGCGCATTAAAAAGATTTAAGACCATTGATACAACTTCGGATTCCATTTTGCGAACACCGGGAAAAACATCAGGATGTAATTGATTCGCTACAGCGTATTCATGGTACGCTTTAGTTTGCAATTCCAAAAGATCATCACCGCCATGGTACACAGCACCGCTGACCCTTCCATTTTCCCAATCAGAATGCTTTAAAGCTTTCAACTTTTCGAGCTCACCAGTAATCTCATCGTTTGACAAGCCTGTTTTAGGTAATTGGGATGTCTGTAACAAGTCAGCATCATTTTTCATCAACTCTTGCTCGATCTTTTGCACAGTTGGTTCCAATTCTTTCTGCACTTTACTCTTGATTGGCGGCAAAGACATTATTAATATGAAGAACTTTCTGCTTATTGTATGATAACCAATTTCAAGTGTCCTAATAATGCCATATCCTCGGACAAATAAGTAAAGCTTACTAATATAATGGAACAAAATATGAGAGATAATAATATCTTTAGTTATGGAAAACCAGTTCCACTTGTGGTTAACATTATCAAAATAATTCTCATAAATAAGACCCTGAATTTTGATATTGATAAAGTAGGCTAACAGTGTGAAGTCCTTCGGAAGAAAGGGCTCCCCGTAAAACTTGTTAGTGAGATACTCCTTGGCCGAGTCAGACATGCTGATAATGAACTACTTGGTCCTAAATTCTTTCTGAGCATTTTTGTGACTAAACTGGCCTGTAAAATTGAAGGTTTATGAGGATATAGGCAGGAATCTCGGACATGACGGAATGCATGCAAAATTGAACTTTTAAATTCTAAAACTAAGAGGTCCGATTTCCGTCATCCATTTCGTAAAGATGTACACGACAGTTAGGATGATACGTTGTCTATATAACGATTCGATGAATTTAAGTTGTAAATTAATTTGTATCTATGAATATTATTTGCCTTATCTAGTATGGAGTAGATGCCCTGCTTACTCTATTAACTGGTCGGCTGCTCGATCCGGACGCAGTGCTATCGAGAATTGCAGTCCTCTCTTTGATCAACTTGTCAATCTTTTCGTTTAAAAATTTAGATAGAAAAGAATTTTCAGCTCTTAACCTGTTAGTGCTTGACTCATGATTTATTGAGTCATCTTTTTTGACCAAAGAAGGGAGAGATACTAGACCCAATGAGTTAAGCTTTTTTCCTAGTTCCGTATCCTTCTCTTTGAAACTATTTAGTTTCGCAGTCCATTGAACAGCATCCGCCGAAGTTGTTTGGTATGATAATCTCGTTGATTCATTTTCATCATTCAATTTGGCATATTCTGCCTCGAGCTTGATAGTCTCTTCACGTAATGTTGTGCATGTCTGCTCCTGAGAAAGTATCTTTTCTCCCAATGCGGTATCTTCAAGGGTTTGATGCAAGAAGCTGAGCTTATCTTCCACAGCCTTTAAACGTTGCTGATGCAAAGAAAGTTCTGATTCCATTCTTGCTAGTCTCTTATCCGATTGTGGTAACTCATCATTGAGTTTCCGTAGCTTCCTATAATTTATTTCAATTTCATTCTCATCTTCATCATACAGTATTTGTCTTGATGTTTCTTTTTGTCTTAGAGGTGGAACGATTTGCAGCCTTTTAGTTCTTACTGAGTTCTCAAGAGCAAGGGCCCTTTGGTTCAATAACTGGGCGAGTTTTTCTCTGAAGGACTTATAATCATAATTGGAAAGCAGATAGTCCAACTGGCCATCGATATAGTTGACTTCTAATTTTTTATAGAGTTTTTCATTAGAAAACTTTGTAATAAGGTATTTATCGTCTGTTTTCAAGTTCTCTATAGGGAATCTTATTTTTTTCCAGTTCAAAAACCAATCGTACAACTTACTCATGTTATTACCATATACTTCAGTGAAAAGATCATCATTGAAGGACTCGAATAGATTATATCTATTTACAACGAAAGTTTTGATAAGTTGTAATTTCCACTTGTAGAGGGGATTCGAGGTATCTTTAGTTAATGTAAAATTATTTGATGGTTGTGGCAAATATAGCATTATGTGTTCAATGGAATATAGGGGGACGGGAATTATAATTGGGGTCTTAGGCCGGCTTGATCTTAATATTTCTAAACTGGGACTTTCAACGTCAATGTCATTGTGAAAAGAAAAAATGAGGTTAAAATGAGCTTTGGTGTCATCAAGGGAATGAGTGTAATTATTGTACAATTGTGATGATGTTATTAAGTATACTGAAAGCTGTGTTGTCCCTTCATTTGAATTATTCTTTGCATTCGATTTATTTTTCGAGTCATCATACAATTTAGCGCTGCTTAGATTGGTATAATTGAGTCTCTTACCGATAATCAATCCTTCAACAAGCTCTAGTTCTTTTACGCTTTCGGCAACTACTAAAATCAGATATGGTTCTGTCTTTCTTGAGATAAATGAGTTGACCAACCTATTAAATAATTCAAACTTTCCAGATAACTTTATCAACCGTTCATTGATTTCCAGTAATAATAATCGTTTTGGTATAAAATGATCCACTAGAAGAGAAGGGTGTTTATTTATTAGTAGTAATTGGTCAAATAGGAGAGAAATTCGTTCATATGAGCTGATAGAGCGAACCTCGTGGTCCGCGGACTCTAGTAGATTATCAATTCTGGTACGTTGGCTTTGTAAATCTAAATCATTCAAAAGTTCGGGAATGAATATCTGTAATGCTATCTCGCTCATGCCTTTTTGGATTCTAGTCAACAATGTTGGTAAGTAATAAACTGCACTTTGATCATGTCCAGTTATATCATCACCTTGAAAATCATCATCCTTAGTAGGTGCAACATTATTTAAAATTGATTCCAAGTCGGGATCCTGCCCCTTAAGTACTGAACTTGGGGCATCATTACTCAAAATATCCATAAGGTTCATATTTACACCTCTGCTTGGTGAACAGCTTGCTTTTTTACTTCGTGAAATATATACACTCGGGTAAATTTTATAATATACGACCTGCACAATGTAGTCTACAAGAAACTTAAAATAATTAATTCTCTTTATCTATACCTCTATACAAATCAAACCTGTGCTAACCCATATCCTTCATCTTCTACCTTTTTTCTTAATCATAACATTAATTCCAATATTTCCGAGGCTATCCCAAACTACATCATCCACTTTTTTAGGTAATTTCCTCCCATAAAGTGATTGATCGACGAGCCAAATGCCGACCAAAAATTCTTGCTTATTTAAAGTTCCATCTTTTCTGAAATCCACGAGGTTCCAAATGGTTTCCAATGTTTCTCTAGGAAGACGACTTCTCATCCAAAGTCTCTTCACGACTACTCCATGAATCAACTGATCAATGTCTGCCGACTCCAAATCATGAAATTGCTGAGCATTATCTGAATACGATGATTCTCCTTTAACGCTAGCTGAGAGCCTTGCCGCTTTTGTAGATATCATCTCATTATCAGTAGCAGTGAAGTCCGAGGGCTTTGTTTCATCGTAACTTACGCCGGCTAGCTTGGTTACTACTGCATGCATATAAAGACCTTTATTGCTAGTCCACACACCTTCATATCTTTTTCTTTCTTGCTCTGTAATATAATTGAGTTCGCTATGATTCTTCCAAGGCTTGTTCTCATTAAACTGTAATTTCTTGCTCCTCTTGCTTGATGTTCGCATAGTCGTTTTCAATTGAACATGTTGTTGCGGCGCAGCCGGAGTCGTTGGCCGTGAAATTCTTTCTTGAGCATCTGAATCTAGTTTCCAGTCCAGTTCTGATTCAACGTCCAGGTCCATCGGATTCACGAAGGCATCATTCCCTCCTTTTAATTTATACTTCTTTTTGAAAATCTTCGGTTTATGATCTAAATGCTTTTGATGTCTCGCTTCCGCAATATCTGGAAATTGGGGGAATTTGGACATGGAAGAATTGATGACACCTTCTGTACTTGGGTCTTTTTCCTTCTGAACATACAGAAAAGAGCTTTCATCTCCTGACAAACCAAAAAAATCAGAGTTGTTAAGCAGTGATCTGCTAGATGAACATCCAATTGAAGTATCAGAAACATTTTCGTTCGACTCCAAGCATGGTGTGGTCTTTATAGTCATTAAATGAGATCCGTTGTCCAAATCTGGAGGCGGTTTCCTACGAAGCTTTTCTTTGCTCCTTTCATCATTCACATTAAGACTACTGTCGCTGGACTTGTTCGCACCTCGTCTGATGTAAGGTGACTGTGATAAACTCTCTTTGCTACCACCGTCAAACGATTTGGAAAATGAACTCAGAGATTCGGTCAGTAAGATGGGCGAGACATACTTTTGAGGACGAGGAGAATCATCCCTTGAAGTATCTTCTTCATCAAAGGAGTCTTCATTTTCTGACTTCAGTTCTTCTATTGTTTGATTCGCAATTGATGTTTGGCTGTTAGATTTTGAATTTTTCAACATATTTGGTGCAGTTTCTGGAAGTTCATGATTCACAACTATTTTGGGTGTTTCCGGATGTGGATAGTATGATGATCCCAGAGTAGTAGATACAGATGACGAATATGAAGCATTATCGTCAATTTGTTGTTCCCGTGGTGGCTCATCATCTGACAAGTTATGACTTCTATTTCTGTTTTGCTCTACTGGACTTGGTGATTTATTGCGATACGTTGAAACTTTCTTCAGGTTAATGGTCTCACGGATCTCATTGATTGCGCTTTGGTTTCTCTCTCTTGTTTCAGGCCCCAGCGTTTTTGCCTTAGAATTGATTGAAGATTTGATATTTTTGATCATTTCCTCTGGTTGCATACTGGGAGACAATGCCTTATTCGCTCTGATATTCTGGATTGTTTTAGAGTCTATTGATTTCTTAACACCTTGTATTGCAGTGAGAGGTGCCGTTTGACTCTGCTTCAACGTTGGTCTCTTTTTAACATCTTGTGAAACGTCCTTTGCATTAAAATAGTCTGTTTTCTTTGCTATAGATTCATTGTCAGGATTCTTGAATGCAGATACCGATTCAGATCTCCCATAAGGGGAATCTCTATGACTGGTATATATTCCTGAATCTGTTAGAATTGATGTCGGAGTAGCAGGCGACGATTCTCCGCCACGAGATAGTCTTGATGCTGATACATCAAGTTTTTTTAAAGGAACTTTGGAAACGTAAGGCTGTGAATATTCTCGAGGTATATTACCCCTTGGGTCAGCCTGCAACGTTCGCTTTGCATATTTATTATTCTTGTATATGTCATTATCAGAATCATTGGTTTCGGCATTTTTAGCTTTAAATGCTGCCAATGCTGCTGCCTGGCTTGCTGCGTTACTTGATGACATAGTATCAATAAATTTTTGCTACCATCAACAGAAAAAAGTCCTATTTGTGAAAAATTTCTTACAATTTTATATGCTTACTGATCCGATTGTGAAAGATCTTATTTTTGTAAGGGTATCCGGAAGATTGTTTGTGCGCAGTATCAGGTTCGAGAGATTTTGATCTGCAAAATTAATGTTTTTTGTCTAATATACACTATTTGTCTACTTTCTCTTCCCACGTGATGAGTTTACATATCTTGATCTTCCAACTTTTACACCAGAGGCCCTGTTGCTAGGCAAGGTATTAAATGGAGATACATAATTATCAGCACTTCCTCCCCCAACCCATTCTTCAAGCATCTTTTCATTCTGTCTTCTTTGCCATTCGTCATTTTTGATGGCCTGCTGATATTCCTTTTGATCTTCTCTCAATATCAATGGTTCTTGTAAAGAACTGTGACGATTTTGCTTATTATGTTGATGGCCACGATGACCAAGTATCTTCTGTTGGTTATGACTTAAAGGGGAGGGTAAGGAATACTTTTCACCTCTCTTTATCCACTGGAAATTTGCTTTTAAGTGAGGAGTGATTTTACCACTTTTGTTGTCGACTGAAACAGCACATCTAAGCAAAGTATTTCCTCCACAGTTTGGACAAAAATGCTTTGGTCTACCATCCTTCGGCATTGGAGTTAGCCTGAAGCAAGCGTGGCAACGATACATATAATTTCTAATTCTCTTAATTTGCTTACCAGAGGCCTCGTTCATCAAATTGAGACCGATCTGCATCGAAACATTTTGACATGCAAAATCACCCGTGGCAAATGCCACTTTAATAATTGTATTTGAGTTCCTTGATGTTGAAGTTTCTTGAATATTTTCATTTTTGTCTTTTAGCACCTGCTCTTGGAAATTGTCAGGCGTTATCCACTCACCGTCATCTTCATATTCTTCATATTCTTCCCTAAATTCTTCATCGGCTGCTCTCTCTTCATTGAGCTGGTCATGCAGAAGGTCCTCTTGTGTGTATGAGCCAACTTCTGGTCCATTTTTCTCCAGGCGTTCTTTGCTTTCTGCCTGTATCTGCCTTTTTTCTCTCTGTTTCTTACCACCTCTCCGACGCGGTTTCTTTGTCTGAACATTCGCCAGTTCATCGGAAATTATTGTGGATTTATCGCTTGGCTTTTCTATCGAATCTTCTTCGGATTTAGTGTTTTTTTTACTGTCATGGTGTAGTTCCTCACCCGGATGCTTCCTCAATCTCCAATCACCGTTATTAAGTTCACATTCTAACTCATAAGCGAGAGCGATAATATGCAAATCATTCGCAGATAATACGGCGTAATCTCCAGTTAATTTAGCAAACCGTGATACTTGGCGAATGGAATCAGGTTTAGGTTGCCTGACTTGAAGCTCATCACCCCAAAGCAAAAGCTGTTGTCTTGCATACTCGTCCTTCAATTCATTTCGTACTCCAGGAGTAGTATAGCACATCCTCGCATACTGTTGTAAGGTAGACGCTGTCTGTGTAATAAGGGGACCTGCATCAAGAATTAAACATCTCACCTTTACTTGTTCTTCGGGAGCATCATTCGCCTTACTCATTTGGTTCATGGCGCTGTAATATAGTAGATCCTATTCTATTCTAAGTGATGAAAAATCTGAGTGCGATGAGATTAAGATACTAAGCAGTTTTCTAGCATTTGATCAATCACGTGATATATTTCTTTCCTAGCTTTTTACATAATGTTTCAACCCGAGGAACTCACCCAGCCAAAAGTTAAGACAGGAGTACCAGGAGACAATTCTTCCTTGTCAAAAGCTCCTTTGTGTTCTTTGACTCTAATGTATTATTGGCCATATCATGCGCAACCGATGATTTAAACACACTCGCAACGGTTTAACCTCGCCTATATTTTAAGTTTTTAGCACATGACATCTCTGGGTCATTGCTGTTGTTTAAATTTTGGAAATCGCAACCGTAAAGAAGGATAAAAAAGAGGAGGTAACAATATTAATCTAACCTCTATTTGAATTGAACAAATTGATCAAAATGCTGTCAAATATTACCGGCGACAAATTAACACTTCACTGGTAAGTGTCTGTTGAGATTCCTCGATATAATTATATCTAATACTAACTGTAATCCAGGCTCGATCACTCTAGGTCTCAAAGAATCTTATGGTTATTGGAATTACTAGGCTTGAATTATGAATTGGAAACCTACTTTAGAGACAAGAATTACAGAGCTCCAAAGGAATTGAAAGATGTCCATCCGTCAGGGAAATCCCCAATTTTAGTTATTGCTCCAGAAGATGGGCTGGAAGAAATTACGCTAGCTGAAAGTGGTAACATTATTCAATATGTTGTCGAAAAGTATGATACCAAAGGAATCTTGACCCCTGAGAGTGACTATTACAAAAGACAAGTCAATTACTTTTTACACTATTCGGAAGGTACATTGCAACCTCTTTTGGTGAGTCTTTTAGTAAATTTTGTTGCGAGAAGTGCTGCCCCTTTTGGTGCCAGGTATTTAACGAAGCTTGTAACTAAGGGCATCAATGACGGATACTACACTCCTGAGCTCAAGCAAAATTTACAATATTTGGATGATTTGTTACAAAAGCAAGGAACCGAATATTTTGCGGGCAATAAAATAACAGCAGCTGATATAATCTTAAGCTTTCCAATTAGCGAAAATCTCTTTTCTAACAAGGATGCTCATGATAGATTTGGTGGCGACTTGCTGAAATATACTTATCTTTCTAAATGGTCAGAGAAGATCAATAATGATCCAGTTTACAAAAAGATCACCGAACAAATGCGTTCGAAATCTAAAAAGCCTAAAGAGACATCCAATCTCTAGTTTATGTTTCGATGTCTTCTTCGGCCACTCAGTTTTATTATGTTTAGTTTTTATGTATCAAATAGGTCTGTGTATCGTGCAATTGGTAACGATGTAATATTCAAAACCTCTGCAAGCGAGAGATTTACATCTCCCTAGATTGAGGCTCGCACATAGCAAAACAGTTGAGTTAACCATTTTTTTACTATGAGAGCGGTGCTTATAGTAGTCAAGTGAATGTAAAGACGTTATCGAGTAAGACGTAAAGCCATATCCTAAAAAAAAAGTGAAAGTCATAGGATCTCACACAGCACAGTATTCCCCCGCAGCTTACCTCATAAGGAAATTGTAGAAATTACTAACTTTTTTCTTTATAAATGGAACTCTTTCACGATGGGGATATTTTAAAGGTTAATCTCATTTCTTTATTCATCCTCTTCAGACATGCTGCCAGGGGATCATGGTGATAAATTTATAATTCATTGGTAAGTCTCTTCCTAATTATGCATGCTTTATTATCCATCTGTTTACATATTGCTAACTCCTCTGTACAGGCTTGATGAGTCAAGAGCGCATAGAATTGTTTGGCTATTAGAGATCTTGGATTTAGATTACGAATTGAAGATTCATTTAAGAAATCCAGAAACCTTTAGAGCACCTCCAGAGTTGCTTTTAATCCATCCGTTGGGAAAAGCACCCGTATTGGAAATAATTCCAGGAAATGGTGGTAAGAAGCTCATTTTGGCAGAGAGTGGTCATATAATTCAATACCTCATTAGGAACTACGATCCATATAAGATTTTAACACCGGATAGCGAAGAGCAGCAGATGCAAGTCGATTACTATCTTCATTTTTCAGAAGGCACAATGCAGCATATCAATGTATCACTACTTATAAATTCAATGGCTAAGAAAATTGCTCCGTTAGGTACGAGAACATTAGCAGGAATGGTTACTAGGGGTTTAAACCTTGGATACTATATTCACGAGTTCCTAATGAATATGAATTTCTTAGAGAGCCAATTAGACAAGGAAGGAACTGGATTCTTTGTAGGAAATAGACTCTCAGGGGCAGACATAATACTAAGTTTCCCTGTGTGGGAAAATGTCTTCAATAATCCTGATATACATAAGATAACAGGTATCAAAAAAGACTTCAATCAGATGTGGCCACATCTTGCAGCTTGGTGTGGGAATGTTGAAAATCATCCTACCTACATAAAAGTAAACGAGATTGTGGAAGAGCAAATGGAAGAATACTTCACACAAGAGAATGGGAAGCGTTAGTTCTATTTCTTTTTATATCAATATAGTTTTAATATTGTTAATCATTGCTTCCATCTCTTGCCTTAAGCAATTTTACTTCATCTGGGCCATCAAAGTCGGTGTTTGCTCTCACTTAATGCCTTCGCTGAGAGTGATTGCAAAAAACTGTGACCTGCAGTACTGTAGCCGAATACTGAGCTCCCCCGGGCAAAGCTTTAAGGCGGGCACACCGAAGAACCCGCTTGCACACTACATGCTGCCGCTGTTTAGCGGCCAAAGGTTAGGGGGATGTCCGCCAAGATGATCTAATAATACCGAGTCCGCTACCAATTCCAACATAGCTTGCGCAAGATAGAACTGTTATAGGTTATTTTCCCTTTCGATCAGATACTCGAGCCGGTATACCCCCGTTCCGAGAATATTCAGCTGGGAATTTTTGGGATCAATATCTCCTCAACCTCAACGTAAATTCATCTCTCTAAGTGGCCTCACATATAGTATTGATCCAGCTATAAATTGAAGGCGCCGAAGAAAGGCTTATTGTTTCCTCGCCTCGGGACCGCCTCATTGAAAAAAGATAAAAAAAAAGAAAAAGAAAAGTATGTTGGTTTTGTGTGACATTTATGTTTGTGCGAAAGATATTGATCAATAGAAGACAAAAAGCGAAAATTGATCACATAAGAATAACTACACTTCATTGTACCCACAGGATTGTTTGATATATCAAATATATAAGCAATACTGTTTAAGTTGCTTATAAGGGTTATCAGGGTGTTGTGCAAAGAATCAACGGATAACTTTAACTCTAAAATTCTCGACGAAAGTAAAAGTTTGATCATTTCGTCTAACAGATCTCAACCAACGAAAAAAACAAAGTGAACGACGAAAAGGATTCGGGTAGTAGCGTTTACTATCAAAGAGTATCCCAATACAATTAGGGTAACGGAAAGCTAACGAATTTGCTGACCTTGTTGGCAATAAAGTTAAAAAAAATACGAAATCATCAAGGATTGACCGTTTTTAGAGAGTTGAATTCTTGTTCTTGTACTCACTTTTATTACCAGATTATTCAAACAGTCTGATATAATTACATTGTGAGCATCAAGTCTTGTATATCTGCATTTGGAAGCATTATACTTAAGAAAAAAATCGATAATGTCAAATCGTGCTCAATTATCATCTAACCCAGCTGCTTTAGCTGCTGCTGCTGCCTCTCACAATCCTAATTCGAACAACGCATCAAGCTCTTCTGGCAACAATAACTCTGTTGTTGGATTACACTACAAAATAGGAAAAAAGATTGGCGAGGGATCGTTCGGTGTTCTTTTTGAAGGTACAAATATTATTAATGGTGTGCCGGTTGCTATCAAATTTGAGCCTAGGAAAACTGAGGCCCCGCAATTAAGAGATGAGTATAGAACTTATAAACACTTACAAGGTTGCAATGGTATACCCAATGCCTACTATTTTGGTCAGGAGGGTTTACATAATATTTTGGTTATTGATTTGCTCGGCCCATCTTTAGAAGACTTATTCGATTGGTGCGGTAGGAGGTTCAGTATTAAAACTATAGTTCAAGTTGCCATTCAGATGTTGAATTTGATTGAAGAAGTTCATCGTCATGATTTAATTTACAGAGACATTAAGCCTGATAATTTCTTGATCGGCCGTCAAGGCTTGCCAGATGAAAATAAAGTTCACTTAATTGATTTTGGTATGGCTAAACAATACAGAGATCCAAGAACGAAGCAACATATTCCTTACCGTGAAAAAAAGTCTTTAAGCGGTACAGCTCGTTATATGTCTATTAATACACATTTGGGAAGGGAACAGCTGAGAAGAGATGATTTAGAAGCTTTGGGTCATGTGTTTTTCTATTTCTTAAGAGGCCAGTTGCCATGGCAAGGCTTAAAAGCTCCAACAAATAAGCAAAAGTATGAGAAGATTGGAGATAAGAAGCGTACAACACCTGCTGTTGCTTTATGTGAAGGTTTACCGAGACAATTTGCCGAATATTTGGATTCTGTGAGAAGCATACCATTTGATGCAGAGCCTGCTTATGAGGAATATAGAATGCTCTTATTATCTGTCTTAGATGATTTGGGACAGCAATGTGATGGTGACTACGACTGGTTACACCTCAATGGTGGGAAAGGTTGGGATGCGTCAATTAACAAGAAACCGAACTTGCATGGATATGGTCACCCAAACCCGCCAAATGAAAGGGATAGACGCCATCGTGAGCAACGTAGAAACAGACAACATCATTCTCAGTATCAACCTCAGACATCTCAACTGCAGCAGCAGTCATCAGCTGCCCAATTGCATCAACTGAAATTGCAGCATTTGGTAAACAGGCCTTTACCACCAATTAAACAAGAGGCTCCAGCAAATAATAACGATATATTACTAGATTCGTCGCAAAGAAATCATAGATCAAAGAGTTATGAAAACACGCCAGTTAATAGACAAAATCAGTATGAACAACAACAGATGGTGGATGACACGGATGAGCACAAGGGATTCTGGTCAAAATTATGTTGTCATTGAGTCTTTCTACGTTCTGTTCCGTGAAATTATTTCAATGAAAAAATAGCACAATTCTTTAGATTTTTATTCAACTGTTTATTTGGTAAAGACGTTATCTCACTGTCCTTGTTAATTCAACCACATACTTTTATATTCTGTGGTCTTCGTTTAATTAGAAACTAGCATAAATAGTTATATTTGACTTGTTTTAATTAGAGTTATTTTAAAAGCTTTTCACTACTTTTATTGATGTAAACATTGTAAATCTAATCTAGCTAAACTATCTCAGAAATCCGTATCCTTGGAACTTCTCTGCCATTCTTCACTAGATACGGCCATCTCTTCGTACGTCTTCCTCAAGAACGCCTCAATTTCTTTCAAGTAGGACGTGGCAAATTCTTTATTAAATGTACCTTTGTCATCTTTGCAGTTATTATTCAAGTAGTCCAATCTCTTTTTCATGATATCAACACGATATTGTATCCATTGTGGATAGAAATCGTTATATCTGGATCCATAGTTGATTTCTGGTTTGACTGTAGATAAAACTGAATCTTCTCTTACTAAGGGATCCTTTGCTCTGTATGAGGTAACCATAGTAATACGCTCAGTCATACCCATCGGGCTTGGGGCGATGTGTTCAATTAACCGTCCCTGTAATACAGCTGCAGAGCCTGATTGTGGCCCAGGAACGATAGCAACTTTTCCCCTATCTCCCATTCTTAATGAAGTTTCCCCACCGATCATTTCGCTGGTATCACTTAACATTAAAACACAGACAAAAGGATAGCTATCATAGTGCCAGCCAACAATAGCGGGAATTTCCTCACTATCACCCACAGATTTCGATGCTACATCCGAATTTCTTAATTTTTCTTCTTCTGCAACCTTAGGATCTTTTATACCAATATTGACGTGGGCTATTTCATAATCCATAATAACTTCAAGTTCAACACCTGCCATAGTACTGACTAGTTCAGTAGTCTTCGGGTGTGTCCATGCCTGATAGATAAATGGAGTACTAATCTCGGACCCATTCTTAACATATCCCCTAAGATTGCAGTCGAGACCGGTCGTGGAGTTATAGCAGTGTCTTGCATACTTGGAAAAGATCTCCTTTTTCAATATTTCCTGCTTCATGATGTTGACAGCTTCATCTGTGAATAATGGAAAAGGATCGCTCACACCGATTGGGGATATTTGATTCTTGTTCGATAACCCAAGCTCTTCCATGGTCAATCTTCTCGTGTTGTGAAATGAATGTTTATCGATTGGATCTTCGGAATAATATTTTAAATGCTTAGATGGATCGAACTTAATGTCATCTGTAGAAGTAAGCCCTGTTTTTTCAACTAATTCCTGATAAGATTTTGCAAGATTTTCATCATACACAGAATCCTTTACACGTCTGTGCAAGTTACCGTTTTGAATCAGTTCAATCAAGCCTGGTGCCGCCATTATATTATCTTGTACTGTGTTGTAGTTTATTTTAGATCTTGACATAAAGCTGCGAAATAGCGACAGATTTCAGTTTTATATAATCATAGCGTAACTGTTAATACAATAGCCTCCTTATGGACATGCATCATTTTAATTAATTCTTTACCTAAACTGTTATTTTCTTGCTGCTCCTAGTACCCAAATTTTAACAAAGGGCGTTGCACTCCAGAATCTATCCTTCCTACTCCGGTGTATGGATCCCGACTCTTATCAGTCCGCATTTTTACTCGTTTACATTGCACAAATTTAGCAACTGGCACGATAACTCGCGGTCCCGCTATGGAACGAAAATACCAAGGAGACTATAAATTCCATAGGTCACCGACCAATTTGAATCGGATCCCGCTATTTGCTGTTTTTGTTATTTACCTAAGTTATTTGCAAGTATTGCGAAGACTACGTATACCTGTCAAAGGTATGTGATCCTTTATTGTATATATGCCGATTTCGTAGAAGGGAATGAAAGATAGTGTGCTAACTTAAAAATTTTTCTTTCAAGAGGTCATCAACTGTAAAGCGCTCGCACGGATCCCATTTTAATGCTTTGTCTAAAAAGCTCAAGAAAGACCGAAACACGGGAAGCGATTTCTCCGCTTTGTCTAATTTCAAATGGAATTCCAAAGATTTTGAGTTTGGCTTGAATTGTCTTTTTAATCCTGAGGAAGAAATTGATCTTGATATGCGATAGTTCAAGAAATGTAAATTTATCATACCATTAATATCAAAGAGCGTGAATAATAACGTCCTTTTGATTGATTTTTCATCTATTTTCGAAAATTGAGACCGAGAAATAGACTCTTCGAATGAGAACGTACTAGGGGACTTGCGTTGCATGGTTAGTGTCTTTCGGAGTCGTAAAATTAGAGAACTTTTTGGAGCTCCAAAAAGTTCCAACATCAAACCGATATGTTCCAATTCATTCTTTCCAGCAAGTAAAGGTTTACCAGTTGCAAGTTCAGCTATGACACATCCAAAAGACCAAATATCTATCTTCTCATTATACCTCGCTCCAAGAACAACCTCAGGAGCTCTATAATAGCGTGATTGGATATACGTATATGAGATCTCATTACGATAGCATGATGAGCCAAAGTCTATAATTTTTATGACCAAGTCTTCCTCTTTGACTTCTTTTGCCAAGTTAAATTCATGAGGTAGCTTTATCATTATATTTTCAGGCTTGATATCACAGTGAATTACACCATTCATATGAATAAACTGTATTCCCTCTAAAATTTTTTTTGCAAATGGCTTAATAATTTCCAATGATAACCCTTGAAAATTAGTCATCTCTAGAAGGGTATACAAATTCAACGAGAGAAGTTCCGTTACAATGCAAGTATGCCCTCTAAAATGAAAGTGGTCAATATAATGCAACACTAAATTGTTTTCACCAGCCTTTTCATGAAACTGTTTCAATAATTTAATCTCCGAAACTGCCTGCAAAGACCAGTTCAAGTCATTTTTGATAATTTTGATGGCAACTGTTTTCAAGTTCTTCTTGTGCTTCTTATTATGATACTTGTGGTCGAGGCACTTAACAACATTCCCAAACGAACCGTTACCCATTATATCCTCTATTTCGTAACGAAAATTTATGTGATCGTGTGGAACGATAACATAATTGCCCATTTTGTCATCAAATCCAAAATTATCACTATAATTTTTAATATTGACGTTCTTATTCGTGTTTGATCTCTCAGAGACGAAGTATAAGTCATTTTTTCGTAAAATTTCACCTCTCTCGTAGATATTCAACGAGCTATCGGAGACATTCTCCAGGTTCATCAAGCTCTGCGGATCTAAGGAAGCTACTTCCTCAAATTCTTTATCATAGCCACTGGTTTTGAATAGGCCCATGTCTTTCTTGTATATCATTTCAAATAGACCATATATGTCGCATATCTTAGAAGACACGTTTGAAGGGTCCCTTTCACGCATCTCGTATCCAGGAAAATCGGTTGCACTATTTTCTTTGTTTTTTTCGCCATTATTTTCATATCTGGTAACCTTTAATTTAGAAGGAGAGTCAACTTCATGTTGATCCAATTCATAGAGTGACCTTGAGTCTATCAAATCATAGTTGAGGTTCGTTATATCTGACGGCACAGAGAATGAAGAGTAGTCGGTCCATTTAGAAGTGCGTCGCTGGTTCAATTGACGTGCATACTCTAACCTCCTCAGCGTTGATGAATTTATTCTTTTTTGAGTCATGTTTGGTGTAGGAGATGAGCCCATGCTATACGAATTTTGCTGTTTCTGCAAAGACGATGAAGTAGCACTCATAAAAGACGTCTTTTGAGCTTTCTCAGACATGGGGCAGCTGAATATCCTTTTATCAACGTCCTGCTTCACGGTAGATCTTGATTTCAGATTATTAGACTCCGATCTCAAAGGAGTCGTGGGATACATTGACGTGGATATCTTTCTGCTCGATACTCGCCGATTTTCTGCTCTTGCAGCAGTTGACAAGAATGGTAAACTACCATCAGTAGGTGTGTTATTAGATGGAAAAAGTGTACTGGGGTATTCCTTTCGAACACCTCTCCTTGGTTTTCTGCATTTACTTAGATCCTTTTGGGAATTTCCTTGCTCAATGCGTATGTCAGACAACTTCCTCTCTACTCCAGTTTCTATTCCGTCCAAGGGCATCCTCGTGGATATCCTCTGACGTAATTTGTATCATTGGACTTTAATGCTATTGAGTTGGGTTATTTTTGTGATAAAATGGTGAATGAACTACCACCCTTCCTGATTGATGTCATTCAATGTCTTACTTGTATTTTAGATACGAACTTGAATATAGATTATAATGACAGACAATGATCCGACATCTCCAGAGAACTATTCGCAGCGTGATTTGTTGTTGCTTTCCCAACTTCTTTATACAAATGGACTATTAGATGTCTCATCACTAACTGCGAACACGAAGAAGCTTGATGAAATAATTCAAGAGTGGTTTGACCACAAGAGTACCAAGCTTTCACTTGCATCTGGAACTTTGCATATCACAATACCGCCTACTCCTAATCAAGTATTAAGTCTCTACGATAAACTATTGGCTCAAAGTGATTGCGACAACACTACAGATTTGGCTAATTTTTTGTATTACAATAGAATCGAAGAGCTCGAGCGAATCATAGACGAACAAAAGAATGAATTTAACAGCATATTATCAGATTCAAAGCAGAGTAGTTAATATATCTAACAAAGGGAAAAGTTTTGTACATACAGTTAATTGCAAGGTGGTTGTAAAATATGACTTGTGAGTCGACAGCTTTATGTAATTTTTAGTTTACGTAATCATGAATACCTCATTTATTAGCCTGACCGTACCCCATACCACCAAACTTCTAAAGAAACACGCCAAAACAGGTTAACGACAATCATATTTTTAATTAGGAAGTACTAGTTCAAAATATGTCTGTTGCTAGCAAACCGGAAAGTTCAAGGTCGTCTGTTGCGCTACTGATATTTAAGGTGTATCAAAGCAATCGATCACTTTTCTTGAATGCATCGTATATCATTCTTATAACAGCAGCATTTACGGGCGCCACTAACACATCACAGAAAAGAAAGGGTGATGAGAGTGAGCACAATGTATCCCAGGAGAAGAAAAAAAAGAAAAAATTATCTAAGGAGTCTATCAAGAGATTGTTCAGAGCCTCTATACCTTCGGTTACAGATCATGCAGTTCTCCATTTAACAACTCATATTGTACTTTTGGTTATCCGTGCTATCATCACTATCGAAGTTGCTAGCTTAGATGGTAAGTTGGTAGGAGCTTTGGTTTCTAAAAGGTTGAAAAAGTTTGGCCGATTACTTGCTTATTGGATGATCCTCGGTTTACCTGCATCGCTAGTGAATGCTCTGTTAGGGTGGTCAAAAAGTAATTTAAGAAAATGTTTAAGGATCAATATAAATAACAGCATCATTGAAGATTACCTTCCGGATAATTTAGATCCAAATTACTACTCTTTGATTCAGTTATCCAATAACGAAATCAAAGACCCTGACCAAAGAATTTCAACTGATGTTTCTAGATTGGCATCCGCTTTAGCTAGCTTGCCAGGTCAATTATTGAAACCTACTTTAGATCTTTTGTTATGTGCTAGAGAATTAAGCAAGAGTGGTGTTGGGAGTGGTGAGGGTACACTTGCGCTTGGTATCTTGGCACACTTTTCAACTACCATTTTAAGATTCTTTTCGCCTCCTTTTGCTAAGCTCGCTTCTGAACGAGCCAATTTAGAGGGGCAATTAAGATCCGCTCATTCAAAGGTTGTTACTAACAATGAAGAGATAGCCTTTTTAAGGGGCCACCTTCGGGAATTAGATTATCTTGATTTTTGTTATTATCAACTAGAGAGGTTTTTAAAGATGGAGTATTGGAAGAAAGGGATTCACGAAATAGCTCAGACGTTTATTGTTAAGTATTTCTGGGGCGCTGCGGGCTTGGTATTATGCTCTGCGCCTGTATTTATTAACAAGTATTTCGGTAGAGAGCAAGATCCTTCTGCGTCGGCGGATTTTATCACAAATAGAAGACTATTATTGAGTGCCTCCGACTCATTGGATAGATTGATATACTCAAGGAAGTACCTATTGCAAGTCGTTGGACATGCAACTCGTGTTTCTGACTTCCAAGATATCTTGCACAGGATAAAGGAATCAAAAGCTGTCAATGCTAACGGAAAAGGGAATGTAAGCTATGGCGATGAGATTACCTTCAAAGATGTCGAATTAATAACCCCAGCAAATGTTACATTGATTGAGAAGCTAAATTTTAGCATCAAGCATGGTCAGCATCTCTTGATTGCAGGTCCCAACGGTTCAGGTAAGTCTTCACTTTTCAGGATGTTAGGAGGATTATGGCCTTGTAAGTCGGGTGAAATTATCATTCCCACAACAGAGAATATGTTTTACTTGCCTCAAAGAGCTTATATGTGTAAAGGGTCGTTGAGAGAACAAATCATATACCCAGATACTCTTGAGAGCTACAGGTCGAAATACACTGACGACAAAAACTTGCTCGATATTTTGAAGTTATTAAAATTAGATGAACTTGTTACTACTCCGGAATCATGGGACAACGCTAGAAATTGGCTGGAAGAATTGTCTGTGGGCGCCCAACAAAGGTTGGCGATGGCACGGCTCTTTTATCATAAACCAAAGTTTGCTGTTTTGGATGAATGTACCTCAGCCGTTTCTCCGTCTATGGAACAATTCATGTATCAACACGCCCAAGGATTAGGTATTTCTTTGTTATCTGTCGCTCATAGACCGGCTCTATGGCACTTTCACAACTTCTTATTGAAGTTTGACGGAAAAGGCGGTTATTTCTTTGGTGAGCTAGATGCTACGAAAAGATTGAAGTTCGAGGAAGAGAGATTAGTTCTTGAAAAGAGCTTAAGAGATGTTCCTACTTTGAGAGATCGTCTAGCTGAATTAAAGAAAGTGTCGAATGCTCAACATGTCAGGTACCAGACCAGCCATAAGAATCTTGTCGAATTAGGTCAAGCTTGATTTCTGATCTTCTATTTATTAAGTCTGATTATATATCTCAAAATAAATTAAATTTTCGATTTAGTAGAAGTATAGTATCTCGATAATATGACAGAGACATTTTGAAAAAAGTTTGAAATCATCGCCATAATTCATTGAAAACAGAATCTAAATTCAATAGTCGGGACATATGGTCCTATATAAACCTTTCTCACATTTATGAGTCCACCTTCACTAGCGTTAAGCTCTAAGTTCTATAAATCCGTGCCTTTTGAAAATGCTATACGGCTCATTAGTACGCTTCAATCAACGAAGGGCCCATGTTTGATGATCGCTTCAATTGGCAATCCTGAACCTGAATATGCTGGAACGCGTCACAATGTTGGACACTGGTTTTTAAGTGAATTAGTGGAGAGCAGTTGGAATAATTTCAGACCATTTTCAGTTCGTAGTGACTTGCCCTATGGTGAATACAGCTCGTCGACTGATTGTCCTAACATGCTACTTTTCAAATCGAATCTCACCTTAATGAATATTCAGGGCAAACCAGTCTCTAAGGTATGGCAGACATTCAAGAATGCTAAGGGTCAAGAAAATTCACCATCATTAGTCATAGTTCACGATGAAATACAAATACCATTGGGAAAGATTCAAGTGAGAAAGCGAAATACTAGTGCCCGGGGCCATAATGGTCTTAGATCAATTAGCTCTTGTATGGGTCAGAATTATACCAAGATTTGTATCGGAATAGGCAAACCTAATGATCAAAACGTAGCCCATTACGTTTTGTCAAAATTTAATCAACATGAGGAAGAAAAGCTATACGAGTCATTCCAAAAATTCGTATCAATTTTGGAAGATATGAGAGAAGGCAAATATGTGTATGAAGTCCACAATCCTAAAGTGCATTCGTGAGTCCATAGAGCTTCTATATATGTCCCAGAATAATTAGAGCATGCTTCTCTTCAAAGAGATCAGTGTCCCTAATACAATCTACACCCCCTCTGTATCTAGTTAACCTATCTGTAAATACTAAAGCTACGCTTAATTATATCCTGGAAATGTCTTTATGATACAAGTAATATGTAATAATGAGCTGTTTCTTGGAAAATTTCTAATTGTGTATTCGTTCCTTATTTCTAAGTTCGAGATAAGGAACATTTTTTTGTTTTGCTCTCTTATCATATTAATCGAACACATACAGCTTTATAGAAAGATTACGGCCTCTAAACCCGGATCCACTGCTTGTGGCCTATAATAATGGAATATACGTTAAATTTAGCTGCTGAAAGGTCAGTAGTTAGAGAATCTCTTAAAGGTAAGTTGTTGATTTTAATAAACGTATTGAAGTTGTCATATGTATATGGCAAATTGAATTTTGATACTAACCATTAAATAGGTATAATATGGACCATATTCTTTCACAGGTTATTCGGTCCCATTGTGCCGTCTACAAATGAGTTTTTAAATGTTACATACCCGATGGCTGATGATCAACCTGATCTCGATTCCCTTATGGATGAGAAGATAAGTTATCTTATCAAGAACGAGTTTAACGTATTGGAGACAGAAAAGACCAGCCACGTAATAATACAATTTTTGGACAAGAGGGTGACAAAGTCGAAAAAGAAGTCAAGTTGGTTCGGTCAAGGTAAACTTGAAAATGCTGAAGATCTAAAGCTATGGGAATCTTGGATTATAGTCGTCAGATGTTTGCCTCTTGAGGATGAAAGTCGATCATCTCCTTCATCCCTATCATCGAGCACAAATGGACATATCCTGTCTTCACATAGCGCTGAGTCTAAAACTAAAAGTGGCACCAGAACCAGCGCCACCCATAATTCTAATGAAAAAACAAATACTGATATTTCTATCGAAAGCTTTGAAAGTAACTTACTTAAAATTATAGACATAGTTGATACTCATAAGGATCATATACCCCCAATAACATCATTAGAGAGCTCCCCGTTTCCCTACACTATTGAGGTGGAAAGAAGAGCACCAAACAGGACGTATCTTACAAATGATGATGAAAGCTGGGGCAAGTACATAAAAAAAATGTTGGATTAGCCAACAGCATTTTATTCTTATAAATATTCACTGCGTTGTGAAGGAGTTCAAAGGTTGGCGCTGTACAATCCTTCCTCCCCTCTAACTAATATACACTCATCTTCATAAACTACTTTATCAAAGAGTCCGATTGCTTCCGCGACTTCCAATACATCAGCATCGTAACTACCTGGCTGAAACCATAATCCTTTAATTATATTCTTGTAGCCTCTAACCGTGGCTATCTCTTTTAATGTAGTAGAGGTTACGTTAGGTGGTGTCAAAAAAGATACACTGAGTCCATCCTTTCCCTCTAGTTTATAGCCATTGATATCCTGACCCTTTACTGCTGCCTCTACTATATCAGATAATTTCGGTACAACTGTCTGGCCCAAAATCTCTTGCGACTTGGGATTGACTGGAATTACAGGTAAATCGTGTGTAATATACCACAGTAGGATCTTAAATCCAAATTTGCTTGGATTATTTGATGCCCCCGAAACAACATATTGTCTTGATTTACTGAAAAATGCCTTAATCTTTAATTTCATTGACATTCTTTAATTATAAACGATAAATTTAACTCTAGACTTGGAAGTGTGCAATTAGTAAGAGTTATATATGTCTGGGGTTGATGATAGTTCCATATACAGGTTATTTTATTTTTTTTATATTCAAACATCGCATGAGACTTTGATATCTGTTATATATCTTTAATAGCCGAGGATATGGCTAAGGAAAAGCGAACAAAACCTTGCTCCAATTGTAAGAAATCAAAGGTTAAGTGCATTTACTCTAATTCATTACCTTGTGAAAGATGTATTAAATTAGGACAGGCAGTAAGCTGTCAGTTTGTGCCTAAGCTTCCTTCTTTAAAACTTCCGCTGATTACAACTTCCCACTCGGACTCAACTCATATTCAACAGTCCTTGGATGATATAGGTCTCCCACCCTTGAAGCCCTTATTAAGGTCTAGTGATCAGAGTGAACAACAATCCCAAGAGCCTAGACATCCTGGAAATCTAATGGGAAAACTTCAACAGGGACCTGATATTCAATGGAAGCAACTGGTGGAACAGCGTATCACTTCATTCGATTCGAAGATTAGTGATTTAGTTGAGTTACTCAAGACAAATCAAAAGGTATTGATGGAAGGGTACAAAGGTCAGGCAGCACCTCATCATCTAGCTAATGATTACCAAGAGAATAGTTCTCAATATCCCGGCCATCTGCAAATTCGACTGGCACGAGAGGGTATTTCCGAAGGCGATTCCTTTCAGCAGGGCATTGAAAAAGGCACTGATCTTAAGCAGGACCAAGAGCTTCATCATCACCACCATCACTACCACCATCATCATCATCAAGATCAATTTGAAAATATACAAGATCGCATACCATGGAGCAATCAACTTCTTCGGATCCAAGACAGTACAAGTAACAATTCTGATGGAAAGAGACAAAATTTAACTGTTTATGAGAAGGATCATAGAGCAAAGCTACGGAGACTTGACTCTGACAACTTAGAGGACTCTTCTGTTGACGATTTTCGTATGGGATTCTTGGATAAAGCTGAAGCGCATGAGTTATTTGCATTTTTTGAAGAATATATTTCTCCTCAGTTATTTGGATTTGAAATATCCAAATTTTCTGTGGACAACCTTTGGGAGACTTCTCCAATTTTGATATGTGCCATTTGTGCCATATCGTCAATGCATCATCCTAATAAGCAGTTATCTCAGAAGTCAAAAGGGCTCCATAAATATCTTCGCAATTTCTGCGGAACGCTTTTATTCAAGGGGAGGCCCAATAATGAGGTCGATGGGTTCAATACAATTGTCGCTCTAGTGTTGTGTAGCTTTTGGTTGACAGATTCCCAAATGTTTACAGGATTAGCGTTGCAATTAGCAAAGGAAATAGGTTTGGATTCACCTCAGAGAAGTTCAGCAAAGAGTAGTCTCTCGGCCAAAGAAAGGATGAAACTTTGGTATTTGTTATTCATATTAGATGGCCAACAGAGCCTAACCTTCAACAGATCACCTTTGGTGAACTCACAGGATTACAGTTTGAAGCACAGTAGAGAGATACTACTTTCGAAAAAGAAGACGTCACCAGCAATTAATGGGAAGGAAAATGAGCCTGATGATAAGGAAGTTTCAGAAAACATACAATCTAATGAACATTTTTCCGATATGAGACTTGTTTCTCAAGTGGAATATAATCAAGCACTAAATGAGGCATTCAAAGGAGATGCCTGGGATCTTTTGACACCATCGTCATTCGGTATTCCTTCAAAAAGTAATTTAGAACTAGACAAATGGATGGTATCGTGGACTGTCTTATTGGCTTCTGAAAATAACGGCTCGGTATGGTCTTCGAAATCTACTTTAATTTATTATAATTTTGCAAAAATGCACATTAATTCTAAGGCTGTAAGGGATCTTGGTCTGGATATAACAGAATCTAATATGTTTCCAAAGTGGTCAAATCATTTATGTTCCACGAGCTCGAAAACAAAAGTCATTGAATCGACAGAAGAAAGTGACAGCGATGATACTTCGGATGAAGAATTCATTTCAAATAAAGAGCTAGTCTCTGATAATGAGAAGGTTGTTAGTGCTATAATTGCCATTAATGCAGCTCAAACTGTGATAAATTTAGTCCTAAGCGACGAAGACATTTTAAATAACTTGAAATACGTTCCGGTGCATATTCATATAATGTTGTATTATGCGGCATTGCTTCTTATTAATCCTCCCTCAGACTCCATTAATAAGTCAGTTTCATTTACTGAGGAGAAATACTACGATCAACTAATAACTAACTTAAAAATTGTGAAATCATTGCAAAAAAAGATATACACGAACTTACCCACCGACAGAAACTTTGGTGACCGTCTAATAATGAACTTAAATAATATTGTCGAAGAAAAATTGTCTAAAATACGAACTGTTTTAGATAATCCTAATACTGACATTCCTAAATCCAAAAGTGATTCGTTTCGTGAACGTTTGTCCGTTATTGGCAAGGATAATTCACAATGCGAAACGATTGAGCTATTGGAACTGGAAAGTCATTCTTTAAGAAGCTCAAGTCCGGAAAAATTTTCTGCTTGGCCAGGATCACATCATGGCCATCCATGATTTTGTATATTAGACATCTAGAGAATAATTTATAGAATCCACAAATACACTTTTCGCAGCAATTGTGAAATTTTATTCGAAAGTCCACAATCTTGTTTCACTTATATTGTTCAGACTTATGGCATCCGAATCCACTACGATAAAGATTAACCATATAACTGCTTTGGTCTCTAAACAGCTCAGAGTGGCTGATGAGAAGTTGAAATGTTCAACTAAAGAACATTTTGATTGGAACAGTATTAAACGAGCACCTCAGTTTTTAAAGCAAAAAGCAAAATTAGGATCTTGTACCATTGACGAAGAATTTAACGAGCATTACGATAATCTTCAACTCGTAGAGAGAAAAATGCAAACTTTGAGCAAATATAGCAAAATATTGGTTGAAAAAAATTTACTGATTTTGGAGACATCAGAATCAATTGGGTTGGTAATAAAAGAATTGTTTGACCCTTATAATAGTTTACCAAAGTCTGTGAAACAGCAACTTGGAGCACTTCAAAGCAATCCTAATGCCATGGATAATACAATATTTCTGAACAAGTCTTCGCAATTAGTTTTTGAAGAGGAATATAGATTATGGGAGGACGCTGAAACTTATATCGATTGCATCAAAAATATATATCCAGCGATAAAAGGTGAACTTGAGTTGATGGGAAGAACCCTTGATAACAAGGTCATAGAAGTTTTACGAATTATCAAAAACATAAAGAAAAAAATCAAAATTAGATCTTATGCCCTATTAGATTATGACAAGGCTTTTAACTCGCAAGAAAATTTGCTCATCAAGCAAAAGAGTGATGAGTTAACGATTAAGCAAAGTCAGCAGCTTTACAATCTAGAGAGAAAACTAGGAGAATACAAACTGAATTATGATACAATCAATTCTCTTTTGAAAAGAGAATTGCCTTGCTTCTTCAAACTTGTGGATATGATTTTGCAACCGATACAGCTTATGGTGTATTACGTACAACTAATGGTTTCATATCAGATACATTCGAATCTACGTACCTTAAGGGAGACGTTTAATATTGACGAGAATTCTTATAAGGAGGTAAACTTCAACCTGAAAATGATTGAAGAATTCAATTGCAAAAATCAGCCTGCTACAGATATTATTAATGGATTGACAATTGTCAACTTCAAAGAAAATTTCTTGAATAATCTTGTAGACAACGGAAATGGCTACGTAGCAGGGGAATGCGATGGCTCAGAAAACTTTGACCCAAGCTCGGAATATTGTCAGGCCCTCTTTAATTATAAAGGAGAAGAGATTGGTGACATCTCTATAAATACTGGAGATATTATAAAAATAATTAACAAAGAAGGGAATTGGTGGAAAGGTGAAATAAATGGGAAGGTTGGATTATTCCCAGGTAATTATGTTAAAGTGCTAATCTGAAATACTCATTATTATAAAGGAGGGTATATTCTATGCTTTCTATTTCATGAATCATCTATATTCGTTATTGTTCTTGCTTCCCATTTTTCAGCGCATTTTCCGCTGCAAAATTCTCTTCTAATTGGAATCTCCCTGTTCAGCAAAAAGTCCCACCACTCTATAGAGTAAGCCACAGGATCGACCACAATATTATCGCATTCGCTGCATGTCTCCTCGTATTGACCCTTTGCTATTGCCTTTATAATCGAGTTGTGGTAAAGTTTAGGTGTTGATTTCTTCCAATTCTTGGTCTCTTGATAGGAGACATCATAATTTGCAATTATGTTTAGACAGATCGCTTTCAAAGAAGGCACTTTGCTTCTTTCCATAGATATCCATTTCAATTTAGATATATACTTCAATCGCTTAGAAGACGCGTTTTTTGAAGAACAAATAGGAATCGCATCCTCGTGAACCTTAATATATGGGTTCGGTCCAGCCCTGAAAGTGCTCAAAGAAGGAAGATCTAATATCTCAGGAGGAAGGTACTGCAATCTGTTTGTGCCTATATATAGATCTGTCATGTTCCTAAGCTTCCTAACCAAAGGAGGGATGCGTGTTAGCTTATTTTGTCTAAGTCCCAACACATTAAGCTTGCTAAATTTGAATAATGATGGCGGGAGATCTGTCAACTTATTATTAGTTAGATACAATTGGTAAGAAATTTGACTAATTGGCTCAGTTTCAAAGATCACTAATTTATCAAAATCTTTAATCTCCTCAGGCAAATCATGTAGACCCATACCCTCTAAGTTGATATTTGGCTGTATGTTTTCAAAAGCCTCTAATACCAATTCTTTTGCTTTCAATAAGGTTGATTTCTGTTGAGATTCGTATTCTTCTATTCTGTCTCTGTCTTTATCTGTAGATGGACATTGATTTATGCTAGGATTTTTAAACCTATTAAACCTGTCAATCCCGAAATCTGCATCTGAACTTGGATTTCTATGTTGATGAAAGGATACCGAAGATTGAAGAAAGGAAGTATTGATTATGTCGTCACTTGGCAAGTAAGTAGGTGAATCGGCAATATAAAATGCTTCTTCACAATCTCCAAATTCAGATGGTATTTGAGCATCCAAAGGGGGACTGCTCGGAAAATTCGATATTAGTCTTTGTTTGAGAGTGCCCTTTGGGGGGTCATCTTCTGTTTGAAGAACATCTTTGTGATCGTATTTTTCATCTTCACCTTCATCCGAATCAAAATCTTTTTCTCTCTTCTTGATGTTATCCTTTTCGTTGAAGCTTTCCCCCATCTTTCTCTTTAGACTTGGGGTAAAGCTTAAAAAGCATTTTTCCTGTTTGAAATCAGTCTTCCGTACCAGTTCGGTTTTATGAGCTGAATTAGCACCTCCATTCGTAGATGAGTCGTAAGCATACGGTTGCAAAGGATTGTGTTTATCCATCTTAAGCTGCTACTGCATTCAACTCGAATTTAAGTGTCTCAAGCTCATCTAAGGTTTAAATCCAACCTCTATCCACACACAGAGTCCAAACTTCCATCAAATTTAAAGGTAAACAGATGGAGTCAGCCTCTATCGCGTGAACAAAAAAACGCGAAAATGATAAAAGCCAGGTTGCCGATAACTCGCTAAAGTGCTTGATACGTCTTAAACCTGAATGGAAAGTCAATGGCATGAATTGACTAGTGGTAAACAAAACTCATCAAAGTAACGTTTATACACGGTGTTTTTAGAATCTGTTAACTAAAGTAAGAAGAACTAGAAAAAAAATTAAGATAAATTAGTCAAAGTAGAGGTCGTACCCGGATTCGAACCGGGGTTGTTCGGATCAAAACCGAAAGTGATAACCACTACACTATACAACCAATTTGCGGGTCTTTAAAATTGTTAGTTAAATAAGTATATGTTATGAAGTCAATAACTTTAATTAGTGTATGATAGTACCAACCAATTAATTCAAGTTATATGATTAAGAGCTTAAATATAGACGGCAGTTCAATTTGCTTTTAGACGTGTTTCATTTATCTCAACAGCTCTGTTATTCGACATTATTCCATCAATCACAGTTTTCTTGCATGATATTACTATTTCGCACCCAAAATTTCAAGAAAGCAAAGAAGATAGATTTACAAAAGTCCTAACGGTAAGAATTAGACATCTTTGAAGTAATCTCAACATAAAAGGGCTAGCTCTTAGGATTATAAAAAAAAAATGAGAAAAGGGATAAAAAATACATACAGAAGTATCACTTGCTAGTTGAATACAATATACTTTATTAACTGGAGTAAATGTTTTTCAATGGGTTTTAAATCTTTGTACGAATTCTTCGTGAAATGTAACCCACCTTTCAATCCATTCCTTTCCAGGAGGTAAGAAAGTGGTTCTTACATGAAGGGTTCCCGGAACTTGGCCAAACCCACTTCCTGGAACGGAACAAATACCCGTCTTCTCTAAAAGTTCCAAGCAGTAAAACTCATCAACTGAGGTCTTTGTGAATTCCGCCAATTTAAATATTTCCGGGTATTTGTCCTTTGTGAAGTGTAACCTAGGAAATAAATACATTGCACCCATGGGTTTATTACAGCTAACGTCAGTCATTTTACAGAAAGCATTATAAAGTAAATCAGCCCTAGTGCGCAAGGATTCTTGGATGTGACTTACTTCCCGATGATAAGTTCCATAAGACGGATCCCCCTTTTTGGGAGGATTAACCATAAGCTCCATGAGGACTTGTCCCGAGACTACGGAACACAAATTGATCGAGGCCAATTTAAATAAAATGTTCTTAATGTCATGCTTGAAACCGAAAAGTTCCATGAAGCCTCCTCTTTGACCACATTCTCCGCTAACTCCCTTTGAGATAGAATGGAGAGATGCCAACTGAACATCCTTATATTTTTCATGGTCGTTTTCAAGTAGCTCGCATAGAACCTTTTTGAATGACAAGAATTCTCCTTTGAAAATGTTGACTTGATAAACTTCATCAGCAATTAAAACAATACCATAGTCAGCTGCAATGTTTATTACTTCAACGATTTCCTTTTTCGATAAGATAGAACCCGTAGGATTACCTGGATTAATGATGACCAATGAGTTAATGTGAGGAGTTCCATCTGCAATGCTCTTTTCAAGCAAGCCCCTTATCTGTTCTGGGTCAGTCGACCAATTGTTCTCTTCATTTAAGTAATACCCTACAGGTTTGGAATCATTTAATGCAATGGAGGCAGTGTACAAAGGATATTGGGGGATAGGAATTAGGAATGCCGAATCCTTATTGCTTGCCAAGATCTGAAGCAAATACAGGACAGCTGAAGAGGCTCCACTAGTGAGAAAAATATCCTTCGGATCAGAGGGATACCCATCTCTTTTGCTGATAAAATCTGCAACTGATTTCCTAATGTACTCTACCCCTTGGGAATTAGAGTACGCACCAGCTGATTTGATCGCTTCAATTAATATTTTAGCTCTCTCAATAACGTCCGAGGGATAGATAATGTTAGCTTCTGGCGTATTTAAAATATCTGGATACTGAACGATAGATAGCACCTGCCTGTACCAAGTTAAGGGTTTCTGGTCCAACTGCTGAGGATTTCCAATATTAGCTTGAACTATTTTGTCGAATGGGAGTGTATGTTTTTTTCCTGAATGAAGAAGAGCATCAAGCTCATCAGCTCTGATTGGAATACTCCCTCTGACAGCATATTTTGCAGCAACAGTATTTTGGTTAATATCTGAAAGTTTCAAATACTTTCCTTCTGATTTTTTACTCCTATATCTCAATTGAAATACTACCAGAGACACCTTTCGAGATAATATTGATCTAGAATACGACTCCAACGTCTTTGTTGGATACACCCATTGCATTAAAGAAATCATCATGGGATTCTTAGGGATTCAAAGCGATTTCTTGATCTTTGACTAGATTTTCAGCTCTGTTGAAATTATGTAGTCTATATAATTTTTAGTATTGCACACTGAAAGCTTATGCGACAACGAATTGAATCGCCAAGTTAGGAAAGTCAAATCCACAACCGTTGGATGGTAAAATAAATATTTCATAGATAAGGTAACCTTAATTAGTACCGAAATATAAGCTGTCGATAAATCTATTTCTGAAGTGCCAATCTGTATCCAAAAACTTTTCTTGGTTATACCAAGGATATATTTTACAAGTTTCTCCAGAACTAAGTTTCCCTAGTACAAGTTTAACATGAGGAAAGACATTGAGAATCCGTTTCAAACCAATCTCGGTAGATAAATACGAACAGACTACCATATCTTCTTCCTTAGCCCCATGATCAATTAAGACTTGGATTGCCATTATTGCAGCCGCACCACTGATGATCTGAGCATCAAAGAGAAACACCTTTTTAGAGATTAAGTCCTTAGGTAGCGAGTCCGTATGTAATTGTGGTTCTCCTGTCAATGAGTCCGATTGAATCAAGAGTTTTCCAATTGAAATTTCAGGAAATGTCTTTTTAATTGCGTTCATAAAACAATCACCCGATCGGATGACGTTGACAGCGATAATTTCGTCATCTTGACACACGCCGTGAAAAACTTCCTGAGTTGGCGTCAATATTTCTTTCTTCTTGAAGTTAGTCAAAAATTCTAAAGCGCCTTCAATAATTAGGATCGCAATCCTATCGAAGTAGAAAATGAAGTCAGCTCTTTCTGAGCGTTTATTGAATAAAATGGAATTAATTCCGCGAGTATGATTTGTTTCCGGTAAAAGCTTTATGTTTCTGAATTGCTGAACTTTAAATTCTTGTCTTAAACCCAATTCTTTTAAGTTTTTCAAATGGGCATAACTTTTGATCAGCAACTGCTTCTGAATGTGCTTGATCATAAGATTTATCGCTATTTGATTATCCATTCCTCTTGGAATAACTAAGTTTGCTTTCAGCATAGTTGGACTCACGTATCTAACTGCATTAGGTTTCACAAATGTCTCCCACTGCTTCAAGGCTCCCGGCAAGTCCCTGCCTCTATAAAGAATATCTCTTGTAAGTCTTCTGGCAAGGCAGACGTCTAGTGCAGTGTCGATGTATATCTTTATATCCATTAAATCTAGTAACCTCGAGTCATACAATGCATAAATCCCTTCAATAATAATTACATTAGCTCCATAAATAGTTGTTGTCTTGCTGGTACGATTATGATGTTCAAACGAATAAACAGGAATTTCAGTCTTTTCTCCTCTTTTTAAAGACTTGACTGTATTTACTAAAAGATCTAAGTCTAGAGAAGTCGGCATGTCAAAGTCATATTCGTTTTTAAATGCAATTTCTCTCTCCTTCTTGTTCAATGGCTTATAGAAATTATCAAAAGACAAAAGCACAGTCCATGGTTGGTTCAACTCTTGAATGATTCTTTGAGAAACTGAAGTCTTTCCGGACCCAGAATTGCCAGCTACACCAATAATGTAAGGTTCACTCCAAGGGGGGATGTAAGATGATCGCTGTAATGGAGTTGTGGGCTTGCTTGGTCTTTCTCCAGATTGAGATCTCAAAAAAGGAGATCCGCTTTTTATTTTAGCTTTTTCCATAGTTTTCTTCGCTCTAGGTGACTTCAAGTTAGAACTATTCTCTGCCATTTTGAAGTGCCCCTGAGCGGCTTCAGAAGGTCCAAAATCAATATCTAATCTGATTTAATGGAAATATTGTATATTATACGCAAATTTATTTTTTTTTTCAGGTTATCTCTGCGCCATATAAATTTTGATAAGAACTAAACTTTTGTACAAGTTATGAGTGAGTTCATACTTACAGGTAAAGGAGGGAGAAGAAAGAGATATGAAGATAGCGAGTGGGAAGATGTAAATGGACCCTCGGGCACCACACTGCAAATAGAAGGAGAGGAAGAGAAAAAAGGGCAAGGCACACTGCCAAAACTTGAAAGGCAAGAAGATTCTCTGAAGATTAATAAAGACAACGGCTCGGAGTCAAGAGACTTTAAGACACTTCGAGATATTTCAAGAAGGGAATACTTGAAGAATCGACTGGAGTCAAAACTTGAGCAATTATCGGAGGAAATTTTGGCATATGAGCTGTCTTTGAAACAATTATCAAAAGAAGATAAAAAAAGCTACCAAGAAAAGCTCAAAATATACAATGCTATTAAAGAGCGAAATGATGTCATGGAAGCAGATTTATATACTTATCAGCCTCCAACAGATTATATGACGGCTGATGGAAAATTGGATAGGAAAAGAAAACTGGAATTATTGATATCAAAAGCACGAGTATATGAAGATGGGAGGACGAAAAAAAACAAATATGAGACTCAGTGGGAAGCAGAGCAAATGGAAAAGGCGAAGCAACTACAGCTTAGGACTGACGAAATAAAATTTGGTGATCAGAAGCAATACGAGTTTGTTTTTGATGAAGATCAGTTTCTCGATTTTGACGAAGATGAGGCGTTAGAAGGAGATGAAAATCATGGACCACCAGGTGTAGTACAGAAAAATATGACAAGCGTAAAGCAACTGCTTCCGGTCTTCAGTTATAGACGAGAGTTTCTAGATGCTGTAAGAGATAATCAGGTACTTATAGTGGTTGGAGAAACTGGATCGGGAAAAACAACTCAGTTACCACAATATTTATTTGAAGAAGGCTATACGAAGGGGAATAATTCCACGAGCCTACAAATAGCATGTACCCAACCTCGAAGAGTCGCGGCTACTTCCGTGGCAACGAGAGTTGCCGAAGAAATGAATGTAAAACTTGGTGAAGAAGTTGGCTACACGATTAGGTTTGAGGATAAGTCAAGCGAGAAAACAATCATTCGTTACTTGACGGATGGAATGTTGCTACGAGAATTTTTGGCAGATCCCGAATTGTTAAAATATAGTGCCATCATGATCGATGAAGCGCATGAAAGGACTCTTTCAACTGAAATACTCTTGAGCTTACTTAAAGACATAATGAAACTGAGAAAAGATTTGAAATTGATTGTCGCATCTGCCACTATAAATGCAAAGAGCTTCTCTGAATTCTTCAATAATGCCCCTGTTTTTAATATCCCGGGAAGACGGTTTCCAGTTGATATTCACTATACTAAAAATCCAGAAGCGAATTATATTCAAGCTGCAATAACTACGATCTTCCAGATCCATACCACTCAAGATATAAATGGAGATATTTTGGTGTTTCTTACAGGTCAAGACGAAATTGAGACAATAGAAGAGAGCTTGAACGAGTCCATAAGTATGCTTGGGTCTTCGATCCAGCCAATGGAAATATGTCCCCTCTACGCCAATCTTCCTCCAGAGTTACAGTCAGCAGTATTTAAGCCAACAGCGCCAAACACTCGCAAAGTAGTCTTGGCAACTAACATTGCTGAGACGTCGATCACGATAGATGGAATCAAGTTTGTGATCGATCCAGGGTACGTTAAGCAAAATGTTTTCAATGCTTCAACAGGGATGGAAAGTTTAGTTGTGGTGCCTTGTTCCAGAGCTTCAGCAAACCAAAGAGCTGGTAGAGCTGGAAGAGTAGGACCCGGAAAATGCTTTCGGCTCTACACAAAATGGTCCTTTTATAATGAAATCGAGGCAAATTCAACGCCAGAAATATTGAGGACAAACCTCACTACTACCATATTGCTCTTACTTTCTTTGGGTATAAACGATTTGGTGAATTTTGATTTTATGGATCGGCCAAGCCCAAACGCTTTAATGAGATCCTTAGAGTTGCTATACTCTTTAGGAGCCTTGAACTCAAAAGGACAATTGACTAAGCTTGGCAGAACCATAGCAGAATTCCCTATTGATGCAATGTTAGCGAAATGCCTAATTTTTGCAGCAAGATACAATGTAGTAGAAGAAATACTTTCGATTATTTCGATGGTAAGTGAGAGCTCAAATTTATTTTATAGACCCAAAGATAAGAAGGAGCAAGCAGATAAAAAGAAGGAATACTTTAACCAACCCGAAGGTGATCAATTAACTCTATTAAATATTTGGGAACAATGGGAAGAGAGCGGATTCTCGAAACAGTGGTGTGAAGATAATTTTATTCAGTATAAGACAATGAAAAGGACAAAAGCTGTGAGAGAACAGTTGAAGCACCAGTGTAATAGGCATGGGGTTGAATCGTTTGATGGTGAAGAGAAATTAAAAGATTACGAGTCTAAGACAGTTGCAATACAAAAAGTTATAGTGTCAGGCTACTTTTCTCATATCTGTCGCTTATCGAAAATGGGCGACAGCTATATCAATTTAAAGAGAAAGCAAACAGTGTATATACATCCATCTTCATCGTTGTATTCAGTCAAGCCTCCGCCTAAACTTGTTCTTTATCACGAACTAGTTCTTACAAGTAAAGAGTTTATGAGAAATTGCATGATCGTCGATGACAAGTGGGTATCTGAATTTGGAGCTCATTACTACAGCAAGAGTGAATTGGAAAGCATATCTTCCAAAAGAGGTGTAAGTAAGCTTAAAGTATAAGTTTATTTTAATATATAATAAGTTATTTAACGATAGACGTTTCCTAATGTAATAGATTTGACAACTGTATAATCCTCAATTCCATATAATGATCCTTCCCTTCCAAAACCGCTCTCTTTAACGCCGCCAAATGGCATAGCGGCATCGGTGAAGAGACCAGTATTTACGCTCACCATTCCACTTTCTAAAAATTCACTCAAATACCAGATATTATTGATATTTTCCGAAAAGATGTATGATGCTAATCCGAAAGGAGAATCATTACACCATTCAATAACTTCCTCAGACGTTTCAAATTTGCTCAAAGCCGCCAAAGGTCCAAATGTTTCCTCAGAGGTCACTTTCATATCTTGACTCACATTTCTTAAAACTGTTGGGGAGTAGAAATGTTTACCAAGTTTTGGCAATCTTCCCCCTGCTATTAGAACCTCTGCCCCCTTGTCGGTTGCATCCTTGGTATGATCTTCAACCTTCTTTATTGAATTTTCATTAATCAAACAACCATGAGTAACTCCTTCTTCAAATCCATTGCCAATTTTAAATTTCTTAACTTCCTCGACAAATCTTTTACAAAACTTATCATAGATTCCGCTTTGAATATAGATTCTATTAGCACAAACGCATGTTTGACCTAAGGACCTAAATTTAGACGCAATTGAATGCGTGACCGCGAGGTCTAAGTCAGCATCGTTAAACACAATTATAGGGGCATTACCACCCAACTCCATGGAAAGCTTCTTTAAAGTAGACAGGGATTGTTTCATAAGCAATTTCCCAACCCTAGTTGAGCCAGTGAATGAGACCTTTTTTATTAAGGGTGACTCGCAGAATTTCAATCCACACATGGGTGTATTCTCTGTGGATGTCAATACGACATTAAACACGCCCTTGGGGAATCCTGCTTTATCAGCCAAATAAGCTAACGCCAAAGAACTTAATGGAGTTTGACCATCTGGTTTCAAAATACAAGTACATCCGACTGCCAAAGCAGGGGCGGCCTTCCTTGCACCCATAGCAGAAGGGAAATTGAATGGGCACAAAAGACCACATACTCCCACAGGCTGCTTGTAAGTTAAAACTTTATTATTTTGGTTTGAAGGTTGAATCGTATGTCCGTAAATACGCTTCGCTTCTTCGGAGAACCATTCAAAGTATGAGGCCGCATACTTTACCTCTCCTAATGCATCCGATAAACATTTTCCATTTTCCCATGTAATAATTTTTGCCAAGTCATCTGCATTTTCAATCATGAGTTCGTATAGTCTTCTCAACCACTTGGCTCTTTCATAGGGACTAGTCTTTTTATAAGATTTGAAAGCCTCATAGGTAACCTTGATAGCATCTTCAATTTCTTCCTCTGTTTGATCTGGCAATTCTATGATTTCTTTCTCAGTAGCTGGATCGTATACTTTGAAGGTGTTACGGGATTTGGATTCGATCCATTGACCGTTCACAAAAGGCTTTGCTTTAAACAAATCCTTGTTCTTGAATTCTGGTTGAGCCATTCTTTTAAGTTTCACACCAAGTTTCACACCAATCGTCTTAATTGATGTATTTGATCTTTTGCTGTGGATAGCTATTCTGATCAAGTTATACTCCGAGTGAAAAACGATAGCGGATATCCAAATCAGGAAAGCAAGCCGCCATCCTTGACACCAATATAATCGAACTGATATTATTTATTATACTAAACGTCTACTAAACGCTAAAACAAACAATAATCTGTCTCAGAGCAATCTTTGTCAATTGTTCTAATTTTTTATTAATTAATGAGTCATTCTCACAAATATATGGTTTTCTTTTTATGATTAATACGAAAACTGTATTACGACAAATACTAATCAAGTGCAGCGCACTCACTTTACCTTAAAGTAGTTAAACCAAAGGTGCGGCTTTTTTGATGAGACGTACAATCGCGTTTAGACGTATGTAGAAATAGCCGATATTAGCATATGGGAGCTTCATGTTTCACGTTACTAAGCATGTGCAGGTTACGGGTAGTTGAAGCTAAAAAAAGTTTCAAAATGCCGAAATTTCACGGAGCAAGCATTAAATCCGTCCCTGAAAACTGCTAATGGGAGGGGGGTGGCGATTACGCTTGCGCTTAGTTATATGCGGCGACAAGAAATTTACCTATTCCCGGCCGTAAATTAGCACAAAGGTATAAGAACCAAATGAAACACATATAACAAGGTCTGATGGCTCAATTCAAATTGTATAAAGTTTTATTGGTATGATTTTAACATTGCCGTGCCCTAAAGCTTTTGACTTTATTAATCCGAAAGTAATGAAACCGTTACCAGGATTTTCAGCTTTGGTAAGAAGGACAAAAAAGCTGAATGCAGACGTTTCTGAGGAGCAGCGGCTGAACATTCTGAGGGCTCAATCTGGTAGTGAGAAGACGCGAAAAAGACCACAATCGAACCATATAGTGAATCGAAGTCTAGCAAAGAAAGAGACATTCGTGGAGTCATCGAAGATACTAGCAATGGATTCTAGAATTCCAAGGAAAGACTCAAAAGTTTCACCTGTTTACTCTAGAAGTCCTGTTGGTAGCGTAAATAGTGCGACAATAACCAACAATCTAATGCAACCAGGAAGCACTATTGATATAAGCTATAAATTTGATGATGGCTCTGAATCTATATTTACTCACGACAGCGTACTTGTGGAAGATATTCCACAAGGTAATGATGCAGAAGTTAGCAAGAAATCTGTTAGGTTCTTTTAGTTTTGAGGCATGCGGCGTTACATTAATGAGATGCCTGAAACAGTGCAACTGCGCGCATTTTTAATAGAAGTTCAAAAAAGCTCTCCAGCTAGCATAGTAGCAGGATTTATAAAACGGAAAGGTAATGATTCAGTAGTTTTTTAATTTATGATGTGTACATAGCAGATTCATTAATCACACTTATTTAATAATTTATATGATAATTCAAATCGGCATATTTTTACAAGATGAACTGTACAATAGAGACTTTAGTTCAAGTTTTGATGACGGATATTAATTGACATCTTGGAAGAGTCGAAAGTGCAGTAAATAAGCCAAGAATATGAAGCATTGCCCATTTTGAGCTTTTGGCACTATTTGGTCGTATCTAATAACTTTCCATCGACTTGGTCGCAAATAAGGTGCAACCGCACTGAATTTCCTTAAATGGACAGATTTAATCCAACGGAACTTTTAGATAAATAGGACCCATTTTATTCAGCAAGCTCTTTGACGCCTGGCGAACGGGAACTGAGCTACCATGAGGAAAATTCTTGTATTACTAAACTCAATAGCGGGACTTTGCTATAGAGTTGAACCAAACTTTCTCGATCACACGGTATTGATAGACGATGCGAAGAGTAGTGAGCTCTCTTTCATAGACTCCATTTTTGGAGAACTCGTCAATGATGAAAAATCTCTCCGTTATAAGAAAGCTTTGTTAGCTTCAGGAGATAAGTCACTTTATTCTGAAAAGAGTTCTGAAGCTAACTTAGAGGAACTTTTCAACCAAATGCAAGAGTCGGACCTTGGGACTTTTTCTGAAATTTTGCAAGAGTATCATATCAACAATGAATTGAACCAAGAGCAGAGGTATTTTGACAAGGCACACGAAGGTTTCAAGAGATATAAAAGTCAAATAAACTATCCGGATAAGGATGATACTAGTGATATGTCGGATAGTGCTGCTTCCTTGTTTGGCGGAATTGTAAGCTTTGCACATTTTCCTTATTTCAATTGCTTTAATCCTAAATATTACGACAAGGAGATTGACATAGCCATTGTTGGTGCACCATTTGATACCGGTACCTCGTACCGTCCAGGGGCAAGATTTGGTCCCAATGCTATCAGATCGGGCTCTAAGAGATTAGGATTAGGAAGTACTCCAGTGAGAGGGAATACCAAGGACTCACCGTTATATGGTTTAGATCCCTACGATACCAAATCTCATAATTTGACCCTTATAGATTGCGGAGATGTTCCGATGACGCCGTTCGATAACAGAATTGCGTTGAATCAGCTTTACAGAGGAATTAGATCTATCTACAACCATCCCTCGAGGAATGCCGCAAAATTCCCAAAAATTATAACCTTGGGAGGAGACCACACAATCACTCTCTTGACAATTAAAGCAGCTTATGAAAGATATGGGAAAATCACTGTTTTACATTTTGACTCTCATATTGATACTTGGGACCCTAAAGTTCTCGGTGGAGGTATCACACACTATATGTCATTGAATCATGGTACATTTTTACACTATGCGAGTGAACAAGGATATCTTACGGAAAGCAATTTTCATATTGGATTAAGGGCTCCATACATTTCTCCCAGTTATGACAAAAAGCATGATATCGACTGCGGCTTCCATGTAATAAGTGCAAGAGATTTAGATAATTTTGGCAGGGACGAAATAATCAAAAGGATCAAGGAAACAGTTGGAGATGGCCCATTGTATATTTCCGTTGATATAGATGTTCTTGATCCAGCTAATGCCCCTGGAACGGGTACCATGGAGATTGGCGGTTTCACTGGAAGAGAACTTTTGAGTTTACTCGACGGATTGAGTGGCGTCAACTTGATAGGTGCGGATGTTGTAGAAGTTAGTCCACCCTACGATTCAAATAGCGAGATCACAAGCTTGGCAGCCACAGCAGTAATTGACTCATTTTTAGGCTTACTCGTTGTAAATGAGATTTCGTAGGCTTTATATTGACCTAAATACTTAAAATGCTTAAATGCAGCATTAAATGTGCGCCTTTCCTAATTTGTATTATGTTCGCTTTTAACCGTTCTTATTCATTTTGAACTCACAAAAGAACTTATATATTCAAGTTTTCAATATCTTCCGAACCATATGTGTATGAAGAATCCCAGGACAACGGATAAAATGAAGTCTATACCAGTTTCACAGATTCCAAGCTCATCCATGAGTTCCTTCATAGACAACTCGAATGTTGGGCAAGTTGAATATACAAAGAATGAAGGAGAGGACGAACCTTACAAAAATAAACCTGGCATAAAGGCTATAGGAGTATATTTCGGCAACGACGCCGCTACAGCATATCTGGATGATGGATCCGCACGTTTATTAGTCAAATCGCAGCCCGTTTATGGGTCTGAACTACCACCCCCCGTGACATACTCACCTAGAAGTTCTAGGTTAAGGCCACTAGTTCTTTCTATGGGAGTGATAATATTTGCTCTAGTGGTAGTAATATTATACCTATTGAACGCTTGCAAAACGACTTCGTCACACGTTTAAACTCTTTTCACTCATAGTGTTTTCTAATACTTTCTGCTCCCGGATCATATTGAGGCTTACTAACCTGATTTTCCTAAACATATGAACAACATACGTCTGATACAAAATGACTACATGAGCTTACATTTAAAACTTAAAAGCTTCGTAGTTAATCTAATATGCATATTTAAGATTTGTAGTCACTAATGGCATGTCGCATAAATATACATACTACGCTACACGACAAACAGTTTTTGATGTGTCTCTTACACCCCCCTATCTCTACGGCATTTAATATGTAAAGATGGGGTTTCATCAGTGGGCTAAATCTACCTATTGAAGAGTCTCCGCCAGATCGTCTTGCCTGAGGTCTAGATGCGGAAAGGGATGAAACACAAAAAAGGAATTCTGCCCAAACGCGAATTTTACATCTTTTTTTCAAAATACACGAAGAGTGATTTACCGCAGATTGTAAGACGAGAAAGTAAAAATCTTTGAAAACGACGAACAGGATATATTGTGCTAAACAAGTCCTAAAGTTAAGAAATAAGCTAAGATATAGGATTTAGAACCCTAGGACATTCGTTAACGGTAGAAAGTGGTTAAAGATCAGAGGAATAGAAGCTGAAATATAGACTGTAACCGTCAAGATTCAAGGCGGTCAGGATTTCAGAACTTTTTTATTCGTTTGAAATCTAATCTAAGTCACTCGTTGTTTCTTGTTACACTCGTTTTTGTATAAGATCATAGCTTTAAGGGACAAGATACGTTCATTCAAAGGTCAAAGTGTATAGTTCAGATGAGGGGCCTTATTTCAATACTATTCGTATTATCATTCTGCGCTTCTGTGATAAGATCGGAAGACGTGGGATGTTTTAGCTCTATCAGCGGTATTAAACTGCTGAGCTCAGCACAGTATCAATCTTCAGGAAAATGTATGCAAACATGTTCAGATTACCCATACTTTGCTTTACGTAATGGTGATATGTGCTACTGTTTAAGTTCGAAACCGACTTCAAATGAGGTCTCAAGTTCACAGTGTAATGTTGGTTGTGATGGTTATGGCCAGGAGGATTGTGGTGGAAGCAGCGCGTATCGAGTGGTTGTTGGTTTGGGATCTTCAGATTCCTCTTCTGAAGATTCTTCTTATAGTCTGACAGACCAATCTTACGCTTCTTCTACTGACAACGACGTAGCGTCATCAACTGAGGCGTCTACTTCTACGGACTCTTCAGCTTCTACTAGTGCTCCTGAGTCAACGACATCAGACTCGCTGGTATCAAACACCGTAATTACAAGCACCAAGTCATCTAAAGGGTCTATCATATATAAAACTGTCACTACCGATGCCGCTCACTCGTCTGGCTCCAAACTGTCGACGACTTCACATTCTACAACATCTAAGTCGTCGGCTACGTCGACTAAAGCAGCATCAACTTCATCATCGGAGTCATCATCATCGTCAAAAAAGGAGAGCAAAAGTAAAGTTGGACCAATCGTAGGAGGTGTAGTTGGTGGCATAGGTGGTGTTATTTTAGTGGCTATCGCTGTATTTTTCATCATAAAGAAAAGAAGACAAGATGACGAGGACGACGAAGAGGAATTCTACGATAAGTCATCAGGACTTGGAAGAGGAGGGACTAACAAATCTAGGTATGGAAATTCGCCATTGGATAGACCCGTTTCCAATCCTTTTACACACCCTTCAGATGCGACAGTTGCTGCAGGTGGTGGTGGTTCTGCTGGATTAGTAGATCCAAGATTAAATCCCATGATGATGGGACGGCGAAGATTAAGTGATGGATCTTTAGCTGACGAGGCGGATTATTCAAGAAAAATTTTACAAGTTGCAAATCCTGATTCTTAGTTTGCTTTTGTCCTTTTTAATTTCATAAATGCTACTGATTTTTTCTTCTTACAAGCCATTGATATTCTAGAGTGTCAAAATCAACACACTCAAGTTTTCTGGTTGACATGATTACTTTCCAAAAAATAATCAATTACATAACGAAACCTTTATTTCTTGGCTTTCCATGTCTATGACATTGACATTATATAGTTTTTATATCCTTCTAATATAGTATTATAACGGTGTTTGATTTTCGAGGTCTTTTGTGTAATATACCCCTTCAGGACGAACCGTGCTTGCCCGAGATACCTCTTAGATTAAAGATTATTATATATTGCCCACAAATGTAATCACATTGAATAATATTGCCGTGAAGTTTCATCTAAGAAAGAAGAATTGATCAGGCAATATGACGAAATCTTTACCAGCTTATGAGAGAGCATTGCATGAACAGTTCAAGAGTATATATGACGAATTATCTGATTTGAAGAATAATCGAAGCCACTACATTAACTCAAAGCAAGTATATCAAATATATGATAAATTCTTGAACATAGTACATGAATTAACTTTGACAAGGAAAGACGAAGAGTTGAAGGGTATAACTTTGTCTTTACCTAATACGAATGACTTACTTATTGATGATACATGGCAGTTGTTATCTTTATGCTTTGTAACTTGCGGATTAATAAAGTTCGCCCCTGCAACTTATAGCTCTTTGGCAACTGTGAGTAAACTATTGGAGCATTTAAAGGAATGCCAAGTATATACAATGGATGATTTGAGACCTATTAAATCACGGTTAGAAGAGATAAAGGATATTATTTCAAATTCGGGATCGGATGACGATGGGGAGAGCAATGTCCACAAACTGGAAGAGAGTCTTTTACTAATGAATAAGTTGAATAAGTGTCAGAGTTTGTATAAGGATCTAGAAAAAAACTTTGAAAACGTTCCATCTGATTTGGTACCCATCTACATGGAGTTGATATCATTGAGAAAAAGCCTCTTAAATTATTTAACCGACCCGACCATCAACTCACCAAATAGTCAATTCCCCAAACGGCTCGAAGAAATAAGAGCGAAAATCAAGACTATAGGGTCGAAGAGGGACGAAGAAGGTAAATTTGTTAGTAAAATAGGTACCGAGGAACAGCTTAGATCTACTCAAGTTGTACTTAATGGTCTTTTCGACGATTGCAATTATTTGATACGAGATTTGTCCATCCAAAAAGATACTGACAATTTGTCTGATCTCTTTGATTCGATGGCATTGAAAGATCACGGTCAAGCAACAACTATACAGAATTTCAAAAGGCTATATGAGCAGTTAATTGATTTAAAACTCAAACTTGAAAACCTTTTAGTCACAAGGAGATGGACAATGAGAGAGACTGACTTATACAATTACCAAAAACTATTAAAGCAAATTGATGATGAGAGGATCGCTTTAATTAAAGACATTGATCCCAACAACAAGGACATTAAAAGACTCCAAATATTAATTTTATATCTTCTCAGAAGATGCTATGGATTAATTTACAAACTTCTAGAAAGCTCAGAGCCTGTCAGTGAATCTTTGCAACCCATCCATAATCAATTATCCACAGTTCGTAGGTGTCTCTTGGAACTCAAAAGAATTGATGGTCTAAATAATTTACGAGATTTATACCCATTCCAGTTCAAATTAGCCTCATTGGATAATCTCAGAAAGGATGGTAAATTCATAGTTAATAATCAGATTCCTGAGGGACAGGCGACATTAAATGCTCTTCTTGCAGAGTGCTTTGATATTATCCATGAATTAAAAATTGAATTAGAAGAAAAGGAAGAAGAGAGACAAAAGTCTCCTGAAAAGCAAGACTCTGGTGATGGAACTGACTCAGAAGACATTAATTCTGATGACGAAGTGGAGCTTAAAAGAAACAGATATGCGGGCCTTAATGAGGCAGATTATGATCAAGCATCTGAATCTGAGTCTGATTATGACGATGACTCATGCTTGAGTGATTCAGAATACGAAGGTAATGACTACTATTAATGTCATTTATATTAACTCTTTTCTTCTTTACGTCTGTGTAAATAGCATCTTAGTAGAATATATTAGTATATATGCATTGCACATGTAACAGAAAAGTTGATTCTCACGTGCGGGTAACCTGAGTATAATATTTCTCTGAAGTAACAGAGCAGAAAACTGCCACCCCTTCTTAAAGCGCCATCGTCAAAAAAAACGTAAAAGAAGCTGATTAATTACTATCCAGAACTCGGAGAAGGGTCAGTTAAATTATCAAGATAAAGAATTCATTTGGGTTTCTTTTTGAGAACAAGAACTTTTTTTTTAAAAGAATAGAGTAACCGCCAACTAATTATTTGTTCATACAAATCTGTATTAGAGGTTATTCTTTTTCTTGAAACTAACGTCTGCCGAATCAGCAGCGTGGAAATATTCACTAATTTTAAATAACTAATCTTGAGATTTATTTGGACTGGACTGAAATAATAAAAGTGACCAACTAATGTCAGCAGGTTTTGAGTGGGGCGTAACTCATCAAACAGAACTAAGCAACGAGGTGGCCACGATTACACTGAATGAAGGGATAACCATTCCCTCTCGTTCTTCATTAAACATAAAGGCGATGCATAATAACCACAACCTTATCAATTCACAAAGTTTGGGGAGGAAGAGGAAGCACTTCGAAGATGATATGAGAGTACATAAACCTTCAAACATGTCCTCCAGAAAGATACAATCACCTATTTCAGGAAGGACTAAAAAGTCGAAAACCCCTAAAATTTTAGGACAACCTTTACCTTTGAACAGATTAGTGGAAGTTCTAGATCACAAATCTTTACAAAATTTGTTACATAACTTGATACAGATTCACCCTGAAGTTTCCGGGACTGTCGACAAACTATGCCCCAAACCAACAATGTCAAGCTCACTTGCACTACTTAAAGAAAAATTTGACAACATAATTAGCCACTTACCATACAAATGTGACATAGAGAGTGATTATTCTTATCTTAGGGTTAAAGGATACTTGAATGAGTTTCTCAATTACCTTTCAGATTTCATTTTGAATTACTTACCACCAAATGAGACTAATATAGTAAAATCCTTGACTTTCATGGATCTGGTGACTGGTATGATTCATAAATTACCTAATTTTTCTAATACTGAATTTCAATATACCAAATCAATGGCCTATGACCAGTTGTCTAATACTTGGCTAATCGCTTTGAGCCAAAATAAACAATGCTTAGATGATCAGTCTGTTGGAGAGAATGGTTCAGAAACTGATATTTCAACCAGCTTAGTTAAAATTCTCAATGAATTGGAAATTGAGGAAAAGTTACATAAACATAATGACCTCTCAATGGGAAGATTCAATGTTGCTCTCGATTTTGTTAAGTCTGAGATGGAAAATTTTGAAGTTCTTAATCGTACTTTAATCAACAATGGTCAAAGCCTGATTAACGATCTCATCACAATTGACTATTCCAAATTTTCTATTGCAGCCAAAACATCTCATTAGTCATACTACATGTTTGTATATGTCTTTATGATTCTCTTATATATAAGATTGCATTTTAATTCATAATCCATTTTAAGACAATTTTTTTTTTCTGAGTCTGTTAATTTGTGGCTCTTTGTAACAAAAACTTTGGAAATGATCAGTAACAAAGATGGGCGCTTCGATCACTGATATTAAGTTTATCAACTCTTGCATACAATGGCTAAGCGAGTTTCCAAACAGTCCCATATCGGCAACTTCAACTGTTTCAGATTTGGGCAAGCCAACAAATGTCTTTAAGTTGTTAAAAGTTCTCTTGAATGAGGAAGATTTTGCAGTCGAATTAATCGATGAGGATTTCGATGAAGAAATAGAAGTAACTACTACTGCTAAACACTTGGAGATACCCCTTGCACTTGAGAGACAGATTAGTAATATAGAGAAAATTTTAAGGAATCATTTAGGTAATTTAGAGTCTAAGTCTGCATTGGGAAAGTTCAAGAAATCTGAAGTCATTTTGGGACAAATAAATTTTTTTAAAATTGTTATTTACAGAGATTTAAAGTCGGTGGCATCCCTTTGTGAATTACTTGTAAAGATCGGCACTTTTTCATCTAAACTTTCCACTTTTGGGCTTACTTCAATTCAATTTTTAAGCGACAGCGATAAAATGTCTTTTCAAGAATATTTTGGGACAAACTTAAATGATCTTATAAGTCTCGAAGATGACTTAGATAAAGAATTAGAGGAATCTGAGTTGGAACAGAAAATAAAGGAGCTTGAAAAGGAAAAAGATTTGGAGTTGATAAATGAATCAAACAAGTTCAACTTAGAGAAGATCAATTTCTTGAAAATTATAGACACCTTAAAAGAGGAAAATAAAGCTCTAAAGAAGTCTCATGACTCGACAACAGAAAGCGATGTTGAGAATTCAAGTATTTCTTACATTGACGAAGAGTACATAAATTCCATTGCTTGGGAGAATAGTCTCTTTGAAAAAGTAGTTTATAAGTTATTAATGCAGTAAAAAGATTCATAATATAAATGCAACGCTTTTACTCAAATCTGGACAATGCAGAGCCGAGTAAATCTTTCTCCTCTGGCTTTCCATTTAACTCATTCAATCTTCTTTGTCTTGCTTCTTTCTCAAGCTTCAAGTTCTTCTCAATTTTCATTTTCCTTTGATCAATAACATTTTGACGCTTTTTCCTCAAATGTTTTCTCAAGGAAGAGTTTGAACCTTTGACCTCCGGTCGAATTTCCATTTTGTTGCCATTCTGTCCATCAGATAACTCATTGATTTCGTTCAGCTTCAACCGTATACTGTTAGCATTCTTATTGACAGTGCCTATGACGTTAGGATCAAGTGAGATCGTATCTGGCGATAACTTATTAAGTAATGATTTGACTTCCTGTTCTTGTCTTTGCTTCGCTGTTTCATAAGGGTTAATTTCCAAAGAATCGTAGTTGGCCTCACCAGAGCCAGGGATAATCAACGAAGAAAACCCTTTTTGATGACCGACTCCAATAATATCTTCGAATGGCAAGAACTTCAACTTCTCAACCCTCGAACTGGGTATCAAATGGTTCATATACGGATCTGATTGCTTTGCTTTTAGCACATCTTTCCACACGGTCACATGTGGTCCCCATCCAACTGACAATAATCCGTTATCAGAGAAATCCAACGAAGATGCGGGGGTAGGGGAATAGTAATTATCAACTTCTTTAAATTTTCTTATGTCCATTATCTTTATAGATTTATCAGCTCCAGCCACGGCCATATATCTTCCTTCTCTATCAATGGCTAAATCTCTGATTGGACCTCTGCATGACTGTATCTTTGCCAAGGGCGTAGACATATTTGGTGCCCATAACGAGACTGTCCCATTACCATGACCTAGATGCATAACAGCGTTCCAAGGATTTTTCTTCATAGCTTGAGTGGGACCCATTTTGGTCCTTAATTCACTTACTAACTCTCCAGTAGACACATCATGATACTTCAAGAAACCGGTATTTCCTGCACTCACCAAAAGGAAATGATAGGGCAAGAAGTCTAATAATATGGAGTCTATATGCTGCTTTAGTCTATGAAGCTCAGCGCCAGTCTTGTCATATATGAATGTATATTTCTTTTGAGCACAAGCAAAGTACTGATCATTATGCAAATATGTGACTGCGTGCACTGTTTCATTCAAGAAGAGCTCGCAGTTTAAGCCTCCAGTTCTCCAGTCTACAGAAGCGACGTGTCCCTTCTGACCTCCTATTAAGAGATTGCGGCCATTTCGCGAATAGTTCATCGTATAAGGGCCATAATCAGGTAAGCTCAATGAAAACTTCTTATTAGATGTACCTATATCCACAGCATCTTGTATTTCACCCTGCTTGAATTTGAAAGTTTTTTCCATTGGACTATCTGCCTCCAAGAATCCTGCTTCCTCTTGCAACAATATTTCCGTCCTGGCAGCCGATTTGACAGCATCTTTATACTGTTTGTCAACCTTCTTCAACCCTGCATTTAGCTTTTTATCTTTACTGTACTTCCCTTTCGTACCCTTCTGCCGCCTTTGATACTTGTCGGAGTCTAAGATCCTGGAAGAGCCTTTATTCCCAAGATTTGACATATTTTGCAATTTCGCTTCCATTCTACGTGAGTTAAAGAATATTTATCAGTATCTAAAATTTTTCAGGCATCGAGATGCACCAGACTGCACATAACATTAGAGTATGTTTTTATCGGTTTTTTCAACAAACCGATACAAATTTATCGAATGTGGGAACAGTTTTAAAAGGTATCTGTGTTTTATCAAAATAACTCACTCAACGTTGGAATGAGGCAATTTTTTGGATGGATTCAAAGGGCTTCTTTCAAGAATTTTGAGAGAAAATTGAGTCCTAAAATACCTTTGCTCCAAAGCGCCGTCATTCCCAGACTGATTCTTGCGATAGCTGGAATTACAGGTGTTGCTGTTGGTGCATATTACGTGAAGGACTCTCGTTCTGCAATTCATGAATATGTGTTCTGTCCTTTAATTAGGGTATTCACTGATGCAGAAGAAGGACATAAGTTGGGAATTCGTTTATTGAAACTGGGACTCGCACCAAGGCTACCTGAAGATGCGGATGAAAAGACGGATATTCTTGCAGTCAACGTTTTTGGACAAACTTTGAGGACACCTATCGGCTTAGCAGCTGGTTTGGATAAAGATGCAGAAGCAATTGATGGACTATTCGACACTGGATTCTCATACGTTGAAATAGGATCGGTCACACCAGAACCTCAACCTGGAAACCCCACACCACGTTTTTTCAGGTTACCCAAAGACAATGCAGTGATTAATAGATATGGATTTAATTCAATTGGGCATTTTGCAGTCATCAGTAATCTTAAACTTAGGCTTGCAAATCTCACTAATAAATTTTATTCTAGAAATTCATTTGATTTACTACCTTCAGCAAATTCCTTCAGAGATGGCAAGTTATTGGCAATCAATTTAGGTAAAAATAAATACGGTGACGAGATCGAAGACTACGTAAAGGGAGTGCAGCGCCTCGGACCATATGCTGATGTGTTGGTCATTAATGTGTCTTCCCCCAATACTCCAGGACTTCGGAATTTACAGGATGAACTGAAGTTGGCGTCATTATTAAGTGCCGTGGTTGCAGAAAGAAACTTGCTTACTACGAACTTATTAGGAAAAAAGCCGCCTATTCTTGTCAAAGTTGCTCCTGACCTTGATGAATCAGAGATATCATCTATCGTGAAGTCTGCAAAGCAGACCAAGATCGACGGAATCATAGTCTCTAACACCACAGTCCAACGTCCCATTTCTCACATGCTCACAAAGGACGCGAATCTAATCAACCAAGTAGGAGGTCTCTCAGGTGAGCCTTTAAAACCTTTATCCTTGAAGGCCTTGCGTACTTTTAGGAAGTATACAAAAGGTACTGACATTGTTTTGGTTGGCTGCGGCGGTATATCTTCGGGAAAAGATGCCTTGGATTTTGGCAAGGCAGGTGCCAACTTCATCGAGTTATACACTGCTTTTGCCTACAAGGGTCCAGGTTTACCAAGCAAAATTAGAGATGAGCTTGTATCTGAGTTGAAGAAAGAAGGCAAGACTTGGACTGAGATTATCGGCCAAGACGATAAATAATACACCCTTTTATACAGGATATTATTTTTTTATTGATTAAAAGTATAAACAAAAGTAGAAACGTATATTTTTTTACTGCTCACCAACATTTATAATATATACCGTAGTAATTGAAAAATGGGGTCATCATCACGGCCTATGACGCCTAATTCACAGCAAAGGAAGAATGTACGAAGACACCTGCATCGCTCGTCTGGAGTGTATTTACTTTCGCAGTCGCCCAAGATTCATTATCCAGTTGATCCTGACAATTTACCTTTAGAGTCAGCTACAAACACAGAGAAATTTGAGCAATTAAGCGACGGAATAGAGGAGCTTGATAGTAATATGGTTGATTTAGTACTGATACACGAAGCAATATCCAGTGGTTTCAATGAATCTTTCGCTAGTTTTTTGTACGGGCTTTCAATAACAATGTGGTGTGTAGATTACCCAGGCTGCCCCACACGCACTAGCTGGGAGAAGTTACAGCAAGTTAAAGGCATAGACGAAAGGATACGGGATCTTCAAGAAAGTATAAAAGACTCGAAAGAGGTGAATGAAAAACTAAGGGAAAAATTAGCGTTATTGGATACTAGGAAGAGAACTGCGAAATCAACGCAAACACAGGAAGCCAAAAGAAAAATCGGTCAATCCAAGGCAGAACATATTTCAAGACCCTCTGGAGAGGACGAGTCATACGTTACAAATGAAGGGTCTTTTGTGATCAATCCTCCAGCCCTTCTAGGCCGAACGTCAAGAATACCCCAACCAGTCAAAATAAAAGTCAACGGACCGACTAAGAGTCTTGAAAATAATGAAGTCACTGTAAAATCTTCAGGAAAAGGTCCCAATTTGAATCAACCACCTCGTTATATGCGTGGTCTCTTTGATAGCAGCAATACGACGCGTAACGCCGACTCAAGTAAACAAGATAAGCCTAATGGGAGGGTAGCTAGGTCATCTATTCGAACAGTCCGTTCAACTGGGCCCGCATCGCGTCCAGCATTTAGGTGAATCTCTTATCCTAAAGTATATATATCTTCAATTAGAGTATAATTATAGTATGATTAAATTTAAGTCGCCTTATTTCATTACATGATGACCTTGAAGAACCGCAAATACGAGTCAACCATCTATAAGTTTTAACATTAGCTCATATTTGACTTGTTCAACAGATTTGTTCTGTTGACTAGCGATTACTAGTAAATAATCCTTATTTTCCATAGAATTGAGTATTGTTTGTCGTCTTACTTGCTCCTGATAATTGAGGGTGCCTTGCAAGATTTCAGTGTTAGTAGGTTGAAAAGACCCATTCACTCTAGAGCTATCATTTGTATTTGTTACATCCATATTTCATTCCTATTCAGTAATACGTGGCCTACTTGAGATTTAGGACATTTGATTTTAGGTCTTCCGAAAATTTCGTAATATTTGAACTCTAAGAAAAGTACAAGAAAGTAACTTATTGCTTTATTAAGATAATGTCCGATCCTACACCCGAGGAAAGAAGACGTATCCTTAGGGAAAGAAGACAGGCCAAAATGACTGGTGGTAAGGCTCTGGAGAGATTAAATGATATTTTATCTCAAGGATCATCAGTAAAAGCTTCATCAGCTGTATCAGTCATGGACAAACCCGAAAAAGAGGCCATTACTTCCACCATAGCGGACGATACTCAAAACACTATCCAGCATTTAGAACATGACGCAGATCCAGATGTCCAAGATATAGATACTATCGTAAATGAGAATCAACCTGGTGGTCAAGATATTGATGAACTCTTTAAAAATATATTTAGTGGAGGATTGGATATTCCTGGTGGGGAAGGTGCTGGAGAAGATCCAATAGCCCAAATGATGAAGCAGATGATGCAAGGACAAAGTGCCACTTCCAGTTCACCGTTTGGAACGGCCAAGGACACTGAATTGGAAGCTTACTTAGAAAAAATGGCCATCTATAAGCTCTATCAAAAGAAGTTATGGAAATTCAGGTTTCTCATTATCAGGTATTCGATTATACTCACTAGCTTTATATATTATTATAAAGTAAGCTCAGGGAAGTCATTTGAACCTTCAACTTATTCTTATATACGTGCAATTGAACCTGAGTATAAGTCGGGATTTATCACAACCTTCTTTACTGCAGAGTTTATTCTTTTGGGAACTTATTACCTTGTGAGCTCGACTAAGGGATTGTTTCAAGTAACTGGAGATAATAGCGTCCTTTTGAAACTTCATTCATGGGCATCCTTAGTGCTACCCCAATTGAATCAATATAAGAGTCTTCTATTCCAAATTGTGAGTTACCAAGAGATACTAGGAATGTTTTTAAGTGACTTGTCTTTAGTTGTGGTTTTGTTCGCCATTATAAGTTATATAACATAGAGAGTTAGTCTCGTTAATTATTGTATATGATTATATTTACAAGTGTAACATATTTAAAAGTTCTTACGCATGTCTTTTCGTTTAGCTTCGATGATTTTCTCAGCACTCAGGAACTTTCTTTTCTTCCAAAAGCTATAAACCAATAATCCCGCAGAACAAATAGATAGACCGAACCAGGTTATTAAATATTGAAGATGATTATTCGTGAATTTGACATTTGGAGTAGCTGCAATTGGTACTCCTTCATTAACGAATTCAACTTGCTGGTATTCCAATGTCGCATCGTCATTCGATTGCTTGTCCAAAAAAATCGAATCGTCTATCATTTCATCGTTTTTCCTGAAGATACGGTTCAAGATTGATGGTGTCAGTTTCTGGTTTGATGTAGACTGCTTCCACTCTGGGTGCTCTGATAAATCGTAAATCATTTGACAATAGATAGGCAAAGCACCTGACTGCTTAGCCATAGCATTAACATCACAAACATGAAATAATCTTGTGCCCTGCTCATGATCAAAATGTAAAGCTGACTTTTTAGGCATGATTCTAAATAATGCTTCAATCTCAATTTCGCCTTGAGGCATAGCCAAATGAGACAAGTAACCGTTTTCACGTTTTTTTGGAATCACGTTGTCTTTATGTATCCAGCCCCTTTCAATCAAAATTGGCTTTCCACCATCAGACCTTACGAATGGTGTAACAAGTAAATATCCTAGCACACCATCCCTCATCCTCGGCCCCAAAAACATCTCTTGAGAATAGTCAAAGTGACCCTTCACTTTAAATCTACGATACTCAAAGTTCTTAATAGCTTCAGGATCTAAGTTTGGCGGAAGCTTCTCTAGAGGTGGTGCTGCCAATGCATTCTCGGCATTTGCAATCAAATGCATCTTCCACTTCAACCTCTTGACTTGCCAGCAACCGAGAAAAAAGCTGATAACAGGCATTGCAATCATTAGGCCCAAAACAAATTTTCGAAACTTAGGCATCTTTGCTTGCTGTTCCACCTCTCGCAAATTAGTGTTATGAGACTTAAGTGGCTGCCAATCGATAGTAGGAGTCTTTACAGTTCTCCTCCCGAAGTTCATTCCCCCGTAGCTTATTAACTTATTTCTCCTTATGAGTGAACCGGATAAGAATGAAATAGACCTCTCACTATGCAAGCATCTGACTGTACATGTACTGCGATGGGATCGAGCATGTGTAGATCTTAAGAAAAGCATTTCTGGATCAGTACTTTATTTTAATGCCTTTTCATTTACTACAGCGCATCTTGATATATGAAGGGAATGAATTGAAAGGTCACAGTATATGCAGGTCTTGATATTATCAGGAACCCTGTGACCTTTAGACAGAAAATGGCCCCAAGGAGAATATTAAGAGCAGTCATCTCAAACCATAGCTCAAAGAATTGGGCTCTCGATCGCTGACGTATTTAACTTCGATGTTGCGGTACTCAAAGGAAAATACCCCGTGCATATTACTTGTTTTTGTCCTCTTGGCATGTGTCCATTTTAATGTCACAAACTTGTCTTGGATGTTGCTTTCGGATGAGAAATCTAGACAGCTCAATTCGTTGTCATAAAAAAAGGTCAGAAAGGGCCTTGCTATATTTGCCCAACTGCCTTGTCAACGTCTTCTCCTTTGAATCTAATCTGCATTCCCGTATTCCTGTATATTAAAATGTCAACACATCGGCGTGGTAGTTCTTAATTTAAAAAGAGCAGTAAATAGTCAATAATAGAGAGTAGATTTGAAATTACCTGTTGGTGTCTTTGAAACCTATATCACCACTGTTTCAGCTAAACGAATTCTGTGGCACTAAATTACTGAGAGCGTAAAAGCTTTTTCGATCGTTCAAATATTCATATACATACCTTGTTCTAACATTTTTAGCTGAATCTTTATTTTTGTTGGCTTTATTTATCGTGATCGATTGAGAAAATATTCTCATCAGTATGGGAGGCTCTATACACATGGAACCTTATGAGTATAAGTAAGTTAATATACCCATTTACGCTTGGAGCTTTGAATTTACTAACATTATTCCTTAGGTCAAATAAAACGAAGCCTAGATTTCTCAACACTTTCAAGTTCAGAGTTCTTATTTTTTGCATAGCCGTTTCAGCCTTAGGAACTCTAAGGTTCTTACTTTTTAAACAAGTCACATATTATAGTCCGGATTTTAAAAACTTACCTACCATCGACTACTATGATTTAAAAGAATACGAAGGAGATGCGGATGGTTGGCAGAGAGAAAATAGAGTCCTATTCTGCGTTCCTTTACGTGACGCTGCTATTCATCTACCGATGTTTTTTGGACACATGAGGAACCTTACTTATCCGCATCATTTGATAGATTTGGCTTTCTTGGTGAGTGATTCTTCGGATGGAACGATGGCATCATTAGTAAAACATTTAAAAGCTATTCAAAATGATCCAAACCCAGCAATGAAGTTCGGTGAGATTGAAATATTTGAAAGAGATTTTGGTCAAGCTATTGGCCAAGGATTTTCCGACAGACATGGATTTGCTGCGCAAGGTCCAAGGCGAAAAATGATGGCGAAAGCTAGAAATTGGTTATGGACCGTTGCTATAAAACCATATCACTCATATGTATATTGGAGAGATGCTGATGTTGAAACTGTTCCTCCTACGATATTGGAAGATTTGATGCACCATAATAAAGATGTCATAGTTCCGAATGTGTGGAGGCCGTTGCCAGACTGGTTAGGGAACCAACAGCCTTATGATTTGAATTCTTGGCAGGAATCCGAAGGCGGCTTGCAATTGGCTGATACTTTGGATGAAGATGCTTGCATTGTAGAAGGGTACGTGGAATATCAAACATGGAGACCTCATTTGGCATACTTGAGAGATCCTTATGGAGATCCTGAGGTCGAGATGGATCTAGATGGTATTGGTGGGGTTTCAATATTAACAAAAGCAAAAGTATTTAGATCTGGTGCTCATTTCCCTGCATTTTCATTTCAGAAACACGCAGAAACAGAAGCATTTGGTAAACTATGCAAAAGAATGGGATATTCAGTAGTCGGCCTTCCACATTATGTGATTTGGCACATATATGAACCGTCGTCTGACGATTTAAAACACATGGAGTGGATGGCGACAGAAGAAGTAAGGCAGAAAGAAGAAGCAAAAATAAAGAAAGTCTATGACAAGGTCTGGGATCAGGCTTTTGAGGATGTTCTGGGACGCTGGGGTAAGGAAAGACAAGACTTTTTGAAAAATACGGACATGACCAACATAAGAAATATACGGGTCGATTGGTCAGGAGTGGATGATTGGCATATAGACAATATTCATGGCGATAAGAAATTAGCAGATTTTAACCCTTAAGTCTTCAAATATTTTGCCATTTATAATATATTAAATTTCATTTAATAAAGTAGCTATTTTTAAGACACTTTTATACATTTAAGCTAAACAATTTCTAATCACTCTTCGTCTTGCGCAGCTTTCAAGTCATTGTCTTTGTACATATAAAATTGGAGGAATATAAAGCTGTCTTCCAAGATAGTTCCCAAGGACCCCAATAACCAACTCAAGTTAAGCAAAACGTATTGGGAGTCACTTCTATAACACAAAATCTGTCCAGCGTACGTCAAGTTTCCTAACGTAGAAAACAAAAAGAAAAGAAGACTGAGGCCCTTAACGGATTTCCTTTTGTAGTTTTGAAGTATTTGAGGGATCCTAGCTCCTAGATAAAGGAAAGCTGACATGTAGCCCATTATTTGGGGGCCAAGCTCAATCGTAGTTGAATCATCACCATTATTTGGATCTTCGCTAGATCTAGAAACGAAGTAACCTAAAACACCAGCGCCAATGACAAAAAGAATAGGTAATACATATTTCACAAATACACCCTGTTCTGATGGTTCAGTCACAATGTAGGTTAAAGTTGATGACCTTCTTCTCCTCAATAAAGGTGTGTCTTCCACTTCCTCGTCAGTAAGGGCGTGTGCACCTTCAATATGTTCTGGGTGGTGATGGTGGTGATGATGATGATGATGGTGGCCGTTCTCATGGTATTTTGGAAAAATAAAAGTGTAATACGCATAAGAGGAGATCATAAGAGAGTCAGCAATACAAAACCAAATTGCTAGAAAAATGACTTCTGGCAATAAACCTGCCCATATCCCACCAATTAGATTGAAAAGATCACCTAAAAACCAAATAGAGATGAAACCAATAGCAATGCCTTCGGCAGACTTTAATCTCCATTGTTCAATCAACTGAGGCATTAATAAGACAATCCAACTTGCAAGTCTTATTATGAAGTTAGTTATTGTGTTTAAATACATTTGTCTTGGTTGTACTTACGATGTCGATCCCATTATCCCCGAAACTTGCAACCTCAATGGGGATGAAGGGCTCTGAAACGTATTCAATAATGCCTCCTGGGCTGCTATATACCCCATTTTAAACCAAGAAGATTAATTCTCTCGTAATAAAAACAAAATACTCTTTTTAGCTCCAATTATTGCCTGAAATGATATTTGTTGATACCTTGTTTTTCTGACGAATAATGATTGCGAAACTCCGATAGGGAAGCTCTCTCAAATAAAGAAAGTGGCGCGAGAGAGTTGATTGAGTAGCCAATAGCTAAAATATGAGAAACTGTGAAGAAGAGATAGCTTGATAGGTTCAATTTTGTAGATTCGAACTAGCACGGAAGAGAGCTTGATTTGGAGATTCTTTCAAGAATGAAACAGAGCAACAATTACAATAATGTAACCTTCTCTGGCTTGGTAGGCTGATCAGAGCTTTTGGTAATATGAACAATCACCTGTAAATTTTAAGAAAACCAACCTGTGGCTAGATAGAGAGATGTAATCCTACTTTACAATAATTTTTTAGGGTAGTAGAGTATTAGTAGATATTAATAGAACGGCTAGAATGTAGAATTTGCGAAGCTAGTGTCTTTCAAGTGCTGGAACCCTCTCAGATACAAGAGTGTCACCAAATAAACCTGAATTACAAAGTTAACTGAAGTTCTTGAAGGTTAATCATGGTGTTTAAAAAGTCGCCTTTGTCAGAACCGTTGGCAACAGAGCTGTCAAACGTTGAGAACACTTCAAGTTCAATAAATTCAAATTTAGTGGCCGAAGTAACAGAAAGTAAGAAATATCGATTTCAGCTGTTATACGATGACTCCAAACAAATATAAATACTTACTCATCATTTGAACCAATGTAATTAGCAGGTAAATATAAGCATTGTGTAAATGTGGGATCTCGCAACTCTCAAAAGTAATGAAAAAATTTTCTGTAAGCGTAATCTAAAAGACGTCAAAATAATATCGATTAATACTATAGAATTACAATGGTATGTTCATAAATTCAATAAGAGCTGGTTCATCCTCTCATAGTACCTCTTCTTTATCTTAAGGATTAAGGTTGTGCACAGGGAGTGGTGTTGAACGTTAATTGCACTTTTTGAAACTTCTGTTCTTTCTTTTTTTTTGCAAAGAATTAAGTTGATAAAAGTGTTACTTTCTTCCTTCTTGGAAATTGTAAATGATGTGCACATCACTTTCGTGTTGCACAGGCTGAGTATCTAAGATACTGTAGGGTAAAGGGTTGAAAAGATAGTTCGTTGACATTTTATATTGAGAACACTTTAACTAACTTTACTCAATGACACAGCCTGCAAAAAAAGTTGCTCCAGCACCATTATCTACTAAACCTACTTCAAAGGTTTCTTCAAAGAATCCTCTTATCGATGCGACTCCTAGAAACTTTGGTATTGGCCAAAGTATTCAACCAAAGAGGAACTTGGCTAGATTCGTAAAATGGCCCGAGTATGTAAGGTTGCAGAGACAAAGAAAGATTTTAGCGTTGCGGTTGAAGGTTCCTCCAGCAATTTCTCAATTTCTGAGTACTTTAGACAAGAATACAGCTACTCAAGTATTCAAACTCTTCAATAAGTACAGACCTGAGACTAGTGTTGAAAAAAAGGAAAGATTGACTAAAGAGGCTACAGCAGTAGCGGAAGGAAAAAAAGCCAAAGAAGTTTCCTCTAAGCCAATCGTCGTGAAATATGGTTTAAACCATGTTGTTTCTCTTATAGAGAATAAGAAGGCAAAATTGGTTTTAATTGCAAACGATGTTGACCCAATTGAGCTTGTAGTCTTCTTGCCAGCTTTGTGCAGAAAGATGGGTGTTCCATACGCCATTGTGAAAGGTAAGGCTAGATTAGGAACCTTAGTTCACAAGAAGACATCTTCTGTCGCTGCATTGACTGAAGTCAGTGACTCAGATGAAACCGAGTTATCTAAATTGGTTACAACTATCAATGCTAACTTCATTGAAAAGTATGATGACTCCAGAAGACACTGGGGTGGTGGTATCATGGGATCTAAGGCGAACGACAAGAAATCAAAGATTACCAAGGCTTTGAGTTCTACCATCGAAGCTAAGTAAGAAGTTCCGTAGGATTTTCGAAGTCGTACATACTCGAAGTTTTCTATCTGCATCTATAGTGTATACTTAATATAACCTTTTATCGCCAAAGAACTGATTTTTTAGTAATCTGAAGAAAGGCTAGGTGTGCAGAGTAGGGTTGGGCCCTTCATCACGAGAAGAAATATTTTGTGTAATGAAAATTTTTACCATACACTCTCCTCTCTCACCGAGTACGATCTAATAGAAATTATTCATCTCAATTCTTCAAGAGATTACTTCCATAAAGCATATTATAATAAAAGTAAGTCAAGTCGTATACATTTCATCTGGAAACATAGATGTTATGAATTAAGAGTAAAAGTTCAATGAGTTCAGCGAAATAAGTCAGAATATTTTAAGAGCCATCTGAAAAAGATGAAAATTTTAGAAAATACAGAAACCTTTCTGAATAGCGAAGATTGGGCTCCCATGCTGTAGACAGACAATAGTGGTACTTGATATATTATTTATCATTGGTCTTTGAAGAAAGACGAGAAGAAGAATACGGAAAATACTTTTCACCTGTTATGACAGCTATTAAACTTAAAGATTTTGAATGCTTATTTTAGTAAAGAACTTTTGAATTTAGTCAGATTTTCAATCTAGGCAATATACTAACAATTTCATAGGAAAATGGCTAAATCAAAGAATCATACGAATCATAACCAGACAAAAAAGGCTCACAAGAACGGTATTAAAAAGCCAAAGACGCACAAGTACCCTTCTTTGAAGGGTGTTGACTCTAAGTTCAAAAGAAATCACAGATATGCCTTACACGGTACTGCTAGAGCTTTAGCTCAAGCCCGTGCTCAAAAAGCTTGAATGGTTTAAAGACTTCAATTGAATAACATCATACATATCATACCGTGAAATGTCATGTTTACTTTCATATTTTGAGAGAGTGGGTTTAGTATTAGTGTTAATAAAGCTTATCTAACTTACAATATTCGAACCTGTAGCCTTAGTAGTCTAATCGATCCTAACTTTGTTGTTGGATGTTGAAATGAAGGTGCCATAAGAGACGTGAATGAATTACAGTTATCTGTGCAAGAAAAGAAATATAAGAAGTAGGAACTAATGTTTTATTTAATTCATTATTATTTTATACAAAAGTCGATTAACTAAGATACTTAGTCTTGAGTCTTTTGGGTACCACGTAATAAACCGGTTCTTCTAGCAGCAATTAAACCAGCCTTTTGACCTGGAACGGCACCTCTCTTAATAGTTGAGGCCTTACCAATATGTTGATGGTTACCACCACCGTGGGGGTGATCAACCGGGTTCATAGCAACACCTCTGGTCTTTGGCCACGAGTTTCTCTTAACTTTGTATTTATGGAACGCTCTACCAGCCTTCAATAATGGCTTATCGATTCTACCACCACCAGCAACAACACCAATGACACCTCTGGCATCAGAGGAGAGAATCTTCTTAGCTCCAGATGGTAATTTAACTCTAGTCTTTCCTTCATCTGGGTTATGACCAATAATGATGACGTAGTTACCAGAAGTTCTACCTAAAGTACCTCTGTCACCAACCTTTTCTTCAACGTTAGAAACGATAGTACCTTCAGGACAAGCTCCTAATGGCAAAATGTTACCAACATTCAAGGAAGCCTTTTTACCAGCGTAAACAAATTGACCAGTGTAAACACCTTCATTAGCGATGAAAGTCTCTTCTCTTAACTTGTACTTGTATGGGTCACGGAAGGCAACCTTAGCTAAAGGTGCACCTCTACCTGGGTCGTGAATGATTTGCTTGACAATACCACGAATATATCCATGACGTTCAGCATAATCTAAAGTTCTCAACTTAGCAGCACCCTTTCTCAACCTGGTGTGCGAGGTGAAGATAGATCCAGCACCTTTTCTTTGGTTACGAATTACTCTACCTATTTTGAAGTTAGTAAACAGTTCTACGAAGTTGACATCATGTTTGTAATAATTTTCATTTAAAACAAATGCAAATTTAGAGATGGAAATTGTACTTGAAAAATCGAACCCTCCTCTTCTTACCAATATATCTTCACCAGTAGTATTAATAATAAGCCAACGATTTTCAGAAGAATCTTCCTCTCTATGTTCGTCTCAATATATTTATTGCATTTAATACAAAAACTTCCTTCAATTAAGTTGATATGGTTCTCCTCCAGATTCCGATTCATCAAGTTGAATAATCCACTCTCCAATATCGTAACATACCCATTCTTTAGTGTTTAGATTTAACTAATGAAGACTCTGTCACAGGTAAATGCAATCTTCACTTAGAAAGCTCGCCCTCTGGAGCCTGTACTGGTGTGGAAGGAGAAATTTTTCAGTTACACAAAGTGAAGAATACACAAAAATAATATGTTGCGTTTTCAGCCCTAACTGAGATACAAGCACCTGATATGTATACTGTCATTTTAATCTATCGTACTGTTTCTAATGTGATTCACGAGTGAGTTGATTATGATATTTATTAACTAAACAAATTTTACAAATAATGCTTTCAGACAAAAAAAGAACCTGGTATACTAAAGTTAGGATTTACCTGCTCTGAACCCTCCTTGCTTGATTCATGAGTATTTTCTTTTGCGGTTGAAGTTGGTGCAAAGTCAGTACTCTTAGTGTTTCCTGGAATTTTAATCACATCTCCACGTTCATTAGTGACAATGCCAGTGCGTGCGTCTATTCTTAACTCTTTAGCTCCTGCTAATATCTCTGGATATGGCTTTAATTTATCGACGGCTTCATTAGCGATTTTGGTGGCTGCAGCATTGTCTTTTGTATGTTCTACGGTAACAACAATGTCGCTTTTGGTTTTTTCACCAGAAGTTGATCCCGCATTAGACTCAAAGCCCAGAGCTTGCTTTTCTGTACCAAGACTTGAATTGACCGCACTTGTTTTATCAGTACCAGAACCGAGGCCAGAATCGTTACGTTTGGAATGTAAATTCGCAGCACCGGTGGCGGCAGCTGCTGCAATTGCAGCACCGGCACCAGCTGTTTGACTCATGGTTGAGGTGCCATCAGACCTAGGATGTTGACTTGCATCGTTCCCTCTTCCACTTGTACTTCCAGCCTCTTCTAAGCGATTTTTGGCTTTTTCATACTCTTCGGTACGTCTGTCATGAGCCAGCAGATTTGGGAATTGGTTATCCGTATATGACTTGGGTGCTGCCGTCGTTGCAGTTGGCGAGCTTTTTTCTGGTGCCTTATACACTTCTCTCGTTTCCGCATTTATCACTAATTTTCCCGTCCTCAAATCGACTCCCTTTGCACTCAACTCCTTGGAAGCCTTGTGAGCAAGTCTTGATGCGGCCTCTTTGTCTTTGACACCTATAACTTCCACGGTCAACTCACTATTATTACTTTCCAAGCTCTCTTCATTAGCATGATCATGTGATGATTTTGAACTGGAGGCATGAGATCTGTCGTAAGCAGTTCCAGCTGCCAATCCGGTACCAGTGCCGGCAGCAGTAGCAGCAGCAACGCCAACTCCAGGTAATTGTTTCTCTTTAGAGGTCTTCTCCAACCCACTAGATTGCTCTGCACTAAAATCTTCAGCGCCTTTTACTTGCCCTGCCTCATATGCTCCTCTAGTGACCCCAGCATTATATAATTCAGTTGAATCCTTGTCGGTCAATTCAGCATGAGATGATCCTACATTTTCACCTGCATTATACGAACCAGATTTGATACCTTCGCGGTAATATTCGGCTCTCTCTTCTTTCGGTAAGTTTTTAGTGCCTTTCTCATCAAAGGATTTAGCGTTAACACCCGCATTATAGGATCCAGACTCTATCCCTTGATTGTAGCTGTTGTTAGCTATCGCCGCAGATTCAGACTTGCTTTTGTTAGTTGAGTTTGCCGAAATTACAGGGTATGAGTTCGGCGTGTTACTGCTTCCTGATATGTTCCTAGACCCTGAGTGGTCATTTGACAAGTCCTTTGTCTGAGAAGAATCATACTCACCTTTCAGTTCACCTTTTTTCGAACCAGAGATGTAAGAAAGTGCTCCACCAATGCCTGCTGCTCCAGCTCCTACAGCTGCAGCTCCTAGTCCAAGTTGCAGCTTACTGTCTTTTTTATCAGAATCTTTTGCTGTTGCTTTTGTGGAATCAGAGTAAACAGAGGAAGACGCACTATCTCCTGTCTTAGAAGTATCTGTCTTTAAATTTGAAACTTGACTCTTTTTATCGCTTACAGGAACAGCTCCGCCACTGGATCCACCAGATGTATTTAACCCTCTGTCAGCCTCATCCAAAGCAGACTCACCCTTATGAGATTGCAACTTCCTTATTTCTGGTGAATTTTTTTCAGCTATTTCAACTAAGTTTCTATCATCTTTCTGAGCATGTCCATGAACTTTATTATATGCATCGACATCTGCTTCAGCGTGTTTTGCAGGACTATCGGAACTCTCTTCTACAGAGCCAGGAGCTTTTAAGCCTGCCAGCTTGTCATTAGGACTTCGTTTCAGCTGATCGTTAGTACGTTTAAGTAAACCACCTTCATTTGTATGAGCTGGTTGTTCAGCAACGTCATCATACTTCTTTTCAGCTGTATTAATTAAAGAATCTTCGTTGTTCTTATCGTATGAGTTTTTAATGTCGCGGTTTGAAGAAGACTTCAGTAATCCTACTGCTCCAGCTGCTACGCCAATTGCAGACCCAACACCGGCAATTATTCCTGTTCTGCTATTTGGACTAGCTGATCCTTCATTTGTCGTCGTGGTGTTCGATTTTTCCTCAAGTACTTTATCCGACCGCTTACTACTTTGATCACTGACGCTTTCCTCTGGTTTTGACGATTTATGACCCCATCCAAGCGAGCCTAGGAAACCACCACTTTTAGTATCGATTTGAACTGAGTCAATATTTCTATCTTCATAAGAATTTGGTTCACTTACTTCAGTGTAGTCATCGCTCAAATCTTTCGCGTCGGATCCACCACTCAAAGTGGATTTTAAGTCAGGCTTCTTAATATTTCTAGAATCAGGAGTGTCCTTTTTGGAATTATCATACCCTAAAGCACCAGCAGCTGCACCAGCACCAGCGCTGAGTGCGCCTTTAGCTCCATCTAAAGGACCCGGCTTTTCAGTTCCATCTGAATTCAATTCTTTTGATGCTGATTCTGAACTTACACCCTGGTTATCCGAAGGAAGTTTAGAACCGACCGAAGTTTTCTTCGATGAAGATTTGACATTAGCACCATCTTTTCCAGCACTCAAACCTGCTTCGTAGGATCCTGATTTGATACCTGCTTCATAAGCTTCTTTGACAATATCTTCCTCGCCGGAAGTCTTCCTCCTACCGAAACCCACATAGCTGGCAGCAGCAGCAGCTGTAGCCGCCAATGCACCTGTAATACCAGCACTTTCATGTGATGCTGAAGACTTTGATTCCGCGTCAAGTGGAACATCATTAAGCGTTTTGGTAGATGCACCATCCTTATCAAGACCTTCAATCTGTGCCTGTGTACTTTCAATCTGTTTATCTAACTTCTTCAATTCAGAATCGTAGCTGAAATTTTTGTCAGCAGGAGAAAGAGGAGCATCGGAAGAATTGGTGGAATTCTTATTTTGATCCAAACCTTTAGAATGTGCTGGTGAATCTTTTGAATTATTGAAAGCACTCACTGAGCCGGTTTCTGCACCAGTATTAGCATCTTGAGGATTCTTCAGCGATTTGTCTTTGTTCTTCTCATGAGATGCTGACCCTGCTGTGGCTCCCGCCGCTGTTGCACCAACACCACTAGCTCTACCTTTAGAATTGAGTTCATCCTCTGCAGAAGAAGCGCCTGCCTCATTAAATGCAGACTTATTTCTTGAATGCTCCTGACCTGGATCCAATGACTTATCACCACCATCGACGGTTTCTTGTTCATCTTTCTGTTCTGCTTCCTGTCTCCTGGATTCACTCTTTCCTTTCTTTTGACCCTCTTCATAAGCTTGGTCTTTTATTTCCTTTACCTGTGCATCTTTCTCTTTCTCTTTTTCGAGTTGCATATAGGCGGACGGCTGAGTCTTAAGATTCCTGTTTTTTTCTAAATGAGCTCTTGTGGCATCATCATGAGCGCCGACATGATGGTAAACACCACCTTGTGTATCCCTTGGGTCATAATAATAACCGGTACCTTTCTCTATCTTCGCATCATTGCCGTAATTTGGATTATCATTTTCCCTCAATCCTTTGACATGGGTTTTGTCCATGGGAACCGATGTTCCCTCTAGTTTAGTATCAGGGCCCTTAGCATTCCCGTCATCATCATACACTAGATCCGTAGGATTTTTATCGCCAGTAAAATCTCCACCAGGATCTCTTGTAACAGCGTTACGATGAACTCTGGGAGGTGTATCTAGCAATCTACCAGTAGACAGTTCTGCAATTACATGAGGATCATGACTACCAGAATGGTTTTCTTTGATCGCATGACTTTGGCTGCTGGTGGAATTGTTCTCTCTTTTAAACTTCCTCTGCCCCTCTTCATAAGCTGCTTTTAAAATATTGGAATGCCCCGAAGCTTTTTCTGGACTGCTGGAGCTCCTATCTGCCGAAGATGAGGGTGATTTGTTGACTTCAGACTTCGAAAGCGACGAGGACCTCGAATGAGATCTAAATGGCTTCCTAAGTTTGTTCAAGAACTTATGTTTCTCCTCTTGATGTGCCATTTTCTGCGGCAATTACTATTCTTAATGTGATAAATGCTCCGTGGAATATTTCACAATTATTTTTACAATTCTAAGTTCGATAGTTCAATCAATTGAAGCACTGGAACTAATATAAATTAATATATTAGCCGTTAAATGTTTCGAGAAGCTTGCTTTATAGCGCGATCAAATTTCATAGTGTAGATGACTTTATAGCAATTATCTTTTTCAGTAATGTCTCTATTGTCGGCGAAAATATCTATTTCAGGTACAGCAACAGCCGATTAGTGTGGCTAGCGTGATTCATGTTCTCTCTACGTTTATATACTGATGAAATTTTAAGGTGATATTATTGTTTACAAGTGCACCTTAAGTATAGTTAAGTATAATACAATTCAATTGAGCTCATCAGAGTTGTATCATAGTCCTTTCACTCAATGTATATAGTTAGCAGCAATGGCCTCATGGGGACAATCTCAGTGAAGACCTGCATATTTTGGTCACACCCATGGCTTACAATAACTTGCTCTGAATCAAACCCTGTATATAAATGGTAACACCAATCCTTGAAAAGGCAGTGTTGAAATTTACGTTTCGACTCAGCTTGCCTCTGTGCAATAGCCATCAAAGTGAACATACTAAAAACAGAAGATTTATAATTCAAAAGTTGATTTATATATACAGTTTCTTCTGGCGGTATTAATCTTAAATTTCAGAAACAGTGTAATTGGTAAAATGGTTTGTAGTAATATGAAGAATTTTAAGTCAGTCTGCTAGGCACGATCTTAGCTTCGAAATGTGTTGGTAACCGTATTTTTAAGATTTTATGTTGTTCCTGTGTAGTTTTACATAAGTTCAATGGTGCAAAAAACTAGTGAAATTAGTAGTATGGTGCCAGACCTAGTATCACTACCACAGCGGCTCATAACGATTAGATAAGATATGTGGGACCCTTAAAAAGCACAGGATATCAGAACTTACTGATCAAATGCTAAAACAATTGACACTATAATAGAGTCTTCTCAATAATCATGTGTAAGTTAAAATTGCATCTCTCAAAGTTGGCTCTCCAGGGAAGACCGTGGGACTCTTCGATCTTCTGCTATGTCATATTCTCGCATTTGTAATGCATCAAATTGACACAATTAGAAAATTCGCATATTCTATGATCTACATAGGATTGAGAGGTCATACAACTCTTCTATTACACTATACTCTACTTCGGTGAAGATGGAACTATACTGGGTTAATGAAAGAGTTGCACCTATAACTAAGCAACCGTCTCTCGATTTCTTGGAGTCTTTGTCTCAGGAAACTTGTTTTGATATCAATATAATTAAAAATGTTACAGAGTATGAAAGCCCAGAAGAATTAAATGAACGGGTAAAGGAAGTTTATTACGATATCAGAATTACATCTGAAGGTAAATATGATATGCTTGATGAATTATCACGCCATATAAATGAAGGATTACAAAGAGTCAACAAAATTCTTGGTTTAAATTCAAAAGGTGAAAGGATGAACGATAATGAAATCGCTGACGTATTAGCTGGACTCAATGAAATAGCAGATTCTTTTTCAAAATTGAAAATTAAGCCAGAAACTGATGAAGATAATGATATTGATGATGATGCTTTAAGTATACCTGATGGCTTAGGGGGTCCAAAAAATATAAGAGATTTTTATAATAAGAGGGGCGTTGAATTTGCTTTTAAGCAATACCATGATCTGTTATTTAATAGTAATGCTTCTTGGCCCGAAATTAAACGGGCGAAAACTTTCTATTTTCGCGTAGCTAATAACTACTTTAAAATATTATTCGAATATTCAGCTGAATACAAGGATATTAGAGATGTTATGCTAAGATTGGCAAATAATCTAAGAAACATAAACAGACACCTTCGTATCATACCAAATGGTCTTTATGAAGGAATTTGAAAATAAAATTTGTATCTAAAGTGATTATATACTAATCATATACTGCAAGTATCAAGTGTTCTCCGCTGAATCATTAAATGAATGGATCGTTCCGTTTTGTCGCTCCTAGCTCAAAATTTTTCTTTAATTCTCATGATAATTACTATCTCTTCCCTCAATTTCTTCCTTTACCTAGAGCTGTAAAAGTGAGTACTGAAAAGGTATATATAGAATCTAACTGTAACGCATGAAAAAAGCGAAATGATTTGATAGCGCCGTAAAATTACTGTATATAAGTTTATTATCTTTTTGCTGCAAGTTTTTGCATCTATCAGCTCAAGAGTTTACATATTTCTTTATAGAAGCCAAGATGAAAAAAGGCTGCGTCAGTGGAACATAGTGGAGATAAATTATCTCTTGATTGCTATAATGTTCAGACCAACACATATAACTCGAGTGAAAATTTCTCCGACAACAAGAAATGAATATGAAAAATTAAAATTGGTTCTCATATCAAACCCTTGACAGTACCAATTAATCTGAAGAACTTTGCAATTAGTTCCTTTCATGGATCACGTCACATTCAAGGCTGTGTATCAAGCGAATTCTTTATGGAGCTTAGCCACGTCTGTCTTTTAGCGGTATTTCTCTGGGCGGTGAGAAAATTTAAATAATAAACAGCACGCACTCACGTCTCTCTTCTTAGTGTCTTCTTTAAGGCTTTAATACCCTACGAATAAAGAGATTCTTTATCTGCTCATGAAAGCTTGAATCTATTTGTATCCTGAAAACACAAGAAAGATTGTGTTTGTCTTTTCTAATATAAAATACCCCATGATCCGAGAATAAAAGAGAATATATTTTTACCCTTATACTTTGTTGAAAATGGACGAGCTAGGAAACCAAGAATAATGTCACTTCTATCTTAATACCAGATAGACTCAGTGGGCCCCAAAAACCAGTGAATATTTCTCCGAAAAAGATCTGGACTCAGCATTTTGGTCTAATTTCAGACAAAAATGGAGGGGAGTGAGGATGAGTAGAGTAAGGTTCTTTAAACAAGTTAAACAGGGTCTTGCTGATGCAGAAATTGGAAGCTCCCCACAAACTAATCGAGCAATGACTTTAATAATGGATGGTTCCAACAAGAATATAAAAGTTGTAATGAATCGTCTAATCTTCGAAGGCATTTGCTTCCCCTGGTGTTACAAAGTGTATGCCTATTTGTCTCTCACTTTTTTTTTTCGAATCTAAAGTTTTGCTACTGATTTTTGAGTAAGTAACTCCGTTTACTTGATATCCACACAAGTGTATTAGATTAGTGCCTTCGTCTTCATTTCTTTAAAATCTATTGACTTCATCTTCTTTGCTCGATAGCATATCCGAGTCGGTTAAATCTATAATATCAGAGCAAATAGTGTGACAACGTCTGAAAGTTTTTGTATTGCTATTAATAGCCGTTGAGAAGATTACGTGAAATAAAACTTAAGAGCTAAAGATTTCAATGACAATGCTATTGAATCTCCAATTTCTCCCAACTATATCGAAAACTCTAGAGAAATTCTGGTATTGTAACGTAATATATATGCTAAGGAAGAGACGAGAGACCTTTGATGGCTCGGAGACTGCTGTAAGAGCGATATATGAGAGAACAGAATCCTAAGATGTATGTCATTTTTTCTGAAGGTCGGCTATTTCCTATTATGATAAAAAACGTTGGAATGCAAGTATGAGAAATGTTTGGAAGTGTGATAGCATCAAATAAAATTACTTGTAGTCTGGCATCTTGTTACTCTTGTTATATACGAGTCTAGTAACAAGCCATTCAAGGCTCTCTCTTAAGCCTTGATTTTCCAATACTGATACCGGCAATAACTTCGAGTCTGTGGCCTCCAATTCGCTTACAAGATCTATGAAGACACCAGTTTTCAATGACACGAGGTCTACTGCCTCGGGAAGGTCCTGTTTATTAGCCAACATTAGAATAGGCACACTAACTGTTTCGTTGCTAGTAATATTATCATACCACGAGTCATCATGGGCAATTTCTCGTAAAGTATCGTAGCATTCTTGGAATCTATCAGTATCCGTGGAGTCAATTATAAATATTATGCCATGGCAAGATCTATAGTAGCGAGACCACAAGTTTCTTAAAGATCTTTGCCCTCCTAGGTCCCAAAATTTTAAATTTATGTTGTTAAATTGTGACGGCAATTGAGATTCAGGGGATGGTTCAAATTTGATGGTAGTAGTATTCTGTCCTACAGTTGGGAGTATTCTTTTCCCTTTTAAGATATCTGAAGTACTCCTTCCGTCGGTATTCTCATGGTGCCTTTTCTTTGTTGCTTCATTTGGTGACAGGTATAGCAATTTAATATGTTCTAAAAACGTAGTCTTACCAGCATTGTCTAATCCAAGAATAAGCACATTGTATTGCTCTTGCTTAGTATACTGAGTATATAGAGACGAAGCAAGATGAAACATGCTATGTTCCAGGATTCTTTTTACTTAAATTATTGATGCAATTAATAGTTCCCGGGTAATCCAATATTTTTTTGGAGGATCGAAATGAAACTCTAAAATTTTCGAGCGATGAATCTACGAAGAAAAGATTAAAATTTATCTTTTTGAGATGGAGAAATAGTAAGTATTGGTTATAAACATTTGCCGTGTTCACATGATGATTTAACGATAGGGACAACTGAGAATATCCTTTGAAGAGAAACAGTTGTAAAGATAGTAGAAATTGTATCTGATATTTTGACCTGGCAAAACAATGTTATATTTCGAAAAAATCAGCTAACTTTTGAATAGAATAGCCTTTCATACTCATAAAGAGTTACATTCTGGATATATAGACCCTGTGAATCTCCAGGAATGTCTACGATTTTGATTCATAGTGAATAAATAAAAATTCATTGATACGATCTGTAAATGACTGTAGTACTTATAGCAAGCGTAGAAGTGAGATCAAATTCCACGTTTCCTAGTCCAGGTATAGGTAGCTCCATAATCTTGATTTCGTTGTTTGAGTAGTCTTTCTACATATAGCTTAATGGGCGATGCTCGAGAGCTACAAAATAACATCATGTGACTTGGGCCTTGTTTTGATTATACGTTTCAACAAAAGATAACGTACACGATCGAAACTATTTCTATCTCTCTCTTAGTCTTAATTATGTCGTTGAAATTTCCATCATTTAGCTTGCAGTCAATCCAAGATTCACTTCCAACAGTGGATCAGGTGAAAGAATCATTCTCTAAAGTGAATGCGGGAAAAACGGTAGATCACTTCAAAGAGTCAATTCAACCATTCGCCAACAAGACGACTCTGTTGATATCGACACAGTTGCAACAGCTTCAGCATTTAGCTGATCCAGATCCAAATGTTGAAGTAAGTCAACTTCCAGCTGATTATCTCGAGTTAGAAAAAAACTGTGATTTACTCTTGAATTTGTATACTGATTTAATTCAATTTTCTAATGACACTTATGCCAAGGTGAGTTATGATTACCCCCCTGGTAACTACGCATTGGCCAAAATTAGGGACTCGAACGTCGGGGGCATCTTGGGATCGAAGTTTCACCAATTGAAAAATGTCTCATCTCCTCAAGAGCTCGAGAAGATTTTAGTTGGAGGATCAGAGGAAGAGAACGTAAACATACAGACCACTTCTGCTAAGATTCCAAAAACATTATATGGTCATCTTTCCCTGGTTGCCGAGAAATATAGTAACGAGCTTCAAGCAACTTCGAGCCCTCTATCTTTGGCATTACTAAAGCTCAGCTCAAGCTATTTAGAAATCGCAAGTGCCAGACTAGATATGGATAAGAAGATAACGGATAATTTTGCAGGAGAGCTTCTTAATATATTGAATGAACAGTTCATCAAGGTCAATGAATTACGGAAGAAAGTTTACAGTGATCGTGCTGACTTCGACAATCTAAGAGCAAGATATGGCGAGGATGAAGAGAACGAAAATCTTATTGCGAAGGAAGATGAACTCGTTAGTGCAACTGAACTAGCAGTTTCAGAAATGAAGAAGCTTTTGAAGCCCTCGAAGAATGTTTCACTTTTGAAAGTATTCATTGACGCACAGAGAGAATGGTTTGAAGTTTCTGCTAAAAAGCTAGCTGATTTACTGAAGAGCATAGATGCTATCGAATTCAATGATGAAGAGGACGACGATGAATAGATTTATGCGGCAATGTTTGACGCGTTATGTGTAAGTGGTTATATATCATTTAATATTTAAGTAAAAACTCAAGATGTATTGTATTGTAGAAATAATGAGATGCGCTTTCAATTATAATAATCGAAAATAGATAAAAGTTATAATTGATTATAGTTACCTATTCTTGATATCTATATCTAGTGAGTTATATGTCAGGGACAGATAATCCTCATAAATTACAGCAGCCATCATATAATGACAAAAGAATTGTATTGAATAAAGCTAATTTGATAGAACCGATTACTAGACATCGAATACAAGACTCAATATTTTACAAACAACATCTTTATTTAACGAATGAAGCAACTATCTTACCTTGTATAGTGCGAGAAGTCAGATACATAGGGGGTGTCGATAGTAATACCCGTCCATGCCCATTTTTTTGTTGTCTATTACGATTACTTGAGCTAGAACCTCCGCCTGCTATTATTAGACTATATCTTGATCAATTGGGTTTTAATGAATTCAAATATTTGACTGCCCTTACACTAATGTACATTAGGTTTGCATGGTCCAATGAAGATATTTACAAGATCTTCGACAAGTACTATTCGGACTTCAGAAAGTTAAGGTTCCATTTGAAAACACCGATATTTAACGAACATAATATTGCAATAAAGTTTGAAGTACGTCATATGGATGAGTGGGTAGATTCCTTGTTATCAGAGGAGAGAATATTGGGATTAATTTTACCGAGGTTGGTTCCTCGATACAATCTAGTAGAAAAAAGGCTCTTGGAAGAACGAAAATACAACATAAGCAGCGATGAAGATGTGCTTGACCATGAGGAAAGTAGTTACGAAAGTGATAGTGACTGATTATGTAACATGCCACATCCAAATCCAAATCACATCTACATAGAACCTGTTAGTCTTGAAATGAAACTGAATTTAAAAAGCAAGACCAAGAGGTAAGATAAAAATAAAATAAAAGAAATAAATAAAATAAAAAATATAAAATGTGAAGAGTACACTAATGATTCGGTTAATAAATATTAAGAGGAGACGAAGGCTTCCTCCTTTAAGGTATTACCAAGACTATCCGAAACTGTCCTAATACTTAACCTCTTTATCTCCATTAAAATATTTATTTCTTTTCTGTTCAGTATATGAAATTTCATTATTTCTTCTAGACGCACTATTTATCGAATTTTTTTGTCGAGCTCTAATAAACAAATTCTTTCTCGATCAGTTTTTAGTTTCTTAATAAAGTATATGGAAGCTATGACAATAACGACCTTAGATATGTCAGAAAGTGCCAGGGGCACGGCATCGAAAACCAAATTACTATTCATATTCATTCTTTTCTTGTTATCTTTAGTGGCATTTGTTACCCAAACTGAATTTACATCACAAGCATATCAATCTGGATTTAAGGAGCCTATAATATTGTTATACATAACCCATGGTTTATGGTGGATATTATGGCCAATACAAGCATTCTTTGCATCAATATGGAAGACTTTGAGCAGGAAAAGAACTAGCTCGAAGGACCAAAGACGTGGCTATGAACGGTTATCTTCAGAAGCAGGACTTTTACAAGAACAGGAACTTCCCGTTGAGCCTCACACAAAATACACCAATAATGCTACTTATTTTAAAAGATGCATAATAAAACAAATCCGAAATGTGTATCATACATCTATTTTGATCTATGAGGCAAACGTGAATGGAGATAGATCAACGTCGAACCTTGAAAAATTGATCAATCAAAATCCGCGTTTGTCCACATCTTCCTCGATCACCAAATGCCTTAAATCATTCCTTGCAACTCCATCTTTTAAGTATCTCTTTAAGAAAACTTTTTTTATCACATTTATTTTGACAGTCGGTGGGATTACATGGTATGCTGCAATGGCACTTACATATGCATCAGATGTTACGGCTATCTATAACTGCTCTGCATTCACGGCTTATGCTTTTGCAATTCCTATTTTAAATGAAAGATTTTCCTTGTTGAAAGCTTCGTCTGTTGTGATAGCTTTGCTGGGTGTATTTATCGTGGCTTATTCTGGAGATAATGGGGATAAGAAAAATCAGGATTATCCTTACAGATTGTGGGGAAACATTATTGTTTCAATTGGTGCCATCATGTATGGTCTCTACGAGGTATTGTACAAGAAGTATGCGTGTATACCAGAACATTTAGCTAAAATAATCACACCACGGCGTCAACTGACATTTGCTAATTTCTTCATGTGTTTGATAGGGATTGCTACTTTTATTATACTACTGATTGGCATTCTATTCGTTGAAATATGCCATATTCATCATTTCAATTTTTTCGACTATGGCGACAAGACTAACAAAATATGGTTATTCATTACTGGATCCATTGTTTCCAATTTGATATTTTCCGCTTCCTTTTTATCCTTGATGGCATTAACGAGCCCTGTACTTTCTTCTGTGAGCTCACTATTAACTATATTTTTAATAGGGCTCGTAGAGTGGCTAATGTTTGGAAACGAATTGAGCATGCAACAATTTTTAGGTAACTCCTTAGTTATCGTCGGTTTTGTATTATTAACTACTGCCTCATGGAAGGAAATAAGTGAAGGAAATGAACAAGATGTCATGGAAACAGCCAGCACCATGTCATTTCCTATCAGTACCTCTGATGAACAAGAACAATCCGTATAATATTAGTGATTTTAAGTATGACTTTTACATAGACTGCATAAAAGTTTAGGACATATAAAACGTTTATTATCTCCAATTTTGCCTCCAAACATCCCAATACTATCGAATCATGACGTTAGAAAAAGATAATACTGATGATGCCTTCAAAGGTATAATGAAGAATTTGAATATAGATTATTCTCTATTCAAAACCTATAACACCAATTTTGGCGAACTTTCGTTAAAAGAATTAGGAACGGTCAAGCAAGAGATAGAAGCCCAATTGAACCTTTTGTTTGATGTTTTAAAAACCCAATACAATGCAAATATGCAGACACCATTATTGACCCCAGATGGATTTCCCAGAAATGATGTAGATGTTGTTGGTATCAGACTCGTCAGAGTAAAGATAATAAGATTAAGAGTTGAACATAAAGAAGTTTTGACTTTGTTACATGAGCACCTCGTTAGCCATTTTGAAAACCAAACAGTTGATGACAATACAGAAATGGAAGTCGATACACCCAGTGAACCACTAAAGGAGACTCATAGCATCCCATTTGCGGCTGTGCAAGAGGTTATTGAAGGTAGTCCTGCTCAAGTTTCGGGCTTAAAAGAGGGGGATAAAATAATTCTTTTTGATGACATAAACGTTGGAAACCACAAAAAATTGGCTGACGTTTTATTGAAAGTTCGTACAAACATTGATAAAGCCATTCGAGTTGAAATTCTAAGGGGTAGTAAAAATTTGACCTTAGAACTTACTCCCACTAATAACTGGAATGGCCAGGGACTTCTAGGATGCAAAATAATACCCCTTTAGTGTCAAGAGCCCAATATGATCAACATGATAATTTTGAAAATCATTAATATTATCCCTCATTGTTAATATAATTCATATACTTGTATTTAGGCTGCATAAACTATCCTCCATGTAAAGTACTAGTAAATGTAAATATGTCACCGTTTTCTATTACATATTCTTCTTTCTCCTCCAACTCCCAGTCCGTGTCATTTATGAGTACCAATATACCTGGACGTACCGTGTCATCTTCTATAAAGACAGGTATGTCCTTTGGATCACTGATGACAGTTTGTGTAATATACTCTATCAAATCTTTCAAAGTCGCTTCACCCTCTTCTTTAGGCATAATAAGCTTATGCTCTCTGATGTTTTCTGATATAACATCCAAGCCTCCTAGAAACTCTACTTTGACTTTTACTCCCATGTTCTTGTAGTTATTTAATCTATCAAAATTTTTTGCAAGAAGCTGAAGTTAAAGTTTTCAAACTATCACAAAGTGCGCACTTAATCCTGAAAAATTCAACACGTATAATCTTTCCACGAAATCGATAAATACATAGATAGCCATTTAGTAAAGTTGATTGAGATGCTTAAACAATTTTCAATTGTATTGGGAATTTGTCTCTTAGCGATTACGAATGGAGTCGTAGGCTCTATTTTGAAAACGCCTACGGCATTGGTGGTTTTCGACCCCATTTTTGATAACCTTGAAGATCTCTCTTCGGTGGATAGTAACATACTCGGCATGATTAAACACCTAAAGGAAAAATATGAGGTACAATTCAAGCCATATTCTGATGAAGATCTAAGTCTCTTCGAAGAAGGGGATAGGAAGTTTGAGCACTTAGTGTTATTGCCGCCTTCTAAAAAGGCTATTGTTTCGAAGAAGACTTTCAACCAGCACCAATTGCTCGAATTTATCAACAATGAAGGGAATATATTTGTCGTGGGGGACTCCAGATCTGCCTTGCCTGAAGAAATCAGAAGCTTCTTGAATGAACTAGGAATATACCCTTCGCCAAAAAATTTCAAGTTAATTGATCATTTCAATACAGTGAACGGTAAAGTCCAATTGACAGAGAAGAACGTCGAAAATTCAAGAATTCTTAAATCTTTAAATGTTGAGTATGATGGCTCCGCTGCCTTAATTTCAAACAATGAGATGTTGTTTCCTATTATAAGAAGCTCTAAGACTGCTTTTTCCTCGGATGCACAAGAAGTTATTTCTCAGCAATCAACATGGAGCTTCGGAGAGCAGGGATTTATGGCAGTTGGTATGCAAGCATTGAATAATGCCAGATTGGTTTGGGTCGGGTCACCTTCTTTAGTATGTAACGACTTACTTGATTGGACTTTCCAAGAAAAGAACGTCTTGAAATTAAAGTTTGTGCAACATTTCAAAAGCGAAGTACCAGAAATTGTCAATCCGTCATTGTACCGTATAACTGATCCGGTCACATATACAATTGGTGTTTCAGAACTTGTAAATGGCAGTTGGGTTCCATTCACCGTTAAAGATATTGAAGATACGCTACAATTATCGTTCAAAATGCTTGACCCTTACCAAAGGCTTAACTTGCAACCATTAGGTCCTGTAGCATCAACAGAAGGAAGTAACGAGTTAGACGCATATGCGTATTTTGTGCAATTCAAAATTCCTGACCATCATGGTATGTTTACTTTTGAGCTAGACTTCAAAAGACATGGTTTGTCATACATTTTGGATAAGAAAGTAGTACCTGTAAGACATTTGGCAAATGATGAATATAAGAGATCGTGGGATATACCTAATTCATGGTTGTATGTTGCTAGTGCTGTTTTAGTTGTCTTGTCTTGGCTTGCATTCATCGTCAATTATATATACATCGGAAACGTAAATTACAAGAAAAAGAATATTTAGTATGTCATATATTGCTTAATTAGATAGAAGACAGAACAAAAAAAGATCTCAGATTCTCAGACGTTAAGGTCAGATTTTTACTAATTTTAGAGTCGTAATCTATTCCTAATGGACTATCCCAATCTGGTTTTCCTAATTCGCAGTCGCAAAATAAATCAACCACATCATTAGTTGCACATTCAATTTCATAAGTCTCATTCTGCAAAAGAATATGAATCTCTTCATATCTTTCGAAATCAGAGTCAGTCAAAAATTTTTGTTTTGTTTTATCCCACTTTGCTCTTCTGCTTTTTGGATAGCAAGACAAATATTTAGGTTTCAAAAGTACTTGGCCAATATTACCTTTGTTAATTGTGCACTGTGTCGAGCCGCTAATAGACTTACTTTTAGTTATAGAAATACCAAGGCTAGCTGCAACTGAAAAGGTAAAAACAGAAACAGTCACGCCGAGATTCTCTTCTAAGGTATGAGAAACCGATTTGGAGGTAGTGAGACTGTAGGCGAAGGTTATAGATCCCAGATTTCCATATTCTTGAGATTGGCAAGAACTAACAGGTATGTAACCTGGGTATTCTACTTTATTTTCATTATCATAAGCGAATTCGGTCCACTCTGTCCGTCCTTGAGATACTTTCTTTGCCAGCTTCTTGTATGGAAGCTTGAATTTAGGACGACGAGCTTGATGAGTCTTTAATTGTTCTGAAACTTCAGCCTTCTTTGTTAATAATTCAGGAATAACCGGAGACATAAAAGTGTTTGTATCTTTTATAAAGAAAACCACATCTATATATTTTTCACTATTCAAGATGTGGCCATAGTTGTCAATCATTTCTTGTTTATTTTTGACATTTATAATCTTTGTATTTGATTTCTTTTCATCAGTATCAGAGTTCCTTCCAAAGAAGTCATTGCCAATATCTGATTTCTCTAATTTAGTAAGCGAAAGGGCCCTTCTATAACTAGGAAAACAGCAACTGTTTGAAATGAAGAGTATACAACTAGTAATAACTAGTATCTGCTTGAAATTTAATAACATCAAATTTTATTCGAAGGAAATAAGGAAGTTCATACTTTTCTATGAATAGAAGAATTGTTTGGATATATATATACCAGCTATACATTTAAGATATGTTGGTCATTACAAAGTTTTAAGAATAGTTGCAAATTTAGGCATTGCAAAAATTTATTAAGCTGTAAACGTAACCTGCAAAATGATATTTTTGAGCTCGAAAAAGATTTCCGATTTACCAAATAAGTTTCCAGGTAAGTATCAAATGAAGATAGGGTTGATAGAGCTTAGTCATGCCAGAATCGGATGAAGAAAGAAAGCGTTCTGAGGATCAGAAAGCCCAAGTTTTGCAGCATCAGTATAACAGATATCAAGAGACTATGACTGAATTACAAACACAGTTATCTACCTTCGTATCCCAAATTCAAGAACATCAACTCGTGGATAAATCCTTAACAGCAATCCCTCCACAGTCTAGAAATAATCGAAAATGCTTTAAAATGATAGGTGGAGTTTTAGTTTCGAAGAGCGTGGACGATGTGATAAAACTCTTAGATGGCGAGATCAAGGGATTAGAAGCCCAGCAAAAGAAGACAGAGAAGGTGTTACTCGATACAAGAAAGGAGATGGAGAGCTGGATGAAAACAAACAATGTAAAGATCGTTAGAGGTGCTAATTAAAATCGATTATAGATATTATTGTTGATAAAATATACATAGAAAACATCATGATTTTGGAATACAAAATTTTCTTTTTTCTTCTTTTTTGAAGGAAGATTATACGGATATAGTTTTCAAGTATTCAACGCGAGCAGTATTTGGTCTTCCTAAGTCCCGGTTTATTGCTTCCCATTTGGGTTCATCCTTGAACAACCTGACAGCCTTTACATATTTTAAATCACTTGACAAGGTAAAGCGATGATATATACCCGCAGGTAAGATTAACAAGTCATGAGGAGATAATTTCGCCCTTATCCATTTGTCATCTTTATCCCTGACGTCAAAGTAGCCTTCACCATCAACTATGTATCTAATTTCTTCATCCTCATGGAGGTGTTCCTTGTAGAATTGCTTCATTTTATTGTTGTACGCTTCCAAGTCGCCGCCGAAAGAATCCAAGTTTAAATTGACGACATCTCTGTTTTTATAATTCCTCTCTTCAGCTAACTTATCCAACTCCTTAGTTGACTCAATCTTTTTATATATAACCCCAATCGCCTCCAACTGAGCTAATGATACATCTTTTCCAGAATTATGTGCTTCAGTGAAGTCATCAGGCGTATCGTTATTATCGTGATAATAAAACTCTACCATTCTTTTGCAAGTTTATTAGGTTTAAAATCAAAAGTCCTATTCTTACTTTGGTAAGTATTCTTCGTTTAAAGCACGTTTTATAGTACTATCTATTCTGATGTTCTCAGGTAAGCCATTTGATGATGATCTCGCGACATTTCATGTGGCTCTCTCCCATAAAAGATTCAGCCACAGATAAAGCTCAAATAACTCATATAGTACATTACTGTTGATATCAGCAGAAGATACTACCGAACATAGCATTTACAGAGTGCGCTGTTTTCATTATGTGACCAGTTTAGCAATTCAGTAATGATTGTTCTGTATTCGTAATGACGACATTTCGACAAGTTGAACTCATTTAGTAGAATTGGAAACCATTGAACAGTTATCTTAATAGAACTGACAGCCCCATTAACCTTTATTCCCGATTAGAGGCATCATAGTCTTTTAGTTGATTATTTGGTGAGCGACATTTTTGGTATATTTTGTAGTCTCTTTCTGGGCCCGCTATCAAAAAAAAAAAAAGGACGAAAATTATCAATACTTTATCGAACGGAGAAACACAAAGATGTACAATAATTCGAGTACTAATAATGGGTCTAATGGAAACAATGGACGGCCCTATAGCAATCGAAACAATGAAAAATCGGGTCTTTATAACCACAACATGGAACAACAGCTTGCATCACAAGAAAAGAAAACCGCTCATAGACGAACGGTTGATCATGGAAATAATATGGGTCGCTGGTATATAAACAGAAGCATGGGTCTTACTGAATATCCGATTGGTAAAATCAGACCTGAATCCTCTTACCTTATAGATTTATTACCACCTCCAGCATATGCAACATCAAATAAGAATAACATGGGAATTTTGGACGTCCAAACCAAATTTGTTCATCTTTCCTCAAATAAAGCGAAGCATTCTATCAATACTGTCAAATGGACACCTGAAGGAAGAAGACTATTGGTTGCATCTCATAGCGGAGAATTTACAGTGTGGAATGGAATGACTTTTAATTTTGAAACTATCATGCAAGCTCACGACCTGGCTATTTTAGCCTTGAATTACTCACACAATGATGAGTGGCTCTTAAGTGGAGATCAAGCTGGAACTATCAAGTATTGGCAGCCCAATTTCAATAATGTCAATATAATTAATGGTCACACTGATGGTATCCGAGACATAGCATTTTCACCTAACGACTCTAAATTTTTAACATGCTCTGACGACTCCACCTTAAAAATTTGGAATTTTAACAACGGTAAGGAGGAGAGAAGTTTAGTCGGACACCATTGGGATGTAAAATCTGCGGATTGGCATCCTAATTTGGGTCTCATAGTGTCAGGATCCAAGGATAATTTGATTAAACTATGGGACCCCAGAACAGCATCCTGCGTCACAACTCTTCATGGTTTTAAACATACTATAACTAAGACAAGATTTCAATCCAGTGGTACGAAGAGATTGTTAGCATCAGTTTCTCGAGATAGATCGTGTAGAGTATTTGATTTGAGAACGATGAAAGATATCCTTGTATTACGAGATCATGAGACTGATTTATCTTGTGTTTCTTGGAATCCCATACATCTGTCTATGTTGACCACAGCTGCATATAATGGTTCTTTGAATCATTACTTGTTAGACTCATATATACCAGATAAAAATGAAAATTCATCTACTGAATGCGTGCATAAGATTCCGTATGCTCATGAAAAAGCTATTCATGCAATTGACTACCACCCATTGGGACATTTGATGTGTACCGCAGGTGCTGATAGAACAGCTAGATTTTGGTCTAGAGCGAGACCAAATGACCCAATGTCATTCAAGGACGCTTTGTACACTGATCAAAAAGTTGGTGCTTGGTATTATGCTATAAATAATAATATAAATGCAGTAATAGAACCTGCCGAGAATAATAATAATGTTGTGAATAGAGAGGCCAACGAGAACCTGCTACTTAATTTGCCAGGTTTAAATAATCTTCCTGTTGATAACTCTAACAACTGGGGTAGCATACCTGGTTTACGTGGTCATTAACTATCTCAGGAAGGATGTATAGAATCAATGAATATACTAGAATCAAATGTTTATGCCTATTTATGCTGCTTGTTTAAGGTTAAAAATTCTATTTACAATGCCCTCTTATTTTGGCTTGTATATTACTGGGTTCGAGTCCTTTTCTTCCCATCTTTTAGCGCGGGCTCTTCCAATAGCAGAATAAAGTTGAAGTATATTACTGACTTCAGATGTATCTATCTCTCCATTCTTCTTTGGCGAAGTGAATTTCGCATTCGACTTCTTCATTCTCTTTTCGAAAGTACTTGCAATCATACCGGACATTGAAGATAATATATCCAAATATTTTTTAGGATCTGGTTTGCACTTAGTAATCGTGTATTTAATCCTCCATTTCTGGTCTTTAGAATGAGGGTAAGGGTGTGTATGTGCCGCTATTGTAGCATCATTACCAAATAAATGTTCCACATCAACGACATAAGACAATAGTTTATGTTTTGAAGTCAGTTCATTGAAAGAGTTAAGTTTGTCTCGGTGGGCTGTTAGATTTTTCAACCTTTGTTCTTGAGTGATATCCTCTTTGAAACTAGTTTTGAAAACAGATGGAAATTTTTGTAGTTCTGCGACCTCATCTGTATGTAAAGGTACGACGAAAACATGTAATCGATGTTTTTGTGTACTAGGAGACTTTAAGGATTTCATTACGACTCTGAATGGAGATGGATCTTCAATGTCGCCTATAATTGTCTTTAGTAAGCTTTCCCAAATCTCTATGGACATTTTGAACTGAAAATCAGCAATATATGAAGGTAAATCGTCATTCACTTTTTCGAGGTTTTGAACATTATGATATCTAAGCTTTCCTATCCTTTCATGGTTATAAAAAACATTGTCTATTTCACTCAAAGGTAGATACTGAAACCCAAAAAAAGAATTGATATTATGATATGCTATGAAAATCCCATCCATCTGGCCGATCCTTGCTTGAAACCCATACTTCAAAAGAGCCCCTGTCCTAATTAAGTCTTTAAATTCTCTCTCAAACGATTCAACATCTCCATTTAATTTCCATATTTGGTAAGTGTTATTTGCCAAGTCAGGATTTCCACTATCATACCTGATAGCACAGACCGCTCTTGTTTTGAGATCAAAAGTACCATTTCCTGGTAACCTTTCATCATAGCAATCTAACTGTGATCTCATTAGGAAACTGCCATATGTCGCATAGTTGTATACATTCTGGGGTTTGGGATTATTAACTTCCTCAGTTTTATACAGTAATTTATACTTGTCAAACTCGTTTTCCTCAGTAGTCAATAGAGTCTCCAAACAGTGACCCATAGCTGAAAGTAAAATCTCTGTATCAGCTGATTTATCAGATTCAACAGAGTATATTAATTCGCCAGTCTCATCATTAGTACCCCGTGGAAAAACTATCACACTGCTAGCCAACTTCTCAATAGCTCCTGAGAACTTAGGGAAATTGAACCTCTGCTCTGAAGCGGGATTATAGTTATTTAATAAATAATAGAATTGTGTTAATGATGAAGTCATAGAGGACGTCGAAGAGTAAAATTTCTTGTTATTCTCTCTCGCGACCTTTAACAAGACTTCGTCTTTTGATACACTAACAAATGCTTCTATAGCATCAAAATTAAAATCTTCAATTTTGATTATTTTTTTCAAGTATGGAGTAAAATTGTAAATCCTTGTCCTAGGGTCTTGTAAGAAATGTACTCCAGGTGAAAACAATGTTCTATCCAAGTTATGAGACAACTTCGCTATTCTGGCTGTATCTAAGTCTTGTATCTGCTCTACTTGTTCTGCTTCCGATGCATATGTGGTGAGAAATTCAACTTTTCTTTTGGATTGCTGGGACTCCTTAGGCTTCGCTGAGCTCTCCTTTGGTAGAAATTTCGATGATTTTGCTGCTTTATTATACTGAATTTTATAATCCGGGCTCTTATATCTCAACGAAGAATGCAAAGCAGGTGAACCATTTGCTTTCTGCTTGTCGTCTTTCTTAAACCCTTGTGGTTTTGGACCTGATCTCGATTCCTTTTTCAAAGCCTTTTTGATCTCAGGTGTCAAAATATGCTTATTGAGATCATGAGTATACCTTTGGCTTGTTTTGAACCTGGACGACAAATCAAGATCTTCATCTAACGTAGCAATTTCCTGGTCCGTGACCTTTAGTTTAGAAGTATGTTTTAACGCATTTGACAAATCTACTCTTTTTATCTTTTCAATGTTGTCGCCGGATAACAAGTATTTCAGTGAACTGAAAGATCTCAATAGCGCACCCCCTTTTGTATCTGACCCTTTACTCCCCCACGCCAGTTGCTTGATCTGTCTCCAAAAAGCAAACATCAGTCCTCTTGAATGTGATCTGAATGGAGATAATATTACCGTTTTCCTATAGAGAACATGTAAATGGCACAGATCATCGCCAAATGGTTCTCCGTGCACGACCTATATAAATTCCAGCAGATAACGAAAAGCTTGGATTAGTATTATCAAGAGTGAAAAGAACTTATAAAATTACAGTGGCATTATATGTCCTAAAGACTTAATAGCTTCATTTACCATAGAAAAGAACACGAAGAAGTAAAAAATGCGTACAGACCCAAAAAAGTTGAAAAGGCTGCCCTTGTCCTAAAGTTAGGGGATGAGTCGAAGTCATATCTCAGTGATACATTAATTGTATAATCGTCTGTCCAATTCTCTTAATACATTAGCAACAGATTGTACCTCAACCTGCATGCCTCGAGTAGTCAACTTTCCGACTAACGTGCTAAAATCAACCGAATTAAATTTCTTATGTCTCGATAATGTCTTGTAAGCATCAGAACACGGAATGAATATACCTGACGGTGTTGTTGTATTCGAGGAAGCCAGGTCACGGCGCTGATCGGAAGCGATTGTAGAAACAGATCCATTCGGAGTTGAAGACGATGATGCAGACACGGGACTACTTGCTGATTCTTTACCTATCTTACTTGCAACTGTTGTACAAAAAAGGGTTGACATTGGATCCATTTGACATTGCTCGCATGTTCCTGGATTCCCTGTGCATCCACTCGGCTTCTTGGAAGGCTCTTGAGTTTTTATTGAATCAGCATCTCCAGTGTCGCAAGGAGTTGCTACCACTGAGCCGTTGCTTCTTGTAGTAGGATTAACAACAGTTGGAACTGCTCCTGGTGTCAAATTTGTGATGTCTCTAATTTCGACAGAGGGACCAGGGTGCATTACCGGTAAAGGAACCTTTGGTATTGTATCAGTATTCAATTGAATTGGGGGTAATGCAGGCTTTGCTTCCACGTCTTCCGTTAAGTCTTGATTCAAAGAATCATTTAATCTAGCAGCTTCCTTCGCTGCTTCTCTGCAAACACATGGGGTATCGTCACTACAAAAGCCGCAATTTTCTACCGGTGAAGACGCATTAAATTTTCCTGAATTATCGTCTCTCTTCAGCAAACTTGCAAATATTTGATTATTACTATTCGACTCTCTTCTTTTTATTCTTACTTCAGAAATTGTTTTTTTGATCGCAAACTGATTTGTAAAATCTATTTCAGAGTTTTGCTCCTCTATTTTTCTTTTTTTCCTGAGGGGAACAGCTTCCTTTGGACTAAATGTTCGTAACGTTTCCTCCAATGTTATCTTTGCATTCACTTTGGGATTTGAGCTCTTCAATCCGACAGTTTCGCAAAGGCACTCTTCTTTTTGACACACACCACAATCAAAATTCGAATCTTCTAGCATGTTTCTTTCATGTCCATTCAATCTATCAGGAGAGTGACTGCTCGTCAAGGGTGTGAATGAGGAGTTGTTGTTATTATTGTTGTTATTGTTGCTGCTGCGGAGCGAATAGCCGTGACGCATCGTCCCAACTATGGGAGGGGAGTCCACCGATGGAGCAGGAGACAACTGCTGCACCGAATATGATGAGCTCGCTGGAGACTGACCTGACTGATTACCTGGAGAATTGGTATTAAATAGAGGTCGCGGCAAAGTCTGATGGCTCTCCAGTTGAAACTTGGACGATTCGGGTTGTCTGAGCTCATTCAAGTCACTTCTTATTTGCTCTAGTGATTTTAATAAAAATTGATTATCAGACTTTAATCTACTAATGGTGTTTACTAGACCCATTTCCTTAACCTCTTTTTCTTTTTCCACTTCCATCAATTTCTCTTCCAACTCCTGAACCCTTGTTGCTCTTCTTTCTCTAAAGGCTCTTTGAGCAGCTCGATTCTGTGCCTTGCGTTTAGAGGCAGGAGTATCAACACTTGGCTTCCGGCCAGGCTTTGGTCTTGGTGGCAATACCCACTCTTTTGAAGTTATTATTTGTTTGACAGCTCCAGTGCTTTTGGCGATACCATTAAGCACATCTGATCCCCCACCGCTAACGCCATTATTAGAGCTTCGCCCCTGAGATGGAGGAGACGTTGCTGAACCTAAAGCTGGAGGTGAAGGAGCTATGTTAGGCTTTGGCGTAATAGCTGGACCTTTGGTTGACATCAGTCCTTTCTTCCTCAATGGCGGTATATCCTGAGTTCGAAGTATAACCCTTAGTTGTAAATCTGATGTGAATAGTCCCTCTTTTAGACTTTAGTTTAAAAAAAAATCTAAAAGAAAAGATGCTCACTTGAAGATAGATCTGATAAATTTTGTCTTTTCCATCAGCCAATTTCGAGTTGACCAATTAAATTGAGTCAAAAAGTACACAAAACAGTAAGGCTTAGTTGTTAGCAAATAAAAAGCTTACCAAGAAAATACTCCCGCTAAAGCCTATTCTAGAACGTTTCTTAAAGATCAACTATGTAATGTGATAAGCTTCCTTTATGAGACTGACTTCTTAATGATTTTTCGAATACTTTTGATATTCTTCTTCAAAATTAAAAGAAAAAACGATAAACCTCCCGCTTTAAGTGCGGATATCTTTTAACGCACTCGAGTCAATAGTTTAACGAATTTAGATACCAGATGCTTCTCCGAGGTAAAGATTTCAAGCCAATAACAATGTAGTCTTGATAATAGTTATCTTCTTGGTGACGCCGATGACGAAAAGTGCATTATGATTTTTAATAATAAATGGTCGGAAATTATACAGTACCGATATCGGCATTCATTTCGTTTCAATATATACACACGTACAATAGACTTAATAATTACAAAAGTCGTTCTAGAGTTTCGAAAAACTGGAACGGGCTATAAATTGCTTCAATCATGTAGCATCATTTGAAGTCGATCGATCAAGAAAAGTAAGCCACTTTTTCTCTATTGGACCATCTTGAACATTAATAGTTCAGTTACCGCCATTTTGGGCACGTTCAGCTTGTATCCTTGCTATCTCTTCAGGTGAAGGACCACCTTCAGTCATAAGCTTGTTCAAGGTCACTTTACCAAATTCATCTTTTAATTTTTGTTCTTCTTCCATTATCTTGCCAGCATTCTCCTTGAGATATCTTTGAAAGTGTTCATATTGTAAGTGTCCGTGCTCTCTAATGATATCTAATGGAAATTTGGGTTCCTTGTTGATAGTATTTTGTGGAACACCCAAAACAGAAGCTAAAAGGTTACCGGCGTTTGGTCTATTGCTGCTGTTTAACAAATGTTTATTTTCCTCCCTCCATTTCTGCCTCAATTTTGCTTCTCTCTCAGTGTACTCTTCTATAATATGACTTTTGTCCTTGAAAGAAGTGATTATTGGCCTTACATCTTTGATGTTCTGTGTAGCAAGATATTCCAAGAAAGGAATCAATCTAATCAATGTATCATCGGGAGAACCGTCCCACGGTTTTAATTCGATAGCATTCTCTGGTTGCAAAGCAAAGGCATCCTCATTAATGTCAACGAGAACTGTTTTAGATAAATCACGGTTGAGTAAGGATAAGTCCTTTATCAACTTTCCATCCTTATATCTGCATGCTTCTCTGAATAGAGCATATGACACATAAGCATGGAGTGGATCTAACTTGGTAATAGTATTTTCGGAATACATTTGATAATTAGACGAGAAGATCACAATTTCATAGTAAGTAGAGAGATAACCCAAGAAATAGTCCAAACCCGGTCTTTTAGCGGTTCTCCAGCCATTCTTGGTATCCCAACTTGAATGAATCAAAAGATCATCTAATGTCAATACCAAAGTTAATGGTCTTCTATAAGGTTCAGGTGCAGGTGGTGGTAGTAAATTTTCAAAGGCAGGTTCACTAAAAAAGGTAAAAAGCGAGGACATCCTCTTACTCAAACGACCATAAATCGACGACACGGCGTATCCATTTGGGATATCGTCACCCGAAACGCTCTTCTGTTCCTCTTCGGAATCCCAATCTCTACTCAAGTATCCTACCCCCGCAATACCTCCAATTAAAGTTGCCAAATAAAACAAATTAGCATACTTTTCACGCTGTTTATCTTTTGAAGTTTGGCTCCTTCTTCTTCTAGAAGAACGTGAACCTTCGTGCGATGATTTCTGCCATTCGCCGTCCTTTTCCTCTTTCGGCTTCTCGTGTACTCCTTCAAACCCAGATTTGGCTAATAAATCATCATCTAAAATACTTTGCGGTTTCTGTGGCTTTTCAGATTTCTTGCCTTCATCTTTGGTAGAATATAGCCTTGAAGTGCGCAACGTACTGGCGACAACTCTGGAGTTAAGAGGTCTAACTGGCCCACAGAGTGAACCTCTGAGAGCTCTGGTAAGCATGGTTGTACCTCTAAGCATTCCTAATGGGAGCTTTCGCTAATATTTGATACTTTTTGAATTTATGAGAAAAAAGAAGTATGTACCGATTTTTTCGTTGAAAAGTGTATCATTTTCAATGATTTTTTTAAAATCATTGTGACACAAAGTAGCAAACTTATGCTCCAGAATTGCTGAAAAATAAAAGATGATTAGAACAAGGGCCATCAAAGTAGTAAACTCGTCAACTTTGAACAGAAGTTATAGCAGGGCATATTCCTCAGGATATAGCTTTTTTTCGACAAAAAATGGCCCTTCGCCCCCTAAATATGAGAAGAGAGGTAACATATTATGGAGTTCTATAAAATACGCTAATCAAATTGACAACTATCAAAAGGCAATTCAGAAGGTACCAGATTCAACTAAGGTTAGCCAACTACTACAAAAAATAAAAGACAGTCCGGAGATATTGAAACTCTTATCTTACTTTTTACAGGAATTGCACAATCTCAATATAGACCAAGGTCCTAGAGCAGTATCAAAAACCAAATACCGCTTGTATTATGCTTTAAAGCTTCACAGGTTGCACTCTGTCTTCTGGAGCTCCTGCAATTTGCTTGATATCAGCTCGCATGACCATAGTTTGAATTTTAATCCAGATTATTTAGGAATACTTGATCCCAAGAATTTTACAGAAGAAGATTACAAACAGATTTGTGAAGGTGAGTATAACGGCACGAAGTTTAAAGATTGTGAAATATTTTGACTTACAATAAGAAGGCTGTATATTCGAGCATCTACTATCACATCACTAAATACTTTTATATAGAATATTGAGCTAGGGTTTAGGAATTTTCAAAGATTTAGATATTTCACCGCAACCCTGTACAACAAATCCGAGAGCGAACACATGGAATTCAAAAAAGGTACCCTCGAAGGCCTTTCCACCAGGTAAATTATCTAATATCCAGCCCTTGTAGACGAGAAAGGCCATCAGAAATACCCAGAAAAGATTGGTAGGGATAGGAAAACCCTCAAAATATTGAGGTTTTCCATGTTCATCTTTTGGTATTTTATTCGCCGTTATATTGAATCTTGCTAACCTAGTGAGTCCACATAGGACCCAGAATGTTAACATCAAGACATCAATGGTACTTTGAAAGCCAATTGCAAATGCAATAGTGGCAGGACTCACCCCAAACGAAATTAAATCTGCTAAAGAGTCCAATTCTTGGCCCATTAATGAACTCTTATTCCTCAATCTAGCAACCCTACCATCAAAGAAATCAAAGAACAAACCTAAGCATATAAAAAAATGGGCCCTCTGTACATAGTGACTCTTACCCGTGAGAGTAAATCTCAAACATGAGATGATGGAATAAAATCCAGAGAAACCATTAAGCAACGTTATGAAATCTGCCATGTGTAAATTTCTTATCAAACTAAAATGTCTTGTGTCAGTTATGAAAGCTTTGTATTCTCTTTCATCGGGTTTTGGTAGCATATCTTTGGAACTTAATGAGAATAACGACGACGACCTTCTGATCGGTGGATTTCTCGATGGAACATCAATTACGTCCCCATCAGAATCGAAATCAGAAGAAATCGCTGATTCATTCTTCTTAACACTTGATGAGCGTCCTGACATTCTTAATTGACCTTATTGCCAATAAAATAAACTGACTTTAAAAGTTTGTTTCAAGTTGCTAAATTCACAAGCCTCTTACCTCTAATTTATGATTCTCATTTTTTCTTGCTTTCACGTGTCACTAAACGTTTAAAATGCTACCAATTCATCAGCAAGAATGTAAATTACAGTTCGTACCATAGCTAATACTTTTATCATTAAACATCTAAATGAATTTAATATATAATCAAATTAAATGGAGCGCTACATGAACCTTCAATAACAAGGCATTTAATGGTCAGAACTTATAAGAACAGTTGGTAAGTCGGAAGTTGACAGATGCTTCAAATCAGATTTTGGATTCCTATCGACATCCTGTATCGCAGTCGTAGAGCTATCATCGTCGTTGAGTGTAAACGAAGGTCTCTTATCGTGAGAGTGATTTAGTAAATCTCTATTTGAATTCAACATCATTTGAACATTAGAAGTTGGTTGAAAAGAATTTATTGATTCACCAGATGACGTTCTCGATAGCAGTGAAATATCGTTTGAAGCGTCAAGATTAGGAGAAGATTTTGACGACTGATTTAATATTTGTTCTCTAAGCTTCGAGTTTATTGCCTCCTGTTGCTGTTGTTGTTTTTGTTGATGCAGGATCAATTGTTGTTCTTTGATCTTCAAGTTCAAAATTTCCTGCTGCTGCTTCAAGAATTCTTTCTGAATCTGCAAATAATTTTCATGCTCTTCTTCATGGGACGACCTTCTATCTGGGAATGCAGTTTCAGTTGGTGATAAATTGGGGGACGCAGCACTTGTGGGGATATCTTTCATGAAATGTTGGTCGAATGGATTCTTCTCCCCAGGAGATTGTTGTACAGGGGTTTTAATTTTTGGAGTAAAAATCCCTGTTAAGCTTTCTTGTATTCCCCTAGGATGTGAATTTTTTAAATTCAATTTTAAGGCACTTGCTCTATTTTGTGACTGCGAATCAGTGTTCTTGGTATCCTTAGTTGCCTGACCACTTGGTCTGGAGCTGCTGGTTTGGCTGTCACCACTGCTCAGACTGTCATGGCTGTTTTGACTCAGATGGCTTATAAAATTATTCTGACTTGTCTGACCATTACTGGGCGGGGGTGCTTTATTATGAGATGCTATTTTGTCTCTTGTAGCACTTTGTTGTTTCGCCAAAGTTTTCTCTTCAACTAAACTAAATCTTTGATAATGATCAGAGCCAAACTTTAGTAACTCGTATAAATCATTGAACCAGTCTGTATAATCGTCCAGATTAATACATTTTAAAGTAACCTTGCAATTGGGATTTGAGTTTTTTATTAGAAAAAATTTAAATTCCTTTTCACTTTTCAGTTTTAAGGAATATTCATTCAAATTGTAAGACTTAACAGGTATATCATCATGACCGATGAATCCTCCTATCTTATCTTTTTCCTTCTTTTTCAGAGAATTCTGAAGTTCACCATCTATCTTAAATTCATGCAAATAATTGCAAGTTAAGACATAAAAGAAGCTGCTGTAATTTTTCAAAACCTTCGATTTCTTGTATAAAACTCCATATCTAATACACTTTGTGTGCACTGTACCAGCATACGGTAAAACAATATCTTTAAATGTTCTTATTGATCTCTTTGCCGAAACTGGTGTATCTTTGTACGTATTCAACAAGTTTGGATTATAGGCAATAAAATATTCCCAGTCATCAAGCGAAGAAGTTGAAACATTGCGCTTCAAATTCAAATATAGATTCACAATTGAGTCTGTATCAGATAAATAAACGTCTTCACTATTAAGCAACTTTCCAAATTTGTCTACCACAAAGTTAAGTTCCTTTAAAACATAAGTAAATAGGTCCTTAGATATATTTTGCAAATTAACGTATGAAGCGAATAGATAGTTTTCTTTCAATAATTGATGTTTGACTTGATAATCTACCTGAAGTTTGATTAAAAATGGATCCTCGAGGACACCTCTATCTTCTTCCTCTTCAGCTTCAATTTGCTTCTTTAGCAATGGTTCTTTGGCAGAATATCTTTCTACTGAGTTCATGAATGTATCCAATACCTTTCCTGTTTTACTAACCTCTTTAATTACGTCTGGATTAGCAAATGAATCATTCTTAAGAGATGACTTAATTTCTTTTATTTTCATCAGTAAGTTCTTCAACAAATTTTCTAATCTCGGAACCAATTTGTTTGTAATCTCTTTATGAAGCTTTAATTGCGAGATGAATATTTGCGAATGGTGATTCACCAACAAAGGAGGAAAACTATTGAAAAGCGAGTTATTAGGAAAGAAGTGAGGTGGGACTTTAATGTCATTAACGTGATGCGTAATTGGAGGAGACGGTAACGATGTCGGCTTAGAACTAAGAGAAGTCATAGACACATTTCTTTTGTGCATATTACCTCCTCCACTGTTCAGTGGAGCCATTTGTGATTGCGAGCCATGCTTTAAAAAAGAGTTGTTCGATTTTGTTTTAAACAAATGAGGTCTTTTCTCTGATCCCGTATTAGAAGAGTTTGTGGGGGTCGTAGACAAGCTAACAGATGATAGGGATCTGTTCAATTCCTTTACCGGTGTCGAATTTTGACTATTATTGGGGCTGAGATGACTTTCTAGTGTACTTAAAAGTTTAGCTGGTAAATCCTTGTAGCCAGGGAACTGAACAGAGTTGATGAGCTGTTGATTTAAGTTAGCCTCAAACTCTTTTACTAGGCTAATTTCTTTCAAATAGTATATAAGCGACTTGACAAAGTATTTCCAGTACTTGAAAAAGCTAACCAAGTTATCGATTGGCTTGGAGTCATAGCTCGGTAAATTCACGTAATATGGTGATCTCGGATCACTCGCAGGTAATACACTTTCCTTTTCAAATGTGTACATAGTAAATACCTTTTGCTTATGCCAATTTGCCACTGGATCTCAACTATCTCAATAATCCTCTCAAAATCCCTTAGATCTGATCCGGAATGAAGTTCCTTCGGAAGCGTAATAAGACTTTAATATCCAGGAAGCCCCGTTTTATCCTCTTTACTATCAATCACTAATACCCTTCGTAGGCCCCCGATCTACCCTTTTTTCGCTGCGATGCTTTTATTGTCGCTGCTTCAGAATCTATCCTATTGATTTAAGATCCTCAGAGATCACGTAATACACACTGTGCTTGACGATGACTTATTTTTGAAACTATAACGTAAAATGCAAGCTCTGCAAAACTTTCTATAGCTTATTTGTTATACCAGCGAATTGCTGATGCTTAACTATTTGTATGTTTCGTTAGACACCTCCTGTTGATACTTGACGCCCTAGGCAACTAATTGGCTTATATACACTCTTTGGTTTTACTTTTCTTGTCTTCTGGGACCATTCTAGAATACCTACGGCGATGAGGCTGCGACAGCGACGCATCAAGCAGGCAGAGCAACAGTCTTCGCTACATACATTACGCCGAAGTAAAGAGAGAGAGGAGACGGCAGTTTTGAAGCAGAAGGCGGCTTGAGAAGAGCGGCAAATAGACTCGCGCGAAAACGTTTCCTCAGTTCTATAGAAGGCGAGTCCTTGATTACGAGAGAATAATAAAAAGCCTTGGTTCGTACTAGTTGAAGAAATCGGAAAGGTGCTTCTCGATCTATCATATTCACAGCACAACACTTTGTGCAGCAGATATATCCATTCCGGTCGTAAATTACATTGCCGAGAGAGATGGGTTGCTTGATCTGATTGAGGACGCATATTAAGAAGTACAGAAGATTGAGTCGGGCATGGCTTCGGAAGAGAAATCGGAATGTATGAAACTTCTTAACTGTTTCCTATTGTACTATTAATAGCTAAAGTGTTCATAGACGCTCAGAGCGATGCGTTAAAATACACCAGGGACAAGAAAGATAGAATATATAGCAGCAATTGATGATCTTATTTAGGCGTAATCCTCAGAGAAGGAGTTACCAAAGAAGAAGTGATTCACTTTTGTAAATGCTTCCATCATGTTTATTACAGAACTTGGTCATCTCGGTAGATCAAGCCGGGCCTTGTATGGAGAAGCCGGATATGTTTTTTACAAAGGCAGGTTGCCGAATAATTCCCCGTGCAGCTCTCCAAAGACAACTTGCGATCTAAGCTTTCATGGTTTGCACGGATGTGGATGTTAAATATTCCAGAGTGAGTATGTGTTAGATTTGGAGAAACACAAGGCTGTATCAGGGCTAAGTATACTCTAATTGCTGAAATTGCTGACAACATTTCACTAACGTTGCGTAATCTGCATACGGTGTTCTTAACTGTTTTATGAGTAGTCATCATCAAATCCCGTGCGAATTGTCTCATGAGCCGCACCTGCAGTTGCAAAATCCACAAAAGTCGGTCTAGTTTTGGCTGATCTCTGTAGGAGATAATATTAATCTTTTTTGTGGACTGTTTCTAACATAGATAATTGCAGTAAATTGCTAACTTGAATAAGTGGTATCTTCATCAGTTTGAAACCAAACTTACTTGCTATAGATATTGCGATGGTGCTGGAGGTCGCACACTCAACTAACATTGAGTTTCCTAATTTATCATATCGTTCAAAGCTTTATAACTTGTGGAATGTGAAGGCAAGCGAATCTAATATCTCTAGTGACTCTTCGTTATTTGATGTTCATAGTCGCTTGCTGATTGAACTTTCCGATAGTGACTCTTATGCGTCTAGTGATACTTGCGAGCTTTATAACAGGTATAAAACCATAAACACATCAGAATCGTTTGTTTGCGAAGATCTCTCCAAGAAATATGAAATTGATTTTGACCATGAAAGCCTCGAGTTTGAGGTTACTTTAAAAGATCATGATACTAATTCGATAGAAGGTAATGATTCTATAGTTATGGAGTTAAGTCCTTTCATGTCCAATTCATTTTCTTCTTTTGATGATGGTCGATTCTCAACAAAACTAAGGATATTTGTTAATAATATCAAGAGAGCGTTATGCAGAAATACTTCGATGAAGAGCCCAATGGTCGTTTGTAACTTTGAGTTAGAAAGTTACGAAGACTTCTCACCTGTTTCTATGAAAGTGCCAATAGTAGATAACGAACACACTAACTCCTTCAGAAAATTAGACTTTTCTTTTTTTTCGGAAGGAGATACTCAAGAGACTTTTGAGCATTCGTCAACTATTAAATTCAGCAATTTTGCTGATGTGGTTCTTTACAATCACAAAGGTATTGAAAATTATAATTCTGGGTCGAATGCTACTGATTGCACCTCGACGTCAAATGAAATTGAAAATGAAAATTGTAGACGTCACATCCTGTCTTTTGATCGACAAAGAGGTGCTTTGGCATCTTCAGATTGTGAACGCAATTTTGCATTTCCATATGATAGGGTTAATTCAATTTTGAAAAGCAGAATCAACCGAAATTTAGAATCAGAATTGGCAAAAGCTAAGAATGATGAAGCAGTTGAGGTAGATACTTTTCTAAAAAATTTCGAGCATATAGAAATTGAAAAGTTTAAAAAAGAATCGGAGTTAAACGGTTTAAGACTGCTTCAGCTAAAAAACTACTACAAGAATAATAGTCTCAGGAATTCCTACTGAGGAAAATTTACTGCTAGTTATATCTTTCGTAAATAATCTGTCTCTTCTACTTCAGATAAATGAATCTAATAGAAATCGGACTCTTATCTGCAGCACTTCCTATCAGAATCTTCGCTATCTAACAATGCTCTATCCTCTTCACCTTTGCAGCATAACGGTTCGTTAAATGTAAAAATAAACCTGCCAAATAGGGCACCAAGTATGCACGAAATAATAATGTATCCATTGTAGTACATAAAAAGCAACATGATAATGTAAGAGGTGCCCCACTCTAAAGTAAAAAGAATGGTTCTTACCAGATGTTCAAACAAACTTGGGATAATACGCAGCTGGGAATTGAAGTTCGAGAAGAGCCATTGATGTGACACTGCGTATAGAAGGGGATATCTAGGCTTTGAAGGAGCAAGGATTTCCTTACTTTGGTACAGGGATGATGTGTGATCGGATTCTTGCAAAAATGAGTTCAGATTCTTTCGGATTATGGCCGAGTCATATTCTCTGCAAAAGCGATGTAGCCACTGGCTCGCTAATACCAAAAAAAAAACACCAACACAAGATCCTGCAAACCCTCCACTAGACTTCACATGCCATGATCTCGCAAGAAAGCAACTGTCGATGGTATTCCAATTCCACAACATAGATATTTTGCACGCGTTACTTGACGCAGAATGCGAATTACCCATATCCATTTCAAATACGTAATCAATTATTGAAATAGTGCAAAAGCTGGGAACTTAATTCTATTCTACAGCTTGAAGCAAGATTAAGAATTTATAGATCCTTTAATACTTCAAAACTTTGCGTCAATTTTGTTACCATATTTGGCATTCATTAATGCTCAGATCCAGACTTTTATCTCGGCATCGAAATAGGAAGTCATTTGAAAGAAAGAGAAAATAATAGTGTCTGAAACGGTTGAAAATCGTTTTAGAAACTTTAGTAGACTACTAATGGTTCTACTATTGACCACCTCATTAGAGCTGGTACGAAACTGCGACAGTGAAATCCACCTGACTAAAGTTATGTATACTAAAATTCACAATCACGTGCCAGTGATTCGTCATGTCATGTGATTTGTTATGTCCATCATCCATTATCAACCCAGAAGACTTTCATTTGTAAGCTCGACTAAATTCTTTCATAAATTTTTCTACTGTAGTGAAGAAAATGACGGCTGATAACAAAGTAAAGCTAACTCCAGAGCATTTAGAACACTTGAATAAGAAGTTGCAAGATTTATCACCACAAGAAATTTTACGATGGGCAGTCATCACATTTCCTAACTTGTTCCAGACAACTGCCTTTGGGCTTACAGGTTTAGTTACAATAGATATGCTTTCAAAGCTAGAACAGAATAAACAGCATCCAGTAGATTTGATTTTCATTGATACGTTGTACCATTTTCCCCAGACATATGATTTAGTTGCAAATGTTGAGAAGAAATATAATGTGAAAATTCACACTTTCAAGCCTCATGAAGTTCAAAATGAGAAAGAATTCATTGAGAAATACGGTGATCTATTATGGGAAACAAATGATAGATATTATGATTTCCTTGTAAAAGTAGAGCCATCACAGAGAGCATACAAGGAGTTGGATGTTGCGGCTGTCCTCACAGGAAGAAGAAAGACACAAGGTGGTGCTCGTAGTAATTTACCTGTCTTAGAATTTGAGGAATCTAGTGGAGTGATAAAAATTAACCCTTTGCATAACTGGAATTTCTTTGAAGTCAAGAAATATATCGATGAAAATAATGTTCCTTATAATGAGCTTTTGGATTTAGGTTACAAATCGATAGGGGACTGGCACTCAACTGTTCCGGTTGCTGATGGGGAAGATGAGAGAAGTGGAAGATGGAAAGGAAAGGCTAAAACTGAGTGTGGAATACACGAAACAAGCAAGTTTGCTCAATATTTGAGAGATCAGTCTCTGGTTAAAATAGATGTCTAATTTAGTTTTTATCGATTGAGCTATAGTTTGTGATATTTAATTGCTTTATCTCATTGATTGAATTACAGCTTGCGATATTCGTTACCTCACCCCAATTGTCTAGCCTCTATTTGTTAAACTATTTTTTCCTGTATAATACATCCCAGATATTCTCTGTCTAACAGCATATAGCCATATATTTATATAAGTTAACCTCATTATGCTTGCTGGCTTTTCTTTAATGTGATCTTACACAATTTCACAGTACAATTCATTTTTAACAGTGTACTTGCGAGCGGAATACCTTCTATTTTCGTATTGTTCTGCAACCTTTTTTGAGAAAGGGAGTAATACCGGAATCGAGATCCCAATTAGGTAATATTGAGTAGGATAGCGATAACTGATACGAAAACACCAAATATATAAAACTGTGAGCTTCGAAATAATTTTAAGAGCTAAAAAGATGTAACAAAAGGAATATAGTGTGTATTGCTGCTTGAATCCATTAGGAAACATTAAACGGATTCTCGTGATGTTATTACAAGCGGCACAGCTTTCTGTGCGTTATATTTATTCAAACTTTACTATCATAACTTGGCTGATAACAGGTATAATTTTGCTTTATTATCTTCTTTTGTTTCCGTTTTTTATATCGCCCTTAAGAAAGATCCCGGGACCATATTTCAATCGAATTTCTGGGTTTAGAGCTTTGAACAGGCAACGGACGTTCAACTGGATATCAAGTGTTCATGAATGGCATCGTAAATATGGTCACGTCATTATACTTTCGCCAAATGAAATAAGTGTCGATGGAAATTCACTGTTTATTAATGATATTTATATCAAAAATTTCCCTAAATCTTCATTTTACGAAAACTTTAGAAATCATGGATTTAAAGACAATATATTTGCAAGTTTAGAGAATGATAGGCACTTGAGGTACAAAAAACTCATAATGGGATTGTATAGCAAGAGCGCTATATTTTCTAAGACCAATAGAATAAGAAGCATTTTGGTTCAGAAGACAGCTTATCTTGTGAAGGACATTTATACGAGTTCAGTAACAGCTGAAGTTCCAGATATAATTAATGCTAAATCTGAATTGAATGAATTTGGGATGGGCCATGAAAAAAAAGATGGAAAGTGGTTCAACCCGTCTGGAAAGGCAAGGAATATCGGTATAGATGTGTACTCCTTGTTTGCGTCACTTGCAATGGATGTCGTATCTTCTTTTGAAGTTGGAAAAGATAATGGGACTGATTTTTTAAATCATCCAGCACAGAGACATATGATCATCAAGCATAGAATACAAGCTTCCATGGTTTTCTGGACGACATTAATGCCCCGATTTTGGAACTGGGCTGCCTCTAAGTCCGTGCTAGAAGCGCTGAAAGAAGTTGAGGAATGGCAATTGAATCTCTATAATAACGCAGAAAAAAACGTCCCGAAATTTAACGATGATGAAAATATGACGACCTTGGAAACTTTGAAAAAAAATGGATTCAAGGGTACCAATGCGTATACATTCTTATCTGATAACATATTTGCTGGTCATGAAACTACAGCGATTCTGCTTGCTTATTTGACTTATGAATTGTCACGTCCTGTGAACTTTTCCAAGCAGGAATTATTGCACCAGGAACTATATCGAACGTTTGGAAAACCCTCAACAGTGGAAGACAATATTGACGACTTAGAAGCAGTTGATAAGCTACCGTATCTTTCAGCATTGTTAGACGAGAATCTACGAGTGCATGCTTCAATTCCTGGTGCAGAACCTAGAATTGTAGATAGACCGTATAACGTCAAGCTTGAAGATGGAAGCCAAATTAAAATTCCTCTTGGTACCACCATTTCTTGTCAGGTCTACTCGATGCATAGAAACTCTACTGTTTTCCCTGATCCCTACAGATTCATACCTGAAAGATGGCTTAAGTACGATAACGAATCTGAGTCAAACTATAGCAGAAGAATCACTAAACAACAAAAACACATGATGCCCTTTGGTAAGGGAATCAGAATGTGTCTCGGAATGAACATTGCGCTTATTGAAATGAAACTTGCTATCGCCAACTTGTACTGGCATTTTAATTCCAAGATCTGCCCGGATTGGTGCAAAATCACAGAATATGAAGATGACGATAAATCTCCTAGACCTATAGAAATAGGGGTTCAAAATATGGGCAATAATGTTACTGATGAGGAGAAGATGGTAATGAACGATGCTTATACAACAAGGCCAATTAACGATGAATGCTGGCTTGAATGGTATGAAAATTCGTAGATGTGTATAGATTCTCTAGATAGTGAACTTAAATTACACAAAGTCTTATTAATTGACCTCGCAAAGACCGGCAGGTCCGAAAACGTGAGTACACAATATCCAACCACAAGTACCTGTTTGATCGCAAGCAGTTAATATTTGATTTGAACTTTTTTTTCTAAAGAAAATATAGCTCTTGGTAGACGATTTTGAGTCAGCTCTATTAATAACTTAAGTTATAAGTGAGTGTGTTCCAAATACCTTATTATACTAGCTTTTGAGCCTGATATAAGATAATAGAGAGATATGCTTCCTTTTGCAGTTCCTTATCCGCCAGAGCCAGAACACGGGTTTTGGGGTATTCCAACGTCGACAATAGATTGGTGTGAGGAAAACTATGTTGTTTCAAAGTATGTTGCTGAAGCCGTTAACACTACTACGAACTCTGTGTTTATAGCTCTTGCTGGATTCACTATCTACCATGCTTACACAAACCACATGGAACCTCGATTTGTGTTCTCCGCCCTTGGATTTTTACTAGTGGGTGTGGGATCATGGTTATTTCATATGACTTTGCAATATCATTATCAATTGTTGGATGAGTTGCCCATGATATATGCGACCTGTATTCCTTTTTGGTCCGTATTTAGCGAATTTAGGACTAAGAAGCAATCTATTATGATTGCAATTGGTATATTTACTTCAGCAAACTTATTAACTTTGGTATATTTGAAAGTTAGGAATCCTACTTTACATCAAACCGCATACGGTATCTTGAATGCTTGCATCATTTTTCAGTCTTTGAATTTGACTTTACAATATGTTCACGACAAAGGTGCACGTAAACAAATGTTTAAAACCATGGTATTAGGAATTTGCCTTTTCCTTTTTGGATATTTTCTATGGAACTTAGATATACACTTGTGCACCTCTGTAAGAGCAGTTAGAAGAGATTGGGGAATGCCATATGGATTTGTGTTAGAGGGTCATGGATGGTGGCACATATTAACCGGAACTGGTGTCTACTTCTACTTAGTTTATGAAGAATATTTGAGATGTTTTTTGCAAGGAACCGACAAGTTTTATACTTTCAAGTGGAAATATGGCTTACCCATTGTATGTTGTATTGATTATGAAGGTTTGAAAAGATACAGAGAAGTTAAGAAACTAGCTGAAGCTGATGAATTGGAATCAAAGAAAAATATATAGAATATCAAAGTGAAAATTATGTATTTTGTATATATCAATGCTTATATATTTATCATAGCATTTGGATTATTTCGCTTATAAATTTGTCGTTTTTTATCGTGTCTGCGTACTCATTATTCACTAGAGTTTTCAATTTATCAAGAGCAACTGAAGATTGAACTTTGCATTCTGAATTCGATTCATCAAAACATTGGGACCTCCAATTCTTGAGAATACTTTTAAGGCTGTGAATACCACTTTGGATTTCTGAAGGAGAGCATTTCGTCTTCTTGTTTTGTATGTATTTATCATCCTCGTCTAAAACCGTTTGCTGAAGCTCTGATGCTTTTCTTTTGGCCATGTTAATAATCTTAGAAGGAAATTTAACAAGTTCTGCAACGTGGATTCCGAATGACTTGTCAGATATGCCTGGCTCTACTTTATACATAAGAGTGATATCATCCTCTTCGTTCTCATCATCTCGCTGTACATGTGCAACGACGTGTAAATTTTCAACTTGATCTTCGTATTTTGATGAAAGTTGAGTCAACTCGTGAAAATGAGTTGCAAACAACGTGAAGCATTTTTTCTCACTGATCAAATGTTCCAGAATGGACCAAGCTAACCCAAACCCATCATAGGTGGACGTTCCCCTTCCCAATTCATCAATAATAATTAGAGAGTTATGGGTAGCGGTTGCCAAGATTGAAGAAGTTTCAAGCATTTCGATCATGAACGTGGACAAACCTTTTAATTGTGAGTCACCAGCTCCCACTCTTGACAAAATAGCATCAAATACAGCAATCTCCGGTTTGAAGTTATCTTCTCCTACTGGAATAAAGGAACCAACTTGATTCATCAAAGCTATCACACCTGCTTGCCTGATGTACGTTGATTTACCACCCATATTAGGACCAGTAATTATTACAAAAGATTTACCCTTTTCACTCTTTTCATTTGAAAAGTATAAGTCGTTAGGAATGAAATCAATATCATCTTGAACTTCTAAGACAGGATGCCTAGAATCTTGCAACTTAATTTTTCTTCTATTATGATCATCACTGTTGATAGAATTACTCATTGGATGAGAAATTGGTCTCACGAACGGTATAGGAGCAAAAATAGCGACGTTGGCGAAACTGCTTAAGACGTCGATTTCAGATACTGTTAGACTCAAAGGGATGAAAACCAGCTGGTACGTCAAAGTGATAGATAAGATTTCTTTTACGAGTTCACGCTGCTTCAAATTATATTCGGCTGATGCTTCTAGGTATTCCTGGGATAATGCAGATAACCTTTTCGTTGTAAAGTAAACACCAGCCTTGACTGTTTGCAACTGTGTGTACTTGTTTCCTGTATTCCTCAAAACCGTGGAATCAATTCTAGTTACTCTGAAACACCAACCATGTTGCTGATGGTTTTCTAACTTAAGCTTTTTATCCACTTCCATATTCAAGTCATTTGCTACGTCTTCGTGTATTTCTCTGATTTGATGCAAACTGCCTTGCAATCTTTCATTTATCTCCACTAACGACTCATCAAATTCAGGCTTGATGTTAAAATCTGTGTTCATTAAATCGTGAGCAGAAGTAGAGTCCAAAGGAGAAAGATCAGTAGTTGTCTCTACCAACTCTTTAAATTTGGACAATGGTTCATATTTCAGTTTAATAGGTTCTAGCCAATTTTTCTTCACTAGATTAGCTAACTTTCCATTGTCCTTTAAGTCATCAACCACTACTTCCAACATTTCGATCAATTCAGGAACAATTAATACAAATTGATAAAGTCTAACTACGTCCTCTAATTTCTTACTTTCATTCCCCGAAGTACGCTTTGTTCCACTCAAAATTTTCTTGAAGAGTCTTTTGATGTCAGGTACCTTTGATAGCCAATCTTCTGTAATGAAAACTCTTAAATTATTGTCATCAATGAGGAGTTGAACAAGGTCTTGCCGGACTTCAATAGAATCAAGATCAGTTAAAGGTTGCTTCAACCATTGGGACAATAACCTAGAGCCAGCAGCTGTCTTGCACTTATTTAATAGCTCAAAAATTGAAGTAATATTGGTAGATTTTGACAATGAGCTACCGTTTGCTGTATTAGTAGAGGGAAAAATGTTTAGAGCCTTCATAGTCGAAGCATCAAGCTTCATGTATGCGCTCAAATTATACTGGTCAATTGTGAAGTTTTGGTTTTGTTCGCCAAGAAGTTCCAAATATTCTATCAATGCATTGCAGCAAGATAGCGATAGATTAAAATCGGAAGAATTGATACCCTTAGAGGCAAGTATGAGGTCAATGTTTACCTCTTCGTCACTCTTCAAGTCAGACACCACGATTTTCGATAAATCTGCTTCAATATCTTTTTGAGAAAATGCAGAAGGCTTTATAGTGCTAATAACAATATTTCCAATCTTCAGAAGAACTTGATATAATTTTATAACCTCTGGGTTATCATCTTGAGGATCGTAGTTTGAAGGGAAAATGACCTCTTTAACCCCCATTTGCAAGAGTAAACTCTCAAGATTAGAGAACAATTCATTATCCTCAAATTCACAAAGTTTAATGCTTGAATTCAGTAAGTCTACAAAACATATTCCAATCCTTTTTCCATTCCCTTGTTGATGAAACTTGATTCCAGCGATAATAGGAGTGGAGCAATCTTTGAACAGTGATTCTAAATCGACTCCATAGTTACTTGCCAATGATTCTAGGTTGCCGGGAGTTGCGAAACATATAAGATCGAAGGTCTTGTTGTTGTAAATTTCAACCTTCAAGTTCTTTTCTATCAAGCAAAATTTCAATAAGTTGTTGGTTAAAACTGGTAGCGATACCGTCACGTACCTATTCTTGTTATTAGGATTGTACTTAATTACCGATTGTGTCTTGTATATGTTATCAGCAACTAAATCAGCATCTTCATCTAAAACAGTAAAATAATCTTTGTTGTTGTGATCAATGATTCTAATGGTTGAGCTATCTTTAGCCGGCAAATTCGTGAATTTTCGAAAGTACAGTCTTTCATCTACCTTGTCAGCGAACTTAAGGTCTGGTCTTGTACTGGACATTTTGTTGTTTAGTTCAGGACCCCTGCAGCGCTTTAAGAGTAAAATAAATGCTATGACCTTTAATATAATCCTCAAGAATCGCCTAAATTCAAATATTGTGCGCGTTCTTATGGACCGCGTAGCACTACACGAAAATATGATCCAGGGCCATGTTTCCTTTCCAGCCAGCCATATACACAATTAGAGAAAGAAGGGTGAAATGTAGTATCTTTCATTCCCAAATCTTGTAGCAATTCCGTTGATATCAAGAATGGTTCGGTTTAAGCTTCATACGATACCTAGGATACTTATTTTATTATACTTTACCGAATCCTGAAGAGCATACGTTATTATATTCAACACAATTTTGAGGTCAAGTCATTCAATATATTTGATCGAATGGACTTAGGCTGACTTTCGATAGAGCCTTACAAGGAGTTTGCTACTCCTATCTAGCTTCAAGAACATATATAAACATGTGGCCTGTATATTATTGATTTGGTACCCCTAGGAGTCAAGACTTAAAAAAATGAGATGAAATTTATCTGACTCAGGAACAACTTAGATCTTCCACTCTTATTCAAAGTTAGAACTTATAGAACACACCTAATGCTGAGTGAATCGCTTCATACCACTCAACTCGATGGCATACTACCACTAGTTGCTAGAGGAAAAGTGAGAGATATCTACCAAGTTGACGATGAAACCCTTTTGTTCATTGCGACTGATAGAATATCAGCTTACGATGTCATCATGGAAAACGGCATCCCTTCAAAGGGAAAAATTTTGACCAAGTTATCTGAATTTTGGTTTAAACTCTTGTCTGACAAGATTCCTAATCACTTGGTTTTACCTGATGCTGATGACGCTCAGCTATTTGCAAGGCTTCCAAAAGAGCTCCAGGAATCTAAGTACAAGAAACAGATATCTGGAAGATCTATGCTCGTAAAAAAGTTAAAACTTATTCCATTAGAAGTTATCGTAAGAGGATACATTACTGGATCTGCGTGGAAGGAATATTCGAAATCGAAAACTGTCCATGGTTTGCCGGTTGAAGAGGGTTTGAAAGAGTCTCAGGAATTTAGCGAACCTATTTTCACACCATCTACGAAGGCTGAGCAAGGCGAACATGATGAAAACATTTCTCCAAGCAAGGCCGCTGAGATTGTTGGCTCCGATTTGTGTGAGAAAGTTGCCTCAGCTGCTATCGATTTATATTCAACTGCAAAAGAGTATGCAAAATCGAAAGGCATCATTATTGCTGACACCAAATTTGAATTTGGTTTAGATAAAGATAATAACTTGGTATTGGTCGACGAAGTTTTAACGCCAGACTCTTCTAGATTTTGGAGAGCATCTGCCTATGAAATCGGAAAATCTCAAGATTCTTATGATAAGCAGTTTTTAAGGGATTGGTTAACTTCAAAAGGACTTGCGGGAAAGGATGGAGTCTCCATGGATAAAGATATCATGATCAAGTCGAAGGAAAAATATATCGAGGCTTATGAAGCATTGACTGGAAAGAAATGGACTGAATGAAGACACCATCAGAACCTTTTTTTCGTTTTTAATTTTTTTCTTTTCGCTTAGGCCAAATTCACCATGTTTGAAGTGGTATTGAATGAAAACTTATATCTAGAATCTCTGAATTAATAAATAAGCTCCATTTTAGATACAGTTTTCAGAAAAGCATTCAAGTAGTCATTTCTCTTCTCTCTTACAATATTCAATTTTACTTTCTTTAGTTAAATATTTCATTCACACGTAATTGGGATTGGGAAAGGAGTATTACATTTTTGTGGTTTCAAATGACTTTTTAAGATATCCACTGGCCATAATTATATTTATATTACAGAAGAAAGAAAGTTAAAATTAAAGCTATTATCTAGTGTTTTTTCGTAAATAATGCTCCTCAAATTCTGGTATATGCCTTTTTTCTAGTTTAAGACGTTCCAACTCATCTGTGACTCTTTTGCGGTAATTATTGGCAGGAAATCTCGTGCCTTGAATAGATGGCTGAATTTTATGAGCATGAGCATAATAAGCGTCATGCTCGTCGCTGTTTCTTGTTTTGAGAGGAATTCTTCTAATTTGCTGGTCATCAATCAATTCCTTGGGGCCCCTTGGTTTATTTGGCAGAGGTGATGATTCATTATTATGTAAATGAAGGAAATTTCTAGCTTGTTGGGTTGAAACTGGTTGAGCATTTGTCGCTTTGGGAGTTGAAGGGTCTGATTTCATTCTGTGCAACTCTATGTTTTGTTTTCCCAAAATTTCTTTGATTCTTTGTTGTACCTCTTGTTCAACAACTAGCTTGAATTCACGCTGATATCCTATTCTGACTTCTTTTGCTTCTTGATCCATAAGTTTTTTCCTAGACTCAAACTCCTCTATTAATTCGTCTTCTAATTGCTTCTTTTGCAAGTTACATTTTCTCTGCATATTTTTGAATTCATCCTCTAATTCGTCTCTTTGAATCAAAATTTTCCTTTCTAAGTTGTTTAAAAATGATTCCTTTTTTTTTAATTCCTCGTTCTTGTTGACTAGCTGTTTTTGAAACTCACCCAAGTTTGTGCTAGCATGTTTGAGGTCCATTTCTTTCCTCAAAAACCTAACAGAAAGATTTTCTAGAAGATCGAAACACGAAGGTCTTGTATCAGGATTAACTGTTATACAATCTACTATTATCGTTTTCAATTGAGATGAATATCCTTCAGGCAAATCAGGAATAACACCCAGCTTAATCCTTGCTTGCAATTGTAGGTGGGTTTTGGCTAAAAAGGGCGGTTGTAAGGTGCAAAGCTCAAATAGTACACATCCAAGCGACCATATATCACAAACTGGTGAGTAAGGGTTGTCCATCAAAACTTCCGGTGACATGTAATATGGAGTACCAACATAAGTTTTTGCAAAGTCATTTTGTGAAGTAAGCATTTTTGCCAATCCAAAGTCTCCTAGTTTAATGAGCTCACCAGAGTCCAGCATGAATATGTTGTCAGGTTTTATGTCCCTATGAATCACAACTGTTTCTGAGTTAATCAGCGGTTCTCCTTCGTTATTGATTGAATATAAATTGACTTTTTTAGCCTCAATTCCATAATGACATCTATGTAATGCAAGCAATATTTGAACCAAAACTTGCCATATAAATTCTTCAGGTACCACTTCCTTGTTTTTCTTAAAGTTAGAAATAATATGGGCTAAGTCACCACCGTCACAGTATTCCATATATATATGGATCATCTTCTTGTTAGAAATATGATCGTGCTTGAAATACTTTACAATATTTGGGTGATTCAACTCTCTCAAGATTCTGAGTTCTGATATCAATTGGTTTCGTTCTTGGTTATTCATAGATGTATATTCTATTTCTTTTCGGACATATATTTGTCCGTCAAACTTACGGCGAACTTTTCGAACTGTTCCAAAAGACCCTTTTCCTATCACTTCTAATGCATCATATTCAGATTCTATTGGTGTAGATGACATACTTCTATGTTTGAATGGCTTAAATTGTTTCTGCTCTTCAACTTTACTAATGTTTAATATTATTTTCTTTCCTCTTTCAAATAAAACTATATGCAACGAAGAGATGACAGTGGAAACATAATAAGCGTTTTTGTATATTAACACTTAAGCTCTCCAATAAATGTGTATGTTAGATTACAGCTGAATCAGTCGAAGTGTTCAAATTCTATGCCCCATAGATCCTATTCTATATTGGACCCGATCCGTGATTGTTTACTTTTGGTACCAATTTGGAAATCTAAAAAAATTTGTAATCAAAATCGTCATGGACTAATACAAGCATGGTGTTACCAAATAGGCTAACAAGGGTCTCACACTCTCGATAGTTGTACGTCCCAAAAGAATGATCATCTTAAAATGCTCGCCGACTTATCTCGCCAGACAGCGGTAAAAATTACTTGCGAAGTTTTTGATCGAGTTTCTACGACTTAGTAAATTGTTCTCCTAATATTAATTACATATCTCTATCTATTTGCCCACGGCTGCTTTGATTGAAGTGACAGGCTCCAAATTTTCATCGTCGATGACAGCGTCTGGTAATTTGTGACCGTCTCTTGTTGTAGTATCCAAACTCTCTCTAAGAATTCTCTCTTCTTCCATTTCCTTATGTAAGTTCCAGAAATGAAACAAGAAAGCAAATGCCGCAGCAGCTCCAATAATTGCCATAGAACCAAAAACCCAAGTCAAATGTGGATCATTCATAACAGGTGTAATAGCCTCCCCGATCGCAGCTGAAATAGCAGAAGTAAACAAGAATAATGCCATTACGAGTCCCTTCATATGTGGGGGGGATCTCGTGTAGGCAAGTTCGTAAGCTGTGGTCATGGCAAAACACTCACTAGCAGCTGATAAAATGTACACTGAGACCTCTTGCCATGCACTAATAGGAGATGGTTCAGCACAAGTTGTTGCTTGATTTCCACATGGAGAAGTCTCATAAATTCTTTTTTGAATGATAGCACCTGCTGCTTGAGAGGCTGCCGCAATCAAGAAGCCAAGAGAAATTCTAAAAACTGGTCTGAAGCCAATCTTGTACTTACGCATAGTTGGATAAATGACATAATCCAATATTGGAATCAAGACGATAATAGTTAATGGATTGAAATTGTTGAACAAATCATTAGGAACACCCTGTGTGGTCATAGAACCTGCTTGTGAAGTTTCAACACTGCCTAAACCACTGTCACAAATATTAAAAATTGGGAAATAAATGAAAATTTTACACGAATTGAAAGTTTGCTTGATATCCAACACCCATTGGTCATCCCATGTTATAGGAAGTTTCTTCTTTGATACAAAAAACTCTTCACCTCTAGCAATCATTGAGCTTGGTCTGGCGTAATCCCAGAAAGTTCCATTCCTGCATCTTCTAATCCAGTTTCCACGGAAAGATACTCTTAAGATCTTCCAGGTCGTTGTGAGGACTGACCCTTGAGGTTTGTCTCTAACAAGCTTATTCTGTAAGTACCAAAGTACAAACGGCATGATGAGATATACAATGATTGGAATGAAGAAGGCAAACCAGAAACCGATCCTTCTTTCAATATAAGAGGTGGCCAATTGAAAAAAAGCACCAATGTTAATTGCCCAGTAGAAGACCAAAGTCATTCTCTCTAAAGATTTTTGACGGTCAACAATAACAGGTTCTCCAGAGGGAAGGACTTTAACGACATCGGTGTCCTCTGGGTACTGATCCATAAGAAGGGGTAACAAGTTGGGTTTAATAAAACCAGTACCTACAGCTAATGTAATGATTCCAAGGGCACAGGGCACGATAGCATGACCTCCGGCGATAACACTTGGTATACCAGCGATGACAAGCAAAATATGTGATATTAACCCTGCAATAACACCAATCCAGATAGCCTTAAACTTTCCAAGTTGCGTATCAGCCACGAAACCACCGTATAAGGGAACAACATAAGCTAAGAATGTCAACAAAAGTGTCAAAGCATTTGCGGCAGCTAGGCCCATATTTAAAGCACCGGCACTCTCACTAGCTGAATCCAGCTTTGGTGCTCCAGTCGTACTGCCTTCAGGTAATGGTCTTTGAATAAAGTTAGTCAAGATACCCGTGACTGAGTAGTAAGAAGCTCTTTCTGCTAATTCAACGAGACAAATCAAGTAACAAGCATAGTTTGCTCTACCTAAGATTCTCCTGAGGGTCAGTGCCTCTTGTTTCGTTGGTCTTCTCAATCCCTGAGGATTGTATTCATCAACGTAGTAAGTGGAGTAGTTTCTAGGATCATTGTAGTCATAATCTTCGTCATCTATGAAATCATGGCTAGCTTGCACTGATTGAGTGTCAACGCCCGGAAGTCTCTTCTCGTCTGTTTCGATACCACTAGCTTTACTGTCAAAGGTTTGAGAAGTATGACCCCTGTACTCGACTTTCAGTTCTTCAAAGGACATCGCAGCTAAGACTCACTTATTTTACTATTGCAAAAAAACATAACAGTCCCATGGAATAATCGCCTTTTTATATCTGAAGGTTAAATCTATGGTGTATGACATCTGATCTCATTCTTCCACTTATCAGCATATCAACACCATTTCTGGACTGTATAGTGACCCATTTTTTGAAATATTAAAAGAATGTGCCAGTGTGGTACGGCACCACTCTTTTCATTTTTATGAGGCATTCTGTTATTTGAGGCGACTCGATCAGTGACGATCTTTGGCGTCACCTGTCATTGAGATAAGCTCATCCATAGAGCAACAATGGCTTCTCGCATTCGGTTTCAAAATCATACATAACAATTTTACAGTAGCATATCGAAGACAATAAGCTGAATACTCCAAAATAGTCCCCCTGGCACAGGAACTGTTTTTAGCGAAATTGCGCCAAGTCCCCGAAGAAGAAGTAGACGCAATTTCGCTGAAAGACATGTGCAAGAGAATTTTGCGAGGACTGATAAACAGTAAGGATCATTTGCTGTGTGCAGGCTAGATAATAAATTCATGATAAAGTCCTATCGTTTGACGATGAACGGCGATGCCTCAATATTATGCGGGTTCGCTGTATAGGTACGGAAAGAAGTCACCTGATAGCATGTTGTCACTATGTTGCAATAACGCAGGCAGAATAAAGAAAAGAACCGCATGAAAAAAGATAAGAGATTAAATCTCGTATCTTTCTTTCCATTTATGCACTTTAAATCACTTAGTTATTGCTTTTAAATCATGGGAGTATATGGGCGACAGCAAACATAAGATTTTTTGATGGCCCAGAGCCAGTTCGTGGTAGGGCATGATTTACCTACTGAGGCTTGCAATATGGCATCAGGAATACGTGGCGTATGGGTGGTAGCGATGATTTTCCTTACGGCGCAGCGATCGTTCCACTAGGGCTCTATTTGCTATGATTGTGTGACCGGGAAGAATAGGTGTGACTGAGACGGCATATTTTCACGCCACAGGTAGTTCTCACTGTAAAAACTATAATCTGGAGTATTGGCCGCGGGGCGGATATTCTTTCACAATGCCGAGCACATTTCATCTGGTTAACTTTTGACAGCAAATTTTTCGAGTCAGTGTTTTTCATTTTTATGATCAAAGTCAATTTTTCAATACAAAATAATCAAGTCATAGCTACTGTGACCAAGTATCAATCACTTTAAATTAGCTGCAAAATGAATCCTTCTTGCCTATGACATTCAGAAATATGCAGGATAAAATAACGGTGCCCCAAACAATACTTATAGTAAGTTTATCGTATTAATACGTTTACAATTTCTACCGATTAGAAACAGTAATTTTAGCTTTCTTCCCAGTCTCCTTTTGCGGGCAGTCAATAGCGCTTTGCGTTCAAATATACTGCATCGTGAGAAGAGGTCATATTCAAATGAGAAGCTATACGTATTACTGTCTGCTTTTGGCTGATTTGTCTTAACCGTTACACAAGCCGAAGGATTCACAATTAATAGAAAATCCCTTTAATTTGGCCATCCACAATATTGATTAGCATTAATAGAGCAGCCTGACTGACACCGAATGTTAGCCTCCGGTTTGTTACTTAAGCATCCTGGAGCACTTATTTGCAGTTCAATAGGTACACATTTACCGAAGTTTTTGTATATGCAAGCCTTGCTTTCCCCAACACCCTAATTATCACGATCGCGTTCTCTCAAAGGTATGTGGTATGTGTATCCGCTAATTAGGATTACTAAAGAGAGTGGAGCGATAAATTGATCTATATCTTGAATCATTGAAACTTTGCTGATTTTTTCAAATGTGTTGTACATTTGAAGTGATATATCTTTTAAACTAGACCTCTCTGGGCGAATTCAGGTCATGTTGCGTATGTTATCTACGTGGGTCCATATTGTATTTTGGATCTCTTTGGATCTTTCCAGATTCAATACAGTAGTAATAAAGTTTACCATACTATTGCGGATTTCACAATAAACTGAACTTATAATTGAATCAAACGCTCATAGTTCCGGCGATGAAGATACCTTTTTGATAAGGTCGCAGAGTACTTCACCGGTTCGTACAAAAACATGCTCAGTATGACCCATTCAAATCCGCTAAGTTGCTCCAGAAAGTCATTCCTCATGATTCTCAAATGAAACTAGTTCATATTCTCGTCATCTTCCCTATAGCCAAGATCAGTGAAGAATGCGGAGTAGTTTGAATTGAAGAAATAATTACTGTCAAATGCAATGTTGAAAGGCTCAAAATCGCTGAAACTACTCTGAAAAGCATTTGAATGATTTGTGGTTTCATATTCACCCTCCTTATTAATTGAACTTGATTTCAGGTCAAAGTTATATATGATTGCGTTACTAGGAGAAAGAGGGATGTAATCTTCCTCTTCATCCCATTCGGAAGAATCGTTCTCTATGATATTTTGCAATCCAAAACGCAAAACCAAAAGTCTAATATTGTTACTGGCTTCTTTCATCAAGCCCTTAAGAATGCCTGAATTCTTCTCATTCACCTGCCAAATCAATCTCATAGCACTTAGATTCGATTGAGGCGTGATACCAAATTGTAATTGTAACAAATCTCTAAATATGGTACAGTTTTCCAGAAAACTATATTTTCCAGATTTTCCACTTGCCAAAGTGAAGCAAGATATTAAAACCATTAGTGCGTTATATCCATAGAACATATCATAGTGCAATAATCCATTGAAATGTCCACTTTTATCGGAATAATTTATTACACCGCATACTATTTCAGCTGATCTTATTCCATAACAAATGGTATTTAAAAGCGGTTCGAATTTGTTGAAGTCAATAGCTTTGATATTTCGAGATAAATGCAAGAGGTACGGTAAAGTCAAAGAAATATAAAGGTAATGAAATTGCAAGTGTAATTTTATTTGATATCTCTTGATGGGCTTTGTGCTCTCATAATCTTTTAACTCTGTACTCAAACCATCATACCACTTATTAAGTAGTGTCTTTATTTCTACCATTTTCTCTATGTTTTCATTCGCCAATGGTCTTTTGCTTATAAATAAGTTTTTGCGAAGCCTTAAGATCTTATACATTATTTTGAATAAGCCAACGGAAGTAGAAAAATAATCTCTAAATAAGTCATCACTGACCATTGATAGTTTAGGTAGATCCACATCAACAGCTTCAATCGAAATTATGGATACTTTTCCGAGAGAGGAATTCATGCTCATCTGTATGCGAAATATAGACCACCAGACAATCTTGATCTCATCTTGTATATCTTGGGGATATTTAGCAACTGCCGATTTGCGGTGATATCCTAGACTCACGCATTGCTGGGACGCTAATGCAAACAACAGCCAAGAATTTTCTCTCATCTGCTTTGATTCGTAATAGAGTGCCGTTACGTAAAGCAGTCTGATTCCATTCAATGATGGTGACACTGCAATATCTCCTAATAATAGTTTAACTATACCAAGACAAATATTCAGAAGATTATTAGAGAAATTGTTGTCATCAGCCGAATAGCAGCATTTTTGGCCCAAAATCCACACCATGTAGAGGCAGCATATCTCTTCATTACTTAAATTTGAGGAATTTACCAAATGTGCGGTTAAAGGCGTTTCCTCTGCCTTCAATTCCTTAAAGAATACACTTTGTTGGTGTCTAAATTTCGACTCATTCAAAACAAAATATCCCGGGTGAATTTCATTAAAAAATACATCAGTATAGTAAATGGCATCAGCTTCAGATATCAATTCCACCATAGGGAACCTTCGCAAGTTAAGTAATTCAATGCTAGTTGATATAGACTCATTCGAGTCAAGAGCATTTAGGTTATTCAAATCTCGCTCTTCTTTCGATAAAGTGTCCGAGAACTCTCTTGAACTTTCTTCTTGAGTATCCGCTGTCAATCCGAGTAAAGCCCTTAAGAGCCCCTGGGTACCTTCGAGGCCATAATCTTGGGCCGTATTATTTGCATTTTCATTCGAATTCTCATTCATTTTCACATTGTCCTGATCATTTATGCTTTGCGAAGGCTGCCAATCCTCATCACTCTCAAACCCTTCACTATCACTAGAGAGTTTATCTTTGCTTTCTATGTCTTTATTCCATTCAGGGAGTGATATATCCAACGATTCTGCAATCTCGCTTAAAGTATGTAAATTATCTGGGTCTCGCCCAGGATATAACCTTTTCATAATCAACTTCAAACATTTGAGCTGATACCTTGAGGACTCACTTATCGAGTAATATGTTCTTTTCTTTCGAGGAGCCTGTGTCGTACAATTCACACCGGCGGATTTGCATTGCAAACAAGGTGTCTTATCGTCAAACTTCAATTGATTGAATTCCAGTCTCTGGCATCGAATCTTCCTTGCTTTACATCTGTCGCAACTGTACACTGCCCTTTTTCTCTGTTTATCTGCTACTGTTTTCCTTTTTCGTAGATTGGAAGCCCCTGCTGCTGCTGGAATCTTCCCCATCATACAACGTTATCACACTATAATTAAGACTCGAAACTAAAAAAAAAAAAAAATTACAAAAATAAAAAAACCCCAAACTCAGAGTTTGACCATTATATAAACATTATAATAGAAGGTTGATCCCTCACGCACTCCTTCTCTGAAATTCGAAGTCCCGGTAGGCATAAGCAGGAGAATATTTTCGGCCCGATAATATCTATGGAAGAAAAGATAATGAACGGGCCTCATTAATGTTACGATAAATTTATTTATCACTACGAATGATACAAGAGGTAAATCAATCTAATTATTAACTGAAACTTTTAATTCCTATTAACTTCAAAATCTATTTTTTGGGAGCCATGCTCAAGGATTGAAAATCTATGGCAAATTTCCACTTTTTTTGCAACCAGCAGCTCTAAAACTTTGATTCTTTCCCACAAAATCATATCAATGGTACGGAAGCTCCATCCCCCCGCAAGTCACTCCCTCCACTATACACCATGCGTTTACCACCTTCAGAAAATTCCTTTCTAATAATCTGTCCCCTACCAAAAAGTTTTCTTTCATTCCCTTTGAAGATTTGCACTTCGTGTCCTAAAGAAATAAGACCATCAATCACATCAGATTCGATTCCCTCCTCTACCCCGACACAAGTAACGTCTGTGCTTGCCGGCCCATCGGCTCCCAATCCTAAGTCAGTATCTTCATAATCAGGATGAGGAAATAGCGAAATTCGAGGAGCATCCAAAGCTTCTTGGGGATCCATGCCAAATAGGAGCATATTCAAGTATACTTGCACATGGGCTTGAGGCTGATTGTATCCTCCCATAATACCATAGCTTGCATAAAGCTCTTCGTTAGTAGAGTCAGTTGATGGCTTCGTTATCATTCCCGGAATGATTGTATGGTAGGATCTTTTATTGCCTTCAAGACAGTTCTTACTTTCAGGATTCAAGTTGAAATTACCTCCTCTATTCTGAAGTGCAAAACCTCTACCAGGAACAATAATACCACTCCCAAAGTTCTCATACAAGGAACTGATAAATGAACAGGCATTACCTTCTGAATCGGTTGCAGTAAAGTAAACGGTATCTGATTTAAACATTGGGTCAGGAATACCATGTCTGACATCCCGATTTGAAATAATGCTGTCTTTTTTGAATAGATTTATACGGCTGGAGAGATACTCCTCCGTAAGAAGACTAGTAATTGATTTGGATTGATCAATGTTATGAGATTTTAAAAAATACTCATGATCATTCACATATTCATCTGAATCTTTGAACCCAAGCTTCAAGCATTCAATTATTGTATGTAAATAATCTGTAGAATTATGCTTCATATCTTTTAAGTTAATAATTTTGGTCTTATTTAATTGATTTATAAGGCCGAGCGATAACAATGCAATTACACCAGATCCGTTTGGTGGAATTTCCCAAAGCTTATGATCCAACATTTCGAAAGATATTGGATCCACGAAGGTTGACGTATGATTTGCAAGGTCATCTAATGAAATGAGTGATCCTCTTTTGGACAACTCGTCTACTATTGAATTTGCAACTTCACCCTCATAGAAGCCTTTTTTTCCAAGATTAGCAACTTTCCTTAATGTATCAGCTAAATAAGGATTTTTCATGAATTGACCCTTTTCAGGTCCTTTGTAACCGTCATTGGGTAGGAATATTAAAAGTTCCTCGTTTTCTGGATTTTCTCTTTTCAATTTATTTTCAGCTCCCTGCCAAAGAGAAGCACTTATCTGCGAAACGACAAATCCATCTTCTGCTAAGCTTATGGCGGGTTCTAAAATATCTGACATTGAAAGTTTTCCGCTCCCCCAACTATCGATGGCATCACACCATCCCGCAATATTTCCCGGTACTTGAACCTTGAAGACAGAATCCTCCTTGAATCGCATAGTAGGTAAAATATGGTCAGGGTAATTTTCTTTGAGCCACTCGATGCTAAGTGCTGAAGCTGATCTTCCAGTACCGTTGATACCATATGTCTTTTTATCTTCATTTTTGTAAAATAAAGCAAAGCAATCACCTCCAATTCCTGTTGACGAAGGCTCCAAAACTGAGAGGCATGCAGATATCGCAACGCAAGCATCTACACAGTTGCCACCAAGAGACAACACCTTGATACCTGCAGCATTGGCTAATGGTTGTGTAGAAGAAACCATGCCTTTTACTGAGTAAACAGTAGATCTTCTTGATATTGTTGGGCCATCCATGATTTCAAATCTTATCGATTGTCACGATCTAATTCTTTCAACAATAATTATCCCCCCTAGAGTAGTTGATGCTCAATCAATGGACCACTTTACTCTACAGACAAACTTTGGCTGATCTATGAAATTAGATATGATAGTTTCGAGACTCTAAATAGTATAGATTCGTACTACGGAAGTGGTGCTTCCGTCTACTTCAATATTTCGATAACTGTTCCGCGAGGTCGGATCGTGATCATCGGGAAGTTCGATATCCGATTAAGAGTGTCTAGCCGTACCTAACGTACGTGAATTTCATGTCCTTCAACCACCGGTGGTTGTTTTTAAATTACAAGTATATGGAAGACACTCTTCAAGGACTTTTTTAAGGGCTTTGTAGTTTATGAAGTAATTTGTGAGCCTTTTGTCATTAGATGAAATTTAAGATTACCACGCGATCGAATACTTCTGCAAAATATGCCTTATTTGTTCCTTTGCTACACAAACCCAAAGTCAAGTAAGTTGCTCTGTTAATGTCCACATTTTTTCGTGCAGTGATTTTGTAAGATAACATACAGATATAATCTTATGGAGCGTGCTATGGTATATCTTTCCTTTTTCTTAAATTTGTTCTCTTCCATTCAACCTAGATAGCCCAAATATTTCACCGTTGAATCTATCAATAGTTTCTCATTATCGTACATTATACAGGAGTTACTATATTTATCGCTAAAATTTCTTAATTGAAAATATAGAGGATATGAAAAATTAGACTAAGCTGATTGAGAAATAAATGGAAGCCAAAAGAGATAATCTTGTACAATATATTCCAACATTTTCTAAGAGTTTTCTCACCTTAGAGTTATTCTATAGTCTTAAATGAGATGAGAAGGAAGTGAAAACTTAAACCTTTTTGGAGTCGCCTCTAGGTCTGAAGCAATCAATAGTTCAAAATCCAATAAGTGACTAATATTAAGCGATCCGCATGCGCTAACATAGTCCGGACTACTTAGAAAACTTATCAATTTGACGTGCTCCTCATCAAAGAGTTTTCCAGCAGGTATTTCCCATTCCCTTATCGACGGATCGTCGAGGTTCGGAAGGAAGTCAACAATATCAAAAGCCAAACCATATCCGAGCTTTTTTCTTGAAACAAGACGTGAACTAGATAGTTCGCCCTTAAATCCATTAGCCAGAACGAAATACTTCGTTACGACAGACATGGCAAAACCCGTGATAGCAAAAGAACCCAATTGCGATGATTCGTTACAATAGAGTATGAAATCTGGCCTCAAGTCTTCAATTTTGGTTCGAATTAAAAATCGAAGCCTCTCAGTGATATCTTCTTGTAGTCTTATACTTGAAGGAGATATTGCACTCACTTCTAATTTCACATCAGAAACTAACTTGCCATGCGTTTCCTTTTTATACTTATTATCAAAAAACTTTCGTATAGACCTTGTTTTTGAATGAGATTTTTGTAACGGATTCGGGATGGCTTTGCTGGTATCGACTTTTTCTCTCACTGCCTCAGGGTCACTATTATAAAGTTCATCATAATGCTCGTCTACAAACTTTTTGACTTTCTCCTTCCAGACAATGCCATCTACATGAATGACATCCGGGCCAGGGTTTGCATTACCATATCCATTCGGTAAAAATTTCAATGATTTGCGAGCCTGTGAGTTACCACCAATTCGTGAATCTGGAACAAGAGTAGCTTCTAACTGATAAGTAGATTGTAAAATAAAAGAATTTTGCTCCATATGCTCTAAAGATGGTGGTAGTATTGTTTGCCTTCCACATGTAGAGCAAGATACGATTTCAGGAAATGTGAATTCGAATCGATATTCTTGATGTTGATCTTTACTTAATTTTTCAATTTGCAACGATGAGCCTAATTCAAGTTGGCAAGCAAGCAAATTGTGCTTTTCAGTATGCCTTACTCTTCTAGTTCTAGTTCTTATTTGACCATCTATCCATATCTTTTCCACAATCACTTCAATGAAAGTAGTATACAAATCAACTGAAAAATTGATAGTCAAAGATCGGATATTGAAATCCTTCTTAGCATTGACTAAAACAGAACCTTTAATGATATCATGCGGTCGAAAGACAGCTGAATCATCGACCTGGATCTTAATATCTGCCTTGGTGAACATTGATGTTCAAGAAGCACGATAGCTCTTGGAAGTTGACGTTGATTTATCTAACCTTTATGCGACAGCGAGTCACCTTTTTCGTGTTGAAGCTAAAAATATTAAAGGAAATCGATCAGCCACAAGTCATCACATTCTGCATATTCTTATTGTCATAACCTTAACTACCGTCATGATGTAAAATCTTAGGTCAGACTAGATTCTCTTATGATTAATCCTTATTTCGATCAAACACTAATTTTTCGTTTCTTTGAACCGGTAAAGTTTGATTTTCTTTTCTCAACACACACTTAGCTTTGACAAGAGATGCTTCTATTGACTCATAGATTTATATGAATTGGTCTCAACGTCTTTCAGGGTCTACTATTTGTCCCACACGCCTCCATTTCAGCTCAGGGCTAAAATTTAAAGCCAAGCCTCGCTCCTAATTAGCCTCATGAGATAGCACTTCCTCACATCTTTTAAGTCACTTTTTCTCTCTAATTTCATAGCCACCAGATAAAAAAGAAGAGAAATGGAATTCAGCTAGAACTTGGTTAAAATGATACTTCTTCTGATGTGAGAGTTCAAACATTACACTTGGCGTTGCCTTTGGTATGGACAAAGTTTACTACCGGATTGGTCGAGGGCTTACTTCCACTTTCTAATAGTGAAACATTTCGAAGCGAGCTACAGCCGCAATCTTTTTTATCTTCTATTAAAGTTAAACATATTAAACGACTTCTTCTACGCTAATACTATTCGTGTTCATGTGTCAAAGTTTAGATATCCCATTACCTAACTTTTCTTGTTCAATGTCACTCAATACTCTTTGTTTGTAAGAGTTGCCATAGATTTTCATCGCCCACTTCTCCATATATCGTTTATCGCCATTTATAGTAAAACTATCTATTCTCTGTCGTATAATCAGCAGGAGAATATCGACTGTCAATTTTGGTTGCTCTCCGTTGATTAAGTGATTTGTTCCCCTTACTTCAATTGGTATGACCACATTTTTCAACAACTCTCTAGCTCTCTCTACATCTTTGCTGCTGGAGCTATCAAGTTCAGAAACTACGTGATAAACTGGAACTTCAATAAGCTTATAAGTTAGCATATTGGGGAAGACTGACTCGTGTCCACAAAGATAGGTAATGATTTCTTGGTCAGATGGTGTATTCAATTCGACTCTGTCGTTACTTTTTACAGAATTCGATTTCGATGGCTTGCTTAATTCATCATAAAGCATATTTTTTAAAACAGTCTTGTCAAACTTACGAAAGAAAGACTTTTGAGTATAGTAATCTTCTACCACTTTTGTTAAATTTTCTCCTTCAGGCACATCAAACGAGCTTTTTATAAAACCCTTTTCGATCCATCTCTTCAAACCTGACCTTAATAGAGCCGTGCTTTCGTCATTTAAAATACAAACTGGATTAATAGCCACACAAGCATCAAAAAGTATAGGTTCTAGATAAGATACACGGAGTGCAATGAATCCTCCCATGGAATGGCCCACTACAATGTTAATTGAATCAGGACGTCCGTACTCTTCGTATTCTTCTTCTTTGATAATCCTAATAACATCCTTCGCAGCATCATTCCAATTGAATACTCGACCAAGCTTCGTTTTATTGACTTCCGCTGAATGAGCATGGTTAACATTATCTATCGCGAGGACAGTATTGATCAATGCCCCAGAGTCAGATGAATTAAACCGCTTATATATCATATCGATATGAGAATGCCATAACCCCTTGTTCATTCCGTTGCCATGTAAAAAGACAAGATTAATATTGCATTTCTGTGGATCAGCATTCCCTTTTCTCTTATATTTACGATAGCAAACTTTCAATTGATAGTCTTTCAGGTAGTCTGAAGGGTTATCCAACACGACAGATCCTCGACATCTTGTGCTCGAAGCATTCGCAGTTTTGAGACCATAAGTATATATATCAGAAGTATTGGGTATCATTCTTATGTCCTTAGAAGAAACTTATAAATTTTCCTTTCTTCCATTTGGGATATTTCAGAATTTAAGTTAATAATCCATATCTTCAATTTTAGTTATTCATGTGAACTACCCCAAAAAAAAAAAATTTAAAAAAAAAAATAAAAAAAAAGTTAGTCGAAAACGGTCGCTCCCTGAATATTAAAGAGTAAATTCAACCCTCTTTTACGAGGGTTCTGTTTTTATATCGTTGATGTTCAAATACTTTCATTGTTCTTTTTAAACATCAATAGCAGTCAGACAATAAAATGATCTGCTGAAATAGGGAATAAACAGTACATGTGAACCATAAACTCCTCTTAATTTCAAAACTACATTACTAATTGCAAGTACTACCAATTATTACTGAAATGCAGATTCAATATCTAAACTGCGAGTTGATTCGTTAAATATAAGATGCGTCAGCGGTCTTTGGCATTCGATTATGTTATCGATTCTCTCACTAGACATTATTTTATATGCATACTTCAGGAGTTTGATGCGTTTACGCAACTGCCGCAGCTGTTGCCCTTTTTGTAAATTTAGTAACAAATTTCCTCATGTGTTAAATGAATTTGACTTTTTTAAGAGATCTCTGAATATTGAAGAATAATCAATTGGTCAAGATACGAAAACAATACCTCTGATTAATCTGTCTCATGCATCTGTTGAACTTTTGCGATGGGATGCATTACGGTTACTTCGGGACCTAAAGGTGCCGTGCGATGGCCCTGCCTTACATTAAAGTAAAAACGCGCCTTAATGCCAATAACGAACTGGAAGCGTCTCCGAAGACGTCAAACAGCCATAGGTGCATTGATTCAATCGATAACACTTATTATTAGCGTTCTTTACCTCTATCACTACAATTGTAATTTTCGTATACATGCCATCATTGAAACCCTACCATAATCTCAGGTCGGACAACTCCCTCATTTTACATATATTCTTGCAAGAATTGAATTTGATAGCTGTCATTAAAAGAAACCAATTCCATTCTTCTACTAAGTAATAGTCCTGTAATACTGAACTAATTGGTGGCTTGGAGCAGAGGCGGGTTCTCCCTGTGGGTGATTCAAAGGAGCTCAGAATCTTATTGAGCTATTTTTCTTGCATATTGCTGGCTTTGAAGCGTTGTATTCCGTCTTAAATGCCGAAGAATATGCGAGCTCTATTCTTATAATTTTCACTCTTAACTTTTTCTTCCGAATACGAACGCCGTACGATGAGTTTGCCGAAAAATAAAAGTGGAGCTTATCCTCGTTTATCAGATTAATCTGTTAAAATTTTTCAAGAATGCAGCCCCAACAAACTACCTTCATTCCTAATAATGGAGTTGACTCTTCTGTTCAAAGGGACTCTCTGAGCCATGATAGCAAACAAAATGAAAAGCTAGCTGACGGGTCCTTCTCAGATGATACTGAACATTCAAGGAGCATTACAAACGAAGAAAAGTCAATTGGTGTGAGAAAAGCTGAAATATTAGCTCTTCAATGGGATAAGTGGTACTATAAGTTAATCTTGTTATTTTCTGCATTTCTTGTAGGTTATGCATATGGTCTTGATGGAAACGTAAGGTACGTGTTCACTGGGTATGCCACCCAATCTTATGCAGAACACACCTTGTTGAGTACGGTGGATGTTATAACGGCTGTGGCAATGGCAGCAGCTCAGCCCGTCTATGCCAGGTTATCTGATGTGTTTGGTAGATTAGAAATATTTTTGGTGGCCGTCATGTTTTACGTTGTTGGTACAATTATAGAATCTCAAGCTAAGGATGTACAGCGTTATGCGGGTGGTGCTATCTTGTACCTGATTGGATATTGTGGTGCAATAATTACAGTCATGTTCATAATGGCTGATTTTTCGAGCTTGAAGTGGAGGTTGTTCTTCCTTTTAACGCCAACGTTTCCGTTCATCATTAACACTTGGATCTCAGGAAATGTAACTGGGGCAGTAGGAATGAGATGGTCATGGGGTGTAGGTATGTGGGCTTTCATTTTTCCTTTAGCTTGTATTCCATTGACTTTATGTATGATACATATGAGATATTTGGCCGGAAAAACTGAAGAATGGAAACAGTTCAAAATGAGGAAAACAAAATACCAAGAATTAGGTTTGTGGGGATTCCTTAAACATTTATTCTGGATGCTTGATATAATTGGCTTGCTCTTATTGATCGCATGTTTAGGTTGCATACTTGTTCCCTTGACATTAGCAGGGGGTGTCAAAAGTACATGGAAACATGGAAATATAATAGCACCGATTGTAATAGGAGCAGTTCTTGTCCCAGTTTTCGTTTTGTGGGAAGGATATGGGTCAAAGCATCCTATTGCTCCCTTGCATTTGCTTAAGGATAGAGGAATTTGGGCCGGTTTGTTAATTAGTCTGCTTTTAAACTTCATTTCTGCAGTAGAATCTTCCTATTTGTACACCGTCTTGATGGTTGCAATTAATGAAAGTCAAACTTCTGCAACTAGGATTACTTCACTTTCGTCATTTGTCGGAGTCGTTGCTGGTGTCTTTTATGGTCTTTTCGTAGTAAAGTTCAGAAAATTGAAGGGATTTATTATTTTTGGTTGCGCTATGTGGATGGTCGCTTTGGGTATCTTATTCCATTTCAGGTCTGGAACTGATTCTCATGCTGGTGTTATTGGAGGTGTTTGTTTGATGGGATTCGGTACAACTTTCTTTTCATACCCAGTGGAGGTGTCCATGCAGTCTTGTACCAGCCATGAACATATGGCCGTTATCATTTCCTTTGCCATGACAGTATACCGTATTGGTGCTGCTGTTGGGTCATCTGTCGCTGGAGCAGTCTGGTCCCAGACATTGTACCTGAAATTGTTGAAAGAGATAAAAAATGAAAAATTAGCATTATATGCTTATACAGAACCATACAATTTTATCGTTGAATACACTTGGGGAACTCCCGCCAGAGATGGAATGGTCGAGGCTTACAGATACATCCAGAGAATTTTAATCATGATCGCCCTTATTTTCTGTGTTCCTATGATTTTTTCAGGATTATTCTTGAGAGATAAGGAGCTCACGAATGAGCAGAGTATCGAGGAAGTCGAAAAAGCTAACAAAGATGAGAGCTTTTCAATGCTGAAATTGTTTGAATTCAACTTATTTAAGCGCAAGAGGTCATCCAAAGAGACATCTGATATCCATTTTTAAAAGCTTGTTGAGAGTCCGTTGACTCTGTTTAAGAGTCTCATAGATTTCTTTAGTGACTTCGATACAAGTGTGTCAATCTCCATTTTGTTTCGAATCGCTGTGTTCATGGTAAACATACCTTTAAACGCTCTTTAATATATTAGCTATAATGAAAGATGTTATATTTAAAGAAATTATAGTAGATCGCCATTCGGATCAGTTTTAGACAGTAAGCTTTGCTGTTCACAGGGACAGAGCTTCAAATAAATTTATTAGTCAGTTTAAATTTGAAACTTTGTTCGGCCCTCAGATAGATTTATTAGTCAGCTTAAATATTATTATAATTGAAAAAATGTATAATTCTAGTAAATGTGTTGGACTAATTGTTTAGTACGTCCCTAATTGACCTAGAGTTATGGCATTATTAGATGGGAAAATTGCAATTGTTACGGGCGGATCTAAAGGAATCGGAAAGGCAATAGCTCTAAGGTTTAGATCTGAAGGCGCCTACGTCGTTGTTAACTATTCACATGACTCAGCTGCAGCTAATGAGACATTTAAGCTTCTTGGCGGTGATAAGCATAATCTTCTTGTTCAAGCAGATTTGAGTAAAGTGCTGGAGTGTAGAAAGCTAATTGACAAAACGGTTGAAAAATTTGGGAAAGTTGATATTTTAGTTAACAATGCTGCTTACCTGGGCAAAACATCTATTAGCGACACAGAAGAAGATGAGTTTAATAAATTTTTTGATTTGAATGTCAAAGGGTTATTCTTCCTTACACAATATGCACTGCATCATATGCAAAAAGCCTCAAAGATTATTAATGTTTCGTCTTCATTGACGGCATCTTCGTATGTAAGGCCCGACCATTGTCTTTACGTGGCAACTAAAGGAGCCGTTGAGCAGATTACACGTACTTGTTCTAAAGAATTAGCTGCTAAGGGTATTAGCACTAACGCAATATCACCAGGTCCCGTGGAAACAGAGTTATTTTTAAAGTTAAATAGCAAAGAAACAGTAGATTTATTTAAGGAGATTTGTCCTTTCAAAAGAATTGGTACTCCAGAAGAAATTGCGTCTTTAGCTTTGTTCCTTTCATCGTCAGATTCTAGTTGGGTGAATGGACAAATTATTAGGGCTAACGGTGGATATGTAGCCTGAAGTTTTAGAATAATAATCTTGCAATTATGGGATCTACTTAGTTGTTGTTAGGGGTTGATGCATGTCATTACAGAGACCACTTATCAGCATGAATCCGCAACTGCTCGAAAATAGATGACTGAGGTGATAGAATTTAATGTGTTTAAGTGTCTTTTATAATAGTACTTCTAGTTTTTAGTATTTTCGATATCGTGACGTTATATATCTTTATACTTTCATTTTTAGCGTAAGTAGAGGAGCACACTATTTTTCCAGAAGTAAGGAGAACCAGCCTATTTCGCCGGTTGCTAGACGGAGCCTTGTCTCAAAAGCTGATAAAGGGTCCGACTTATTCTTACATGCTTTTATGTGCGAAACATCATCCGTGCACTCGAATGCTTTAGGCTCCCAAATAAACTTTCCTTGTGATTTCAATTCTTGCAAAAGCCAACCAATTCTTTCTGCGCCAAGTCTTGCTCCATCTAAGTTGGCGGAGGATGGTCCTATTTTCAAAGACGCATACTTTCCCAAGATGTATAAAGGAATGACATTATTCCATTGTAGGTTGTCAGTTAAGCATGGGAAACCCTCGACTATAGGAATTTCATACTCCTTAAGAATATTTTTGAAGAGTGGTAAACATTCAATGTTTGCTTTAATACCTGTAGCGTAAACTATGTAATCCATGCTTGATAACTCGTAATAATTTCTCACCGGTTCAGGATTCCATTTGCTTTTTACATTGGTACGGAGGCCCAAATGCCATACTTTGTTATTATCATCCCAATTTTGTGTTTCAATCAGGGTATGGTCAAATATTTTCAATCTTCCTTTTTTCACATAAGACTTCAAGATGTTGTAGTATTCAGGATTAACTGATCCCCCTTGCCTCGCATTTTGAATCATTTCAAACCTTTCTTCATCAGATTCCCTGATATAGAAGGCAGATTTTTTGACATTCTTGTATTTGGTAACCCAATCAAGATGAAAATCGAAATGTTTAATCTTCAAGGGTCCTCGTAAGATTAAATAGACTTGTTGGACTCCAGATTTTATTGCAACATCAACGAGTTGTGCTGAAGTTAAACCACCACCGACAATTACCAAGTTGGTGGGCTCTTTTATCTTCACTTTCAGAAGGAGTCTTTCATTTGGAAAATTAACTTCCCGGGAGAATATGTGGGTTGTGTGACAACTCCCTTCGGGAAAACGAGGATCTCCGAAATGAGCTGGATAGTTTATTTCGCCTTCGTGACCATGCGCGGCGATACAAATTTTGCAACCATAAATTTTCCCTGACGACGTTTTGATAATAAACCCGGTTCCAGATTGTTCAGTTCCTATAACATTAATGTTGCGATATGACATTTCAATAACTTCCCCTTTTTGTATTCTCAGGTTTAAGTTATACTTCTCAATAAGATCAACGCAAAAACTTTTGAAAAGACTAGTCGACGGCCTGTAGTAATCCTTCCAGTCACGCATATTAATATCTATGAGACCTTCTTTATCGTGTGTATTACCATTTGAAGGAACTGGAACTTTACTTAAGCCTTTTCGTTTGGATCTTCTCTTTTTCATTTGGTGTTTAGAGTATTCCTTACCAACAACATTATCGATTTCCCTTAAGAATTCAGGTCCTTCTTTTCCCTTTTCATGAGCAAAGGATACCAACCCATCTACATTGGCAGGATCAGGATGAAAGAACATTGGCGATCTTAGGAAGGGGATTTGACAACTTGAAAATTGGTTGTCCCATTGGCCCATGAATCTATTCGAAACTTTATCGATAACTAAGATATCTTCTGGCAAGAACGTTTTGGACAGTGAATATGTCCTTCTTTTGTCGGGAGATTGAAAACTCCTATTAGAAGAAATGTTTTTGTTTATTAAATTCACCCTGTTTTGCCTACCTTTGAGCCAGTGGAATCTTTGATGTTCGTCCTCAGTGTAGATTGCACCTGCTAATTTTTCGCACAATCTTGTTGCAATAGCTAGACCACAGGTTCCCCCGCCGACTATGATTACTTCAAAAAAGTCCTCTTGAGGAATATTATAAGTATCACCTTGAAGTTCCATAAAGATTTAAGCTCAAAATTGAAAGATGTTAAAAAGATGGCTTTATACTTACATATTAAAGTAACCAGTGGGGTGTTTCTAAAGATACAAGGCCACCAAGGTGGATATTCAAAAAATCAAATTAATTGAACTTTTTACGGATATTACGGTCACGGTACTCTCTGTACACCCCTTTTCAAATATTGCTTGATGTCAAGTCTTTGATCTCATTTTTTTAAGTTTTCAAATGAATTAGCTGGTTTTTTAAGGAACTTTTGTTTCGGGCCATTTTCCAATTTTTTAGAGAAGAAGTCAAAACTTACAAAAAACTGCAACATTTTTTTTTTTATTTCCAAATTGAAATTACACATTATTGCAGTTACGTATAGCGTTTGCTGAGAGAAAAACATATGAATACATCCTAATAGTTTTCAAATCATAACTTTAGGAAAGGAAATTTACAGTGCAAACGGCTAAACGCTCCAGTTCAACTTTGGAGACCGATCTTTATTGTAGCAAAATATAGGTTTTATTACAAACGAAAAGACATCTTATGTCGAGATACCCAAAGAGCTGATGGTGGGAAGTATTTTACATATGTACATTTTTTTTCCTTTCAAATGAATTCAAACTTTAATTGCACATACACTACGAGTGAGCTTAAAAGTCGTCTTATTTCAGGCCTATTATATAAGTGGCATTCAGTACATATTTTTAACAAATATTACATAAATTGATTGAAATTTTCCATATAAACCTAAAATTAACGTTAACTTTTATTAAACGAAAACATTAGTAAAGTCATTTTGCCTTATTTTTTTCAAAAGCCTGAACATTATCCAATTTCATCGAAAGAAGAAGTCCTGCATTTCAGACTCTCGTAAGGCTATTTTCAGTCATTTAGTTAAAGCCATTACGTTTTAACTTCAATTACCTTTGGCTCCTGCGTGAAAACATTTGCAAGCGTGACTAAAGGCGTTTAAAAAGCGATCACTAAAAATGCCAGCCACTTTCGTCGAACTGAGATCTATCTATTTTCAAACGCTTGAAAGATGAAGGCTCAAAGGTATGCTGTAATAGGAGTATTCTTAATTTTCGTAACCTTGGGATTGAGCCTCGGAGTGGGCTTAGGAGTTGGATTGCGCTCTAAAAAAAAAGTTACGAGTTCAGCCACTGATCACCAAAGCCCCAAAAAAATATGGTTACCAGCGATAGGTAGCACATGGGACTACCACTTGCAGAATACTGTCAAGCAGATAAACAAAAAAACTGACATATATGATATTGATCTATTTGACAACTCTGCTAAGGAAATTGAGTCTCTTCATGATAATAACAAGAAAGTTATATGCTATTTTTCCGCCGGATCATATGAAGACTGGCGTAGTGACAGTAAACTCTTCAAAAAATCAGACTTGGGAAAGCCTTTAGATGGATGGAAGGGTGAAAGATGGGTGAACATCTCATCGAGTAATGTTAGAGACATTATGCGAAAGAGAATTAAGATGGCTCATGATAAGAAATGTGACGCCATAGACCCTGACAATATTGATGGATATGACAATAAAAATGGATTAGGGTTAACCAAGCATGACTCGATTGATTTCATCAAATATTTGTCCAAAGTCACTCATTCCTATAATATGTCAATTGGCTTAAAGAATTCAGATTCGATTATAAAAAAAGTGATAAACGATGTAGACTTCTCCGTTCAAGAACAATGTGTCCAGTATGACAATTGTAAAGATTACCAGGAATTTATTAAAAACGAAAAATGTGTCTTCCACGTTGAGTATCCCAAAGGAGAGAAGAATAATAACAAAAATGTTAGCGCTTCCACTGTGAAGCGTATTTGCAGCAACAAGTCCTCTAAGGGGTTCTCCACGATCTTAAAAAACCTTGACTTAGATAATTGGATACAGTTTTGCTAATCGAAATGATATTAAGAGACAGCCATGAACAATTTGTTTACTTACTTGGCCTGACTCTAAAGGATTTTAATTAGATGCTTTTAGCTACTTTGGCACCATATATATTTTTGGGAAGCTTTCCGTTCTTGAATTGAGGTCTATCTTCATTCAAAATTTTTAACAGTTAGATATCATCGAATATGAACAGGAAAATGACCCTTTACAATTTGAAGTTGAAGTCACTTCTACAAGCATTTATATTGGTCACAGACTCTTTCTTTAGGATTAGCGTTCCTCTTCCTCTAGACGTTAGTTAGAGGGTATAAGATATCCTCATAGATGGAAGTCGTGTATCGATTAAAGCTTTCTTTAGTTCGGACTTAAAGTTTTTCATCTTGAAGTCTTAATATCTTAAAATTGCCACTACACATATCTTATTTTGGTAGACGATTTAACTTCCATACAATATGCTATCGGCCTAGATTTCTTAAATCCGCCGATTCCCCTACAAATAATTTCTCAAGTGGTAGCTCGTGCTGTATCTCCCCACCTTTGCTTAGTTGGTCGGAGATAGTCGCGCATATTATTTGACATTAAACTATGGCAGAAGCTTTCATCCCCACCAGAAGATTTCGGCAGGCCATACAACCCCACAAAAATTGACCAAACCAATCATAGAACAACAAGATAGTTCCTATAAGTGTCTATCATTTATTTTATTTCAAGTTGACCCCCACTTTCTTTGTGAACAATGATAGTATAAAGTTCCAGAATATCCATCTAAGTTTTTAAAGAAAGTGGCCACTTGTTTCGGTACATACTGCTTATAGTAGCATAATTGCCTAAAGTTATAGAGAGATGGTTCTGTTATTCACAGAGGAAAATTTTAAAAAGTTATCCCAAGAATTGGATGTAATTCTTGCTGATAGTACAGATGCTCAGAAGCACCCAGATTCGTATGCTTCTGGCGTTGTGTCTGGTGTTACCAACCAACATGAAGTTGAGATATTGAAGGCCCTGGGTTATAAGAACTTAGAGAGTAAGGAGCCAATGCAGACTGATTCTTTGTTTTGTATTTTTTCCTGTACGAAGGCAGTAGTATCAACCGGACTTCTTCAATTATGGGAAAGAGGACTTCTCGACCTCGATGCCCCAGCAAAAAACTACTTACCTAGGATTTCTAAGCTTGGTAAGCTCAAAGGACTCAATCATGATAACACTCCGCTTTTTGAAAAGCCAAAAGTGGACATAACTACCAGGATGTTATTGACACATACATCAGGTCTAGGATATACATTTTTCAGTGACGAATACGAAAAGGTGGATTCTGCGATTGGAGAACCAAGCTTTGAGAATTTTTCGGAGAAATCGCTAGATGGCTCTTTTCTTCTTTTCGAACCTGGTACTCAATGGATGTACGGTATGGGGATAGACTGGGCAGGTAAGGTCTTGGAAGCAATTACAGGAAAGAGCTTAGGGGAATATCTCAAAGACAATATTTTGGAGCCGGCACATATGGACTCCTCTACGTTTCATGTATTAGATGAAAAGGACAAGAAGAGACTTGTTACGCTTTACAGTCGCACCAAAGATGGTCTAGTACCATTTAGGCACCAGCCTCCAACTGACCCTTCGCTCGATATTGGTGGCCACGGCTTGTTTTCCACAGTCGAAGACTATTTAAAGTTTATTAGGATTTGGTTGAATGATGGGAAGACTTCAGAGGGAGTTCCAATTATATCAGAAAAGACTTTCAAATATGCCATTCAAAACCATTTGCCATCAGATTTACATGTAAAGTCCTTGAAGTCATATAAGGCAGAATTGAGCAAAGACATTCCTACAGATCCATCATTAAAGCCAAATGATTGGACACTTTGTTTTGCATTGAACGGCGACGACCTGCCTACCGGCAGACCAAAAGGGTCTCTTTACTGGTGTGGTCTCTCCAATTTGTTTTATTGGATAGACTTAAAGAATAAAATTGGCGGATTTTATGCCTCACAAATTTATCCATTGGGAGATGATTCTGCTGCAACATCTTATAAGGTTGAATCAACAGTTTACAAATATTTAGAGTAATATTTATATAAGCTTTTTCGATCTAATTCAAAGTAATTGATCACTCTAAATGAGAACAGAAATGATGAGTCCTTGTCAAAAATGAAGTTCACTATCAGAGTTTAACCTTTAGTGATTTGCGCGCGGTCATTAACCGGTTTCTTGGAGTTTCTTAAAAAGATTTTGATATTCTGACATGTTTTTATATTTTGCGTTTTGGTCTACAATGTATTTTTAAGGGCAGCTTGGTCATTCGTTGCAAAAAATTCACCGATGTTACTCCAAAAAACCTAATTCTTAGCTGCTTGATAGGAAATAAAAATAAGATATTGATTATATTCGAAGATTAGCTCTTCGTTGTCTTTTATTATCGCATCTTCATCTCTTGACAAACATTGGAAGATAAATAAAATTTTGAGGTATTCTCCGATTCTAGCATTCGAATTTGCTCCTTAAATGTTATATCTTTTTGAGCTTCGTCAACTCTATCCCATTCTCTCTCACTTTCAGTCCTGAAATGCCTTGTTTACTATAGGTCCACAAGTGTGCACTATTTCGAATAGCACAGCTGCTACAAAAAAGATAGCTTGATAACATTTTAATTTTCTGCTTTTACTGCAAATTTTTAATTTTTCTTCGGTTTAATGATATTTGGAGAACTCGTATGCGCCAAAATTTGAAATATCAAAAGCAGGACACGAATTGCTTAAAAGTTCTGTCATGTTTCACCACATTTCTTAGTCATCCGAGGATCTTAGTTTCTATCTACAGTCAAGTAGAAGATGAAAGTTAAAGCCGCCGATTTAGTTCTAATTGGAACTGAAAAAAACCTAATACTCAAGACATTTTCGAGAGAATAAAGGAACAATAGTATCAGCGCCCCTTTGTCACCTTGATCCAGTTCTCCGTCACTCCCCTTGCTTTTATATTCTCGCCATCGCAAAGTCAATAATGTATACTTCCTTCCTTTATGTAGAGGATACTGTTCCTCTTGATTATCCCCTGTGTATTATCTCAAATTGATAAACCACGTAAAATACGTCAGTCTTTTGGCAATGGGCCCTGTTAGATTTATTTAAACACGATGAAGCACCCTCTCTCCTTCATCTTTTCCTACTCTTCATTAATTGAATCCATAATGGTTCCCACACTAGATGCTTGGTGCCAGATCGGCCTAGGATCCCTCAAGCTCAAACTCATTATTGTCACTAAGAATAATTTCAGTAAGTGTCCTGTACTTGCTAGCTTCTTCCTGTCTAATTAAATCCATGTCCTTTGCAGAATATGAAGAGGATGATTCGCATTCTCACTTATCTGCTCGCTTCTACAGCCTAATTATTACCGGCACATCACTCTTTGATCAAAAAGGACCTAGTATAATCTATGTTACCCATAATTCGTTAAAGCTTTTCATACTAAATAAAAAGTCACAATCGCTGGGCCAGCAGTGCATGTAATAATTTAAGTACTACAACTCTCGAAGTACGCTCCTTGCACCCCAATGAGAAGATCAAAGAGTCTTCCATGATTATCAAGGATACGAGGGTTTTTTTTTTCTTCATACCGATTCATCTGAAAAAGAATGGGAATACACATATTTGTGAGACAATGCCCGATAATTAATACAGGCAATTATAAAACTGAGACACTATAACGGTACAGACTGGCTAAGCTGTGATCAAGTCAGATGCTCCAATGTAATTAAATATTTCTGTAATCTTCAGAAGAACCGGCAAGATTCCCTATTTGAAGTTACATGTGATATTCTTCTAAAGTAAAAAAGGAAACCTTTCAATTCATAAGATAAAAAAATTAAGACGATTTGTATTGGCTTCTACTATAACTGCCTATATCCTAATGTACTGAAACGTCAAAACAGCTAAAATCAAAAATTCCCATGAAGTGAATTGAAATGTTGAGGACTTTTTGAGCTTATTAGAGAATACTTACGAGATTCGGCTGTTCACTATATTATTGGACTCCAAGTTCACTTTTACTATTCTCTCTATCGGTCGAAAATCAACGAGAAATCTTACATAAGTCCGCTGCTTTGTATCCGCATCTTCCTTAAGAGCTTTTAACTAAAGTCAACTAGTCTGACAAGCATATAAAATAAAACGTACTTAGACGCGATGCAGATCTTTTCTCCTTGAATATAATTTAGATCTCGAACTTGCTGTTACATTATCATCGTAATGAGTTAGACCGACTTCCCTTTTGAAAGGATCTATCTCTTCAAGAAATGTGCGATATAAGGAGAAATTGAACATCCGGCCAAAGAAGTCATTTACCCCGTACTTGTTCCCCATTTTTTTTTCGAAGCTTATGGTATTATTCCTGAGCCCTGCTAAAACAACCATGATCGGAGCTCTTGAGCTTAAGTTTCTCCGCTTATCCAATTTTTCCTGAAAAGTCTCATATGCAGGGTCCTCAAATAAAAGATGCTACTTGCGAAAGCGACTTGTTGCAAAGGGAGTATTGTTGAACTTACAAGATATCTGTACTATAGCTTACTAGAATTGAATAATTCGATTCCTTATGATTTTGCTACAAGTTTTTATATTTAATAATGTTGTTTTAGTAAATTAAAACTTATATTTGAAAGCCAACTTTAAATAGCGGTCCTTCGGACAAACATATGTTCCTCATGCGGAATGTAACATGTATGATCTTGGAAATAGCCGTGCGACATCAGACCACAATTACGGCCACTTGCATGGCTCCACTTTTTATTCCCCTTCCGTGAAACAACTTCTCCCCTCTCCAACGTCAATTTGTCATTCTGTTGTTTGAGCTTTCTCTCGCGTATATTCTCGAACCTTATAAAAGCAAGATTTACCAGCCTTTTGAAAGCGATATGAAGGTATATCACATTCTAATCTATTAAGCGTATTTTAGTGAAAGAAAAGAACAAAAAATGGGCTACGAAGAGAAATTCGCAGCACCTGCGTTGCGACTTGCAAATTACTTAGACTCCTTTCCTACCACTTACAACGTCTACTTTATGGGTATGGTTTCTTGTGTCTCTGGTATCATGTTCGGTTTTGATATTGCCTCGATATCGGGGTTTCTCGCAGACGATGACTATTTGAATTTCTTCAATTCTCCTAACTCGAACTTGCAGGGTATTATATCTGCCTCCATGGCTTTGGGATCATTTTTTGGTTGTTTTGTTTCTGCTGTTGTATCAGAGCCGTTCGGAAGAAGAGTTTCGTTGTTTTTGAGCTCCTTCTTTTGGATCATTGGAGCTGCAATACAATCTTCCTCTCAAAATGTTGCACAATTAATTTGTGGTCGTCTTATCGCTGGTTTTGGCGTGGGATTTGGTTCAACTGTTGCACCAGTCTATGGGTCCGAGGTCTCACCAAGAAAAATTAGAGGCGCAATTGGTTGTCTTTTCCAGTTCTGTGTTACCTTGGGTATCTTGATTATGTTTCTCATTTGCTACGGATTAACTCATATTAATGGTGTAGCGTCTTTTAGAATAGCTTGGGGTCTTCAGATGGTACCTGGTTTGATATCACTTGTTTGTTTATTCTTTATCCCAGAATCACCAAGATGGTATGCAAAACAAGGACATTGGGAGAAGTGTGAGTTTATTGTGAGCAAAATCCATAAGGCTCCAGTTGATGATCCTGAAGTCAAGACTGAGCTCGCTGAGATCAGCGATCAATTGCAAGAAGAAAATGCTAGGGCGTTCCGTTACATCGATTTATTTTCAAAGAGATATCGCCGTCGTACTTTTCATGCTGTTTTTGCTCAAATTTGGCAACAATTGACTGGTATGAACACTTTAATGTATTATATCGTCTACATTTTCCAGCAAACAGGTTACACAGGTAATACAGAATTAGTTTCTGGTATAATTCAATACGTTCTTAATGTTGTTATGACGATCCCGGCCTTTTTTATCATGGATAGGGTTGGTAGAAGGCCTATATTGTTAGTTGGTGCTGCATTGATGATGACTTGGGAGTTTGCGATTGGTGGGATTTTGGCGACTTATGGAAAGCCTGTTGATGCTTATGTCCTGCCAACTGGCGAAAAAAATACTACAGTCAGATGGATAATCCCATCCTCTAACGCTGCTGCTGGAAAAGCCGTCATTGCATGCTGTTACTTGTTTGTTTGTTCTTTTGCACCTACATGGGGTGTAGGTATATGGGGTTATTGTGCTGAAATTTGGGGTGATAGTGCCTCAAGACAAAGAGGAGCTGCTGTGACTACTGCCGCAGATTGGGCATTGAACTTTGCTATTGGTATGTTTACGCCTTCTGCGTTCAAAAATATAACTTGGAAAACATATATAATCTTCGGAGTATTTTGTGCAACAATGTTCTTGCATGTTTTATTCTTCTTCCCCGAGACAAAAGATAAACGTTTAGAAGAGATCGGACAAATGTGGGATGCAAAGGTTCCAGCATGGCGTTCCGCTTCTTGGAAGCCAAAGGTACCTGATGCTGTGATAGACTCTGAAGGAAAGGTAATTCCGGTTCATCATGAAGAAACTGTCGGATCTGTCGAATCTTCGCGTTCTGGCAGCGAAAACAAGGCAGAAGGCACTCCTCCAAGCGATACCTAAATATGTTAGTTTATGAAATAATCTAAATTATAATAAGAAGTGTTTTATTACACCAATTGCGAGTTCAATTGGTTTCGAAGTTATATGGCAAAATTAATAGGCACAAACTTTTAGATTGATAAAGTTTTCAAAAGCATCTATTCTTAACATTTCAAAATATGTATGCTAGATGCTTATCAAAGAGACAGATTAATGTCAAGGATAAAGAATAAAGAACTAAGAATTAATGAATCTTCTATTTAATATTTGTCGCACCATCTAGTATCAAACTTCAAATTAATCTCTTTTCTTTCCTAAGTACATTCTGGAAGGTAGCTCTATGATGTTCAGAGATCTCTTCAGGATTATCCTAAAACCTTTATAATGAATTGAAATAATACTCCTATTGTAGACAGATAAGTCCCTTTATGTCAAGAAGTATTTTGTTAAAAAAAAAAATTGCAATAATATACTTTTTTGTCTCTCATAATAGAGCTTTAATATTTTATTTCAAAACAGTATTGAATTTGCGGCAAAATAATCCCTAGAGTATTCACTCGACACACACTCGAAAGTCTGTCTATCTCCCCTGTATCGGTTCTTCATTGAGTTCAAGGAATAAACTATATCAGTGAATCTTGCAACTTTTCTTTGTTAATAGTTTTCAAAATCAACAAAGCTCTTAATGCTCAAATGTAGGTTATATTGTGTAAATATAACTTCTCATTTTCACCCTTTTAAAAAGGCTCTCACTTCAATTCAGGTTGACTTGTGATAGAGATAAGTTGAGGTTGAAATGAACCACCAAATGACCTTAAACTAAGTCATTGTCTCAAGCTTTTAAACCTTATGAACTGCTCAGTTGAACCTTGATGTGTGATTCATATCTTACGGCCAGGCTGCTTCATTCTTTTTTGCGTGAGTTTGCAAACTTGTTCCCAAAGTATAAATAGTCCATTGCCAGAGGCTCAGAAGATAAATTAAGCGGAGTTTAGCGGAGGAAATATTCAAACATGCTGGGCCCTGGTATACGCGAGGGAAGCCGTATATGCCTATTTATCCGATTTGCGGGGAAATGCATATGTTTTGACGTTAGGTTGAACAATTTGAGGTATTATTTGTTCAACTATGCAGGTACAACTGGGTTATTGCAAAGATGCGTGATACCTTTCAATGATTTATTTGTTGTTTCTGGTACTTCTGGAGACTCAGATAGATCTCCAAAAGGAAAAAAAGAAAAAAGGAGGAGTAACGGATAACCAACAATTTGCCGTGCATATTTCAATTAAAGAGCCCATATGATGTTACGTCATAATATGGGTTAGGCTTCTAAACCAACACTATGGGAAGTCATTCTGTTTATTTTTTTGACAGCACCCTCAAAATCTGAAAGTGTTGACCTGCCTTAGCATTGAATTCATTGACAGCCACCAGACCAACAGTTACATCCATTTTGTAATAAAACTGAAAAGAAAAATTTAAAAATGTCCGAGTAATACCATAATAAAAAAACGGTAATAAGATTCAGTATCTCCATACTTCCATAGGGGCTCTTGATTTTGAAATTGGAATATCCACTTAACCTGACTGGATTTAGAGTTTAAATTGAGGTCTCAGTGATTTTCGAGGTTTAAGCTGACAGCAAATGGCTCGAAGTAAAGACCAGAACTAACTTTTTCAAATAACAGCTTATACTCCCTTCTTCTTTGACAGACTCCAAAAAGATTAAGGTTTTATGTTTCATTTGCCCTTTAGGATTAAGGAGACCATCTTCGGCCCATATTATTAGAAATCGATTATCACGCGAGCCTGGCTTACATATGAACTTATTCTACAAGCTGTCGGAATTACGATCAAATCATCTTCATAAATGAAAACAGAATACAGCATCATACACTGAAGTTCTTTGTGGCAGAATTGTGAGTTTACTTTGCTTATTTGACGACCTTTTTACGTTGAATGTAACCATTGGGAGTGACATGCTATATCATTGCCTTTATTCTTTTACTTAGAAAATATTAGTAAAAAATTAACATTTGAAGCGCCTAGCAGTCTCGAATAGTGGTGACTGAAAAAAGTGTCATAACATTCGAAAACTATGGCATTAATCTTTGCCTAAAGAATCGGTGGTTAATGTCCGCATTTTTATGTGAATAAGTATGAGCTTTTTCAACGAATTAAATATCTTTTAGAGCTTACCATTCGGTCAAATATTACATATACGAGGTAAGATATAATTCAATTGTTTTGATGACACATTACTTGTTAGGCGATATCTTCCGTTTAATCAAGCCAGAGTCAATTTGTGATTCAGTTTATTAGTACAATATGCTAATATGTCTTTGCCATCATATATAAATAAAAAAGAGATGTTTGAAGATCAGTTGTCTAATTTTGTATTGCAATCTTAAAATGGTATCAGTTTCAAGGCTAGCGGCTAGTATTTTGCTAGCAGAACCAACAACATATCAGGATATCATACTTCCTGGTCAAGCATCTGTCGAACAATATAGCATCCTACGCTATATGGGAGGGTCAGGTCCTTATGTCCAACATCCAGGCTATGGAATTCCTAATCAAATTCCTGAAGAATGTCAAATCCAGCAAGTTCAGGTATTTGCCAGGCATGGTGAGAGATATCCTTCAGCTTCCAAAGGTGAAGATTTTGAAGGTTTGTTAAAAAAATTTAAATCCTACTCAGAACCCTTCAAAGGACCTTTGTATTTTTTAAATGAATATGAGTACTTTGTGAAAAGAAAGAAGGATTATGAGATGCTAACTACGCCCTCAAACAGTCGTAGCCAGTATAATGGATACGCCGATGCTATTAGACATGGGATCTTTTTCAGACAAAAATACGGATCATTGTATGATGAGAATTTTGTACTCCCTCTCTTTACTACTAATAATATGAGAGTTTATGAGACATCTCAAGGTTTCATTGAAGGGTTTTTGAGTGATGAACATTCGACTGAGAAGTTTAAAAACATCATTCTCTCAGAGGATTCGCAAATGGGCGCCAACAGCTTGACCCCAGCGAGTGCTTGCTCAACATGGAGCGACGATTATGCAAACGAGATTGTAAGCAGGTATAGTTCCAAGTATTTGGAATCGATCAAAAAAAGGCTTCTAAAAGACAATAAAGGCTTAAATTTATCCACGGATGATGTTTACACTCTCTTTGATTGGTGTGCTTATGAGATGAACGTTAAGGGAATATCACAATTTTGCAGCCTCTTCTCTCAAGATGAATTAGTTAAATACGAATACTCCCAAGACTTATACGGCTTTTATTCCGATGGTACGGGAAACAAAGTAATCAAGCCAATTGGATCAGTCCTATTTAATGCTTCTAGGCAATTACTTAATGAAGATACTGAAAATAAAATATGGTTGTCTTTTTTTCATGATACTGACTTGGAGAATTATTTGGCAGCTATTGGATTATTTGATACAGGAAAGAATCTTACCCTGAAGTACATCGATTTTGACAGGAAATACACAAAATCTACTTTGGTGCCTATGGGAGCTCGTTTATATGTCGAAAAGCTAAACTGCTCTGGCAAAAACTATGTCAGATATATATTGAACGATGCCGTGATTCCTATTCCAGGGTGCTCGAATGGGCCAGGATTCTCTTGTGAGCTAAATGATTTCAATAATTACTTTTTCAAGAGGCTCGAGGGAGTTGATTATAAGGAACAATGTAACATTGGAAATGCTTCAGATCATTTAACATTTTATTGGGATTACATGACAAAAGATTACTCGGCCCCTTTGAAGAAACTGTCCTATTAATCTGAATTTTTTGTTCAGTCTTCGATTTATTTATAAGTCTTTATTAATAGATTAGGAAAACTTGATCACCGTTTTTCTGAAAGGATCATTATCATGGTCAAGAAAAGATGGGTTTATTTATATATATAGAATCTTCATATTCTAGGGTCACCAAATCGATTATATTTAAAGAAACTCCCGTAGTCTCCTCTTATCTCAACCTATTAAAAAAAAAAATCATCAGATTTATAAGGATCTCTAAGACTTCTTTTCTAAGGTACAGACCTTGTAGAATTGAATATTCAAAGTTTTTGAACAGGAAATGTCTCACAGAGAGCTATATGCCACATTGAATTGAGAGTCTCTGAAGATCAAAATGGCCTTCGATGGAATTTAGTAGGCGCACGAAATTTTCTATTAGATACTTTGATTGAGATGCTCTTAAATTTGAAGCGACCACGGCTCCTTTCACTTTAACACAACATTGAACTATGGATGTAGTAAACTTGAATATAATATGGAAACTGAATTACAAGCCCTGACTAAGGGTAGCGAAAGTCCAGACTTGGAATCCAGTATTAACGATGGTGAAAGATCGGACCATAACAGCAATCTCATGAATTTCGTGATAAACGATGACGATAAGGTTTTCAATTTATTAGTAGATGAATATGTCACAGCTCCAATAGAATCAATTACTAATATGAATATTCAACCCGGTGAAAGTGGCTTTTTGTTCTGGTTTTTAATATCATCATATTTTCCCGTAATTACAGCGTGTCTAGGACCTTTGGCAAACCTGTTTTCAGTACTTGCTTTAGTTCAAGATTGGAGATATTCAAAGAAAAGCGGCGAGCTAGTTGAAGATGCCGGATACTTAAGAGCCATTAACGCCTTAAGCCTAGTGTTCGCCTTATGTGGAAATATTTCTTTACTTTTCAATTTCACAAGAGGTTATACTTATTTAGTAACTCAAAAGATATCTATCGTATGTTGGCTCATTGCTAGTATTTTAATATTGGTTATTGTTATTGAGGTTAATAAATTCTGTGTTGGAACTGATCCCTTATTTTATCGTTCTGAGGGGTTTTGGTTAGGGGTACATACCACTCTATTTTATTTCTGCTGTTCAATGTTTTTAATTATCAATTATTCTGGATACATGTTAAAAAAGTACCCTCCCATGTTCAATTTGACATCTTCCCAAAGGACATTAATGGCCTTCACTATCGTCCTCTCTATTTGGCTAGTAATTGGAAGTTTGGTGAATGAGAGATTAATTAGGCATCTCACTCAAGGTTCAGCTCTATATTACTGCACCACGTCAATTTTAACTATAGGTCTTGGAGATATAACTCCCAAATCAACTGGGGCCAAGATTTTCATTTTGGTTTACTCACTTGTTGGCGTTCTTTTGATGGGCCTCATAATCACTATGATTACACGCGTGGCAATGTTATCTTCAGATAAAATAATTCGGTGGCATAATACTGAAAAAAGAAGCTCTCTGAAGATAGTTCACGCAAAAAATAAGGGTTATGAATTTACTCCGAAGGAATCTTTTGCAGTGATGAGGAGAATAAACCGTAAAGTCAAAGCCACACAAAGCATTTCTTCTATTGCTATAACAATTTTTACATTTGCAGCTTACGTATTTATAGGAACTAGCGTTTTTTATGCTTCTGAAGGCTGGGACTACTTTGATGCTTTCTATTTTTGCTTTCTTTGCCTTATAACTATTGGTTATGGTGATTTTCATCCAATTTCTCCGTTTGGAAGAATTTTTTTTGTTTCTTGGACATTTTTTGCTGTTCCTTTAATGACGATCTTGATTTCAGATTTAGGGGATCAAATATTCAATATTTCAATGAATGTTAACAAATCTACCAAAAGTTTGTTCATAAAGAGCGAAGATGAAGAAGACCTGAAAAGCAAATTACTTCAAGAACTTTACGACAAAATGTCCCTCGACCATCAAATAGAAAATGTTTCAAAAGCTAGCTCTTTGGTCCGCGATATTGATGAATTGACTTTTATTCAAAACAATGCATGTCGAGTCAAGTTGATGGATAACTTAATTAAATCACTAGAGCGATGGAACGACATTCCACAGGATACTGCCGGCGATGTTCGTATAAAGAAAGCTGAATTGCTCGAATTAAATACAAATTTGGTGGATCTAATAATATTTCAAATAAGGAGTACCCAACATCTTACAATTTGCTTCAATCATTTGGTAAAATATTATATAGACTCCATGAAAGGTGAATCAAAGACATATAACAATGAGGAATGGTCTAAATTTGGTAGGTTCCTTCTCGGGATTACAGATAATATGCCACGTTCTTCCGTCGTCGAAATTACAAGCAAGCTAGGCGATTACTACTGGCTAGATAAAAATTCGCCCTTAAGACTTCCTTTAATTGAAACCAAATTTTTTCTTCTCAAAACTATAGGAAAAACTGAGGAAGATATCCGCAGAATGTCGCAAGTGAATGTTGCGATATTGGACAAGTTAAGCTCGTCTTCAATATGCCCTTCGTCTACTTCGGCTGTCACCCTGTGACTTTGGTTGACTTTGTTGAAAAAAGCGTTGAAAATGAGAAACAATGGGTTCACGACTCATTATATAGATCTCACTGCTGAGAAGCATTTATAAGTCTGCTGGCCCTCCATTTTATGATGAGAGGGTTTGTTTTGGTTTTTTGCTAATTAATTCGTTAGTTTTCTGCCATCAAGGTGCAGACGATGGCTATCATTGTCTCTCTACAAAGACTTAGATTCCGTCTATATTATACGTCACTTTTAATCTTCATTAAACCACATCAATTATCGATACTGCAATTTAGATGTAGAAATGCTTTTGGTGTGATATTACTGGTCTGTCTTTTGTTTCTCTGATTAATGAGGCATCCACTACTTGAAGTGGAAATCTAATGTGCGCAACCTTAATCAGTTTTAAGGGACTTTCAATCTCATCGCTTTTCTCCATCATGGCCGATTCATTAACTTATTTCGCATATGAGGAGCCTAATCCCGTAACAATCTTGATATATTCAGGTTTTATTTTACTTCTTAATGCTATTAAGTTTGTTCTTGATCGTTTAATTAGTTGTGGTTTGGTTGGGCAAATCCTTATAGGAGTCACTTTTGGAGTGCCAGGGTGTAAGTGGCTCACATTGTCGGCACAGAAAACTATAATGCAACTTGGGTATATCGGATTAATATTGATGGTTTATGAAGGTGGTTTATCTACACCATTTAAAACAATGAAAGACAATTTATTACTTTCACTAGGTGTTGCTATTACAGGAATAATCACTCCCATAGGATTAAGTTTTACATTGATGAGTTTTTCAAACGCATCTCCCGTTGCAGCATTTGCAGCGGGTGCCGCATTATGTTCTACGAGCTTAGGTACTGCTTTGACTGTCTTATCAACTGCTAATTTGAAAACCACAAAGCTTGGTGTCCTATTAACAAATGCGGCTGTCATTGATGATATAGCGGGATTGATTATGATGCAGGTAGTTTCAAATCTTGGAGATGGAGATTTTACGGCAGCAAGTGTGTTGCGTCCAGTGTTTGTTTCCCTAGGACTTATACTCATTGTTCTTGTATTTTGTTACTTTGCACTTCTTCCAGTAACAATTAGAGTAATTCGGTTCGTATCATCTCATGATGGATGGTTCAAATCTTTGTCAGCAGAAAAGGCAATGTTTGTGGTGCAGACCCTCACCCTAATTGGTTTGGTAATTGGTGCTACTTATGGAGGAGCGTCGGGTTTGACTGCTGCTTATGTTACAGGGGCTGCAATTACGTGGTGGGATTCTGAAATACTACGTTTGAGAAACTGCCCAATTTCTTCTGTTTCCAATATTAATGACGCACCACCAAATGTCGAAGAAAATTCTGAAATATTACGAGAAAATACTACAGGTAAGTGGTTGACTGGTCATTTTATATTTAATAAGTTTTATGCTGAAGTTTTCAATAAAATTCTCTGCCCATTTTTCTTTGCTTCAATTGGATTTTCGATTCCTATAACGCAGATGTTTACTGGTCGTCTAATTTGGAGAGGGTTTGTTTATGCATTATTGATGTTTTTTTCGAAGTTGATATGTGGTCTTTGGGTTCTTGCGGTTGGTTATTTTTCTAAGCGTCGATCTACCGAAGCAGAAAAAGATATGGTTCATATAAGCAGCTTATATACTGCCGTTTTATTGGGCTTGTCAATGGTACCTCGAGGAGAGATCGGGTTCTTAATATCTTCATTAGCTGAATCTAAAGGTGTTTTCTCTGATGCACAAGCTAATCTGAGCTCGAAGAGTTCTGAAATTTATATTGTAGTTACATGGGCTATTGTGCTTTGTACATTTTTGGGGCCCATTATGATAGGTTATGTCATAAGAAAAGTCAAAAAACGAACTAACGAGCTGTTTGATCCTTTGCACAAATGGGGGGCAGGTACAAATATAAGTTTATATTAATTATTTTAGTGGTTGGGTATTCTTACACTTTATTTCATGTCTCGTGGTGTCATATGATTGGATAGCTTTAAATTCTATCAATTTTCTACATAGTCATCATTCTTGATAGCAGGTAAGTGATATAGTTTGAAATTTTGAAATTTTAACTCAGTGATTGCGCTGTTTACGAAACCAGAAAAATGGCAAGAAGACACTGATATTTATTCCAAAGTTAATATATTCATGAAAGTATTTGTTTAACAAAAGCATCCTTTCAAGCATTTTATTTAGAATTATTTATTTTTCAAGATTTTATAGAGCCAGCTTATGATAAGAATGTATGGTCGTGCATCGATGCGAATGATCATTTATGTCAAACTATCATCATCTCACTTATCTAAGTGAAATACCGAGCTTTAAACTTTGTATGACATATGAGCGAAGCCGTGAACGGATCGAAAGAGAGAGAGATTTCCAAAGGCTTGGGCTTCCATACTTTGAATTCACTGGTTGGATTTTTGGAGTCTGCGAAAGAGCCAGGTTCGCATAATGTTAATGACAAAAAAATGGGAAGTGCTAATGGAAAAGAGAAAACTACTAGGAAGCGAAATAAAGCTTGTATAAGATGCAGAAACCAAAAACTAAAATGCCAATTCACTGTTAACTCCAATCTATTGGCCTGCGATCGGTGTCAATCTCAAGGAGAAGTGTGTAAGTTTGAAACTAAAGTTGACGATAAAGAGTGGAAAAAACAGGCGGAGGTAAGAATGGAAAAAATTGAAAATCTCGTTTCAAGTTTAATGTCCTCTTTTGCTGATTTTCAAAATGAGCAAAGAAACTTTAAATCTGGTGATACTATTCCGGTTTCCAAAGATCAAAAGTCTTATCCCCTTCATCCTTCTTCCGTCGAGAAGAACAAAAAAAGACGAATAGGACATTTTCAAGATTTAGACTTAGCTAGGAATGCATTCCCCTCAGAGAATGAAATATCCATCAGTAAGTCTATTCTAGATGAAAAAGCTTCGTTGGATGACGCGCAAAGTATCAGATCGTCCCTTACGTCAGATCACCAAGACACTCAAAAAGGAGTTCTATTCTCAGATAATTTTGATAGCAACGGGCCAAATTTACTTCCAAATCAGTTTCAGTCTCCCGATTCTTACGAACCGATGGACTTGCTGCAAGTTTTTTACGATGATAAGAGGATGGATAAATGCTTTTCATTTTTTTGCACACGACTTGCTAAATATCTTCCCATATTCATATTTAATTACATTCCTCATTTGACGCCGGATATAAGAAAAAAGTCTTCTTTATTGTTCACCTCGATTGTTGCTATATCATCTTTGTTCCATCCAAAGTATCAACCATATCATCAATCGCTGCGCAAAGAGCTAGAGCTGCTCTTATCTAGTCTTTCGCCGTCCACTTTGATGAATGATGACGGGCTTCCTTATGATTTAGATAGAATTACATATGACATGTTGGGATGCATTATTGCAGCAGCTTGGCTTGGAGGTGATTTGGGGTTTCGCTGCTGTCTTATTGCGAGTGACTTAGCGGGAAGACTAAATCCTGAGGTGCTAGATGGAATGCATGTTAAGGAGCATCAAAGACGAGCTATATTCGCTTTTAGCTTAACTAGCTATATTATCGAGCGAAGGTTAAGAATTTCATATGTGAGACCATACCCTATGCATTTGAAGAATGATAAATCTGTCAAAAGAGATTATTCTTTGCCCAGGTATTTAAGTGAAATCTTTGCTCATAATGAAAACAATGTTGACTCAACAGAGTTGAAATTGAATGCTAATGTGGAACTTTGCGCAATTACAATGATATTACAGACCGAATTAGGTAGCAGAATGGACATAACGGCGGAGAGTATACTAAGCTGGAGTATAAAGTTGGATAAGTGGCTAGCTGATTGGATCGGAAGATTGACGACGCATTTAAATCCTTCTTCTGCAAAACCTTTACTCTTGACGTATCACTTTGCAAAACTTTTTCTTCATATACAGGCCCTAAACCACATAAACCCTGAGGAATTCCTGAGTATGAACAAAAAAACGGGCTTTATCAGTTGGTCAGAAATCGCTGCTACCGATATCATAGAGATGTTAATATATGACGAAGATATTAGGAGACTTATAAGCTTGGGTCCGGTTTTTTATCCGACAATCTTTGTGACCGCTGCTGCAACGCTTTTGAAAATTGTGACCCTCAGACCATATACGAGCTACGAAATTGATGAGGAATATTTGATGGGGACTGCGGAAAAGGCCTATAATGTATTATGTGAATGTATTCCATTTTCGATTTTGCCTTGCTATGAAACCGTCCATAATTTAGGCAATGGGATTAAGAGGGTAAAAGAGCGATTATCAACTAAAAACTTGCAAGTCAATACAATGACTACTGGGGAGTCATCAGAGGAAAGAAATCACATAAAAATACTGCAATTGTCTCCAAACAATATATTAAATCAAAATGATCACCATTCATCGATATTAAAAGAAAATAAAAATAGCATTGACTCCAATGCCGCAGTTCTAGAGCTGTCTCAAAAACCAAGGTTTCAAAGTCTAGCGGAAGATGATGTTACTATCACTCTGGATGCGCTTTTTTTTGATTCGAAAAATGACTCGTGGCCATTCCTCGCGAGCTCGAACCGTCGTGGCTTAAGTTCTACTGGTCCAAGAGACTCGAAATTTCCTCAGGATATTCAGCAAAATAGACCAGAAATTTCAGATTATCGTGAGCTTTGGGAGACTGAACTAATTGATGATCCTATGTTTTTTATGGACGCTTTTAATACCGAATTATTAAAATCTTTGTACGAGTCACCTCCTCATGACTGAATGATTCCAGACGTATCCTTTCCAGTTACGGTAAAACGGAAGACTTTAATAACGATACTTTCTGAGTCTTTTTTTACCTATCTTTGGATCTGGCACAGCATTATTGTATAATTGCATTATATGTAAAGGATCGAAATCAAAGTATGTTTTTACGTGTAGTGATTCGTTATAAATCTGTCATAGATTATGTCTCGCTTTCTAGAAAATGAATTTTATTGTTTAATTTGCCTTTTAAGATACCTGACACAACCAAAAATGTGATAAATTTCATTTCTTGTATTGAGAGATGACAAATTAATTTCGTTTGTATATTAGAATAGCATTGAATTATATTGAATAGAATACAGTTAATAATATTTTTGTCAATGCTTCTGTCTAAGAAAGTAAATATATTTATTTTAAATAATTTTAAGTCTATAATACAGTTTTTAAAAGCTCGTAGTAGTCACTTCTACCATGAACAATTTGAGATTTAGATCTCGGTAAACCGTAAGCTTTTTCCAAAGATGCAAGAATAATTTTTTCATCCTGAATGTTCTCGATACCAACTCTAACAGATTCTAAAGATGAAACAGAGAGCCGTTTGTCACCATTATCAAATGCTATATTTATTACCATGTCTATCACAGTAATTAAATCTTCATTTAAGTTTGAATAATTTTTCAATTCCCTTGTCACTAAATCAACTTTATTGTATAGTGTGGCTCTAACTTCGTTAATTCTAACGTCCAAACATAAACCCCATATCTTTTTTGGCACAGAATCAACAGAAGAAATCGAGGAAGTTTCACGATAAGATGAGCTGAGACTATCTGAAATGCTCTTTTCATCACTATCCTCACTTGGTAAGCTAAATAGTGGGAGGCTAGAAGACGTAAGGGCACTACGCAAATCGCCGTCTGCTTCCTCTAGATATTTTACTGCTGCCGTGATGTCTACTCCCATTTTAGCAACTATAATTGAAGTCTTCAAACTTCCATAACAATTACTCAAAAGGTTATCAACAACTTTGTTTCCTTCATGATTGGGATAAACAGTCTCTCTTTCTTTTGAAACTTTGCCATCGGAACACGTGTAAAAAGAGGTTCCGCATACCATCCAAAATATTCTTCGGGTTCTTTCTTTCAATTTTAGGTTTGTTGGCATCAAGTCTACCATAAGATTACCGTATGTCTTTCCAATTTTTACCATAGTAGCAGTACTTATCATATTCAATATGAGTTTCGTAGCGGTACCAGCTTTCAACCTAGTGCTACCTGTTATGATCTCGGGACCAGTAACTGCAGATATCATATGATCCACGAAACCACTTCTTCCCATTTCTGATTTCTCTACACAAGCAATGCCTATAGTGGAACACCCAATTTTCTTAGCATACCTAAGAGCACCAATAACATAGGGCGTCCTTCCTGAAGAAGCTATTCCCAATATTGTATCTAATTCTGGGTTTAGCTTGAAAGGCTCTAAGTCTTCAACCGCTGCTGTTTCGTTATCCTCCGCATTTTCTTGTGCCTTTCTTAATGCGACATCCCCGCCAGCAATTAATCCTATGAATTGATCAGATGGCACTGAAAAAGTCGGAGGTATCTCAGAAGCATCCAAAATACCTAGACGACCACTTGTACCAGCACCTAAGTAAAACAAGCGGCCTCCTTTCTTGATTTTGGGATGAAGCTCATCCACCACATTGGCCACAACAGGTAAAAGATTCTTAACACAATGTACAACACCAAGATCCTCATTATTCATTAAGCTAAGTAGCTGATTCGTGCTGAAAGTGTCTATCTCTGTAGTACTTGGGTTCCGCAGCTCGGTTTCTAAACCTTCTAAACATACCGATTGCATGATATATTTTCCAGGAATGCAAAATTATTCAGAAAAATGTAGTATATAGACACTTTGTTCAAATCCAAACTTCTTGTAGTATACGAGAGATTACCTGAATGCACTGTTCAGTTTGTTTTCTTCATCACACACAGTGTCTTTTTAAGTACTGTCGACTTTACTGCCAATTTATGTAAAATCTTAATGAGCCCTGAGATTCATCTTGGTGCTATCTTTTTTTTAATATTCTGCATATTGTATATTTATGATCGTATTTAGAATTGTGGTGGGTAAATTCGCCGAATGTAACCTTTACCGCGCTTTCGAGTGAGGAAGAAGGTCGCTATAAAATCAGAATTTCGGCCAGCTACTCCGAAAGACCAACCCCACAATAAATCCTGCATTACAGATAAGGTTTATCTAAGTCGTTGCATCACCTGCTTGAATATTCATTTGAAACCAATTAGCTAAAGATTTGTGAATCGATATATCTATTACGCTAGACATGCGGGATTTGCTGTTACAAAATTTAATGAACCCTTTTCAACTACAATAATTACATCTTGGATCCATATTTTGCCTGTCATTATGCTATTGATCCAATATGAAGTATGGCTTAGTGACAAAACAATATATTTAAAGAGACTGACTACCTGTTATTATCTCTACAACATCTCTGTTATGTCTTAATCATTTGTCATGGAAATTTCGACTTAAAGCTACTTAAAACAAGACTAAATGCGCTAATACAGCGCTATTTCCCACCAAAAAAAAAAACCTAAAGTTCATTGATTCGCATGCAAAGTATTTAAACCTTATTTGTTTCCGTACTTTCTCCCGAATTTTGATCTACTCCAGAATCTTTCTCAATATCAATATCTTCTCTCTCATTTGAAACAAATAACAAAATAGAAGGCAAAGCAATTAACAATGCTCCTCCTGTGAGACCCCAATTCATAGCAAGTTGTTTCATCGGTGAAACTCCTGTCGCATTGATACGCCATGCCATGGCACCTCCAACGCACTGCATTGTTTTGTAACACCCGACAATAACACCACCAACTGCTGGTGACTTCGATTTTAGTCCTATTAACCAATAGCAGTACCCTTGCCACAATGCATCGTAACCACCGTAAAATATGTACAAAAACATAGGTCCAATGTAGTTGCTGTCCTTGAAATCGATGTCTTGTATTAAGCCTTTTGCAGTTCTCTTATCGTTCCAAAGCTGAAACTTGAGTCCTCCACCCCATATAACCATACCAACAACAAGCAACTGTATCCATCCAAAAATCGCCCTCCTGCGACGAGAGATTTTGTGTAAATCAAGGAAGCCACCTATCACAATACCTCCAATCATCTGGCTCATCCAATAAAGTGCACTATTTAAGGAACGAGTTCTAACATTGAAAGTCATTCCGTTCACGGAATTTTGTTGATATGAGTAGAAGACATTTGCATAGAAGAACATAGGAATAAGGCACAATAACTTCCAATCAGATAATACACTGAAAGTAAAAAGAGCGGTATCTTTTATTTTCGAAAAAGAAAATGCTTCACCATGCTGTTGCTTAACTTTGCTTACCCTTTGGCCAGAAAATTTTTCGTTTAATTGTGTGACATCACAAATTAATAACGAACCGAAAACCCATCCAAATAACATTATAACGATGTATGCAATATACGTGGAATCTGTCACAGTAGCCTCAACGCTGTAGTAATTGATCCCGAGACTTGCCAAAGAGCCTATGCCACCTCCCAAGTTAAAAATGACCCAAAACAAGGCTATAGCTCTCCCTCTATGTCTTTCTTTGACATATGTAGTCATTATCATTCCCTGTGGGATCCAAAGTAAGTTAGCACCCAACCCAAGAAGCGCACCCGATGCGATAACGAAAGCGGAATTCAGTCTATGATTAAAATTGAATAAAGAGCCACTGTAAAGAGCATAAGTCCATCCCCCCATCATTATACTATTACGAGGGCCAATCAAGCTCACCAAGGGACCAGCAAGAAAAACACCAGTTACTGCACCAACAGATAAAAGAGCGACTGAAGCGTTCGCCGCTGCAGTAGGATCAACTTGACCAGATCCTCCCATACCAGTAAGTGCATTATACATACCAGGGCAGCAGAAACAAACAAATGCAATCACACATACCTGTCCCCAAGGAGATCTGATGCAGTCATTTAAAAGTCTTTTTGTAAGATTTCCCAGGTAATCTTTCTGAGGATGATAGCTTCCAGAGTCATCTTCCCTTATCTCTTCATTCACAACGTTTTTCTCAACTTCAGCCATATTTTTAATTTATCTTGAGCTTGATCATCCTCATACGATACCGATTTAAAGCTCTTTTATGTAGCCCACCTTCAATTTTTTAATGATTAACTTTCTGATAAGAAGTTCACTCTCGGCGAAATATGCCGATATTATTCTAAAGGAGATACTTTAAAATTGAGATGTAACAAGTTTGAGGAAATGTTGAGAATATATGCAGGATGCTGACGTCTTTATCTGATTTCTATTAAATCGTACTTTTTGGAGTATAGTGTTTCTCTGATCGTCGTTTCCGTTTATCGAAAAGTGTTAATTTCTTGGCTCCGCGATAAGATGATCTGCCGTCCTGAAGACCTTGCAATCAAATTCAATTTGATAAATAACGATTTCTCAAGGACTTGAGACTAATCATTTTTCCTCGATACCAGAAAAGCATCTAAGATTCCCCAAAAGCTATAGTAGATATTCACTATCATTGCCAGGATTTCTTTATAGACATTTTTAAAAAGGGATATTGATTACTATGATTATTTAAGAAACAAGTAAATGGGAATGAGTCCTAAGTTGTAACTTCTATGCCTATAATATATAAGTTTATATAAGTTGACGGGGTAAGCAGAAACGAGTCATGTGAATGCTTCCTCGCGCAAGAGAGCTTCTATAGCTGTAATAGCAGGCTCAGATACGAAATAATGTTCTTTGAAGATTATGTTCCTTTCTTTCAAATGAGAAAAAAACAAGTTTTGATATATCTCAGAAGAGAATACTGACCCAGTAAGAACAAGCAAAGTTTCACTCATATTAATGAACTTCGTGAGAGGTAATATCGTTTGAGCCAACCTGAAGCTCTCTTGCTCAAGAATGCAAAGTGATATTTTCTCACTTCCATCTACTGAACTAAGCTCTTCAAAAACAATTTTTGCTAGTGATGCCACTTTTTTCTTCCTCAAAGAACCCCTCGATTCTTCATTCATTAAATCATTAACAGTTGAAAGAAATAGTTTAAGTTCATTTTCATTTTCACCATCTGCCACAAATTGCTCTATAACCCTCAAATGAAGCCTAGTTAATCTGAGGGAACTGTCGTCGTGCAATTTATGGATTAAAATATTATCTACCGCGGATAAGGCTGAGCGCAATGCTTCGAGTCCTATCGAATATCCACTTCCCGGATCACCTAAATGTGGTCCCCAGCCCCCTGACTTACCCATAAAGATATAATCTCTTTTCTTTGGTAAATACTCAAAGCACATCGAGCTTGAACCCGTACCTGCTATAACTGTAATGCAGAACTTTACTTCTTCTCTCAAGCTCATTGCAGATGGAAGTAAATAAGAATCACTAACTAGCTTCAATTGCTTAGAATTTACACCAAAAGACTCCTGGAATAGCTCATATAACAGATCATACGCTCTTTTCTCAATTGAAAAGATACCAGCCAATCCTACCCATATAGTATCAAAATTTACTCTTTCTAAGTGAAGGGACAATTTCTCACCCGAACTCTTCAAATGCCTATATCTTTGAAGTAGCGCCTCTTTTGCAGCAGCTTTTACTGACTCGACGACTTCTTTAGGTCTGACTGTCACGGCATTCGAAGGGCCACTAAATCCTCTGAAGTAACTACTGTCAAGGCTGGAAACAAGTATTGCCGCCGTTTTAGTGCCTCCGCCATCAATAACGAGCTTGAATGATTCTTGAGGCATTGCTAATACGTCTCACACATGATTCTTGATTACAGAGTTGATGAGTCTTATCATCTATTATGTATTCCACTGCGATGGTAGCTAGTTTCGGGCAAAGTTTCCGGACGCTCGAACACTTCGAACATTTCTGAACTATCCAACTTTATGTTTATATGCAGTATTATCTTAACCTTTTAAATGCCTACAAGAAGAGTAGACATCGTGTTAGTACGCTGATGGGAAACACAAATGTTTCGAAAGAAAAAATATCACACTTCAAATACAAATACTTATTTGAAGTCTTCGGAGTTAAAGAATACAGAGGGAGAATATGTCGCATCAACTGTATTGCTTACTTAAGGGACGCACAAAGCAATTATAGCTCCCGTTAAGTGTATCAAAAACTGTTACAATTTCTTCGGTGATCTACGTATTTTCCAGGTTCACTTAAAGAGCGAAATATTAAATCTGTTTGCTTTTACGGCAACAAAATATTCTTGAACTTGCGTTATCAACACTACTTCCTGGCCCTCAGGCTCCTTCTTATCCTCTTAGATCATAGCATTACGAATTGAAACATTCGATGCGGCGAAATTCATATGATGTTTGATAGACGGTGCTTCTACAGCTCGTGAAAGTTGAAATCGTCAACCCGAAGGTCGTCGTCACCAAAATACCCGAATTGCAGAACCTCCCTGCGTGCATGAGCTGCAATAAATTGTTAGATGCGGACGTCGATCGCAAAACTCGAGGGAATAGGGGACGTAAGTTTGAGGTCCTCCTGCATGTGCACAAAATACGAAGTCTGGAACGAGAATCATCTTTAACCGATCAACGTTCGTATGAAAAATACGTATGCGCGTCCTGTATATATGTGTTCGTGTTGAATGCTCGCTTAACTTACGATGCATTATATTCTACGGCAAAATATTGGTGCCTTTCTCAGATTGCAATACAGAGATTAAAGACGGATAGCAACACAGTATACCAAAGTTACCGGATAAACAAGCATTACTTTCTTGAGCGAATGCATCTGCAAAGAAATAAAGTAATGGGAGATACGTTGATCGTCAGAAGTCGAAATAGAAATCCTGCTTCAAAGACGTACTCAACAATAGATTTCAGGAGGTGATGCAACTGGAAAACAAATCAGGGACACATTTAACAAGAACAGTCAACAAAATAAGTCTCTCGGAAGTTCGTCAAAGTTAAGATACGTGCTTCTTTCTTATTTCAGGTCAAAAGAGCTAATAATAGAAGGTTATTTACATTCAAGTAATGTGCTCTTGCTTTCTTGGGCGCTCAGGTGCCAATTTTAATCTTGTTTATGCTCTGACACGCTAGCCCGTGTTCTAGATGCTCAGACACTTGTTAAAGGTCAAAGATATAAATCGACGTTATTTCCCACTAGTCTCCCCTGACGAAATACTATCAACTAGCCTTCTTGACGTTCGTTTAAAAGATATGGTGTTGCTTAATAGGACTCTTATAACTGCCGTGTTTCTCGCGACAGTCGCCAAAGGCGCAAGTCTTCCAGTACAGGACCTTACGGTTCGTAATGGGAAGCAAGATGGAGTTGCAAGCGCTCAAAAAATTATCAGTGGCATTATCGGGGAAGTTGGAGGTATCTTTAAAGAAATTAATGCTAACCTCGATTGTATTAAAGATGAGATTTTCGGGAGCGATGCTACCCAAAACGAGCTTCTCAGCCGAGTAATTCTTTCAAATGGATTTTACAACCTTAAACTGCAGGGATCCGATTCATCTGTCAATAAGGTACTTACGCAAATTGTCGACCAAAAGTCAGACATATTTTCGCTGGTCGTGGGTGACTATGGATTCACTTTGAATGGTAATGTAGATCTTAATGAAGCATGTGATTCTCTGTCCACTATTGTGAATTCTGCAATTAAGGTCGTAATCAACGAGATCGGTGATATTTCTTCAAACAAAAACCCACATGACTGCTTCAAAGATAAGGTTACCCTGCATCTTCAATCCAAAGGTTGTAAAATTTCAAAAGTCAAGGGATCGACATGCATCAATGATTGCGTGATCTTAGATATTGATTGGATATGTAAATTTTTGAATCATCTTATCGTTAGTGTTGAGGGTCTTACAAAATGTGTCAAATGCCCTAACAGCTTATCCCCAATTCTTAAAATATTGACTGAGAAACAAAGTTTGATCTGCCCTTCAACATCAACAAGTACTACTTCTTGTACTACGCATAGCTTAACTAGTACTTCTCCATCTAGTGCCACGCCTTGTACTGAATGCGAGAATCATAAACCTAGTACTACGTCTTGCACCGAAACCACTCCAGAGTCTAGTACCACCCCTTGCACTGAGTGCGAAAATCATAAATCTAGCACTCCTTGTACTGAAACAACATCTGAATCCAGTGTCGTTCCACCATCTAGTGCTCCAGAATCCAGTACTCCTTGTACTGAGACTACGTCTGAGTCCAGTGTCGTTCCACCATCTAGTGCTCCAGAATCCAGTACTCCTTGTACTGAAACAACATCTGAGTCTAGTGTCGTTCCACCATCTAGCATTCCAGAATCTAGTACTCCTTGTACTGAAACAACATCTGAGTCTAGTGTGATTCCACCATCTAGCATTCCAGAATCTAGTACTCCTTGTACTGAAACAACATCTGAGTCTAGTGTGATTCCACCATCTAGTATTCCAGAATCTAGTACTCCTTGTACTGAAACAACATCTGAGTCTAGTGTCGTTCCACCATCTAGTATTCCAGAATCTAGTACTCCTTGTACTGAAACAACATCTGAGTCTAGTGTCGTTCCACCATCTAGTATTCCAGAATCTAGTGCTCCAGCTTCTAGTGCTCTAGCTTCTAGTGTTGCTGAGTCTAGTGTTCCAGCTTCTAGTGCTCCAGCTTCTAGTGTTCTAGCTTCTAGTGCTCCAGCTTCTAGTGTTCCAGCTTCTAGTGTTCCAGCTTCTAGTGTTGCTGAGTCTAGTGCTCCAGCTTCTAGTGTTGCTGAGTCTAGTGCTCCAAGTGCTCCAGGTTCCAATGCCGCTCCATCGTCAAGTGCTGCTCCATCATCTATTGCACCTGCCTCCAGTTTCGAAACTGTTCTGTCTACAACTCCATCGACTGCATCGACTCCTTTCTCAATTTCAACAACTATTGTGACAGTCACTTCTTGCTCGAAGGACCAGTGTTCCACCGTAACCGTTCCAACTGGATTAACCACTGTAACAAAGGAATCTACCATTTACACCACCTATTGTCCTTTAACCTCTGAATCAGAGACTACTGACAAAGTCAGCAAAACTGAAACTGAAACTGAAACTGAGACTGAAATACAGACAACCATTGTCACTGTAACATCTTGTGAATCCAATGAGTGCTCTATAACGACCATTCCAACGGGATTAACAACTATAGTCAAAGATGAGACAACTCACACCACTTACTGTCCATTACCAGAGGACACTGTTGCTGGTTCCAGTAAGGTTGTGCCATCAAAGGAAACTGGGACAGTTCAGAAATCTAACGCTCAAACCACTGTCACTCAATCGACAGCAAGCCAATTATCTTCTATAAAAGCAGAAAGCGCAATTGAAGCAGCAACATCAGCTATTATTCAGGACTCTTCTATTGAGGCAGAGAATGTTGTCAAAACATCCACACTCTCATCTGCTTCTCCATCGGCCACCAATCCTCTTTCCTCGGTAGAAGCCCAAAGCACTACAGAAACTGAGACAACGAACTCTCAAGGTATTGCCTCAGCCGTTGCCTCAGGTAGCGCATCCAATAGCACCATTCCAAGTATCAGTACCGTTTCAGAAGGCCGCGGTAACCATATTACTGCCTCAGTTGGTAGCCTTTTAGCGGTTGCCGGTATGTTCTTATTATGATTGTACATTTCCGAAATTGATTGTATTCATATTTACATCTTCTGTTTTTTTATCTTATTTCTATCACTCTAAATAAGGCATTTATTTTCGTCATCCTTCGCAAAGATGAACATAATTATTGAGGTTGGGTTAAACTTTCTCCATGATAACATTAATCTGAATTCCATCAGTCTATAATTTCGAAACTTTACTTAATACCATTTTATCTTTAACACTTGCACGTAGTTTTGAATTTTGTATGGCATATAAAGTATTCACTAGCTAGCTCTGAACGGAAAAAATGGTTACTTAAAATTCGAGATCTGCTGCAAGGTTAAAGAACTACTCTCTAGAAGGGATTTATTTAGGCTCCAGCGAGCAATTTACAATATAGAAATTCCTACATTGAAAAAAAATCAAAGGCAATTTTTTTAAACATATTAGTTTAGCCTTTCTTTTTTTGCTTTTTGCTTTTTCCATCTTTCGGTACATTACATGTATTTTGTTCTAGTTCACATGTATATCCAGGAAAGTAGTCATTAGAAATATGCAAAGGTATTTATTCCCTACAATGTTGTGTATTTTTTATCATAAGATGTATGCCTATGCATAAGTCAAATGCCGTTAGCCTCTCAAAAAGAATATCCCACCTCATTCAAACCTCTCAGTCTCTTGATGATTTAATCGGATTAAAAGATGTTTGGTCACTCAAGTGATAGAGAAGAAACATAAATGAATAAAAGATATCCTTATGGCCTTTGTTTGTAACAGAATGTGAAGAACGATTCGATTTCTTACAAGGTTATTGCACAGTTACTTATATTAAAAACTTTACAGACATGTCTTATTTTTATAATAAAGAAATTTAAACAGAGAGTCCCGATTCCTCAAGGTCTTCTTCGCGGCTCTTGCTGTTTTTGTCTAAATAGGGACGCTCTCCTATACCAACTGTTCTGACACCCGTACGTTCAAAATCACTCTTGAAGTAATCATTAGTCGCTGTATGGTAAACAGATCTATTATCCCAAATAGCAACGTCATTCTTTCCCCATTTGAATCGAACTTGAATATCATTGCTTCCATAAAGAAGTTCATTTAAATGCCTTTTGATGATATCACTCTCGTAAGGTGTTAATCCTTCAAAGGACGTGAAATGATGGCCGATACTGAAAATCGACTTCCAACCAGTAACGGGATTTGTCCTAACGATTGGATGTACAGCTGTTAAATCATCTCCGATGTTCTCAGGTGCACCTCTACGATCCGAATAGATTTCAAACTTTCCTTCCGCTGCTCTCTTGAATCCAGGTTGGGCATAGACTCCTGTTAAAGTTTCAAGATAGCCTCTAAAGGAAGGTGATAATTTCTCATAAAGTGCATACCCGCTTGCCCAAAGAGTATCTCCTCCACTTGGAGTAGGTTCGACAATCTTAAGAATTGCGTAGTCTGAGGGAACTGGCTCAAAAGTAATATCGCTATGCCATCCCTCTCCTCCTCTTTTACTGGACAAGTATCTTTCTTTAAGATAAAGCTCCTTTCCTAGTTTAGATGAAATTATAGAAACCTCTGGATCTGTCTCCCCAGAGTTATCATTTTTAAGGAAACCTCCAGCTGGTGCCGTTGGATGGATATGAAGACCTGAAGTTTTTGGTTTTCCTGTTAACTTTCCAAGTTTATCAGCAAGTATTTTTTGTTCTTCTGTTGTGAGGTCTTGGTTTCTAAAGAAAACAACACCACGACGAGAAACAATGATGGCGAGTTCCTTAAGTTTTTCTTCGTCGTTAAGGATGTCCTTCAAGCTAGCATCCGGGAACTCCCTTCCAATCTGAGGTGTGACTTCAAAATGTTCATACTTGTCAAGAATCCCCGAAGGTTTTAGATATGACTTTGCTGGTTGATAAGAAGGGCCCTCGGTATAAGTTTCGGCATACGGAGATGGACCCGTGTACACATTTTTTGGTTTTCTGAAAGAACTCTTATCAAGAATCTTATACTCTGGAACGTTGTTCGTGATTGTCTCCGTGGAGGTACTCGAAAGTGTTGGTGCCATTTTTATTTAAATGATGGATATTCAGAAGAGAAAAACATAATTTATTCGCCTCTTAAATAGTTCTGTTATGAGGAGGTACTCAAATTGTGACTTCTTAAATTTGTAATTTCTTTACAAAATTATGTCAACTTTTTCAAATCATATTCTTATTTCTACTAGGTGTGGTTATATTGCGGCGAGTCGAAATAGTTCGAGGTGCGATAAGCATATCGCTCCAAACAATAGCCCATATTTGTACTGTGGCACTACAAAATTACAGTGGCATTCATCATCTGTGATAGTGTTTTGTACCCCAAGAAATATCTGAAGACTCTTGGATAACACATAATTCTTTCTGCTATTTGAATCGTATAAGAGGTTCAAGACCGAGCTTCTTTTGAGCATAAGAAAAATACTTGGCATCGAAGCCATTTCTCTAAGAATTGTAGCAAATGAATTTCTTTGTACGTCGTTTCGAGATTACGTGAGCATTAGTATTAAACCTTTTATCCTAAATAATGATTATATCTTAATCAATAATTAATAGGAAAATCACTTAGAAACTTAATTGGAACTGGGTTCTGTGGAGATATTTTTTAGTCTAGTTCAAGCCACTGCATACATCCTTTTACTAAGCAAGTCCTTACTGCATGCAGAAACTTAATGGATCGGTTTTCACAGAGTGCTCTTTTCGCTCTTTATTCAAATATGTATGAGCCCCCATGTTAAGGTAAAAAGGTGTGACAAATTTCGATTATGAAACATTTTCCCGTAAATGTCGGCCCATTTTACTACTTCAGTGCTAAAAGAATTAGTTTGAAACTCTAGATGGGATGACTCCAGATTCAATATCACCTAAATTGTTCGTCTATTACATTTTTGAGAAACTTCAACTCTGCGCACTGTTGAAAGAATCATATATTGTGCTTGTATCCATTTGGAATTACTTGAAAGCAGAACATGCATAAGTTCATTTCTGAACTACAATTAGTGATCCCATTATTAATTACTTTCTCGATTGACCTAGATTTAGTTAAATCACATTTCCTTCTTTCAGTTTTTTGTTGTGGTGAATTTGAAACGGTAGAGTAGATGCATTTCAAAAATTTAGCTTTGAATGTTGAGTATGTTAAAGTGAGAAACCTTTTTTACATCATGGCATAAACTGAGCGAAATATTTAGCGAAATATTGAAAATAATAGGACATTTCGTTAATGATTCACTGGCGTGATGTAGAAAACATGTATGACAGTTACGTGATGTCGTGAAGATAGGCTCAACATAATTTGACAATCAAGTCGCTATCTCTAAAATATTGAGTAAGTTGCAAGGTAAAAGACAACTAAATTACTGATATAAATCATACCTGATTGGAAATGAAAGCATATGCGTTGATGACGATACTCGTTGAATAAAAGGGCGATTCCAACCCCATTTATCCAAGTATCTACGCATTCACTCTCATAGACATATGCTTCTGTTATTGAAATTGAAAATGAACTACCAATACATCGAAATGTGTAGCAATGTACTGCTTGGAGGTTAATATGTTCAAAGAACTTTGTTTAAAAGAAATAAGTTGAATACACCTTGATCATGTATTCACTTATAATGAATATTGGGTCATGCCATAGAAATTCTGCTACTTCTTGTTTATAAAAATCTTCATCTTTCACAGCCCAGATGATGACGTAAGCTATAATAGTTAGGCACACAAACTTGCTGTCAGCCGAAACGTGGAGTCTTTCTCCACGTTTTCAAAATGACGTAATAAACTTGAGCTTCTTGCGAGGTCGCTTCAGATTCAAGAAATGACGTAATCTGTATCTCAAAAACGCACAATGCTACTAGCGCTGATGCAATATAGCTAGTTTGTTCTCTCGCTAGCTGTTTAGTAGACAATATCTCGGAATCTCTTCAGACAAAAAAGAGAAGTCTCGAGAACGCATATAGCGCTAGCAATATTGTTTAAGGCGTTGTTACCCTTTGCATGATGATTTACTTTCAAAAGACATATCTTAAGGGTCATTCAGTCATTCCTTAAATAGTCGAACTATGGATCAGCTATGAGAAGCCAATAAAATATCATTCTGTTAAAGCATGTCGCTTCTAATCATCGATGTACGCCTTTAGCTTGAAATTCATCTTAAAGATCGTTTTTCCACTGATCGCTCTTTTATTAAATTAAAATCTAAAGAATCTTATTAAAAATAGATCTAAGTAAACAACTTTACTTGCGAAAAAAAAAATTAGCTAGGATCGTATATTTCATTATTTTCTTTATTGCCGTGAACCATATGTAATTTCTAACTTGATTGAGACAAATCATAGAAAAAATAGTTAAACTCTCAGTTGAGCATGAAATATTTGTATTTTGTAAAATTCTGAACTGCAACATTTGACTTCGAGCTCAGTAGTTCTCGAATTATTTTTAAGGTCTAAAAGATTGCTCCTTTTTTAAATTATGAACTCGGAGAATTTGTCGACTCCACTTTTATTCTCCTTTATGCGAGATCCTATCAGACGAAAAGGCAAATCCTTTTCGGAGAGTTGTAACAATGCATTCAAGAGATCCACAATTCCTCCTAAAGCTCATAGGGCCAAGGGAGTGCGTATTTGGTATTCCTGTTTAACACAAATTAAGATCACAATTAGATATTGTTTTCATCCATTTCACATTTGCAAAGCAGGTACTTGTATACATTCAGTCCCTGAAATTTTTTATGTAGTAACCTACCATGGCATGTCACTATTGTTTTTGTTTTCTTGGCGCTTCACTATTATCATATATTTAATGGTAATGTCCAGCACCATTTCGAGGGAGACTTGCTATCTATAATATTTCAAAAATTAAAGTACAACATGCACTGGTTTAAATTACTTGGGTTTTACTTATTCCTGGTGATAATTGCCTCTGAATGCAATGAAATAGAATTAACTCTGCCTGAAAAAACTGACATAGACAAAGATTTTTGCAAAAATGCAGGTAACGGTAACAAGAAGTTGATTTTTTTGAGCAACATGTCTTCCAAGACATCTATCTTGTTCTTCTACGGAGGAAGTTCATGGAAAGGTCAAACATCAGACATGCTCTTTGTCCTTGCTGATGAGAATTGTAATCCTGAATGGGTGGGTGGGAGATCAAGTGAAGGTGTACCGTGGTTTATCCATGCCCCCGGTTACGACACGATTCAAATTGATTCTGTCAATGGTATTGCAGTCACTTCAGATGGCTATCCCAAGCTTGAGATAAAATATCATGGAAATAAAGTGGAATCTACTTTGAAATTTGAAGTTGAAAATGATTTTGTTGATATTCAAAAAGCTGCCCAAATAGACCTAGGAAACACACCATGGGGAGATGAGAAGTCAGAGCATCATTGTACATTTGAAGATGGTGGCTCTGCCGTCAAGGCCGAAAACTGGGATTGATTTGGTCAGATTTTATTCAAAGATCGATGTATGATTGTTACCGTAGTCCAAACAAAAATGATAATGAGAAAATCAAATCAGGTGTGTAAGAGTATATGCAGTTTAGAAACATCAATTTTTTGACCAAAATAATAAAAAAAATCGTCATATATAAAAGTATATAACGAATGTAGATGAATTAGTAGAAAGGGAGCTCTTCAAAGAGGTTTGTAGTGAAAATAGCTATAAGGAAAATATTAGCTTTAATGGTCAGGAGAATTGACGGACTGCCAGATACAAATTCCGATTTCCTGATAATAAACAGAGAAAAACTGGAAAGATTGGACTTTATGCAGGCAAAATTATATATCCAATACATAATACTTCATGTAGTCGGGACCAGCGAGTATATTTCCTCTTAAGTCCACAGTATCATCGATCCAAGTATCATACATGTCAATACTTCTGACGACCCATTACAATGCATTGGTAATGGTCTCGAGCTGGCTAGGAGGGTATTTTTATTGGTCAAGTAGAGCGTGAAACATCGGTATTGAACTTATTCTTCGATTATAAACATCTCTTGATAATTTTACCTACGCTGTTGAGTTCTTCTTCATCGATTAAAATGTCGAGCATTATACGTGAACATGCTTGATAAAAAACCATAAAGTATCTATTAGTGTTTATTTACGAATAAATCTTTACGATATTTTTAGATCAATTCTATTATGTTCACAAGATGCAGTTAAATTTGATTTCTTGTTTCTTTTCAAAGTTATCTAATAGTTATATTAAGACCTCTCAAATCCAATAAATAAAGCATTCCACTTCGACATCGTATATACTGTTTAATGAATCAATGAGAATCAATGAACGAAGTATCCTCGCAGCGTATGATGTGCTTTTAAATAGAAATTGATCATTTTATATCTGCAACATTGCCCTTCTCAGAATAAGTTACAGAACATCAGCCCCTTGTTGTCAAAAATTAGATTAATTTTGCACCCATTGGTAAGCTGCTCACGTGGAAAAGATGGTAAGTATTACAATATGTCCACAAATATATTAATCCCGATGTAAATTCCGACGGTTTTTGTTTTCGCCGTTCTCCGTTCACTTTGGCCGCCCTCCGTATTTCTAATGTCCGTCTCAAGTTTATATTCTACTAGGTATAAAAGATAATAGAGAAAACTGAATTTAATCAATGTATATTACACGCAATGAAAATGAAACTTTTTGTCACAGGTGGAACAGGTTTTATCGGAACAGGTTTTGTAAAGGAAGCTATTGCCAATGGGCATCAAATACTCGGACTTGCCAGATCGGACGAGTCAGCCGGAGCTCTCGAAGATGCAGGTGCAGAAGTTATTCGTGGGGACTTAGAGGACCTTGACGTTTTAAGAAAAGCTGCAAAAGAATCAGACGGAGTGGTTCATCTTGGCTTCGTCCATGACTTTGCAAACTTTGTAAATTCTATGGAAATAGATCAAAGAGCTGTAAAGGCTATGCTCGAGACTCTCGAGGGCACTAATAAATTCTTTGCCAACACGAGCGGTCTTCTTGGATTAACCACTGAAAATGGAGAAATCGCTGATGAGTCCACCCCAATGACATATGAGGAGAACTTCGGTCTAATTCGTAGACTCACAGAAAAACTTGCATTGTCCTATGCTGACAGGGGCGTTCGAGTTGCTTCTGTGAGATTAGCGCCTACGGTTCATGGTAAGGGTGATCACGGTTTTATCACTAGTCTATTGGATAGTGCGAAGAAGAATGGTAAATCTTATTATATCGGTGAGGGGGAGAATGTGTGGCCCGCAGTACATCGTGATGATGCTGCAGTGCTTTACAGGTTAGCTGCAGAAAATGCACCGGCGGGATCCATCCTTCATGCTGCAGCGGAAGTGGTTCCGAGCAAAAAAATTGCAGTGGCGATCGCAGAAGCTGCAAATGTTCCAGTTGACACAACCAGTTCAGCTGACGCATTGAAAAGACTAGGGTTTCTTGGTGCCTTTTTTCAGATAAACGCCAACGTCTCGAGCGAGAAAACTAGAAAACTCTTGGGATGGGCACCGTCTAGGCTCGATCTCGTATCCGATATCAAGGACAACTACTAATTTAATATCTGGGAATAGAAACTTATGCAAACTTTTAAAAGTGATCTCAAAGCTGATGCATTTTACTTTGATCTTGCCGGTTTCGAAATTTTTCTGGAACATCTGTTTCATTACTACGCGATATTAAATTCTTACGAGCTATAAAGAACTTAGTCCACTTTTGAAATAAATTTATATGTATCGGATTCTAGCTTTTACGTGGTCTAATTAACATTCCAACAATTAAATCTTTTATCTGAACGTCTTTTATTATCAGTTGTCGCATTCGTTTGGTTACAAAAACTGGTATATATATCTAGATATATTTGTTCCCCTGGATAACACTACGCCATCATCTTCCATCATCCTCCATCATCCTCAAAATATTACATCAACAATACTCTTAAGTCATTTGGTGTTTCTCCTCTCAAACTTTCAAGAACAGTAAGATGGGTATGTATTGCTTATGCTAGTGCTGTCGTTGGCAGACATAACATTCGATGATGACATTGTGTTTGTCAAATCTGCTACTTGCGATATATTTGGTAACGTTGACGTACTTAAATTAGGGATATGTATTAGAATAGTAATAATCAGTAAAGGCTTGGTTCCAAAAATCGTTTTAGAGACTGTCCTAGAGACCTGCGTTGTATATCCCTTCAATAAATGAAACGACGAGAAATAGTATTTGTTCATCTAATTTATGCCCATTTTTACACCATCCATGTTTTCATATTTGAGATATTACACTTTAGCAATTCGCAAGACGACATGCGCTCTGAAGCAAAGGCTTTTCTATCACATTCAATGTCAATTACAGCACTTGCATCTAAATGTTTCAAAAACTGACTATTTTTTCTGACAACCAAAAGACTGTATGTGCATGTTTTAACAATCTGATCTGATACAATTCAATAAGTCTAAGCCTGTGAAAAATATTTTTTGCAAATTAAATCGAACAATTATTTGGCTACTTTACCTCTTAATAGCAATCTATTAAAGAGCATAATATGAATTACTTTTTAATCAAATTTTGGTTCTAAAATTTTTTTGCAAGTGTTGCCGAGAGTTTTTACTATCACTGTAGAATGAAAGGCTATAGAAGGAGTACTTCACGAGTTTGAATTCAGAGAATTAAAATGAACTTTTAGTTTTATATCCTGCTCAAAGGTCCTAATAATTCAACCAGAAGTGCTTCTATAATGGTGGCCTATATAGTCCAATTTTTCGTCCTGTATCCTGATGGCATCAAACAAAGGTTAATGTTTGCTTGTCAAATTATATCAATTACACCATGATACATTAGCTAGAAATTTTTCACCGTTGAATTCAATAAATACGAAGCTTCGCGTATAACCTTCCAGAACCTCGATATTTTCGACTGACAATAGGCCCTGTTCATTCTTTTCATTTTCCCACTTTATGGAACCATGGCATTCACAGCAATTCATTGCCAAATATGCTAGCCAGTTATGAGCCGCAATAAAAGTCTTACCAGACCAAGAAAGTTGCATGTTATCATGTGAAAAGATCCATTCGCTTTTGAGGGACTTGTCTCCTACAGTGCCGTCTTTTTTGTATTCTGCAATTAATGGATAATCGTTATACTCATTAAAGTACTGTCTTCTTCTCGTCTCACGATCTTTACGCTTAGCATCCCTCATAGCCGGAAAATACATCTCAGAAGTGTGAGAATCTTGAACGACTCTTTCTTCTATGTACTCCTCCTTAGTACGCCGTATCATATCATATTTCTCCGGGCTAATAATTCTAGTCACATTTAATGAACCTGTAAAGGTCGTATTTCGAGTTACCTTTTGGGCTATATCGTATCTGAATATGGCTGGTATTAGTTGAAGGTTATCAAGGATTTTTGGGACATTATCCACGGTTGGCTCTAAATTCTTTTTTTCTTCAAGATCTTCCCCCACAAAGGAATCAAAAAAGTTAATTTCTTTCAAGTAATTTATAGTATATACTTCGTTATTTTCAACACCCAATATTCCAAATGAGCCATATTCATTAAGATAGACAATTTCTCCATTTACCTTCGAAGGTGTTTTCTTAATTCCATGTTCTATTAAATACTTGAGATAGCCTTTGCCTTCATAAATTCCATCAAATTCTTCGCAAAGTATTCCCTGTCCACTTGAAGAAACATACCAACTGCAATCCCAACAGAAAGTTTCGATTGGAACAAAGCTAGAATCAGGCCATTGTTTGAACATGCCACTGTTCTTGGGGTCATTAAGGGATTCGTTGGCACTGCGAATCTCCTCATTTGTTAATGGAGGCGTAATTGTGAGCTTTCCCCTAAATTCTGTCCAGTTTCCCATACTTGTGAAATTTAGAAATGAAAGTATTCAGAAGACCCTTTTACAAGAAGAAAGAAGAGGTTATTATATTTTGGTAGATCCATACTCACAATACTACGGTAGAATTATAGGCGTAATACTTTTTACAAGAAGAAAGAAGAAGTAATTATAGCTCGGTCACAATACTGCGATAAAATTATAGGCATATACTTTAGTTCCAAATATGGCCTTGGTCTAGCTCTTTTGGTACGCGGGTACGCTGCTCTCTTGCGAACTAAGGTGTTGCTTTCATGATTATTCTTTGTTGAAAGAAAACACTAACTCACTTAGTGCAAGATAATGCAACACTCTAAGGTCGAACGACTTGCTCAGGTAGTTCTGATATTAATACTATACTGAAATATAATGCGGTATGATCAGCATGCATATAAACTTGTATATTATAATCAACCTTGTTGCATTCGCACAACTCTTAGGATAAGCCGAGGATACACCAAATCATTTTCATCGTATTAAAATATCTTTTTCAAAAGTTTTTACATGCCCTCCTGCGGTTTCCGCCTCAGTATATCTCCATACACGCAACGTGGCAACTTTTCCCTGCAAAACCACACGTAATCAATTCTATTGTAAAAGCTTTAGTCGCATTCCCTAGAAGAAAAAAAAATATATGGCTGTCAAGGGAAACGTCAAATACAAACGATAGTACTGTTCAAATGAATATACCCGGGAAGATGAATGTCAGGATGAATTAATCTAGTCGAAAGACTATTTGATTTTTCATACAAAGAAAAAACAACCTGAGTGAAACCTTCCTAGTGGTCACTCCTTTGATATTACAATTACATTGACAATGCAATACTGCAGTTTATCATACTTCCAATGGACTTATACGATAAATTATTTCACCTTCCTAGACAATGCATCAATTTTAGAACCTCAGGATCTCGTATTAGAATGGGCCCTTAAATAGGATGAATGATCTGTTCGTCATAGGCAATAGAAAATATTCTTTCAGCAACAGTAGCCGATAATCAAGCTCATTTTGATGTTTCCAATTCACTCTTAACGGTAATCGAAGCTGGTATGCATGTAGAGCATTAATTAAGTGCCAATTACAATTCCTTTTGGTAGAGCACCAAGCACACCGCAGCAAAATCGGTGGAGTTACGGATAGTGTTGACAAGTCAAGTAGATTTTTTCATCTTGGATATCAAGTTCTAATTCTTTAGTATTCTCTTGTAGTGAGCTACAGATGGCACCTCTTTGAGATTCTCCACTCTTTCATCAATGATTTCGTAGATAAAGTAGCTTGAATGTATATCAGAAATCAAGTACGCGACACGCGCACCACGAATATGTTAAGATAACTTCGATCGATGCTGCATGGTCATTTTACTTCATGTCACGAAGAACTTCGAAGTTGCTTTCAGCATTGATGTATCATCTGTTCTACATGACATGTATATATGTAGATAGTACACTGGTGTGGCATACTTTCGCGCATATCTACGAGCTTTTCATATCTCTGCTTATCTTGGACTTCTTTTGGAGAAACTCTTATTTCCTTCCATGTAATAAGGTCAGTAATTTATCTACATTCTTGCATGTTCAAATCAGATTACGATTTTTTCATAGCCATATATGTAACCAATTCGCTAACAGTCAGAAGATATATCTCTACGTTTTGAATAATTTATTCGTTCTGCTAGCGACAATTTCTGGTCCTAGAAAGATTTCGTTTAATAGTCATATGAATCACTGAAGGAGTAAAATTTCCTCGAGCGAATATGGTTTAGTACACTATTGCACTTTAAAGATACCGAAATGTGATATCTATTCCCTCATCCCATGCATACCTTTCTAAAGATTTGCTTGCAGCTGCACAAAAATGAAAATACAGATGACTGTGGGTGTGGCATCGAGGCACTTTTGGATTCTAAGAGCATTACTTCTCAGACATAGTAACACGATTTATGAAGCTAGGACGTTCTTGCATCCTTGCATACCATTTTAAAAGTGCGTCGCATTCCTTTGGTACATGCTTTCCTGCAAAAAGCAAACCACCGATTACCGTGATGTCAGCCATCGAGAAGGCCTCACCTGCTATATAGGGTTGCTTTCTAAGAACACTATCAAAATAATGCATACCCCTAATAGCTTTGTCGAGTTGACGAAGGCCCCACTCCTTATTCTGATAATGCTCGACGTCAGGCCCTAGTCCAGGCGTAGCGTGATGGAAATAAACACTGTAGGCATCAAGGAGCTCTATTTCTGCACGGCGACTCATCATGTGGATTATGCCTTTTTCACGAGGACTTCTACCAGTAAGTGTTGTTTCACCTTCAAGATTATCAAGGTATTCTGTAATGGCAGAACTTTCAGCAATAAATGTTCCGTCTTCAAGTTCAAGAACTGGTAAAGTCCCAGAGTAGTTCTTCGCAAGAAATTCAGGTTTCTTGTGTTCCCCTTTGTAAAGATCGATAAATATAAAGTCCACACGAGATTGAAGATTCTTTTCGCCCAATGCTATACGAACACGAGCTGGATAAGGGCCCTTTGGGAAATCGTAAATTTTCAACTGAGCCATTTTTTTAAACAAAGCGAAAATAGGCCTTAAAAGAAGATTGCCAGACTAAATGCTTAGAAAGTCACAAAAGACTACCTTTAGTTTATATATCGGATAGTAATGGTCGCTCTTTGTGTTAAATTCAAGTTTCCTTTAATTGTCAGTTTGTATTTGTAAGCTGACAAATAGGGCGCAAAAAAATACACTCTTCAACAAATGAATTGTGACGTTTTCAGTAATAACTTTATAATTGACATATGACGAACACATTGTCACTATTTCCGTGGCTGATGTCTACCATATATTGTCTAGTATATTGCCGCTAGTGGGGTGGGATTTGTCTTCTTGTGTGCCGGCATCCTTATGTAGTTTGTGAATTATTTGACCTGCTTGTTAAGACGCGCCAATCGCACTTGTGAGCTTGCTGGTACCGAATTAGTGACTTGATACTATCGGTCTCATGTTTGTTTGTATTTTATGTATCTTTGGGTTAGGTCAGAGTCAGGAAACACTATTTCTTCACGTGCTTGAAAATGCTGACTTTGTGAAGAGCTTGGATTTTATGCTGATGTTCTGGTAGTGTTGTTTATATACAGGCTATTGTCAAGAAAGTGGTGATGGTGATGCATGTAAGAGGCATAATATGTTTCAAAGTTTGATGAGCAAAGGGCATAAAAGGACTGAGAGGAAAGTGATATTCCAGCGTAATTCAACTTCAGATAATATAATTGGGACTGTTAATTTAGATGAGACCGTTCCGAAGCACCCATTGTATCAAGCGGTGCTACGATGTGATGATGATGAGTTAGAGTCGTACGATTATCATAAGTTTTACCCTAAATGGGGATTAATGATAGTGCATTATCGGATTATTGTACAAAAAGTATGTCAAGTAGAGAAACTCCCAAGAGTCACATTTCCAGTGGTCGCTCATTCGAAGTATCGTGAATATATTGAAGATATTAAGAGATGGAAACCAGAGCTGCTCAAGCATCTCTTAAATTTTATCTTGTCTCTTCCTATGTGTGAAGATGGATTGGAGTACATTAGCAATATGTCTGCAAGTAATAGCGTGGCGTCTATCAATATTTATACCAAGAAGTTTCCGTTGTTTAAGTAAACTAATAATCACATGACTGAAATAGAAGACGAGTAAATTATCGAGTCAGTTAGAAACATTAGTTCTCAAATTCCAGCTCGGGATAGTTGTACAATTTAACAAACAAACACATCAGTGGGAAGTATTGATCCTAGACCTGGATAGCATTTACTTGCATCATAGACTATGTGTGCCAAATTCGATTTCTGTACATAGTTCAAGCTATTTGATGCCTTTGGGAGATATCATCTCAAAGTTAAAAGTACATGCGAACAGAATCCTAAACGTCTTAGGAGGCTCCGTAACCCCTCTCATCTTTCCTATCGTAAGGTAATGAGTTACTGTGTAATACTCTCGTCAAGTAGGTTGGATTATAAAAGATGTAAATATCTAAGATTTAGAGAAAGTAGAAGTGGATCCGATAACCCAGAGTCGATTCATTCGATTTTTGTCCTTCTAGCTGACCCATCCATGAGTATTTTTCATCGTGCTTTCCCAAAAGTTTTCATTGAAGATCCTCGGATAAGACATTTTCTGAAAATAGTTATTTACTGCCAATGATTTCTAAGCTTCTTTCGAGAAATGCACTTAACAAGAGTTAAATAGCATTTAGCGTAGGTCCGTGGGGTCCAAAGAAGTATATACAGCGAAATTTCCGTGTTCTATTAAATATTCAGATTTTATTAAATTGTAAAACCCTTTATCGAAATCATATTTCCATCCCCCGAAATTACTCTGATTATAGTTTTTGAACCATAGGATATAGTCAACCCACATATTTTGTGAAATATTAAGCAGAAACCGAGATATTTGGCAAAGACAAGCGTATACATACAATATTCTTAATGCAAAAAAGTCCTGCGACCAAATATAATTCAATAAATCATGATTAACCAATAATACCCACGAAAACACAGGGATTGGATTATTAAGCGTACTAGCAGTGGACATCACTCTATTCAAAACATTAATTGCACCTGTGAAACATTCGCGTTTAAGGGTTGAAGCACTGTTGATTGTCTCTCTGCTGAAGTACTCCAAAAGCTGTTTATCCAAAGAAGAAGTTATTGATATATCTTTGGTTCCGTTGACTGCTACTCTTCTTGTCGTCCAGAAAAATCTTTGAAGATTTTCACCACAGCTTTTCTCACAAACGTCCCTAGTTATTAATAGTCCTCGACAAACTCCAAGAAAATCATTTTTGATACCATGATTGAAAGATACTAATGGTACCAACCTATGGCTGTGAATACCGAGAAATGAAAATATCAAAGTGCATGTGAAAAAAAGTTCTACAGCCAAATCTCCTGTTTCATGAGAGGATGCTCCGTTTTCAAAACCAACTAGCTTATTAATCGCACTATTTTTTTCTCGAATGGTATTCAAGAAGTAATATGTTGTTTTAAGGTATATTTCATCATCATTTGGCTTTCTGACTTCACAACCTTTGCGTAAATAAACCTTTCCTTGGCTCGCGAGATCAAGATTAGTAATATGAGAACCTTGTCCATATTTTTCATAATCGAATAACGGCCATAAATTCAAGCAGCTAAACAGATAAACGGCTTGCCTCAATAAAGGACTCTTACAAAAATAATATGGGACACATCGTCTCCATATATTTTCGACATACATGTCCTTTCGGAAGGAGAATAAATCTATGCAATAAGCGTCAAAGAACCTTACTAAGCGGAGTTCAAAATCCGAAATATCCATAAGTTTAGCTGTCAGATTTACGATGTTATCAAAGGAAATAATTTCTTCTGCAATCGGCTCAATACTACTTAAAATTTGAATGCGATTATCATCATCGATTAATACGTGAGGTGCAATTCTTTTCTGCACAGATCTGGGCTCTGTCTTGGCCATCACATATATACAGCAACGGCCAGTTGCCAAGCAGTATTTACAGCTTGGTTTATTCTCCTCGCACTAAGTTTTGTCAATATGAGCTATGCAGCACGACATCATTGAAGGGGGACTTACCTTAATTTTCATTCTTTTGCAATTTAGACAGCCACCACGTGATCGCTTCTTGAGCGGCATATCTCTTGGCGACGTCATATTACTCCGACACTTGACACCACCAGTACTATTATCAGAAAAGTCAGATTTATCTTGTTAGATAGTAAAGTATACCTTTATCCTTGATGACCCCTGATGCATCTTTTCTTATTTTATATGCACCAAAAGTCGAAGACGTGAGTGACCCAATTTCCAGATAATCCCACCGATACGATGCAATTCTAGTATTATATATAGGAATTGATGCGGCTCTTATTAAACCGAAAGGCTTTCTGTCTATTCCTTTTACCGATTACGTAATTGCCAGCTGCAGTGGTCCAGCCGCGTGGGTTTGAATGTTTTTTTTTTCCTTCAAGTTTCTATAAGCGTTTGCTTTTCTATCCGAAGTTAGGGTCGAGGATTATTTGAATTCAATATAGGCATAGATAGATATATAATTTTCAAATACTTTAATAAGGTATATCTTCTCTCTCTTGAAATGAAGATAAATTGAGGATATGAGTGCCAAAGTTATGCATTGCATCGAGTAATCCCCCAAGATGACCTATATCATGTTAACACTCAATTATCAAGATAATATGTCATCTATTTTTGACACATATAATTATGATTGCAAATATTGTAAATCCGTACATGCGCTCTTGCGAAGGTTAAGTCATCGTATTTCAAGTAAAATCACCATAGTTTATCGTAACAACAAATCGCTTTATCGATTAGTGCTTACTTATTATGATATACTTTTCACAATGCCACGAAGAAAGCTGTTGTTTGTCAAAACACTACAAAAGTAATCAAAATTGTATAGATATGCTCGCGGGCATAAATTAGAATTGGCACTTGGTAACAAGCTCGTAATAGTGGAACACAGCCTGCAGTAATGCTAAAAAAGCCGTTCAGATGATATTCAAGCTCCATACTTCTAGATTCCTTCTGGGCTTTTCAATTTCCAATTAATTTTTTTTTTCTCTCATCCTACGAGTTAATCTTTTTCAGTTTATTAATTGAATTGAATGGTATTCACAAGCCATTTTTTTTTTTTTTTCTAACTAGCTATATTACTTATAATATAACTCGACTCCAGTGGCATCTGCATTAACATCTCTTATATCTTATCTTAATTGATGAAAATTTTGAATGTCTTGCAGATAATCAGAGTTCTTCCCATAAATAGAAGCCAAATAATTAAGGTTTCATACAGTCAACTTCTTCAATTTCCTTTGTCGGAACCGAAAGGAGATATGTTTTCATATTCTTAGGCCCCATCTTATCTATTAATTAACTTCCTCATAACAGATTCTCGTAAGTTGACTTCTAGACAAATGTCGCGATATATTTCGAATAACCACGTTGAACAAAGTTACTGTTGCTACTATAGTGCAGATTCTAAATTCTTACACCTGGTGATGCTATAATAATTTTTCACAATATATCTATTTAAATCGCTTTGGAAGTTCAGATTTATTTTGCCTAAATAAATCAAGATATCCTCCTTCTTTGCATAAAGAGTAAAAGATGCCATCCTCGTCGTTTAGTAAATTTGCAGGCGAATCAAACTGTTTCACGGTACCTTTATCCAAGACAAGTATTCTGTCGCTATCAATAATGGTATCAATACGATGAGCAATCGTAAGAATAGTCTTATCCTTAAATTGTGACCTAATTGCAGCTTGCACAATCTTATCTGTTTGGACATCCACGGCAGCAGTAGCTTCATCTAGAATTAAAACTTTTGAGGGGTTGAGAAGAGCTCTAGCGAGCGACAATAACTGTTTCTGGCCACTGGACAAGTTAGAACCATTATCGAAAACTTTTGCGTTTAATCCTGTATCAAACTCATCTTCAGCTTCGCTTTCATCATTCAACTTCTTAGGCCCTTTTGCGTCTTCTTTAGGATTCTTCTTTTCCGTTTTCATCTGCTCAATATGATCCTTGAGATGAGCTAACTCCAAAACTTTCCATAATTGCTCATCCGTGTATTTCCTGAAGGGATCTAGGTTCTCTCTTATTGTACCTTCGACTGTACTTGAGTCCTGTGGAATGATATTTAAATGTCGTCTCAAGTCAAAAAGACCCAAGCCACTAGTATTGACGTGATCAATTTCAATATGACCTTCGATTGGTTCAATGAGTCGAAATATAGCGAGTGTTAGGGAGCTTTTTCCAGCCCCAGTACGACCGACTACTCCAATTTTCTCTTTTGATTTGATTTTTAATGAAATATTCTTCAATACTGGGTCCAAGTTTTCTCTATACCTTGTAGAATAATTCTTGAACTCCAAGGCTCCTGCCTCTGGCCAAGAATCTTTAGGACGTGAATCCTCGATAACGAACTTAGCTTCCGGCTTCAAGTTGCAATATTCGACGATTCTCTCCACAGAGATTGATTTTGTTTCAATATCTGCCCAGCAACGCGTTATATAAGCTAACATACTTGTAATACTAAGCGATTGAAGCATAACAAACCCTAACATCGCGCTGCCTATTTCATGCTTCGATCCTAAGGAAGCCAAACTTAATAATGCGGTTGAGAAAACTATAATGGAGGAGATTGTCTGAAGCCTAATAGAAAGCCACCTACTGCAACAGCAGTTTATATTAAGAACTTTATTTCTCATGTCAATATTATAAGTGTTTTTATGCATGAATCTTTCCTCTTGCCCAAATGCTCTAATAACTTCAACACCATTGATGGATTCCTGTAGATGAGAAAATATAGGACTGCGTCTAGTGCTACTTAGTCTCTTTAATTCTCTCGACGCTGGTATAAATTCTAGTCTGACGTTATTGTAAACAAAGAAAAGAATGAAAATGACCAAGAGCATTATGGGGAGATTATAAGAAATCACCGCAAGCAAGCCGATAGCATGGAAAGAATACTCAAGAAACGCCATAAACAGCCATATCAACTGTTTATCTATCACATTAATATCCCCAGAGAATCTGTTCAAAATTCGGCCAATGGGAGTGGTATCAAAAAAAGACATAGGGGACCTCATTACACTTCTTGCCATCTTATCATGAAAGTAGGAGGAGCTTCCAATTACACAGAAACTCCATACCACAACAGAGCCAATCAAAACAAGTGCTGAGCTGCAGACACATATACACACATATAGCGTCAAGTAAAAAAAAGGGTTAATATTCTCTCCTGCTATAGCGTTTTTCTCTGACCAAGTTTTGATAGCGTAGCTACAAAAAATTGTACCAGATATTTGACCAGCAGTACAAATCAAAAAGAATATCACATAACGATAATTACATGCTTTGAAAAACTCAAGGTAGACACCCAATCTTACTTTACCTTTAGTCTCTTGTTCAACAGTTAGACCTGTTCTTTTTACGATACTATCGTCTCCTAATTCTTCTTCTGTGTATTCGTGACCCAAGGAAGCAACACTGGATGCCCCTAAAGTGTGGTGAGTAGCAACTCTAACTAGTGCCAAATCTTCATCTTCAGTTGGGAGAAATGGTTTAGGTTCTTGATCTATGTTTTCTGATTCTTCGTCTGAATTTGACGGCTCAATAGACTGCTCACTGATATTTTTTGTAGCGCTTGAAAATTCTGTTAACAAATTTGTCAATTCGGAATCCCTTGCCATAACCTCATCAAATGAGCCACGCTCTATTATTGCCCCAGATTTCAATAAAACTATTTCTTTAGCATTATGCAAAACATTAATTGAGTTTGTTGCCAAGATTATTGTTTTGCTAGCTAAAAGTCCTTTTGGACCTAATACTTGAGCGATCATATTCTTTCCAACATGAGCATCAACTGCAGACAAGACATCATCTAGGAGATAAACGTCCGATCTTGCATAAACTGCTCTAGCAAGAGCAACCCTTGCTTTCTGGCCACCACTCAAAGAAATTCCTTTTTCTCCAACAATAGTTCGGTCTCCATCAGGGAGCATGTCAAAATCACTTGATAACTGGCATGATTCTACTGTTAGCTGGTAAAATTCCTTGTCATACTTATAACCGAACAATATGTTTTCCTTAACAGAGCCATTTAAGATCCATGGTGTCTGAGGGCAATATGCAACTGATCCATTAATTTTCAATATCGTACCCTCTGATCTTACTAATGGAACTTCTCCCAACAATGCTCTCAAAAGAGTTGATTTTCCACTTCCTACTCTACCAACGATACATGTCAATTCTCCTTTCCTCGCAGAGAAGTCAATGTCTGTTAAAGCCACATTATTGAAGTCTGATTGTATATCAGATTCCTCGTCTCGCCCGAAGACTTCCTTTTTAGGAGACCACAAAAATGTTGCATTTTTAGCAATTACGGAAGTATCATTCAGTTTTAATGAATCATTCGATCTTTCAACATAATCAGTTGAAAGTTCATTCGTTAAAAAAAATTCTGATAATCTATCCAAAGAGACTTTTGTTTCAAACAAAGAAGTAATAGCATTTGGTAAGATCTGAATAGGCAGGGCCACCACATCGAATAAAGACAAAGCCGGAAAGGCTACCGATGGGATTAGAATATTTCCTCCCAAAGTAATATAGGCTATGAGACAAGCACTAGATATCAAATAAGGAACACACGCCCATAAAAACAGTATAAATGAATTGAATATACCAATTTGTTTACTGGTAATTAACTCTTTATCGTTCCTGATTTCACTTAATCGTTCAAGCATGGGCTCTTCCCAAGAATAAAGCTTGATACTTTTTATTGAGTTCAAAATATCAGATGTTAATCTAGTTCTTGCATCTTTATATTCCATATTCAAATTGTATAAACCGAAAATTTTGGAACTTAAAGTCATTGTTAACGGTACTGATACGATCGTTGTGGCAACACCAGCAAATGTTGCATTTCCTAATATTTTGTACAAAGCCATCAAAGCTAAAACTAATCTGATAGGACAACTTAAAACATCATTAAAATTAAATGGAAGCAGAGAGACCAAACTCACATCGACAGCCAAGTTGTTGACTATATCTCCGGTTGATTTATTTTTTCTTTCTTCTGGAGAGAGTTTCATACCTTTTTCATACACCATCGAGGTCAATGAAGCTTCAACTGATCTATCAGCTCTGAATCCCACAATATAATATCTATTTGAGGCAATAAATCTTACAATTGATACCAAGAACATAGAAACCGCTATTGTGTAGCCTGCTATTGAATGATTAGTGCTCTCCGATGACGAATTGTAGGTATCAAAGAACATGATAAGTTGTTGTAATAGAAATGGTTGAGTAAATTCAACAAAAAGAGACAAGGTATCCAACAATACCGTATTGATTATATCTAAGCCATAGGTGGAAGCTAAAACATAAAGTAAAGACACTTTTAATTTCTTGTCTTCCTCAGTGGGGTTTGATATCTTCTTCAATCTCTTGGCTCTTTTCACTTTCGCTTTTTCTACGGCATTTTCCCAATTCTTCTTAAACCTCGTATAAGCATAGTCACAAGTCAAATCCACGTTTTGAGAAGGAACATCTTTAAGGTCTATCTCATTGGTTTCATAGATACTTCTAATAACGGGTTGTACCCAAGTAAAAAGCAAATCTGAAATATAATCTCTCAAGCAAGTT